GACACGATCTGGACATCCTAAAGAAGTTCACACTGCGGCCTCCTTTACCGGTTGGTGGTGCTGGTGGCCGCGCAGCTCAGCCCGTCAAGCGGAGGCGCTGTGTGCGCTGCTGTGAGGTTTCGGGGGATACCACGCTGCCGCGCTCGTTGTTGTCGTTTAAGATGATTGCTAAGTTGGGACTCTTGCGTTCTTGTCTGTGTGGTGGGATGTGGACGCTGGAGACGGAGTCTGCCAATGGTGCTGCCTCTGCGCAGTCGGGGAAGTAGTATATATTCTAGTTAGGCATGGCAATGTCGATATGTTGGTCCATACCTTTGTTCAATAACGAAGATGGTAGTGTCGTCTGTCAGATATATAATTGACCAGCTAATGTCTACAGTCTACATGAATGATCATCCCCCACCCCTGCAGGACCTATGTAGGGAGATATACCCGAATAGGGAAAATCCCATACGGCAGTAAGAAGTAAAAGACGCAAAAATGTCATGTCATGTCAAGAGTCGATTTGCATCCGTCTAAGATACACAATCAAAAATCCATTTTTCAGGTCCACACGTCACGCCCAGGCACGGGGTGTGATAGCATCTTCCCGCTAAAACTCCAGATCCAAACAAGTTCTTCGCTTAAGCCTATAATTCAATTCACTGTCAGCGTCGCATTCGCCTTAGGCAAGGGCAAGGGGCAAAGTGCCGCTTGATAAATAAGAGAGTGAAGCCATACCTTGACGGCGTACTTCCGCTGGGGGAAGTGGATCTGGCGCTTGCGCTGCTTCTCGATGGTGCGGGTGGCCTCGTGCTTGGTGAGACGGCGGCGCAGTTCACGGGTGAGCTTGGGGCGGAGGTCGAGCGGGAGGTACTTCTTGTTCTTGTAGAACAGACGCAGCTGAGCGCGCTGGTTGGCGTTGATGACGGTCAGGACGCGGGCGATCGACTTGCGGACATCGGAGCTGAATTGAAAATCAATTAGTATGCGTTTGATGATGGTTGTGATGTGTTTTGCGTCCAGGGAAAATTTTTCGTTGGTGTCGGGTGTGTGCCCTCCTCTTTTTGTTTCATGGACCAAAACTCCCGTCCAACCCCCTTCGCTCAACAACAACACAGAAATTGATCGGAATCGAATACGTACATCCGCATGGTCTTCGTGGAGGCGCCGCTGGCGATCTTCTGGACGCGGAGCTGAGCGAGCTCAGTGCGCAACTCCTCGAGCTGCTTGGAGAGCTCATCCTTGTTCTTCCCCCAGAGCTGACCGGCCTTGACCTTGGACGACTAGAAGGGATTTCCATCAGTTGTTGTCTCGCTGGACATACTGTCTCTTGTGTATGAACATACCATGGTGGGCGGCTTGAGACGTGTGGTTGTCGGTGAGAATTGAAGATTGGCTGTCTGCGGGCAAAATGTCTGGTTGTGGGACTAGGGCTAAGCGAGTGTGCTTACGTGGTTGGATCACATGATCATGTGTATTCATGCCATCAAATCCAGGCACACAAATACTTCCCTATTGGGTTAGCGGATTCGTGCACTTACGTATCATCCAGGGAGTTGGTCTCTAAACACTCACTCATGGCTTCCACCACGGGCACCGGATGGGCCCAGCTGCGGCAACAAGCTCGCTCGCTTGAGACTCAGGTATGTCTTATTCTTTAACCGAAGGAACATACACTTACATCTCCGCAGACAGAGACCCTCTTCCACACATACTCGCAGTATGCTGCGCTCACCAAGCCACCACCGACTCCCTCCGAAGAGGAACTCCGCACGGAGTCACAGCTTAAAGATATCCTTGAACGAGTTCGTTCCACCACAACCACGACAGACCGACCATCCCTCAAGCTAACCCCTGTCCCAGCGCGAATCCCTCATCTCCCAACTATCCCGCCTCCTCGACTCCGAAGCGACCCTCACCTCCTCCGCCCTGAAACAGAACAACCTCGTGCGCCACCGCGAAGTCCTTCACGACCACCGCCGCGAGCTCCAGCGCCTAACCGCTGCAATCGCCGAGTCGCGCGACCGCGCCAACCTGCTCTCCAATGTCCGCTCCGACATCGACGCCTACCACGCCTCGAACCCCGGCCAAGCCGAGGCAGACTACATGCTCGAGGAGCGGGGGCGGGTCGAGAACAGCCACAACATGATGGATGGCGTGCTGAGCCAGGCGTATGCGATCAATGAGAACTTCGGTATCCAGCGAGAGACTCTTACGTCAATTAATCGGAGGATTGTTGGCGCTGCCAGCCATGTTCCCGGGATGAATTATCTGATTGGGAAGATTGGGAATAAGAAGAGGCGCGATGCTATTATTCTGGGGTGCTTTATCGGGTTCTGCTTTTTGATGCTGCTGTTCTTCCGATAGGGTTGGGTGCTCTCTATCTTCGGTTGATACTCTGCTCTGCCTCCTTCTATTGCCCCTGTCTAGCGGTCCATGGCTCTTTTTGTTCAGGCGTTTCGGATTGGGCATATCTTTCTCTTCTACTGGAGAATTTCTCTTTTTGCCGGGCGATGATGATCGTACCGCGGGACCAGTGTCTTCTATCATACACATTCTCTATTATATGTACAAATCGAATGGAGAGGGAGATCACACCTCACACACAACCTTAACCCTTTTATTGGGCAGCATTTTGCTTTTCGGCAATCAGCTTCAGCAGGCCCGCATTCAGAGCAGCCATCTCGGTCTCTTCAGCCGGTCCACTGCCCGCCCAACGGATGCGACACTCCGCGTCCACAAGGTAGACATAGCCGACCTTGGAGTTCATCATCCCAATCGCCTCCTTCAGCACCTCGGTCACCCCCTTCTGCACCAGGAAGTACCGTTCATGCTGGTGCGCAGGCAGGTTCTGGCGCATCCGCCACATGAACCGTTTCACCAGCCACGCCCGCATGCGATTTTCTTCCAGATTGATATCCACTTTCTGCGCGACCTGTCCGCTCTTCGCAAGCGCCTCTGTCAATACCGGGTTCTGCTTCGGTCCTGTAAACGTCGCAACTTGGCTCTCGGCCCACAGACTGGAGAATAGAGTGACGATGGAGATCTTGCCGCGCAGGACGGAAGTGGTGTTCTGTGGTTCTTTGGGAGATGCGAGTGTCGCGCCGTACATGTTGGGGAAGTATAGTGCCTTGTCGCCCCGGAAGAGCCGCGGGTTCGATACGAAGGTCTTGCCCTGGGCGTGGCGCAGGTTGGACCATTCTCGGAAATATGGTTTTGCGACTTGTCTCGTCCTAGAGAGAAGGGGAAACAAATGTGTTAGCTTCTTGTCTCCGCAGCTTGAGCAACAATCAAATTATGGAGATAGAGAAATTGATCCGTACAGTTCCTTGCGGCGCTCAATATGCCGGTCATAGTTGACAAAGTCGTCCCGCCGCTGCCGTATGGAGCGCGAGTCAACCCCGGTATTTTCTCCTTCTTCTGGTGGTGCGGCACAGCCAATCGGTCGGTCGAGTGTGGGTAGAATGAAGTCCGCATCGCCAGGCTGCGCAGACTGGTCCCGCGAGGGGTTCTGCTGGAACCGGAAGCCCGAGGGCTTTCTTGCTCCGGGCGATGCGCGGAGCGACTGAGCTGGAGTTTTGCTTTCGGTGTCGCTCAGTTTCTTGCCGTTGTTCTGGGTGGCATAGAAGCGTAGGGCGGAGGGGGTTGCGCTTAGACGGAATTGACAGCCCAGACAGCGACCTGTCCTCCGGAGAAGGGAGGTCTCTAGATGGTGTATGGAGGGTTTCCACATGCTAGTCAGTAATCAATTGCTGAGTAGAACGAGAAAAACACCCACGCGGGAGGTTCAATCATGCGGAGAATCACATGACCTCCACGCCCGATACGTACTGCTAATAATACATGATGATAGGAATTGACATTACTTTCCATTATTTAATATTCCTCCTCTAGATATATGTACGCGAAAGCGTACGGAGTAACGGGCACACCGTTGGGCTCAAGAAGAAAGCAAATGTGTACTTGATTCATGAAACGTCTCGAAATTTTTTTTGGAAAGAATTAGAAGAAAAGAAAGGGGGAAAAAAATGAAAATTTATCTCAATTTCAGAATTCGTATACCTATATACCACGAGCAAGATACTAATACCACTAAAAGCTATGCAGCCGCCGGTAAAAATGATAAGGGCCCATATATTCCGTCAGCCCGTAGATTTCCAACATTACCCTTGAGAATATCAAGCTCCCACACAGAGGCACCGTCAAGACATTGCCTATTGCCTTGCCGAAACAGAAGAGGCTGGATATTATCTATCGGTGTAACTGTTGGGTTGGCACTGACAGATGTGGACAGTCTTGCCCACATGGCAGTATAACCGGCTCAGAGGATCCATAGACCAAGGCAAAAGCAATTAAAGGTGCCAGGGAATTGCCAATCCTCAAAGTGCCAATGAAGATACTGCCGTTATAGTGCTCGATAGAGTGAGAAGGATATTGACAGGAGCTTCGATCGGACAAAAGTCCAAAAGTACACTGACCCACCATCTGTGAGACGCTCATCACAGCCAGAAGTAGTGCACGTTCTAGATTACTCAGTCTGAAAGATATGGCATAGGAGGGTAGGAATAGACGGAAAGAGATTCCTTAGTCCCTGAGCGACAATGGAGAGGGTGTGTATCCAAAACAACGGGTTTTAGAGCGATGTCCAGTCTGATTTAGTGCCTGCGGTGTGCCTCGTAGCTGGCAAGCGACCTTTTAGAAAGGGAATAAACGGACCCGTAAGCACAAAAAGTGAATACTAGTAATTAGTTTTCAAAATAAGACCTATCCCAATAGAGTACTATAGTGTTAGGTGGGTCTACAAGCGCTGACATTATTTTGCTCCGCACTGTAACGGGGCCCAGCCATATAAACCTTGAGACTACTAAAACTATAACCTATGGATCTTACGCCCACAACGCTTGATCGTTCTGTTTCAAAAGTAGGAATTCACTCCCGCCTAAAAAACAACCCAGGTGAAGGAATAGATCTCAACATTTTATTGATAAATCATGTAAGTATCAGCAATTACGGCAGGGTTAACTAGCAGCAGCAGTTACTATACCAGCTACATCCCAGCCAGTCACGTCGAGGGATGGCCCTCCGGTTCCATCCTTTTCGAGATCTCCTTGCTGCGCGAGGTATTGCAACTTAGCAACCGACTCCCTTAGCTCTTCCTCAGTGGGCATGTTGACGATCATCAGATACATCACATCCTCCCTAAGGATCTTAATTCTGCTGCCAATTTCCTTCTTCTTTTGGGCCCACTTCTCTTTCCAGGTTTCACTCGGAGGAAGACCCTGAGCAGCCCGCTTCTTGTCTCGGGATTCCTTGATTGCAGCCCCAGCACGATCAAATAGACTTGGTTTTGGCTTATACAGGCCGCCGCTAAGGGTTGAGAGAAGGTTCCCACTATTCACTGGGTGGCTGGGGTCATTGTAGCGTGAAATGAAGGTCTTTCGTCCTGACTCGGGGACAGCCACCGCAGACCCCCTATGCTCGGCTTCCTGCTTCCTGTTAAGACGTATTCTTTCTTATGTGTGAGAAAGTGGGAAATGAAGTGGTACTCACAAATGATGCCTGTGACTTTCTATCGATGTAGTCCCGAACCCAGGTTCTCCCAGACTGAAAATTCGACTTGGGCTCCAGGCCATCCCTTACTCGTATCGCAGCTCGATCAATCTCCGGGAATACTAGCGGCGCACACTCCGGAAGCTGCATCTCGCCTTGAGTCGCGCCACTTTCTAGTCGATAATGCTTCATGTGCTGCTTCCACGCGTTCATTTGTGGGTGCTGCTCGCTGTGGGTAAACTTGGAGATTGTCGCGGCCGCATCGAAATCTGGTCTCTCTGGCTGAGGTAGGTTAGGGCTGACGTCTGCCGGCGCACCTGACTGATTGAAATTGACCTGCTCAGTTGAGAAGAGTCCGCCAAGTCGGTCAGCTTCGGAAACAGGGGAATTCGCCTTTTGCTTCTTCGTCGGCTTAGGAGGTCGATCCGTGAATTTCATGATCATCGCGTATTGACCACGAGGCATGAAGATTTCTTGGTTCACCCTATCAAGATAGCTGTTGGTACGGTGACGGATCTGGAATTGCTGTGCTGTGTCTGCTACAATTTGGATAGCCGCGGCGGTCAACGCGACTGCCAATGAAGGGGAGAAGGAAGTGACATTGGCTGCGACAACGATGACCTGGAGCCACAAGGAAGCCTATGATAATGATGAGGAATTAAGTACAATCCCGTGGTGGATACAAAAGGATAAGGGTGAGAATGAGTGGTCACTAACCTGACTCGCTTTATGGAAGTCACTGATGAACTTCAGGAACACATCCTGGCTGATACCGCAGTCGGCCAACACAGGCGCATATGCACGCACAAACCCGCGCTTCTTAGCGCCGGGCCTGCGCTGAGGAATAATCACAGGACACGGGAGTCGCTGCGGCTGCGCAGGTGGTGGCCCTGCCATCGCCACAAGTGCGCGAACCATGCGCTCTCTCTTCTTCGCCTGCTCGTCCTCAGAGTCCTCCGCGTTTATCTCGTCGGAGTCATTATCAGCAGCCGTCTCGAGGTCCCTCTGAACACCTTCTGCACCTGGCCTAGATTGCGACTGATCATATGTGGGCAATCCGAATTCTTCGGTTGCTTCATCGAGTTGCCAGGCAGCCTCATCTCCATTCATCGACCGCTCCCGGTCATTTCTGATGTCGGAATTGGCGTTGTCGGAGTCATACTCCGTCTCAGACGGGTGGCGAATACTCTTCTCGTCAACGTCCGATGGATATCCCGCTTCGGTGGCTTTGCTCTGTCGTTTTGAGCCGGGTGAGTAGGGAGGGAGCTCTCCTTCCGTTGGGAGCTCCGAGACCCTTATTGGTAGCGCTCTCTCGTTGCCCAGCTCTGCGCAGCCCTCGCGGGGGACTACATCAGCTGTCTGGTTACCGGCGGCGACTATGTCGCCGCTCGCTCTATCCGCATCAGGAATAGAGCGAGGGGTCTCTGAAGCGGATTGAGAGGGAGAAGCAGAGATAGAGTCTTTATCACGGTGTCGGGCTGCATGAATGGCTTCAGAGGTGAAGCCAATGCCTGAGCCGATAAGTCTCGCGAGCCCTTTACCCATGGTGGTTGTTGTGGGGATCGTATATATGGATTAAGAAGAAAATATTTTGGAAGACAGATAATATCCCACGCGGGGGGGGAAGATCTTTTAAAGCTCGCTTTTAGGGCTGCGAAGATTCTAAATCGAGATCTCTTATACCAGATCCGGGCAGCAGGATGTTCTGAAGTGGATCCGACTTGGGAGGAAGTATCTATTCCTAATACGGCAAGTGAGATGTTTCTGGCCCCCATTTTGATATTATTATTAGGTTTTACCCCCGTCATGTCGCACTGATGTCCATACAGGGGAAACGATCGTCAAGGCTGTTATGGCCCCTATCAGACTTAAATTCCTCATACGGCAAATTAGGTGTTTCCGGCCCTGATTCTGATATTACTATTAGGCTTAATCCCATCATTTCGCAATAATGTCTGTATAAGGAAAAAGCTATCCACAAGGCTGTTTATGGCCCCTATGAGCCTTAAGTTATTAACCTGAAGATGTGGGTGGGATCGGCTGGCTATGATATGTCGAAACTCCAGGGGTTGATGCTGCCTTGACGATCTATCCAACACGCACCAGGCGATCTTAAACGGCCCCATCTTTATTTTAAACTGCAGAAGATGTGTAGCACAGGGAGCAAAGATATAAACGCATTCAAATCCTGATAACACCTCTCTCGTGGCAAAAGATGATAAATATGATCGGATCGATGCATCGAAAGGGTTTTCGGCTAGGTTTCCGCCCACAACATTTCGTTTAAGTGTAATGGGCTCATGAGGAGCTGAAGAGCCTCAGAGTGGAAAGCCATTTTCTTCCGGTTGTGAACGGGAACCACATGTTTGATATACTTTTGTCCGAGTGCGGTGATGATTATTAAAATTATGTCATGCGAGGATTGAAATTCCTTGCTACAAAGGCTGCGCTTAGCTGTTCTGACCTTGGGTAATTCCAGTCACAAGCCTTCAATGGTATAGTTCGTTCGTCCATAGGATCAAACGTGATTCAGTGCTTTCGCATTATACAGATATGTAAAGAAGTTATTAAGACAAAAATGGAGCGACCACCAAGCAATGGTCAAATTAGGTATAATAAACAGTCGATTCGAATTCCTATGTATTTCTACATCCATCGAGTGCCTGCGCAGTCCCGTGACCAGGCGCCGCTTGGGTTGGTGTTCTTGCCGCCTTTCTGTTCGATCCAGCGCACTTTCCCTCAGGCAACCATGACCCTCCCACGGTTCCGTCACCCACCAGACTAGCCCGGCCATGGCGGGGGAGGCCCCGAATAAGAAACACTTCTTCCAAGCCCTGGACCTCTTGGAAAGTCCGGACAAGGATGCTCAGAATGAAGAAGATGCCCGCCTGGAACTTCTGATATCTGGTTCGAGAGGCCACAGTCTTTCAAAATCGACTGCATCTCGTCGGCCGAATCCAGTCAAGCTTCCCCGGGCAAATTCAGACCCCCAGCCTTCTTCCACCGACCAAGAGCTCCCAAGGATCGGCATCTCTCACGAGAATATCTCTTCGAGACCCACTGACCCCAAAGTGCCGCGTGTGAAACGCTCCGCGACGACAGGCACTATGTCTGGAACCAAGATTGGCGGCCCTGCAGCGAAGAAAAGAAGAGTGAGCAGTGTCAAGTCCATTCCGGCAGAGCAGCAGATCTTCAAGGATCTCGTTTTTTGTCAGTGGATCCAGATCCTTGTGGATACTCCGACATCTCTCATCTGACTCTTCTTGCCTCTCAGACTTCTTCCCCAATAACGACATCTCTCCGCTTCGGCGACTGCGTATCCAGCGAGCACAGGAGTATGGTGCCCAACGAGCGAGCGAATGGGGCGCCAATGTCACTCATGTGATCGTTGATAAGGGCTTGACCTTTCATGATCTCTTGACACATCTCAAGCTCGAGTCGTTTCCAGTTAGTATGCTTACCTAACGCTCAATTTTCGACGCTAATTTATTCTCAGGTAAATGTAATTGTGGTCGATGAATGCTACCCATCAGACTGCATCAGATTTCGCTCGGTCCTCAGTCCATCTCACGCTCGATTCCATGTTGGTGGGACTCCCGGGCTTATTGAAGATCAAGGCCCTCCTGCCGTGGGTGAACCAACCATTCCTGGCTCTTTACCGTTGAAACTCTCGAAAAGAGAACGTGCCCAACTACCGGAACCTTCTCATATGCACGACAGTGGTGGGAACTCGCCAGTTGTTCGGAGTTCCCCGGCGGCCGTCACTGAGCAAGTACAGCAGTCCGACATCAGCACAGCCCTTCGTGAGCGGGATTTGCTAGACGATCTAATCGAAGAGGCTAAAGCGACAAGACATCTTGTGAGAGAGATTACTTTACATCGCAGCACTCAGCTGACCCATCCATAGCCCTTGGATCCACTTGACTTCCCCGACGACGAGCCTACAGCGGAGACATCTGATGCCGAGTCCCGGGAGTCAGACTACGAATTAGACAAACAGCAACCAAATGTCTCTCAAGACAAGGCGGCTGAATCCTGGACCAAAAACTTCTCCTGCATGCAAAAGTATGAGCCCAATTTGCGAACTCATAATCCGAACAACAGGACCATCGAAGTCCTCCAGCAGATGTTAGACTACTATACGCGGACTGCCGATCACTGGCGAGTTCTCGCCTATCGCAAGGCGATCAATGCCCTTCGAAGACAACCGAAGACAATCGTGACACGCACGCAGGCTCTATCGGTCCCCGGCATTGGGACGCGCCTGGCCGACAAAATCGAGGAAATTGTCCTCACCAACCGGCTTCGTCGTCTTGACAACACCAGTAGCACTACCGAGGACCTGATCATCCAGGAGTTTCTCGGGGTGTACGGTGCGGGTCTTTCTCAGGCCTCCAAATGGGTTGCGCAGGGCTACCGGTCGCTCTGCGATCTACGTGAGAAGGCGTCCCTGACCAAGAACCAGCGTATCGGCGTGGAGCGATATCACGACTTTGCGCAGCGTATTCCTCGCAAGGAGGTCGAGGCTCACGGGGAAATTGTTCGCCGGGCGGTCCAGCAGGTCGACCCCGATATCCTGGTGACCATCATGGGCTCGTACCGCCGAGGGACATTGGACTCGGGGGACATCGATCTCATGATCACCAAGCCCGAGGCCACTCTAGAACAGATTCGGACGTTGATGATCAACACCGTCGTCCCGCAGCTGTTCCAGGACGGGTTCTTGCAGGTCGGCCTGGCCACCACGTCGCGACAGGACGGATCCAAGTGGCACGGAGCCTCCACCATTCCTGGCAGCAACACATGGCGACGACTCGATCTGCTGTTTGTGCCGGGGGACGAGATCGGGGCTGCACTGATCTACTTTACCGGTAATGACATCTTCAACCGTAGTATGCGGCTGCTGGCGCGTAAGAAAGGGATGTGTCTGAACCAGAAGGGGCTCTACACCGATGTGCTGAGGAATGGACAGGCCAAGCTAAATTCTGGTCGGCTGGTGGAGAGCCGAGATGAGCAGCGTATCTTTGCGACTCTGGGGGTTCCGTGGCGGCCTCCGGAGCATCGCATCTGCTAAGTGGTATATTATTGGTAGAACGAATCACTCGCCGGCAGAGTTTGTGCAATGTGTAATCAAGGGAGACAATTCTCTTTCGCCATCTCCCTCCCACTCTCTTAACCGTGTTTCTTTCTCCCTCGTACTGTCCACCACGACCTAGTTCATCTCCACCGATCCCATCACCGCCTTGTGTGCGGTGAAGCGCCTCATCTCTGCTGAAGTCAGACCGCCCCATCATCTGCCAGTTTTGCCGCTGCTTTCCTCCTTCACCCATCCCATCATCATCGTCGATCCCCCATCTGTTGCTCGCACTCTGCTCCATTGATCATTCTCCTGATCCTATCTGGAGACCCTCCGTGCCCTGCCTACGTTCAACCCGTCATCATTGCGTGGCGGGTGTGGAGCCCTTCTGTTGTGCTCACAGTCACATCTTTTTTTTGCCATCACCCCTCTCACCCACGCTGTCGTGGTGCAATCGCCACCATCCCAGCTTTTCTCCGGTCCCCCTTGTCTACACTTTGATCTCTCTCGGTTGCTGACGCTGCGGTCGGACGCGTCGACCCTTCCCACCCATCCACACCGACTGAACACGTCCCCCATTCCTCACTCCTCCCCTCAAAATGGGCCGCAAACCCAACAAACTTATCCTCGAGTTCTTCATTCGAGGCCAGAAACTCGAGGATGCAAGTAACCGCTACCAGCACACCTGCAAGGCCTGTGGTGAAAAATTCCCCAAGGGCCGCATCGACAGTCTTACCAATCATCTGGTGAAGAAGTGCCAGGCCATCCCCCTTCGTGACCGCCAGCGCGTGCTCTTGCGCCTTCATGAGCTTCCTGACCTGGCCGAGGGTGACGCGAACAAAGACCCGAGTTCTGCAGGTGCAAACAAAGGCAAATCAGGTGACGCGTCTTTCCCGAATCGCCAGAACTTCGACGGCCTCAACGTGCTGGCTGAAGCCTCGAGACAAGTCGGCGCGTCGGAGCCACCCAAGCGTGGCTCGGGATACACCCAGTCGGTGACGGTTGGAGGCAAGACTGTAGTGGTCGACCCGGCGCTTGAGGCGGAGGGCTTCCAGGGTCAGCAGTCGGACGTCAAACAAGAGGGAGGCGACAATACACAGGGTATGTCTTTTGGGCGCTGCTCACTCACGATCAACTCTAACAGTTTTTTTTTACTACAGGAACTCCGCAGCCGTCGCACTCTCCTATCCCCGATCTTCCAAGCCACACAACTGGTGACCACGCGGGATCCATGTCGCCGCCCCTTGGAGACACTTCGATGACACCCGAGTCGAGTGCCAACGCTCGTCAGTCGCAGTTGTCGATGATTGCGGCATCTGCCAATGAAATGGTTCCTCACGGGCTGGAAGGAGATAGCATGGGCTCTGATGGGCTGAAGATGGGCTCATGGAACCAGTCGCTCTCAACGCACGAGCAGCTTCTTTTCGACAGTCTGCAAGAACATGACCCGTCCCTGACTGCGGTGACGCAGCGTGCCGCTTCCTATCCGCGCCCCATTGCGATGAACCCAAACACCCAGGCCAAGGGATTTGTCAACGAATTTGGTAACTCGACAAAGCCCGCCAAGCCCAAGGTTCGAGGACGTTTCTCTGCTGCTCGACGTCGCGAGGTGCAGGAAGTGCGCAAGCGTGGAGCGTGTATTCGCTGCCGAATGCTGAAGAAGCCTTGCTCCGGCGACAGCCCCTGTACCACTTGCGCCAGCGTGGAGAGCGCGCGTCTCTGGAAGAGCCCCTGCATCCGTACAAGGATCGCCGATGAGTTTGAGCTTTACAATGCCAACCTTCATGCAACTCTCGCCTATCACGACACCAGCGGCATCAAGAACCAGGTCAAATTCGAACACTATGCCGGCCGCATTGAGGTCACACACTTTGAAGAGAGCGGCGTCTTCGTCACCTTCAGTGGGCTGCAAGGCCACCATGCCTCGGTGTCCGCGCTCGATCCCCAGTTGCAGGGTCTGGGCGATGACCACTTTTCCAATCCGACCCAGGAGGTTTACCTTTTGGATAGCGACGCCGATGACATCCCGGGCAAACTGGAGTTGTACATCAAGAAAACGGCGCCATTTTTCTACGAGCGCGAGACTTCGCATTTCATGAAGCCGACTCTGATCCTTGCTTCCGAACTCAGCCAGCAGAAAAAGGACATTCTGTTGGAGCGCGTGCTGGAGCTGTGGGTTGCTACCCATATCCTTGTTGATACGGAACTCGCATGGAAGACATACTGCAACCCCACCCTGCCGCCGACGTCGATGCATTCTCTTTCTCAGCCCTCGGATGATGGCCGTCTTCCAATCGAGGAAGTGGGAGACCCGGAGTCGTATGCCCTTCTCTGCAGCCAGTTGCGAGCCGCCATGGAGAAGCGGGCGATGCAGCTGAGCAAGTCTGTGATGAACGACCTGGAGCGCCGATTGCTTCAGCGCCAGCAGACGGGCTGGTTTGAGACTTTCCTCGTGGCGATTATTCTTCTGAACTGTGTTGAGCGTACCTGCTGGCTCTTCCGTTCGTGGGACAATGAGAATTTTGCGCAGCGAGTAAGTTGTTGTTTCTATGCGTTTATAATTCCCATGCTGACTTTCTTCAGTGGCCCCTAGACAAGCGTCCCCCTTACTACTCCAACCAAGGCGATCGCTTCTCAGACATCCTGCACATGCTCCTGAAGATGCGCAGCCTCCCTCCCAAGACTACTATCCGTCCGGACAACGGCATCTTGAAAGCAGTCGAGGGCAGTGACGACAATGCGACACGCTGGTTTGATATGATCCAAGTTTCCCGTAAGTTCCAGTGCCAGGATTGCCATAGACTTTGTTCTCTAACTTGCCGCTATAGCCTTCTTCCTCGAAGAACGACAGAATGCTGTTTTCGACCCCTCCGATTCTCGCTCCCTGGACCTTCGCTTCGGCGCCAAGTTGCTGCAGCCGGCGACCTCATAGCTGGTAAAATACAGTTTGCTCTTTCTATGGGACATGTGATGCCACAGTGACGGACGGAGGATGGATGGTGCTTTCGTTTTAGCTGCTGCTATCATTAATTTATTTTTTCTTATGGTGTGGAGGGCGTATGGGGTTGAACTATTCTTTCTTTGTGTGAAGTATAGTTTTATTATGCCAGGTTTAGTTTTAATTTGATTCTCTAGCCGCTGAATGTGAGCCACATTGATTTCAATAACACCTTGCGATAGTCATTAGCACTGTTGACTGTAGTCAAGTCATCCTCATCAAGGGTGACCCTGATCCGCTGTAAGATCCATCCAACAACCTCGGGTTCCACCCATCATTATTATTCAACCAGAACACAGCCCTTGAAAAGATCCCTCAAACAGGGACAACAGAAGAAAAGCCGTTCTCAGCATCACCTCTACATTCCCTGATCTCACCGTGGTCACTCTGTTATTGTTGAGCATGAGTTCCCCCACCATGGGCAGTGGCAGCACTGCAACGCCTCCCCCACCGCCCACGCGCCGCCTCCTTGTCTTCCAGGAGACGCGCAACCCGCAAAACACCACTGAGACAGTCTATCTCCCCGTCAACAAGCTGGGTCTTCCGATCTGCGGCGAGGGGCCTGAATTGCCTTCTATCCTCAAACTGCCGCTGCGCATTTTGCGCGCGTTTACGGATATTTTCAATCAGCCCAAGTATAAGGGGTGGTATGTTTTGTCTTTCTCTTCTTCTTCATTGTTATGTCAGGGGCTATAGCTGTCTTCTCTGGTGTATATTTGACCATGTACATGAGTCTGGGTCTGCTATTGATGGGATGGATCATAAATATAGCAGCAAATTTAGGGTTGTTGACTGACTATTCTATTATTGCAGGGCAATCCTCGCTGCCGGGCAATACCACGACACTGCCGAGGAAGGCAAATTCTACGCTGTCGTGCTGGAGCAGACGCACACTCAGCAGATGCACACTCAGCAGGGGACACCTGGTTCTTAATTCTTGATCTTGATGTGTGCGGTGTTTTCATCTTGATTCGCGATGTGTTTTGTATCTGTACCTAAATTCTATGGAAATGTGATTTATGATCTCGATGTTGTGCTTAGTCGGTCGTGCCTTCGATCAAAACAATACAGCTTCTTTCGGTGCGAAACATAGACGAATAGCACCCAAAAAATTCAATGAATAATTCATATAGCTAACGAATAGCTGCTAGCTAACAAAGTTGACAAAAAATGACTCTCCCTCGGGGAATCGAACCCCGGTCTCCCGCGCTTATCGGTGTTAATGACAAGCGGAAATCATGACCACTAGACCAAGGAAGATAAGCTGACCGAGTTACTGCTCGGCCACTTGGTGGTGGATAGATCTAGTTTGGCATCTTTTGTCTGATGGCGGGGGAACTGATGATCGTTCCAGAATTCCTAATACAGTAAATTGTTTGACCGCGAGCAATACAGTGCGTCTCGAAACTGGCGCCACCACCTACACTCTTTCTTCATTTCTCGAAACCGAATGCCAGGACACTAGATTTTATTAAGAATAGACCCGGAATATCAATACTCCTGTACCCATATCAATACTGTGACTTACTCCAATTATAATACGTCGCTCGGTCTTGTAATTGAATTCGCGATCTACAGTATTCTAAGAGGTGGTCTGAGAGTTGGCTTTCACGTAACGGCATCCCGAATGGACACGGTTTATTTCGCTGCAATACGACACAATCCAGAATCATCCCAGTCCTCGCTGCCTACGCCCCTGCGTGTGATAAAGAGTCCAGTCGGGTCCACCTGCTGTTTGATCTTGTAGAGACGATCGTAGTTCTTGCCCCAAAACGACGCCTGGAAATCTGTCTCGTAGGCATAACCCTCATTCACATACGCCCCCATCTTGTCCGCGCCCTCGGGAGATCGAATAATGGGTAACTCCACGTTTGTGACGTTGTTGAGAACTGCTTGTTGTTCCGCTAGAGTCGCAGTCGGGCTCCATGTCCTTTGGAAGGCCGTGTGTACCGTGGTTTTCCGCCATGCGGGGTTCACAGCACTGTCAATTGTATCACCATTCGCGGCAACGGCACCTCCTGCCACCACATTGCCTAGTATTGGTATACCGGGCGGATGAGTGAGGCTGCTCCATGCCTTTGCGAATTTCTCTGGTCCGTTCTGCGAAGTCAAAAGATCTTTGGAATATAGCCGTGATGCTATAAGAGCGAAAACACCCGTGTCATTTTGTGGCGAGATAATGCTCGACAGAGTCGCGTTCACGCTAGGAGAGCTGAAAGCTTTGTATTGAGTCATGATGCCCTCGATTCGTTTCAACTTTGAGATCAATGGCAAGTACAGTTGGTCAACTTTGGCGGTGTCTGAGTAGTTTGCAAAGAACAGGATTACCGACATCGTAGAAACACCTGCCGTCGCATTGAGAGGGTAATTCGGCCAGGCAGCATAGTAACCTGAGCCGCCGGCATCATTCAGCGCCGGCAGAGCTCGATGAAGCTCAGCAAATCCATCCCAGAAATGAGAGGAAGGGTCGAGCGAGGTAGTGATATTGATATTGGACACCACAACTGGAACTTCAGGATGCGTGCGAAGCGTAGCGCTGACCACCACACCAAACGTCCCTCCACCTCCACCTCGCAACGCCCAGAATAAGTCGGAGTTTTGGTATGCATTGGCGTAGACAAGACGGCCCTAATATTGAAGCTCGTATTAGCCCCGCCCATTCAGGTAAGTTTTTGTGGTTTGCCTACGCTCGCCAGCACCACCTGGAACTCGAGAGCATTATCTGAGCCCAGCCCTTTCCACGCACCGAAGGGAGAATGACCACCTCCTTGGATATAGCCTCCAGCAGCGCCGATTGTGCCCGCAGCGCCAGCGATCACCGTTCGGTTCTGTTCTGAGACCGCGCCGTAGAGCTCTGCTACGCTCACGCCAGCCTCGATTGTAACAGCGTAGCCTTTTCCGCCGCTATTTCGGGGGGCCCCTTTTGGCATGAAATTATTATGAAGCTGTATACCTTTCATGCCATGAGTGAAGATCTGTAGAGATTCAGGGGCTGAGGAACGGCCTAAGAAGTCATGGCCTGAGTTCTTTATGACGAGGCGTATATCATGCGTTCTAGCAAAACGGACTGCTTCTTGGATTTGAGATGCACTCACGACTTTCGCTGAGTATAATGAGACGCTTCCCTGGCCGCAAGTTGTGTTCGTCGTCTCGATATAACATCTCTCATTCCGCGCTGGCCATGCTTCCCAGTTCTCCCACTGTACCGCACCGGGCTCGGCCGCTCGCCATACGGGATCTGTCCATGACGCGTTGACATACTTGCACCTTTCCTCATTAAACTCTGCTGGGTAGCATACAGCCGCCACAGGTCGAACCGCGACAAGATTTCCCTGAATAGAACTATTGAGAGCAGACCAATCCTGCAGCGTGGGCCAGCAACTCTGGAAGGGGAGACAGCGACAGCCAGCGACTTTAGGGATGGCGAAAGTCAAGGTAGAGAACAGAAAAGTAGAGAGCCACAGCCACTTCAGATCGAATAGCTCGGACATCGTTTAGTGTCCGCTGGTATGCAGTCTTCTTATGTCAACTAGGTAGTTGGTACAGCTTTATATATATCACTTGGTAGAAGTGGATTTGTGCGCACTTTCTATCAAAGAATGGAATGTGTATCTCGTGATCCAGTCATGTCTATCGTAACCGGTGAGGCTGTCAATATATGCACGTAGAAGCCAGATTGCCTCGTATTTATTCATTATCAGCTAGTGCGGAATGCGGAAATTGCGCATATTCTGCGAGATCAACATACTTTTCACTCACCGTCTCTAGGAATGCAGTAAACAACGCCGATCATCAAGGATAGGCTGTTCTGGAGGTGGGGTATGGAGGTGTCGGATGTATTGAATTTACAAGCGAATTTGAATGTACTATGTAATTCACGTAAGAAGCAATAGACAGGGGCACTCCGGAAAAACATCCAATATAGACTAATGTGTGTTGGCGGTAGGGCTGGAGAATCAATCGAAGAGTGTAGGTGGTCGCACCAGTTTCGGGACGCACTGTAAATTAAATGAACATTTTGTTCCTTAACAAATAAAAAAGAACAGTGGAAGTATGAGGAAAGTAGTACCTGTACCGGACATGGTAGGTTTAGTTGTTAGTAAGCTAACAACTACTGCTAGTTAACGTAAGGGAGGAAGAAAGGGAGAGAGGAAAAAAAAAAAAAAAAAGAGAGACGAGTTGTCCCACCAAACAGCCACCCAACCTGTAACGGGCCGGTGTATTCTGGCGACGCCATCCCAGGGTGGAAGTGTCTCTGCAGAATTGCTTCCCTCAAGGGTCACTTCCATTGCTTAGCGCCGTGTAGCGGTCGCGGATTACTCGCGCGAGTACAACGACGACCCCAGGATTCGTACCAGGCACCAGGGCCCGCTGGCAATTGCCGTAGCAGGGAGGTTGGCCTGGCGGTGGGCCTTCCACTAGGTTATCCATAACAGATGTTTGATTTTTTTCCATTTTTGTATTATAGTCTGGTCTGCTGAGTTCTTAAAGGGGAGTATAGTTGCTTAGGGTTTGGATGTCGGTGAAATTGACCATAGATAATAATAATCACACACCGAGCAAGTAACCAGAATAAATGATTGAATATCGACAATTGGGTATCATGAAAAAAAATATCTACACATTTACACCCCTCACGCATCCAGCTCTCCATCTAACACTCGTCTCGCCGCGTCCAGCCGGCGTCGCAGCACCCGTGCTGCCTTCATATCTGGATCCTCCGAGCCCATGATGGCCTGCAACTCAGAGCACACATCCCCCAGGCTCTGGAACAGCTGCTCCAGCATCTGCGTGTCGTCCTCGTTAATCCCGCCCGAGCTGGGCGTCGACGACGCAGCCCGCACAGTCGACACGAGCGACGACGCGAGTTGAGTCGGCGTCGCTGTAGCCGCCGACGATGGTCGGTCGGTGCCACCGTCCCGCTGCGCGCGGGGTGTCGAGGGCTGGCCTTCTACTGGAGTCGCCTGGTCGTCGCGGTCGGCCCGAGGCGTCTCGGATCGATCGGTCTCCGGGATGACATTGGGGTCGTGGTGGCTGTGTACACGTCCAGTGCGCAGTTCTGTTGCTATTGTTAGTTGTGAAAGACATGCAATAAAGAGGATGACATACCGTGGTTGAAGCGTCGATCCCAGTACATCACGCCGTCCAGCTCGTCCTCGTCGTCTGTAAAATTCTCGCCTTCTGTGGCGGTTGCGAAGGTCGCAACAGTCGAGTCCGACATGGCGCTCGAGGAGCGCGGCTGTTGCATTGAATGCATTGAATGCATCGAATGCATCGAATGCGCTGGGTGTAGAGACTGTACCGAGTGCACTGACTGCGTCGGCCGTGTCGTCTCTCCCGACGCGGCCGAGGAGGCAGTGCTAACCGGTCGCAGCTGGCGCGTATAGTTGCCCAGGGCACTGTGGAGGATGAAATGCTCATAGTCAAACGCGTCTTCGCGCTCCTCGTGCGGTGTCTCGTCCGTGAAGTGATGAGGCACATCCGGGAATGCATCCAGAGAAGGCGTTTCCAGAGGACTCTCCAGGTCCTCGTCCAGCGGTTCGCGCAAGATCTCATCCAAGGCTGCCCGGTCGATGTCCTCGTCGTCGAACTCACCCTCCTCTGCATCTTCGTACATGCTCTCGGCGACCGAGCGAGCCCGTGCTTCCTCATAGTCACCGGCTGACGGCGACTGCAAGTCTGAGCCCGTTTGCCTGGCGAGATTCAGCGTGGCTTGCTCGACGGGCCGGCGTTGTTCTCTCTCGGATTCGACGTGATAATTCTTGCTCCGGGCCGTTTCGTGCTCTGAAGTCTGCTCACGAGCGTATTCCGAGCTGACACCGCGGCGGGCTGTTGAGCCCCGACTGTTGCGTCCATCGTGCAGTTCCAACGCATTCGCATACCAATGGTCCGCTGCTGACAGGGGGCTGGGTGTACGCAGGCTTTGCAGACTGCGTCGGCGGAGATTGTCCTCCTGAGCCTTGACTTTCAGCGAGGAGATTTTGATATGAAGACCCTTCATGTGGTACTGTAGGTCGCGCACCTGCAGCTGGGACTGCGCGCGACTGGGAGGGCCATGCGCGCTGTAGACAGGACTAAAATCGGCTGGGCTGGACTCGGATTCTCCAGAGATGCCCAACCCCTTTGGAGAATCCGATTGGCTGTCTTCTTCGTGAGAGTCGAGGGACTGCGGTGATTGTGTAGACCGCTTGCCCGTTGAGTGCGGCTTAGACATAGACGAGATAGACGCCCGATGCGTCAAGTACGCCCGTTTAGGATCGTACTGGAAAGTTCTCTCATCGTTGTGCAGAGTCGAACTGCTTGCACCCATTGCGCTCACAGATCGAGACAAACGTTTGGAGTCGGGCGCCAGAGTGGACTCGGACGGAAAGTTGGTCTCGCTATGCACCCGGGAGTGTCGATTGTTCGATGTGTCCTGTCCGGGAACCTGCGATTGACGCCGGAGAGAGGAACTCTTGCGATCTGTGCGAGATATCGACCGGTACAGCCCACCTGGCGAATGCGTTCCCAGCGACGCCGAGCCACCAGCAGCAGACGGTGATGGCGATGGAGTCATTCGCACTGACACTGACGAGCGAGCCCGGTTAAGGTTGCCCTCCATGAGCTGTGAATGGTCAGTGTGAAATTCTCCGAATATGTGTCGAAGGTCTCACATACCGTCAATCGCTTCTTCGCATTCTCGAGAATCCTCTCCGCCTCGCTGCTCAGGATCGCCGACGAACCATCGTCCCCGGACGGCTTTGCTTCCGCGGGAGCAGCAGTCGATAGATAAACAACATCTTCGCTCCTCGGTTTCTCCGGGCTGCTACTTCTGACCGTATGGTTCTGCGGCGTCGAAGTCTGCTCCCGCAAGGCCCGTCTGCTTCCAGCACTGACCGTGGAACTGGAACTGCTGGCCGCACTATCATTCCTTTGATCCCATTGCTCGCGAATCACCGGCGACCAGTCCAGACCCTGCTGCTGCTCCGCATCCGAGTCATCTATATCAGCGAACCCGCCCAAGCGCGCGGGCGACAGCTCCTCCCCAATATCCGACAACCGGCGACTGTCTCTTAATTCTTCGTGCGTCCAGCCGGGCCGCGAGAAGGACTTCTTGGACCGAGCGGACGGCTGCGCGGCCATACTTGGTCCTGCATTATGATTGTAGTTGTTCAGACTCGACAGGTAAGCTAGCGACGGCGGCGAGGGCGTGGAGGATTGTCTTTCGCCGTCATTCGGCAGGATCATGTCCGGGTTGGTCAGGGCGAGGGAGGGCATTGGGTGCCTTGGGCTAGATTGACGCGGAAAAGGAGAAGGAAAAGGCACGATCCGAGAGTAAAAAGTGCCCCTAAACGGGCGTGTCGAACGCGGTTTAGCGTGCTTTGATCGTTGCCTGTTTGGGACTGGGTCGTGAGTGTATTCCCCTGAACAGTGAGAAGTACGAAGCGATGCGTAACTACTACTGGATAACATAGTTAGAAGATCGGGAAATATAATGTGATTGTCTTCGAGCAGTGTTTGTGATTATCTACAATCGGCGAACCCCTGATCCACATACACCAAAGAAACAAAAAAGAATGCTTTTGTATAACCGCTCTGTACAAAATAAATGCGGAACTAACTAGATCTTCGCCAGCAACAGCTTGGCACCACTGCTGGTCGGCCCGGACTTCTTCTTGCCATCCTTGCTAGGTGCCGAGGCCTGCTCCAACGCCTTCTTGTTCTTCTTCAGCGTCTTGAGCAGCTCGTCCTTCTTCGCAAACTCCTCTGACTCGGCCAGCGCCACAATGACAAATGGGTTCGACTCCGTGGCCCAGTCCATGATCTCGCCGCGGATCTGCTCATACAGGAGGTCGTGGAAGTTCAGCGGAGGCTGCACCTTCTCGACGACCTTCTCGGCGCTGTTGAACCGTCCGCCCTGGACAAGCGACTTGAGCAGCCGCCCGACGGACGCGGAGTCCTTAGTTTCGGACTGGGATTTGGCCGCCTCGGCCACGGCGGAGAGCGCGGCAGTCTTGTCGCCGTCCGCTTCGAAGAGGACCTCTGCGATGAACTGACACCCGAAGCTGGTCGTCAGCAGCGAGTCGGCACGGGCAGCAATCAGCTCCAACAAGGTTGGGGATGCCGCTTTGACCAGTTCCTGGCGTCGAACAGCCGCGTCTTTCTTCGAAGTTTCTTTGCGGATCTCGCGCACCTCGTTCAGCACCGCCTGGTCGATTTCAGGGAGAAGCCACTTGACTCGGTCGCCGGCGAACGGATATAACACGGGAACGCGCGCGGTCAGGTCATTCACCTGCAAGAGGAGTTCTTCGTTTCGTGCCTCGGCCGCATCGCTCTGGTTCAGGAGCTCGGAAAAAATTGACTTGGCGCTCAACTTGGTGTCATCAATCACCTCGTATGCTGCCAGGAGAACCAAGTGACCGTGTAGATCGCCGGCCATGGCTTTGACAGTGTCTCGGTAGAACCGCAGAAGCAGCTTACGATCCTTGGCGCTGGAATATGCCAGAGTCAGACACATCAGACGCGAGCCAGACTGGGTGAAGGCCAGATTCTTGACCAAATCACCTTCCTCGTCGCCCTTGAGCAGCTCAATAAACTCGTTGGCCTCGTTGCTGCCGGGCTTGGTGCAGAGGAAATATTGCAACATGGCGTCGTGCAGCATGGTGAAACCGGTGGTCTTCTTCTGCACGAGCTGGTTGATGAGCTCGTGCAGGAAGTGCATGATGGGCGACCGCTTCTCCGGATGGGCTTCCAGAATCTTGGCCAGGTCGGCTGAGGTCTCCTTGTCATCCTGGAAGATCACAAACTCCGGACCGTACCACTCACGCAGAAGTCTGTCCTTCTGCGTCTTTGTCGCGACCGTGCGGTAGATGTCGTCGAGGATCCACGAGCCCTCGGGATGCCGAATCAGCCGCTTGACATGGCCATAGAATTCTGGAATGATCAGATCGCGGATCTCCGTGTCCCCATGCACGATCAACTTTCCGACCAGGAACTTGGCGTAGCGGCTTTGTGCCAGCTCTTTGTAATTTCCTTTCAGTTCATGCGCGATCTGCTTCCGTTGCTCGGCATTGGCGTATTTCAGGGCTGTCTGGATGACACGCACGGAGTCGTGCTTGAACACAAAGTCCCGGACCCGGTCAGTGATGATCTCGAACAGTTCCTTGACGAGCTTCTTCCTCTCCTCGAGCGGAACGTGGGACTTGCGGCGCAGACGCTCCCACAGCTTCTTAGAGCGCGCGACGATATCGGCGTTGGGTTTAGCGGCTTTGCGTTCCTGCTGGAGAGCTTTTTGTTTGGCGTGTGATTCGCGGGAGTTATTGTCTAAACGAGAGAGACGTGGTCAGTCATCATATCACCGAATATAAAGAAGCGTTACACACTATTTGACGCATTTTCGTCTTTCTCCTGCTTTCCGTCCTTCGTGGCCGACTTGGTAGACTTGGATTTCCCCTTGGCGCCTTTGTCCTCGTCGATCTCCTCGCTATCGGGCTCGTCATCGTCGCTCACATCATCCATGTCGACGTCGCCATCTGGCAGGGTATCCAGGGCATCGAGATCATCGTCTCCAGAGTCCGACAGATCGTCGAGATCAAAGTCGTCCTCGTCCTCGGGCTCTTCCTGCTGGACCTTCTTCTTCGAGTGTTTCTTCTTGTCGTCACTTCCAGGCTTTGCATCCTTCTTCCCTGTCTTTTTCACGGGCGCAGCCTGCTTCGATTTCTTGGTCGAGTCGGAACCCTGCTTGGTCTTGGTGCGCTTTCCATTGCGCTCCTCACTGTTAGCGACGCGGCGCTTGACTCCGACCATGGTTGCTGGTTATTTCAGCGACGCTGGTCTTGTCACAATGGGTAGAATCTGGAGAATTGTGGTTTGAGATTCTCGGAGAGACAGGTGATCCTCGGCTGGGAAATTTTTGGGCGGCGGAAGTTTTTTTTTGTCGTGTTTGCACTGTTTGCACTTGATAAGGACCGGCCAGGATGGAAGCATTATTCGGGTACACATGGAGAAGCTACTAGGGAAATAATATATAGTCGTCTGCACATAATTAGGTTTTAGTACAATTGAGTTACATTAGATGTAGCTGTCCCTAATTGGAAGGACCAGGGAGTGCCAGAGTGCATGTTCGGCGATATATATAATTGTAGGCCGTGATCGATGCGCCTACTATTATCTGCTTTGAGGGTGTATCTTCCAATAAGTAGAGATTGTGATTATTCGCCAAGGAAGAAATATACAAAAATGCAGAAAGAGAGAGACCCCAACTGTCTCTTATCCCAACTAGATTATCCAAATCAACAGATGTCGCCCAAGTTCATTACATGTCCAACCATAACGCCGCTAGAAAGAACCCCATATATATCATAGTATACCCAAGAAAGCAGAGTCCTATTCGCCACCCACAGGGTTGGAAGTAGGGGCCGGGGTGTTCATGGGGTTGAGTTCAGAACCGCCAGCACTCTGACCGCGCTTCCTGCCTGGAATGTGGAAGCCAAATGTGGACGTGGGCTTGGCGCCTCCCGATTGCTGTGTTTCGCCCGAGGAGTCACCAAAGCGAGCAAAGATTCCTTTCTTCTTGGGCTTGGCTTCGTCATTGAGCCCGACATCCTCGAAGTCATCCTCTTGCTTGGGGGTGGTCTTGCGCATGTTGTTTGGCTGCGCCGTGGGCGATGCGATTCGGAAAACTCGGGAATCCAGTGAGGTGCGAGAGGCGTCAGGATGGATCACGGGGGACCGGGCGGAGATATCCTACATGGATCGGACTGTTAATTGGCGAACGATTTGCGGTCAATGGCAGCGACATACAAATGATCGGCGGTAGGAGTCGAAGGACTCGCGGGAGATGGAAAAAGGCTCATTCTCGTCGACGAGATCGCGGTGATTGTTGGCCGATCGAGCAGATGGATATCTGCGCCAGAAACTTGATCGTTCCGGGGGAGACGGCTGGGCTCGCCGTTAGAGGGGGATGTCCATACTCCAATGCGGGGGGAGGCATCGTCCCTACCGGAAGATAAACTCCACTGTCGTTGATGACTGTTGACACAAAAACCATCAGTGTGCATCTTTTTGTTCCAGATTGTCGAGTACGTACCACCCAATTTATACTCTGTGGGCTCACGCTCTTGGCTTCGGCGGCAATTCACGGGAGCGGGGCGTTGTTGGGTTTGTGAGTTTGGCGTGAGGTGGTTATCGATGACCTCGGTCTCCCCGGGTTGGGATTTCCGATTGAGGAAGTTGCGAAAGGGCGGCATGGTGGAATTATAGAGGAAGAAGAAGAACAAAGAGAGAGAGAGACGGAAAGAGTGTGGAGAGGGAGACAGCACATGATCCTACGTCATCCATGGTTCCCTCTTCCGATCAAGTCCCTGAAACCAACCAAAAGGACCAATCGGAAACACCCCGAGCAGAATAATGTATGAGTTGTGCCGATGGTTGTGCCACCCTGAGTTATACTTACCTAGTGTAGGTATCGGGGTATAGGAAAGAAAGGAAGGAACCCCCAGTGCCACCTGCCTGCCATCCACAGTCATGGCCCTTGTTCCTCTTGCCTCGCTCGTCTCTCGTCCACCCTTCCCTGGTCTCCAAAGACCGCAACACCCGTCATTCCCCAGACCTGATACCTGACACCCATCTGCAACTGCGATTGCCTTGCCCTGTTGAATACCCCCACGGAGGCGCTGTGGCCTCACTAGACTCCCGGGGTCACACAGGTCATCATGGCTTTCTGGCTGAGCTGGGCACTGTGGCAGAAGTTGAGCTTTGTAAGACCGGCCGATAATATGACAGAATTCGTGCTGACAGTCTACTTCAACAGGTGTTGGGGACCTTGATTGTACGAGAACACCCCCCATGACCTTTCCAGAGACTGACAGCCGTAACAGATCATCACGCTCTTCGCTGGTTTCTGTGTCCTGGCCTACAACCGATGGAATCTACGCCGACACGCTGCAGCCGAGGCCCACGTAAAGGAGCACGTACTGCTGCTTCCCATGCTTCACAAAGATGAAGTCCCGTTCGGGGCCAGAGCACTGGAGAGTGGCATGCAAACCGAGGGGATCTGGATTTCGAACCCCAACACCCCTGTCCCGAGCCCATACATGTCGGGAACACCCGTTGGCAGCCTGCCATCGAGCCCAGCATTGAAGCCATCCACCATTCAACCCGTGAGTCCAGGGCTTGAGGCTCTGATCAACAGTCCGATGGTGACTCCATTGTCCGGGCCGTCCATCTCGACAAGTCGCATCAGTTCTGAGCTGGAACTCCCGCCCACTTACACGAGCCAGCCTCAATTGCGAGGCGCGGTCCATAACCGCGACGGCATTTACGGCAACCAGCCATTCGTGGACAATGCCCCTCAGCCGCAGCACGGCGTCTTGAGAGGCCGCGAGAAGCGTGCCAGCTTCCACGCACGCATATTCGGACAAAGCCGCACTCCCATCGTCCCAAACACGAGAGAGACTATTCTCGATATCCCGAACGATTCTGACTTGAGCTCAGGTATGGTTAGCGCTGGTGCACACCTTCCCACTCAGCATCACCGAGCCTCCCGGATGAAGCGTATGTCACAGATGTCTCTAGTACCCGCAATTGGAAACTGAGCTCATATCGCAGGCCTTCGTCGACGATCATCCGAGGAGTTCAGGCGCAGGATGAGCCAGATCTTCAACGAGAACATCCACATGAATACGCCGGGGCCCCTGCCAATCCACGACCCGATGGTGCCGCAAGACAACAGATCGAGCATGCGAAAGTCGATTTTAGGACCATTTCGGTCGTGAAGTCCGATTGGGTGGAGGGTTGGTTGCAGCCAAAAATGGATGGATGACTTTCAGACGAACTACACAATGTCACTGCTTTCTTGACTGATGCACGATGTCAATTGCAGGGAAATGCGCTAACTGGGGGAGCCACTTTGCATAGGAATCTATGTTTTAGCAAAAGGACGGCAGGATGAATATATGTATTACACCGGTTCAATTGAACCTTCGCATCAGGCCCAACAAACATGACACCGTTATGCAATACTTCATTCCAACTCTCTCTACCCACGACAACCGACTATAATACACCCTTTTGACGTGGAAGGTGACTCGGTCGATTGGGAAGGTAAACCGGGCTCAAGAATATTGCTAACAAGGACCCCTCGAAACAATAAGTTGACCACTATACCACCAGTGCTCTTCTATAAACACGACTTCTATTCCACCCGCTGCTTAAAATAATAAAATAAAAAATATTGAAGAGTTTCCGATGCGGGGAATTGAACCCCGGGCTACCGTGTGAGAGACGGTGATGTTACCACTACACCACATCGGATGGTACTTGAACAATTGGAAAAAATTAGGCCTCATCAATCAGTTTCGGTTTACCTCCACTAATTACCCGTAGTAGTAACACAGTCTCGCGGAGGTACCCTCATAATAAGGTGCCATAGTGACAGTGTCCTTGAGAAAACGCTGTGTGGGGAATTTACTTGAACGATAATATTGTCTCGCTATTTAATAGTTAATTATTCATGACAGACGAAGTTGTTGACGGGTCTCATACAAGATGACATAGTGAATGCTTGATTCACGAACCCAGTCTCCGAGCAGTTTAGACACGTAAGACATCGAACCAGTAATAAAACTACCTAGTAGCTTACCGGATACCGCTATCCCCCACTATGATGGCCGCGGCTGCCTGAAGAGCCCGGCACGTGATCTCGCGACTGGCTCGACGAGCCTCGACGCGTCTCTTGTTGACGGACAACCATCACTGCGACAACCCACATCCAACCACCATGACCGCCGAGGAACTCCAACCCGAGTACGATGAGAATGGCGGTACGGGCCCTGGTGCGCCCATGCCCCTCTCTGCGCTGGAGGTGAGTGAGCCTCGCCGGTCTACCGTCTACATACTCATCTGTACCAGGGCCTTGCGGGACTGACCGCCCGGGATATCAAGCTGTTTGTGGATGAGGGATTTCGGACGGTTGAGGCGATTGCATACACGTACGTATTCTGGGATTCATCGATTGTCCTACGCCTACAAGATTGGGAATGACTGACAAGCCCGGCGCTTGACCAGACCAAAACGTGTGTTGGAGCAGATCAAGGGGATATCAGAGCAAAAGGCAACCAAGGTTTTGGTGGAGGGTGAGTTTACCTGCAGCTATGGAAGACGACCGGACGCTGACCCGCACAGCGGCGAAACTGGTCCCCATGGGCTTCACGACGGCCACGGAAATGCACGCTCGACGAAGCGAGCTCATCTCCATCACGACGGGTTCCAAGCAACTGGACACGCTCCTTGGAGGAGGCATTGAGACAGGCTCAATCACAGAGCTATTCGGTGAATTCAGAACCGGCAAGAGTCAGATCTGTCATACGCTCGCGGTGACGTGTCAGTTGCCCTTTGACATGGGTGGCGGCGAGGGCAAGTGTCTCTACATCGACACCGAAGGAACCTTCCGACCGGTACGGCTGCTCGCCGTCGCGCAGCGGTTCGGACTCGTCGGCGAGGAGGTTCTGGACAATGTGGCCTATGCGCGGGCGTACAACTCCGACCACCAGCTGCAACTGCTGAACCAAGCCTCCCAGATGATGTGTGAGACCCGATTCTCGCTCCTGATCGTCGACTCGGCGACCTCGTTGTACCGCACCGACTTCAATGGCCGTGGCGAGCTCAACTCGCGGCAGACCCATCTGGCCAAGTTCCTACGCACGCTGCAGCGCCTCGCGGACGAATTCGGCATTGCTGTCGTGATCACGAACCAGGTGGTTGCCCAGGTCGATGGCGGGCCGAGTGCCATGTACAACCCGGACCCGAAGAAGCCCATTGGCGGCAATATCATTGCTCACGCCAGCACCACCCGACTCAGCCTGAAAAAAGGCCGCGGTGAGACTCGAGTTTGCAAGATCTATGATAGCCCATGTCTTCCCGAGAGTGATTGTTTGTTTGCCATCAACGAGGATGGCATTGGGGACCCTAGCCCCAAGGACTTGGAGAAAGATTAGGTCGGGTTAACTACTACCTCTGATTACGATGTTAGTGACTTGATGAGTTTGTTTGTTGCCCGCATGATTATTTGTATTATTCAGACATTTTGCTAGGAGTATCTGGTAGTGAGGTGTAAGAAATAACCACATTATTCGATAACATATATACTCCTATAGTACATCTGTGTTCAACCCTAACGAACGTCTGCGGGAAGGCGGAAGGCAGGCGCGCCAAGACTCTGTTTTGCAAGAGCTTCTTCACTGGACTCTTCCAGCTTCCGCCCTTCCAACTTCCCTCCCCCCAACCACAACAAAAACAACCACACAAGCCATGGACTGCTGAGCCCTGCCCTCTGCGACCATGGCCAAAATCTACAAGGACACGCGCGTCGATCTTCGACCATACGCGCCGTCCACTGCCGTCCACATCCAGATCCCGACTGACAGCGCACCCCGTCGCCCGCGGTTCTCGATCTCATCCACCCCCGACCACGAACCTCCCGTCGCCAAGGATGAAGACGAATTCGCCCGCCGGTACCTCGCGACCCAGGGTGATGTCTACTTTCGCAAGCGCAAGGTCTACCCGAGGACGTTCCTGTGGCGGGTCATCAATGACAACAGGGTGTTGGAGATCCAGTGCGCGGACCTGACCAAGTCTGCGACGGAACACAGCGAGTACAATGTCACGTTGCGACTGGACTTCCAGGAGCCAATCATTCCGTCGGGAGTCGCGTTCGCAGACCTTGAAGACCATGAGATCCTCCATGTTTTCGTGATCACGTCCTCCAAGCAACTGCACACCCTGTCGCTTCGTCCCGAATTTTTCCGTCGCATAGGCGCAATTGATGAGAATGTCACTGACTGGTGCAAGTCTTGTGTTCCGGCGCCTTTGGCATTCTCGTATCCTCATCGGCTCTACGCCAGCAGCCCGTTGGAACTGTTCATTTCACTTGAGAATGGTGCGCTGCTTCGCCTCACCAGGAGGGCTGGTGATGACGGTAAGTGCCTTTTACACGACAAATATGGTTCCTTATACTGATTTCACTCTTTTAATCAACAGGTTCTCATTGGTCCCCTCTCACCTTCGATGAGAGGACCTGGGGTGCATCGATCCGTGGCCTTGTCAAATGGAATTCACAGGCCTCGATCAAACACAACGGACGCAGCCTTGACCCGAACGTCGCAAACGCTATTGCTACGACATCAGACGAGACCTATGTCTTCGCCGTTTGCCTGAACCACACCCTGAAGATATGGAATCTCGCAACGAACAAACTGGCCGCAACGAAGGATCTTCTCGGCCGCCCAATTCAGGACCCGGAAACGGTTCTGTACACCTTGAATCCCGCCGACTCATCATTCATACGTGTGTTCAACGCAGAGAGAGCAATGGATGGAAACGATCGCTTTTACATCGTCACATATTCACCATTCGAGGACGGACGCTTCAAGTTCTGGGCGGCCAAGGGAGGCTTGACATCTGACCTGGTCATTGAAGAACTGTTTGCCGACGCTGTTTTCCGGCCCGTCGACCCAGATGATACAGGGAATATGTTCTGGAGCGTTGCCGATTTCCAGGTCAAGCCCATGGAAGAAGGGAAAGGCATGGAGTTATGGGTGCTTTGGAGAAACCACGGCCTCTACCAACTGTACACTCTTCACTTCGATCTTCAGACCTTGGTGTCAGACTGGTCTACGAATTGGGTGTCAACAACCTTTGAGACCCATCGACAAGAACCCCTGCCTGCGCCTGCCCTCGATGATGTCGGCGACCCCACGGAAAAGTGGCTGGACTACATTCTCAAGCCGAACAGATACTCGCCTGAAGTGCTTGAAACCGCTCTAGCCGTTTACCAAGAGGCTCTCAAACCCTTGTCATCGTCCACATCGGGAGTCATCAAGAAGAGCGGCCCATTGCCTGAACGGCTTTGCTCTACGGTAGCAGCTACGGTCTCTCTGCGTAAATATGCGGAAGATGAAATGGATTACACCAGATACCGAGTCGATACTGATGCCAAGTGGCGCCAGTTCTGGCAGGTCGCCGACGATCTCAACAAGAGAAGATTCGAGCCGGTTTCCCTCGCTTATGACTCGTACTTTGAGATGCCATGGATGCTTCTCTCAGATGCCTGTGCGGTTATTCGGGAATGCAGCACTGCTGAATTGCTTCTTCACAATGAAGGAGCGGATATACGCGAGGAAGCACCGAAGATCATGGACCGGTGGAGACACCGCAATCTTTCATCTGAGCTTGGAAACCTCTTTGAAGAAGCCTCATCGTTGATGAGAGTCGCATCCGATTTCCACAAGAAGTTTTCAACCGAGCTAGACGCTGCGTGCCGGGCTGCTCTCGATGCCGAGATCTTTTCAGAACCGTCATCATCAATCACAGACCGTATGGATCTGTTCCGGGAGCGTGCCGAGATTTCCGACCAGATCTCCAACAAGACCTTTGATAGTTTAGTCAGTGATTTGAACGACTCACTGGAGGATGCGTACAACTTGCCCGGCGATGTCTTTGACGCCGTCATCGACACGCTCCCGCTCGGTTTCCACGGCAAAGACTCGGAGCTTATCTCGACTTATTTCGGTGCCCGCATGGCTGTCAGTGGTGCCCAGGAAACGATTTTCCAAACTCGTCAAGTTCTTTTCGACTTGCTGATCTTGGTGACCTTCGTGGATGGAGAGATCGAACAAGGGAGCGATTCTACTTTCGATGCAGCCGGTCTTTTTTCTACACTCATTGGCCTGCTCCGTGAATATGAAATGATGTCTTGGCTGAGCTCGAAAGTCCGGAAATGCCCAGATCGCATCGCAACGGATGCCTCCGCGCCCATATTCTCGTTGAAGGACACCAGCACAAAGACCAAAAACCAACGGACAGCGACTATTCTGGAAGATCTTTTTGTCACGGACATCAAGCCACGTCAACTTTTTGGTATCCCGCAAAGCTATGCCTTGACTATGGGGATCCGGGATGTCCTGTCTTGGGTTACTCGACAAGGCGAGGTGACCTACCCCAACGCGCTGGCCTACATTCAGTGTGACCTTATCGCGAGAAATGACATTGACCTTGCCTGGGATTTCCTCCGCTTCCAAGCAAGCACTTCCTGGGCGACCTATGTTAAGGGCCGCTTACATGTGGCTGTGTCAGAATTCGATACTGCCGCCATCTACTTCCGAAAGGCAGCATATCTTCTATGTAACTCTTCCATCGCTTTACTGTGTATATTAAATCGCTGACCCTCTTACAGCCTGCGGCAAACCACTTGGTAACCTCCATGAGATGTCGTCAACACTCCTCGACCTTGTTTCCGTGAATTGTTTCCACAACGGAATTCCGAAATACTACCAGCACATCCTGTCAATATTTGAACAAGTGCGCTCTTTCTCGCATGTCGCAGATTTTGCCAGCCTGGCCCTGCAAGCGCTCGACTCCGAATCGTGGTCAGAGCAAGATCCGGAATACACAAGCATGCGAACGGATCTGCTTTCGCGCCTGTTCCATGCCTCTTTGAAAACTTGTCAATTTGATCAAGCCTATTCCGCTCTGGCCCGATACCAAGACCTTGCACTGCAGAAGTCTGCGCTCGGCTCGCTCATCAGCAATATTCTGGCTGTCTCCGGTCCCGGTTCTGCCGGGATTAAGCAAATACTCCGCTTCCCTACCTCGCTCGTGCCCAACATCGCCTCTCACGTCGACGAGATCCTCGTCTCCCTCACTCGCAAACAGACCTTGTTTGTGTCTTGGTTGGATACCGATAATAACTGGGCCGACAGTGCACCGGACTACCACCGCATCCTGCAGGCATATCGCATCGCTCGCAGCGACTACCGTGGCGCCGCCGAAATCGCCTACCGCAACGTCCAACGTCTCCGCCAAACCCGCGACACTCCATCCTCAGCCGTTGCCCGTAAGGGCAAAAAAGAAATCGACGAGTCCGCTCGCCCGCCCGTCGAAGAAGACGATGCAGAAAGCAAAGAGATTCGCCATGAGCTTCTTTCGCTGATCAATCTCTTGGCCAGCGTCGACAAGAGCGAAGCCTACATCCTCGTCGAGACCGGGCTCTCAGCTTCCTCCTTGCCAGGTACGACCTCCAGTGCAGCTACATCCCCCGAACGGCGTCGTAGCATGCAAGCAGACGACGATGGGAACGTCTTCATGGACGACGTCGACGTGCGCTCCCCATCGCCGTCGGCGGCTAGACGCCGATCTTCAAGCGCTGCATCCTTCCCCAACGGCGGCCGCAGAGACAGCAGATCCTCAACAGGCGGCGGCAGCAGAGCAGGAGGACGTGGCGGCGTGACTTTCAAGACCCCTCCTTCGAATAAACCGCCCCAGCGGCGTGTCATCATCACCCTCGAACACCTGCGTCGCGAGTACCAGTCCGAACTGGACCGTGTGAGTCGCATCGAACGCGGTGATTGGGAGTTTGGACTTCTCGGCGATGACGTTGAGGTCGATCATGATGAGACGATGGTTCTTTCATAGTTGATGGGTGAGGACAGAAAATTTGTATCCTACGTATTGCGTGGTCTAAGAGGCGTCGGCTCATCCACTACCTGGAAATTTTATTCACGGAAGTTGATATTGGAGAGGGGATTTGCAAAATTGCCTCATTTAGCTTTCTTTTTATTTTGACAGCTAGCTAGCTCTGGACTCTTGTATGAATCTGGTGCAAGATAGGATTTGGGTTAGTCGGAATTTCTCCATTGCTTTCTTGAGTTAAGTAGATAAACATAGTTGGAGGCTTTCGGGCCGGACTTACGGGACTGGCTGGCATTACGGCTCTGGGTTCATTTGAGTCGCCCTGTAGGTGTATTTTTATTCATAAAACAATAATTTAAAAGCAGATGCTAGCTAGTATTTGAGATTGACAGTCTTACAGTCTTCACTTGGGCTGATGAGTTTTACGTTGAACATTGAAACCGTGTCGCAAAATATATATCTAGCGAACACCAATGCATACATACCAGTCTACCAACAATTACAAATGCATACTTGGAAAAGCACATCGAAAACGATCATTGATTGATAGTCAAGCCATGTTCTTGATTACCGTTACATAAAAAAGGGAGCAGGTGAGTGGGTATGCGAATACCAACCGCAGTGGGACTCGATTATAGACAATTGATCGCAAAACGGGCCGCACTACCTTAAGGGCCAGTCATCACTCAATCAAGAGCAGAATCAAAATTCGCAACAAAAACCAAGAGACTCAAGGGGTGTGAGACTCGGAATTAAAAACCAAAATGACAACAACGCCGGACAACCAACAGTGTATGTTGATGCTGATATGTACCATTCAGGAACGAATCGCAAGAAATAAAAAGAAAAAGGCACAATAACCTCGCCAATTTCGTTTCGATCAATCTGTGCAGGCAACGAACGACAAAACAACAATTCATTAGTCCGTATCCTCGGAGACTACCGAGCTGGCATATAGCCTGCTGAAGTGAGACTTGGGATCGGAGAGCAGGGCGAAGGGCTCGCCGGTCTCGACGACGTGGCCCGCATCCAGCACGACGATCCGGTCGTAGTCCAGGATTGTGTCGAGCTTGTGCGCAACGGCGATGATGGTGCGGGTGCAGAACTTCTCGCGGATGACGCGTTGCATGATCTCGTCTGTTTTGGTGTCGACGCTGTTTTAGGAAAAACGCGGGATTTAGTCCTCTGATGCAAGGGATGAAGGGGGGAGACAGATCTGCACACGCGGATTTTCATTTCCAGCCGCATGATGCAGGGGGTGCCAGAAACGACGTATGGGATGACAAAAAGGAGAAGGGAAAAAAGACTCACTTGCTGGTCGCTTCGTCGAGGATGACGATGTTGCCCGGGCGAAGGAGGGCACGCGCCAGACAGAAGAGCTGTCTCTGGCCGTGCGAGAGGTGCAGCTCGTCGATGTCTGTGTCCAGGTCCCCCTTTTCTTGGATCGCAGGTAGCAGGTGCACGCTTCGGAGCGCGCCTAGGATGTCTTGGTCCGACTGCGTCCCGGCTGGGTCGGCATTCCGGCGTACGCTACCCTGGATCAGGAGCGAGTCTTGTGAGACTCCGTTGATGTGCGATCGGATCTCCTGCCGGGGAACCCGAGTCAGATCCACGCCGTCCACGGTGATTGTGCCGCTGGTTAGCTCGATCATCCGGAAGATGCTCATGATCATCGACGTTTTGCCGCTGTCAAACCCGGGTTAGATATTGTATTTTTGTAGTCTTCTGCGTAGATAGCTTACCTTCCCGTTCGTCCACAAATGCCAATCTTCTCGCCCGGATTGATGGTGAGCGAGACATCATTAAGGACTGGCTCCTCCGGTCTGGATGATGATGTTGTCAGTGATCAAGTCTGCTATGAGGAAAATAGAAAACATACCTGTACGCTGCCGAAACTGAACTGAAGGTTACTGCGCCCGTCGACGGCCAGTTGGGTGGCACATCACCGTCTTCACCAGGCTGGTCCTCCGGCTTGATATTGGTCGTGAAGTGCTTGATGCGCTGGATGGAGCCAATATGCGTCTCCAGATTTGTCCAGAAGGTCACCAGGAGCTTGATACTCTGACTGAACATGATGACGTTCAGGAGGGCAACACCAACGTAGCCCATACTCAACGACCCACGTAGGGTTACGACCAACACGATCAAGAGAACGGCAATTCCGGCCACTACCAAGTCCAGCGACAGAGTGAGCCACCGCTGGATGGCAAACATGAAGTAGAATGGCCGTTGCGAGTAGTCCAGTAGCTCAATGTTTTTCCTTTCCATAGCATATTGCCAGCCAAAGGCCCGCAGAGTAACAAGGCCCTGGAGACAGTCGGTGAAATGGGAGTAGAGAGGTGCCTTGGCCTCGAGATCCAGTAGACGAAGCTGTCGCGACGTACGCAGATACAGTTTTTGGACAAAGAACAGGATACCAAGCACGATTGGGAAAGATATGGCCGCGTATTTCGAGGAGACTCCAATCAGGGCCATCTGCGCAAGGCAAAGGAAGAATGTTGCCACAGTGTTGATAGCCGCAATGGGGAGCTCCATATCGATGAGCTGCAAGTCTTGACTGAACCGGTTGAGGATTGCACCGGTGTCGGTCATCGAGAAGAATACCATCGGGGCGCGGAGGACGGTGTTCAACAGCTTGCGGTGGAAGTTCTCCCCGGACTTGGGGACCATATGGATCACCATCTCCCAGCAGCCAGCAATGAGAGCCAGCATGGCGACACAGCCGAGCATCACGTAGATTCCCAGGTAATAGCCGATATGCTGCTTTGGCTCCAACGTATCGGACCGTGACCACCATTTCAACCAGATGCTGGGAAAAGAGATGCAGAACACAAATACGGCCATAGCCACCATGAAAACAATGGTAGGGAACCATCCGATGGCGTTGATGTAGTACATGTAGATCGAAATGTCACCGCCAGTGTTGCGGACTTCCTTGGGGGGTCTCTTCGCCATTGCCTCTTTCACCCTTTGAACAGAGTCAATGCTGGTGCGACTGGGAGGCTCTGAAAACCTGTTCTTGTATTCCCAGTCGGCTGCACCAAGCCCAAAGCTCGACACATACCCGCCGGTCTTGTTCAGTGCGCTGTAGCTTCCCTGTTCAATAATGCGGCCTGCCTTGTCGAGGACCACGATGTGGTCAGAGAAAGGAAGACGCTTGACTGTAGATAGATTAGCTAAATGTCGAGTCGGTCTCAATAAATACTCACCGGATGATGAGGCGACGATGATAGATGTGCCAATTTCCCTTAGCAGTCCATAGTGACCGAACAGGCTATGGAAGAGGTGATTCTCCGTGGTGGCGTCGAGGCCGCTCAATGCGTCGTCTAGAAGGATAATCTTTCTTCGGGCATACACGGCCCGGGCAAGCGCCTAGAAGTTCGTGTCAGTCAAGCCTTTCAGAGTGGCCTTCAAGGAAACATACAATACGTTGGCTCTGTCCTCCACTGAGGGCAATGCCTTTGCTTCCAATCACAGAGTTATCACCACGGGGAAGCTGTGTGAGATCCTCTTCCAAAGCGCAAGCATGGACCACCGATGCATACCACCTTTCGTCAAAAGGCGACATGGCCACAATGCTATCTTTCACGGTGCCGTTCATGTGCCATGGGGTCTGATCACAGAATGCGACGCTTTTTGAGGACAATTCAATTTTGCCCTCTGAGCAAGGGATTTCACCCAGAAGAGCCTTGAGCAAGGTCGACTTACCGCACCCGGAGGGGCCGATAAGCATAGTAAAGCTGCCTCGGGGAACGGTAACTGTGATGTCTTTGAGAACTGGCTCCTTATCTGCATCCCATCCAAATGTTCCATTTTGGACCATGACCGCATTAGTGAGGGTCGTTGTTGATCCGCGCTTCTTGAGCGACTCCAGAGACTCGGTGGTGCTGGAAGTCAATGTCAAATCCCCAGACCGAGAAATTAATTTGGCGTCACCCATATCATCCAGAAACAAAGTTTGAGAGGGACTGCGTCGGTGATCAGAGTGGTTTTCCTTGTCCAAGAATTGTTGGATTCGAGTAAATGACCCCGTCGACCCAAAAAAGGACATCAGGGCCATGACCAAGGTTAACAGAGGATCAGACAGAAGCGAGAACAAAGACAGCGAGGTATACACCTTGGTGTAGGTCAAGCTGTTGGGGGATATGGCGACATAAACCCCAAATGTGAAGATCGGGGCGAAGATGCGCGTCAACCAGGCTGTGAATGTTAACACTAGACACCTTACTGCTTGGAGTAAGTCGACTTACCAAAAGCCATGTTGTATACCAGTAGAGTTCGGAACTTCTTCGAGATGTTCAACTCGTCGATCCTCAGGCCGTGAACAAGGTTCATGAAAGAAGTTTGCAGACCCAGCATCTTAACGCCTTTGATTGATCCAAGCATGCCGGAGGTGGATGATATCCGTCGCTCGATGGCCTCGAGCCACTTGGCTTGCCGCGACACGACAAATGACATCCCAATCAATGAACCAACTAAGGCGACTATAATGAAAACCATCAGCCAATATTCTCTTTGAATTTAGTTACTGTCAGGTTCTGCTTACCAAGTGCTACGCACACTGGAACGGCGCACGAAATACCGAGTTGTCGCTCCAGAAGGAAGATGGCCAGCGCAATCTCACACGAGTTGGCCCAGATTTCATGCATCGTCTGCCAGCCTTGCGTGATCCGCTCGACATCGGCGCTCATCAGAGTCAAAGAATTCTCCGGATCGGCCTCGGTCATGTTGAGGCTGCTTGCTTTCTTATACAGCATCGTGACCATGATACCGCGTACCATAGTAATGGCTCGGTAGGTTAGGTGCTGGTACTGGCCCATAGAGACCTGCGAAGAAAGGTTGTTACTTAAATCCCTTATACCAAGCCACGACATATCTAAAGACTTACCGCCAAGCCAACATAGACCAGGAAGTAGGCGCCAATTAAGCCATAACCGACATTGTTGGTGTAGCTGGTGATGGGCTCTTCGAAGAACTTGAGCGACCTGGTTAGCAGCAGCGGCTGGCAGAAGTTGAAAGCAACCACGCATGCTCTGGCCGGAACTGCCGCTAGTAGTGGACCCTTGGTAGCCTTGAAGGACTCCAATTGTAGCGAGTTCGGAGATTTTGTTTTCACTGGACAGTTCAAGAGTCAGTAATGTTTGGATTAAAACAATCAAATCACTTACAATTGCTCCATCTTTCCTCAAATTTAGCCAGGAGCCTCTCAGAACTCAATTCTTTGTCCAAAATATTCAAGTCCTCCACTGAAAGTATACTCGAGAAACCTTTCTTGAAGAGTGGGTTCAACCACCAGAAAAAGGCTCGGTTATAGAATCCTGCAGTTGCCTCAGGAGGGTAGCCCTTATACTCCGGCTTGAGGATGTCTCTCTTTTCAACAGCTTCAAGAACAAGCAAAAGTAATTTGACCCCCACAGCGATGGTTGTAACGATTGCAATAATCAGGTCGAATTGATCCCCGCGGCGAAGCCACAGGGTCCTGGCGTGTGCACCATCAAAAAGCAGGCTGCAGAATAGGTAGGTGTTTAATATAAAGGATGGTCGGACAGATCGCGTGTGTTCTGCATGGGATAGCAAACAAAGAGCCAACGCTCCGAAAGTCAAGACAGCATTAGCTGGAATGGATGTCATGGTCCTGTCGGCGGCGGGTAAGGACCATAGAACTGTCAGGGCAATCTGGAGACCTAGCAATCCCAGCCAGGCAGCCTGCCGAACCGAGGAAAAACAAGCATTAGACGAGAGATATTTGGACTGGAAGGTCGTATAATATGCCAACTTACCAGCTTAAGAAGAAGCAACAATGACCTCTCGACCTTGTGCCGTCTCTGGAACAGATGCCACAAACGGGATGGGACCACAATTAGGATTAACGATATGGGGAGAATCTCGAGGATGGTTTCCTCAAACAACAAAGAGAAATCAAACCCCCCGCGACAAACCCCGGCATCAATACGTAAAGTATTGTCCAGATCATGGCACGATGGCCAGAACAACGCGTTCAAAAAATCCATTACTTACTCTCTCAGAACCATCTGGGCGTGAAATGTGATGGTTAGTCAAGAGAGAGGAACGAGGTCGACGAAAGTTGCGAGGTGTCAGAGAGTAGGTGCAGAAGTTTTCATGGATTAGGGGGGAGCAAAAGAGCCTTTGGTCTAGATCAGATTCCTCTAAAGTGACCTTGTCTACTAGTACGTACGTATCCCTCGGTGCAGGAGCTTGCCCACTGCATCCAGGAGATGCACATCCTGAGCTCCTACCTGCCTGTCACTGGCTCCCTGCAACTAAGTGGACAAAAATACAGTGCCCGATGCTACCGTCTTACAATGCTGATACTAAAATGCGATGAGAACGGGACCCCGGACAAGCATGGCCGGATGTTTTGGCTGCAATGCTCGAAGCAAAACTCTCTTGCTGCTGTATGTTGTCCTTGTTATGACTCCACTTTATTTTCTTTTGTTTGTGCCTTTATTTTTTCTCCTTCTATTTTTTCTTTTCCCCCTTGGGGATGTGGGGGGAGATCGGACATGAGATGCGTCAATAGTGTAGATCGAGGTACATTTGGACCCCCTAGGGCAAAAGCCCTCAGCAGATCCGGCGGATCCAATGCCCCGACCAGCACGAGGGAGAATCGTGTCACCTTGCAGTAGCCCTTCTCCCTTCCGGCTATGGCCACGCTTTACCAGGGTAATAAAAACCTTCGTCGATGCGAGGGCGTACACTCCATCTGTATGATGGATGATCCTTGAGCTCTGCTGAGGGAAGCTCGCTGACGTCGGTTTGAGACACTTGTGCCCCCAGTGCTGAACTCTACTTGACCGCATGGTTTCTCCAAGCTGAAGTCAGACACTATGCTGCCCGAATTCACGGGTCTAGCTCGTAAGACTGAGTCCGACGATGCAAAATGTGTCGGGCGTTTCCTCATTCTTGGGAACGCCTGCACAGCTCCGGCTTTGCATAACTGGAACACGCCTGATTTGCAATTTTTCCGTGCAGAGTCGCATGGCAGACTTTACCCAATTTGCTTCTCCTCAATTGGCGTTCTTTGCTACTATTGGCACTCCCGCCTATCACTAAATACTAACTTTTGTCAAACACAGATGCAGTGGCATACAATCCATGCTGAACCTTTGGTGATCATTAAACCATCCGATTATGTGAGTGAACCAATCATTTGTGATCGGCCACGGAGGAATATTGCCTCGGATGACACTGTCGGAGAGAAGTTCAACCTGATTAATTTCAATTGAGACTGGTAGAATGTAATGCCGCATGTTCCAGGCTTGGGAGAGACCGTGGAGACCCAATCTGCATGATCGAGGTCTGTACCTACAGCCTGACGAATAGCCCTGGCCAAAGTGGCGCCTGCATGTCGACAAGGATTGTTCAGGTTGCGGTCGAGGGTGGTTGATGGCGCTTTTCTCACATTTACCTTGTGGAGACTCGGTATTCCAACATTTACATAATTTGCTCCAATGCACTGGACATGCATTATTCTCCAGGAGACCGGGAAACAGTAATACGTACACAGAGTATGATGTCCAATATAAGGATCGCCGCGAACCGGAAGTGACCTGTCAAAGCGGACGCCTTGTGGATCTTAACATGAACAAATGCCTTGTCAGGTTATTTTTGTTCCTCGTTGGCAGCCGCTAACGACGGCACGGACGCCAACCGGCGCAGTTCGCTAAATGATCTACCCCTTTTTGTGGCTCCCCGACAAGCCATCCGAGTGGCCGTGAGAACTTTAGTTCCTCGCCAAAAATACTTTCCCATAGTAAATGATCCGCCGCTATTCTCGGGGACACTCTTCCGATCAGATGGCGCCGCCGTCCTTGCTGCCGAACAGTTAGATGTGGCCCCGGTGCCCGACAAGCCTGAGCGACCCGCCAAACGGGTGACAATCAGTCGGTACAATCTTCCGGCCCAGGATTAGGACTAGCCCGAGATCGCGATGAGGCTGAAGTCGCAATTGTCACCTTACCATTGCTTCATCGACGCTCCAGAACGTCAGATTCAAGATTTCATAATCAACGTGTGGCGAAAGCGAGCAAGCAAAATAAAAGACCGGGAAAAAAAAGGCGACCACATGGACTGCGGCGCACAGCATTCTTCGTTGCGAACCATGTTTTTGGCGCGTGGAATGCTGGCTGCACGGCTGGATGCGAGAGTACAGTCAGTCCACTCTTAGGTGCAGTAGTCAGATTTGCGCCGAATCGGGAATAACAACATTGTATCTTGGACTCGAGACCGCCAACAATTACATATTATTATCCCTATTATTTATTTTGTTTTGTCCTCACGGCTGAGAGTAAGCAAGCACCGAGACCAGGGAATCGATTCTTCCAAGAAGGACAGGTCGGATCGACCCGCGCTCATCCCTCGACGCCCTTGCAGCATTGGATCTGCGTCAGCCATCACCGAATTAAAGCGCACTCCCAAGGTTTCTGTTTGTGCTACTTTCTCCAGAACTATTGACGGGAGGCGTCAATCGCATCCACTTTCACGGTCTAATTCTCCATTCCGCTCAATAATGGCTTGGCTTACTCAGGGTTTATTTCCGATGCTATATTTTCCGCGGTCGATGGAACTAATCTATGGACTGTTCGACTGTCGGAAAGGGATGGACCAGCGGGCTTTGTAATTATTCTCCACAAACTAGTCGGACAGAACGCAGAGTGCAGCACCGTCTCTCAGACAACAGCGCAATAATCTAGGGTATCCGAGACAAATGTAATCATAAGCCGCCTGAACGGGATCACCAGGGAGATCCTCATTGCATCGCCCTCGCAGCCGACTTGTCCACACTGTTAGTTCCTGAACGGTGCGGTGAATCATCCTCGGTTGGCAACCTTGCTGCTGCTCCAGGGCCCTGCATCCTGTGCAATCCGCAACCAGTCACTGCAACTGTCTCGAACAGCAGGTGGAGATGGAGTGCCATGTGTGCAGACTCAGTTTCACTCGGTGTAACAAACAGAAAAAAACCTCAGATCTCGTGAGATTCTCGAACATGGTGCATCCCCTGCTCCTCCATCTCATCCTGCTTAATGCAGCTGCTCTCCAACTGCCACCAGCATCAGCATCAGCACGGCCGCACCTGACGAATGGCGAAGTCAATGTAGCGTGCAACATGCGCATCCCAAAATGCGTCCAGTGGTGAACGCGCACTTCGTGGACATACTCCCATCCACCTTGCTGGGCCACGTTTGAGACAGCATCCCATGGCTCTGGATCGGGAACTTGCAGACGAATCCGATCTCGCTTGGAAAGAAAGAAGCCGAGAGTAGTTCTCGACTGATCAAGATCCTACCCCTGCATACTTCCTTTTTTTCCCTGTTTTTTTTTAATTTTTTTTATCTTGTTCTCACCTTGGACAGTGGTTTGCATAGGGGGGGGCCTGGGGCTCTCATCTAGGGCTATTTTACCTACCTGACTTGGTTCCACAGGGGCTAGAGGGCCTGATCCACCCAGTGTACTTTGCACGCCAACCCTTCCTAATCGAGATCTGAACCCATGCAAGGAAGGTACATGGAGTATCCTGAATTTGGCCAGTAACTGACTTTCTCCTATCGGGGACTTGGGCCGCACGGTCGAGTCGTATTACTGTGTACTCCGTACGGAGGAGCGGTTCGTGAACGAGCTGGAGCATGGCCATGCAGTCTGTAATGTAGCCCCGAGGACCGATGGCGTAACTACTGTGGCTAAAAAAAAATTATTATTTGAAAAACGCCCTTCCTTTAAAATAACCTAGACATCCGGTTCCGCGGGTGCTCCTGTATTGAAGATTAACCTCTTTTTTTCTTCCTTTCACCCTCCCATCCCTGATTGAGGCCCTCTCTTCATCGAGTACCGCAGGTAAAGACGCACCACCTAGACACCATGGCTCAATCCTCTCAGTGCTATCTCCCTCGATTCGCCTCCGCGTCTGCCGGGCCTAAACGCCCGGTCTCGATGAAGACGAGACCGACTCCTTCCCAGCATGCGCAATTATTAATCGCATCGCACGAGGGTCGTCTGAGCTCGCTGTTGCGAGCCACCTGGGCTCTGGTCCTACACTACTATATCCGTTCCGAGGATATCTGCTTCGGCTACCAGCACATTGAAGGCGACGCTCGCACCTCCCGAAACCCTGTACAGCGGTCGAGCGGCGCTGGCTTGTCGGTGGTTCGGCTAGCAGTTGACGAGAACGACTCCATCACCGCCATTGTAGATAAAGTGCGCAGGCAAGATGGATTCGACATGCAGGTCAATGGATCTGGAAGACTGGAGGACACCGCCGATGGATATCTTCCTTTCAACACCATCCTGATGCTGCGCACATACAATCAGGCGTCGAACACACTGTCCGCGCCTCCATCGGCACCCATTCTGGCAACCGCTCTGCCCGACGAGGTGGGTTGCGAAACAAATCTTTGTCCTTGTGCGAGTGCTGACTCTACCCAGTGCCAAGTTCGCCTCCATGTGAAGGTCCTGAGTGGGGACATCAGCATCTTCCTTGAGTGGCGTAACGGAGACATGTCGGGGGAACACATGAAGAGTGTTGCCAACATCTTCGAGCAGATGCTCGCCAAAGTTCTTTCTTCCGAAGACACCGCTATTAACCAGCTTAATTTGTTTTCGGAGAATGACTGGCGGCGCATCCACAAATGGAATTCTACCACTCTTACACTGCACGACCGGTGTATCCACGACGTGATCCACGAACAGGCGCTCGCCGGCCCTGAGAGAGAGGCGGTTTGTGCCTGGGACGGAAGCCTGACCTACCGCGAGCTGGATCATGTCGCCTCGAAACTGGCCTGCCATCTGCGCATGCGGGGCGTAGGCCCCGAAACCCGCGTGGCGTTGTGTTTTGATAAATCGGTGAGTTTGTAAAGTGTTCCTTTTTTTTGTTGTATAGATCGCTGACCGCCCAGAAATGGAACGTCGTCGCAATGCTTGGCGTGATGAAGGCCGGCGGCGCCTTTGTTCCGCTGGACGCAACACACCCGACTTCCCGTCTGCAACGCCTGGTCAGCGCCGTGCAGGCCTCAATTCTTCTGTGCTCGCAACCTCGCGCGCAGCTTCTCAAGTCCGTTGCCAAGACGGTGATCCCCTTGTGCGCGGAGACGCTGGATGGGCTGTCGCCTCCCGCGGACAATGTGGATGATGCGTCGGGTGTCACCAGTCAGAATGCAGCCTATGTGCTGTTCACTTCCGGATCCACGGGCGAGCCTAAGGTACGTTTTTAATTGCCCTAGAAATTTAGTTAAATTGGATGTTGATCGAGTATAGGGCACCCTGTTGGAGCACCGCGCATTCCTGTCGAGTGCCATGGTGCATGCCGCTGGACTACAAATTTATCGCGACACGCGCTCGTTACAGTTCGCTGCGCACACTTTTGACGCGAGCTTGGCTGAGTCGATAACTCCCTTGATCCACGGGGCATGCGTCTGTATCCCCAGTGAAGAGGCCCGGTTGAACGACATCGTAGGGGCCATCAACGATATGAGAGTCAACCAAGCATGCTTTACGCCTTCGTTCATTGGCTTTGTGGAAATTGACAGTGTTCCAGGGCTGAAGAGCCTTGTTTTGGCCGGGGAGGCAATGTCGCAGTCACAGCTGACGACGTGGTCCAAAATAAAACTGGTCAATGGCTATGGTCCTACGGAGGCCGCCGTGGCGTCCGTGCTTAATTCAAATGTCACACCAGACACCGATTGCAAAGATATTGGTTTGCCAGTCGGGGTGCGGGCCTGGCTGGTGAACCCGGAAGATCATAACGAACTGGTCCCCGTCGGCTGCCCTGGTGAATTGCTCCTCGAAGGACCGACCCTCGCTCGGTGCTACATCAACAACCCGCAAAAGACGAACGAATCCTTTATCTACGACCCAGCTTGGACTAAATTTGATGCTGGCGGTGACTCGAACCGTCGTTTCTACAAGACTGGCGATCTCGTCCGCTACAATTCCGACACGGGCTCGCTTAACTACATCGGCCGTAAAGATACACAGGTCAAAGTTCACGGCCAACGAATCGAACTTGGCGAGATCGAGAACCAGCTCAGCACCGATCCAGAGGTTACCCATTGCTCCGTCTTCTTCCCCAAGTCTGGATTTTCCAAGGGGAGATTGGTAGGCGTGGTCTCCTCTGCTGGCCTTTTAGCCGATCAATCCGAGTCGGACCTGGAACCCCTGCGACTTGTCTCGTCCTCGAAAAAGGCTAGACTGGTCCCCGGTATTCGAGAGCGATTGTCAGCGCGGCTTCCTACTTATATGGTCCCTGCGGTCTGGCTGTGTGTCCAAGCTTTGCCATTGCTTCCCTCCGGTAAATTGGATCGCAAAGGAATCGCGAATTGGGTCGCTGGCATGGAGAAGGATCCTGATGCGCAGAACCACCAAGCAGTCGGCATGCGGAAGCAAGTGACATCAAAACCTACGAACGAGACAGAGGAGGTGTTAGCAGTTGTCTACAGTCGCGTTCTCAACATTCCGCAACAACAGCTCAGCTTGGATGAGAGCTTTCTCGGGCTTGGTGGCGACTCCATCGCCGCGATGACATGTGTCGGTTTGTGTAAAAAGCGTGGAGTCGGGCTTTCTGTGCAAGAAGTCCTCCGTAGCAAGTCGATTCGAGAACTCGCTTCTCACGCCAAAGCCGTCAACCATGCCACCACTTACCATGAATCTGTGGACGAACCGTTCGACTTGTCACCCATCCAAATACTTCACTTTGGTGTTCGCAAAGAAGGGCAGGGACATTTCAACCAGGGCATCCTCACGCGTTTGAGCAGGGCCATCGATGAGCAGACGCTGCGCAAGGCCGTCGAAACCCTTGTCTCACGTCATTCTATGCTGCGCGCTCGCTTCGACGATTCCGGGTTTGCAACTGCCTCGAAGCAAAGAATCACTCGCGACATTGAAAGCTCTTATCGATGGCGTACCCACAACGTCTCCAGCATGGATGATGTCAAGCCCTTGGTTGCGGACAGCCAATCGTGCATCAACTGCTTCTCCGGACCTTTGCTTGCGCTCGACTACTTTAATGTCCAAGGCCGGGATTGGGTGCTGTCGATGACCGCCCACCATTTGGTTGTTGATATTGTCTCATGGAGAATTATCCTTGAAGATCTGGAAGACCTGGTGCTCAATCCCAACAAGTCCCCCAGTCAGGATGGGTCCTTGCCTTTCCAGACATGGTGCCGTTTGCAAGCGGATCACAGCAAAGCCTTGATCTCCGAAAAGAAGGTAGCGACTGACTCGCTTCCTGCTGTGGATTTCGCCTACTGGGGATTGCAGAAACAACAAACCACGTATGGTGATGTGGATTGTGCGTCTTTCGAAATCGATGAGGCTCACACCACTTCAATCCTGCTGGAGTGCCATAAAGCTCTCGAGACCGAACCCATCGATCTGTTTCTGGCAGCGATGCTCCACTCGTTTGGTCAGTCTTTCACTGATCGTGCTCTTCCTGTGATTCACAATGAAGGGCACGGCAGAGAGGTTTGGGACTCGTCAATTGATATTTCGCACACTGTCGGCTGGTTCACCATCCTTCATCCAATCTTCATATCCGGCCTCAAGCCAAACAACCCCGTCGAGACCCTCATCCAGGTCAAGGACCTCCGACGTCGCGTCTCGGACAATGGTCGCGCCGACTTTGCTAGTCGAGTCCTGCCTAGTGACGGAAAAGAGGACGCCTGCTACCCGCATCCCTTTGAAATGTCCTTCAACTACGTTGGCCAACACCGTGACTTGCAGCGGAAGGATGGTCTTTTCCAACTTGTCAACCAGATGGCTGGTGAGGCAGGGCAAGGAGGAGGCGCCGCGGACTTCGGCCGTGACACTCCACGATTCGGTCTCTTTGAGATCTCTGCCATGGTAGTAGCAGGACGTCTCCGATTTACTTTCTCCTTCAACCGGTTTATGCAGCACCAGAACCAAATTCGTCGCTGGGTTTCTACCTGCCAGCAATTGCTTGTGTCTCTTTCCGAGCAATTGCAGTCCACGACGCCCCGAGTGACTTTGAGCTCTTTCCCAATGCTGTCATTGACTTATGATAGTCTCGAGAAAGTGGTTTCCGAAAAGCTTCCGGCCATGGGCATTAACTCTCTGGATCTCGTCGAGGACATCTACCCTTGCTCTCGCCTACAGCAGGGTATCTTGCTCGGGCAAACTCGCGACAGCTCCTACTACGCTGTTCATGACACCTTTGAGATCAAAGGCCGTGGATCGAATGTGCCAAACGTTGACAGATTGGTGAATGCCTGGGAGCAAGTAGCTTCCCACCATGCCATGTTCCGGACGATTTTTGCGGAGAACCTCACTCCTCGTGACCCCTTCTGCCAGGTTGTGCTCAAGAAGTATGATGCAACACCGGTCTTTTTGCAGTCCTCTGGAGAAAGCGATGTGCTTGCCACTTTCGACAGACAGGAGCCTAAGAACTACCGTGAGCTTCGCCCGGCATACCGTTTTACTCTTTGTCAGACCGCTACCGGAAGGCTGTTCTGCCGCATTGAGCTCAGCCATGCTGCCATGGATGGTAACTCTATTTCTATCATCCTTCGTGATTTGCAGTTGGCATACGTTGGAAGACTTGAAGAAAGTCCCAAGCCCTTGTTTAAAGACTACATCCGTTATCTTCGGAATGCACCAACGGAGGCCAGTATCAACTACTGGCGTGGGTACTTGTCTGATGCTAAGCCATGCAATTTCCCGGTCCTGACTGATGGCGAGAAGTCATTCAAGAGCCTTCGGTCAATTCCTGTCAACTTTGGATCTCTAGCGCACCTTCAATCTGTTTGTGAAAAGAAGCGAATCACACTATCCAATGTGTTCAACGCGGCGTGGGGTCTCACTCTTCGCTCTTTCTGTGGCTCTGATGACGTCTGCTTCAGCTACATGGCATCTCTGCGAGACGTTGCTGTCGATGGTATCCAATGGGTGGTCGGTCCTGTTATCAACCTGATGGCTTGCCGCATGAAAATTACTGGAGACTCCATACTCAGCGATGTCCTCCAGCAGATCCAGGATGACTACATGGAGAGCCTTCCGTTTCGCCAAACCTCGCTCATCGACATCCAGCATGCTCTCAAGCTCTCCGACACCAATCTCTTTAACTCAGGCGTTTCCTACCGCAGATTGCCCAGCGCCAAGGATGCTGTGAGCAGTGACATCGAATGCGTTGAAGTTGGCTCCATCCACGACCCAGCCGAGTTTCCGGTCTTCATTAACATTGAGGCCATGGATACCCAGGCCCGCATTGATCTTAACTACTGGACCACCAATCTCTCGGATGCCCAGGCTGCAAACGTTGCTAGCATTTACCTTCGCTGTCTCGAAAACATCATGGACCATGCCGACAAGGAGATCCGCCAGCTGGACATTCTCAGTGATGTTAACAAAGCCCAGATCCTCTCCTGGAACTGCAAGATGCCACAAGCCATTGACAAGTGTGTCCACCGGACTGTTCAAGATATGGCCAAGATCAGACCAGATGCTTTGGCTGTCACTGCCTGGGATGGTAGCCTCACTTACTCCAAGCTGGATCAGTTTTCGTCCCGCCTTGCAAGCTATCTCGTTACTTTCGGTGTTGGTCCCGGCAGTCTGATCCCTGTCTGCTTCGAGAAGTCTGTCTGGAACATAGTCTCAGTCCTGGCCATTATGAAAACCGGTGGCGGCTGTATTCCCGTCGAGTCTGCTCAAACCACGGCTCTCATTGACAATTGGGTTCTTGATAATGTGGTTCAGGTCGCACTTGCATCCCCCGAGAAAGCTCAAATTCTTGAAGACCTCATCCCATATGTCATCCCCGTGAGCGAGTCTCTCCTGGAGTACCTCACTGATGAGCCCCTGTTTTCCGCTGCCACTCCTTCAGATGCCGCCTATGTCGCTTTTACGGCTGGTTTCTCTCGCCGCCCCAGAGGACTTGTGCTGGAGCATTCAACAATCATGACAAGGGCCGAGGGTTTTGCTGCGAAGTTGAGACTATCAGATGTCTCCAGGACCCTTCAGTTTTCTGCTCACACATCTGACATGTTCCTCCTTGAGACTTTTGGCACCTTTATTCATGGAGGCTGTGTTTGCATTCCGGCTGATATCGAGCCATTTAACTTGTCATCCGCGATTAATGTGCTCCATGCCAATGTCGCAAGCTTCACTCCGACTGTTGCAGCTCTTGTCTCTCCAAAGGATGTTCCCGGCCTGCGTACTCTTGCTCTTATTGGTGAAGCTCCTACAAGCGCTATCCTTAGCCAGTGGAATACCGACGATCTGCAGCTACATACTTTGTATGGCACGGCAGAGACTTCTTCTGCCTCTCTTCACACCGCACACCTGGCGAACTCGTCCGAAGCCCGGGAGATTGGATATGCTATGTCGTGCGTCTCATGGGTTGTTAATCCGGAGAACCATCACTCTCTTGTCCCCATCGGTTCCGTCGGCGAACTGGTCATTGAAGGGCCCGTTCTCGCTCGAGGCTATCTCGAACTTGATGCCACCACACCCAAAGACTTCTTTGAGAACCCTTTGTGGCTTTCGAGCCTTGATCAGATCGATGACATCCTGGATGGAAAGCGGTGGTTTTTTAAAACGGGAGATCTTGTTCGCTACAACTCCGATGGATCTTTGATCTACGTCGGCCGGAAGAGCGACGTTGTGGGACTACCCCTGCCAGTCGATTGCTTCCAGACCCAAGACTACGTTGACTCATTCGTGGAATCGAAGACGAAATGCATTGTGGAAAGCATCACTTTCCATCGCGATGCCGGAGTTACGGAAAGCCTTGCTGCCTTTGTAATCTCGACCGACGAAATCTCCACAACAGTCGGTGACAGCTCGATCATCCAACACTCTGCTCCACACATGCAAACTGCAATTGTTAGTATACATGCGCACCTCACTGCCAATCTCCCAACGAACAAGGTCCCGAGTATTTACGTTCCCATCTCTTCTCTTCCCCTTACCACTTTTGGAAAGCTGAACTTACAGACCCTGCAAACTGAGATTCAAGGACTGCCCACCAATGTTCTCGGATTGTTTGACATCAAACATTGGACCGGCTCGAAATCGGCAGACCAGATCTCTCGATGCTCGACGCTCTCGGAGGGCAATGTTGCCTTCTGGAAGGAGTACCTTGCCGAGGCTGAACCGTGCAACTTCCCTGCCTTGTCGCGCGACCTGATTGAGGAGGATCGCTCGACTCGCACACTCAACAAACAGACCGGAAAGCTGCATGCCTTCAGCAAGATGGCAGGCGTTGATGTTGCGACCCTCCTCCAATTTGCATGGGCCATGGTTCTCCGTTGCTACACCGGCTGCGACGATGTGTGCTTTGCTTACCTTGCCTCTGATTTCAACGACGCTGAGGAGCTTGATTCCCAAGCCATTGTCGCTTGTCGACTTCTTTTGAGCAACGATCGCAGAGTGGAGGACACTCTGCAACGAATCAAGACGGATTCTGAAAAGTGCCTCCAAAACTTCGTTGATCTCAGCAGCGTCATTCACCAACTTGGCCTTGAGGATGGAGGTCTTGTTAACACCCTCTTCAAGTTCCACAAGGCATCTTACCTCTCGAATGGCAGCCTTGCAGAAACACCAACCAGCAGCGCCTACAAGCTCGCAGTCGAAGCTGAAGTCTCCAACTCGTTTGCTCAAATTCATTTCAACTACTCTTCCGATACTTTGTCCAGCAAACAAGTCAGCCATGTCATCGACGCATTTGATCACATTCTCGACGACCTGGTCTCTTCAAACTCTCGCGATCGTGTAATTGGAGATCTTGACATGTTTCCCGAGCGATCTTGCCGCCAGGTTCGCGAATGGAATGCTATTTCACCCCCAAGATTTGAAAAGTGCGCAGACGAACTCATTCAGCAGCAAGCCCTTCTTCATCCTCGCTCTGAAGCCGTGTGCTCCTGGGACAAGAACTTTACATACGGGCAGCTTGAGATTGTCTCCAGTCGCCTGGCACGCCATCTTTCCGGCCTTGGAGTCAAACCTGAAGTCTTTGTTGTAATGTGTTTCGAGAAGTCCGCCTGGGCTATTGTTGCTCAACTTGCCGTCCTCAAGGCTGGTGGAGCGTTTGTCTCTATTGACCCTGCGCATCCTGACGCAAGACTTCAAGTCTTGATTGACGAAATTGGTGCCGATCTTGTCTTGTGTTCTTCTTCCATTCAAGCTCGGATGTCAAAGCTTTGCAAGAAAGCAATCGCTGTTTCCCAACCCGCTCTCTCTCAGCTTCCTGATTCTCCACTGGCCTTGCCCGGCAAACGACCCACTCCATTCAACGCTGCCTATGCCATCTTTACTTCGGGAACCACCGGAAAGCCGAAGGCGACAGTGGTGGAACACCTTGCTCTCAGCACAACTGCAGTTGCCATGACTGATGCTCTGCATATGAATTCCGCAACTCGCGCATTGCAATTCTCGAACTACACCTTCGACGTTAGCATCTTGGAAATCATGGTCACCTTGATGACTGGAGGTTGTGTCTGTGTTCCAAGTGAAGAGGAGCGCATGAACAATCTGGGAGGCGCCATTCGACGTATGGAAGCAAACTACATGGCCTCGCCCCCTGCCATTGTCAACACTTTGGAACCCAAGAATGTGCCGACTCTCAAGACCATCATCACGGGAGGCGAGAAAATGCCGGCAAACCACATCGACCGCTGGCATGACAGATTTGTTATCAATGCTTACGGTCCCTCTGAAGCCACTGTCGTTGCCACGACCGGTGTCAAGGTTGACTGGGATGGCAACCGTGTCAACAACGATCCCACATCCATCGGAACTGCTGCAAATTGTAGAGTTTGGATTGTTGATCCCAACAACTACAACCGTCTTCTTCCTGTGGGTGCAGTTGGTGAGATGCTTTTGGAGGGAAGCAACATTGCGCGAGAATATCTCGGCAACGAACAGAAAACCAAGGAAGCCTTCATTCAAGATCCTGTTTGGAATCGTCATGCTGGCCTCCAGGGTCTGTTCAAGCGAAGCGACCGCATGTACCGCACGGGAGATCTTGTTCGTTACAACAGCGATGGAACCCTCGCTTTCATCTCCCGAAAGGATACCCAGATCAAATTCAACGGTCAGCGTATTGAGCTCGAGGAAATTGAACACCAGTGTGTTCGTTGCCTCCCAGAGGGCTCTCAAGTTGCTGTGGATGTTGTCGTGCCTCAAGAACGAACCGTGGCCAAGGGTCTTGCAGCCTTTTTTACAATCCACGATGCAGACTCCTTCCACGGCGGTAGCACCGACCAGTTTGCTCCTACAATTCCTGGTGCTGACCCATTGCTTCTGCCAATCTCCGTCTCCAACATGGACGTTATTCAAAAGTTGAAAGGCTCTCTGCCCGATTTGTTACCTCAGAGTATGATGCCACGCCTCTTCTTCCCATTGCGAAACCTGCCTTTCACCTCGTCGGCAAAGGTCGACCGCAGGAGACTCCGTGCCATGGTCCAATCTTTGCCCAAGGAGGCGCTCAAGTCCTACATTACCTTCAAGGTTGCCACAAAACAGGAGGAGCTGCAAGCAGAGGGACCCGAAATGAAACTCCGAGCTCTTTGGGAAAAGACCCTCGATCTCGAACCTGGCTCTGTTACCATCGAAGACAGTTTTTTCGCACTTGGTGGTGACTCGCTTTCCGCCATGAATCTTGTTGGAGCTGCACAGGCCGAAGGGATTGCCCTCACAGTCACCAGCATTTTCAAATATCCACAGTTGGTGGACATGGCTAAGAGCTGTGTGGTGTCTTCCAATCCACCGGAGAGCAAGCAGCAGGTTGCCACTAAACCTTTTGCGCTGCTGCCGCCTTCCCTTATTCTCGATGAGCTTCTCGAGGAGGTCACAGACAACTGCATGGTACCACGGGATTCTATTACCGACATCTACCCCTGCAGTGCCGTTCAAGAAGGCCTTCTTACTCTCTCGGTTAAGCACCATGGAGCCTATGTTGCCCAGCCAGCGTTTCGCCTCGCTGATGGAGTGAACCTCGAGCGATTCAAGGCTGCTTGGCAGCAGACAGTGACCGAGTTGGACATTCTCCGCACGCGCATTGTGCACACGGAGGCTATGAACTTTACACAGGTCGTCATCAAGGACTCGCCGATTTCCTGGATACATGCAAAGACTTTTGATCAACTTCCGAATGACAGTATTAATATCCCAAAGCATAACGGGGCTCCTTTGACTGCATACGCCATTGTTCAACCCCAGGCCTCGTCTACCAGCTATTTTGTCTGGTCCGTCCACCACGCACTTTACGATGGCTGGAGCATTCCCTTGATCTGGCGCAAAGTCGAAGAGAACTATCTCGGTTCAAAGAACAAGCGACAGGCGACTTCATACAGCCTGTTCATTGAACACCTTTCAAAGAAGGATATGGCTGTGTCGGATGTCTTTTGGAAGTCATATCTTGCCGATCTTTCCTGCGAGGTTTTCCCCAATAACAAGAATTCTGTCCCTGATGCTGTGCGTGCCGGGAACACCCAGTACCACACCTTTGAGTTTTCACGAGCTCCCAACACCGTTGACCTCACTCTGCCTGTGCTTATTCGAGCTGCCTGGGCGATTGTGGTTGCTACTCACACTGGGGCTGGCGATGTCTGCTTCGGTGAAACCTTGTCTGGTCGAAATATCGATCTCCCTGGCGTCGGCGATATTGCTGGCCCCGTTTTGACCACTGTTCCCACTCGGATTCAGGTCGACAATGCAGTTCCCATCCTCCAGTACTTGCAGAAAGTGCACCAATCAACAACTGAGATGATTCCGCACCTGCATTCGGGATTGCAGCGCATCCGGGCCATCAACAACGACACTTCCACTGGCTGCAACTTCCAGAATCTTTTGGTTATCCAGCCAAATGAAGGGCAACTCAATGACAAGATCTGGATTGATGAGGATTATCAAGCCAGCGAGGACTTTTATACCCATCCGCTTGTGCTGGAATGCGGCATCTCGAAAACAAGCATCTCCCTTAAAGCACACCATGATGAGCTCATCATCAATAGCTGGCAGACAAAGCGACTAGGCGAGCAATTTTGCTATGTGCTGAAGCAATTGATCTCGATGCCCAAGAACTGCACCCGAAAACTTGGGGACCTGGAAGTTGTCAGCCCTCAGGACAAGGCTGAAATTTCTCGCTGGAACCAACGCCACATTGCAGCAGCCGATCGATGTGTCCATGATTACATTCGAGACAAAGCATTTGAGACTCCCAATGCCCAGGCTGTGTGTGCTTGGGATGGCGAGCTTACTTACAGAGAGTTTTGGGAGCTCGCTTCATCTTTTGCGAACTACCTCATTTCTCGCGGAGTGGGCCCCGAGGTCTTCGTCCCTGTTTGCCTTGACAAGTCTGCTTGGGCAATGGTCACCATCATCAGCATCTTGATTGCAGGTGGTGGATATGTGCCCCTGGATCCATCCCACCCTACCTCGAGACATGAGGAGATCCTTGAGGAGGTCAGCGCGATCATGATTCTCTGCACTCCCAAATACACTAACCGCTATACCCGAGCTGTCAAAACTGTGATACCAATCAGCAAAGAGACAATCAAGGCGTATGGATCTCTCAATTCGCAAACCCGCAACCGCTCCCAAGTCACACCCTCGAACATGGCGTATGCTATTTTCACGTCGGGCAGTACTGGTCGTGCCAAGGGCATTGTCATCGAGCACCAGAACATTGCCAGCAGTGCTTTGGCATTTGGGCCTGTGGTCCACATGGACTCCTCCTCCAGGGTCCTCCAGTTTGCTTCTTTGACCTTTGATGCCGCAGTCCTGGAGGTTCTTGCAATTTTGATGTTTGGCGGTTGCATCTGTGTACCCAGCGAGGACGAGCGTCTCAACGACGTTGCAGGTGCTATTCGGCGCATGAAAGTTAACTGGACCTTCCTCACCCCCTCAATTGCTAGCATTGTTGAGCCATCGTCTGTCCCCTCTCTCAAGATTCTTACGTGCGGTGGTGAGAAGATGTCCAAGGAAGTGATCACCAAATGGGCCAACGCCGCCCACCTCATGAATTGCTATGGCCCCACGGAGACCTGCGTGTTTGCGGTCATTGACACCACTGTTGCCGCTCATCGGGATCCTGCACGCATTGGATATGGAATTCCCAGCACCTTGACTTGGATCGTCGATCCTGACAATCACAACCGATTGGCACCTTTGGGGGCTGTTGGCGAGCTTGCTCTGGAAGGCCCTGCTCTCGCGAGGGAGTATCTCAAAAACCCGGAGAAGACTGCTGAAACCTTCATTGAAAACCCTACCTGGATCAAGGAGTTTGGCACGAACATGCCGGCTCCCCGAAGGATTTACCTGACCGGCGATCTTTGCTACTACAACCAAGATGGCACTGTTGGCTACATCAGTCGCAAGGACCACCAAGTCAAACTCCACGGCCAACGCATGGAATTGGGTGAAATCGAGCATCGCCTCTACTCGGACCCCCGCGTCCGACATGCTGTGGTTATTCTTCCAAAGAACGGTCCTCTTCAGCAGCGCCTTGTTACTGTCATGTCTCTCAACAAGGTTGTTGCGGACAACAATCTCATTTCGGATCAGCCTTGTGAGCTTGTTGATGAAGAAGAACTCGAGAGCCATGCATATGCTGCTCTCAGTGATGTTCAGAAAAGCCTTGAGAATCAATTGCCAATTTATATGGTTCCACAGACATGGGCACTGATCAAGAAGCTGCCCATGCTTGTGTCGGGCAAGCTCGACCGAAAGAAGATCACTGCTTGGCTTGAGAACATTGACGAGACGTCTTACGACAGAATCATGCAAGACTATGACCGGATGAAGCGTGGCCATAGTGAGAAGAAGGAGGAGCCAGAGCAGGACACCTCCCTCAAGGTGATTCGGGAGATTTTTGCGCAAGTTTTGAACATTTCTCTGCAGAAGATCAATGTCGAACGCTCTTTCGTCAGCTTGGGCGGCGACAGCATCACTGGAATGGCCGTGATTTCCAGAGCCCGCAAACAGGGCCTTGTCCTGACCCTCAATGACATTTTGCAGAGCAGGTCGATCAAAGAGCTTTCCCAAGCAGCTGGAACCAAGGCTCCGGTTTCTCAGCGCGAGGAAAAGTTAGGTGAAGGATTCGGTCTTTCACCAATCCAGAAACTGTACTTCCGGTGCTCGAACTCCTTCCAGGGTGCCTCCCGCTTTAACCAGAGCATCACCGTGCGCGTCACTCGCAGAGTTGAAGGAGAGGTTCTGCGTCGTGCGATCAAGGCTGTGACGAGCCAGCACTCAATGTTCCGAGCACGGTTCAGCAAGACTAGCAGTGGTGTCTGGGAGCAGAAAGCTGCAGCGGTAAGTGATAAGATTGGTTACGCCAACGTTCAAGAAGGGCTGTGCTTACAATTAGTACAGGAAGTTGATGAGTCCTACCGCTTCCGCATTCATTCCATCAATGAGACACGCGAGATGGTGACCAAGATCGCTGAGAGCCAGACCTGCCTAGATCCTTCGAATGGACCCATATTAGCAGCAGATCTTTTTAATCTTCGCAGTGGTGGACAGATTCTTTTCCTCGTTGCTCACCACCTTTGTGTTGACATGGTGTCTTGGCGCATTGTTCTTCAGGATCTGGAAGAGCTCGTTGCCTCCGGGTCTCTTTCCGATGAGAAAGCGCTTTCTTTCCAGAGCTGGTGCCAGATGCAACTCGAGAGGAGCAAGGTCCACGAAGCAGACAGCCTCTTACCTTTCACACCCGAGCAACCTGATCTCCGGTACTGGGGTATGGATAACTCGCAAAACGTCTACGGCCACATCAAGATGGAGTCTTTCACTCTGAGCGAGGACGTCACCAAGTTTATTCTCGATGGCTGCCATGGTGTCTTCCGTACTGATACGGTTGATATTCTGCTGTCATCCATTATCCACTCCTTCCGCCGCACATTCACAGATCGCAAGGTTCCCACCGTGTACAACGAAGGACATGGTCGGGAGGCATGGGATGCGAACATTGACCTTTCGCGAACTGTTGGCTGGTTTACGGCCTTGTGCCCACTGCATGTACAGCCAGAGTCTGGTAAGCTTTTGCCCTCTCAGCAGTACTTAATTGAACCTCATACTCACACAACTACAGCTGGAATTGTCGATACAATCAAGCGTGTCAAGGACGCCAGACGCAAGATTGTTGACAATGGCCGACCATATTTCGCTAAGAGCCTCCTCCAATCCGACTCATCTGAATTCCCGGTTCCCCTTGAAATCCTGTTCAACTACCTCGGTCGACTTCAGCAGCTGGAGCGTGCCGACTCCCTGTTCCAGCATTATGGCAGCGCATTTGACAGCTCGGACTTTGCCACTGCAGGTGATATGGGACCTGAGACGCCTCGATTTGCCCTGTTTGAAGTGTCTGCCATTGTTATCAAGGATAAGCTCACTGTTGCATTCACTTACAACCGTCACATGCAACGCGAAGGGAAGATCCGCCATTGGATCATGGAGTGCAAGCAGATTCTCGAGAAGGATCTCCTCTCTTTGAAGAGCACGACCCCCGAGCCTACTCTCAGTGACTACCCTCTGCTGCCAATCAACTACCATGGGCTTCAGATGCTCACGAACAACACTTTCCGCAAGTTGGGCATTCGAAGCAAGGATCAGGTTGAAGACATCTATCCCTGCTCCCCAATGCAAGAAGGCTTATTGCTGAGCCAACTCCGCGACCCCAACGCCTACATGTTCCTCACGGTATTCGAGATCAAGGATCCGCGATCTGGAAGGGTGAACACTGAGAAGCTTGCCCAAGCCTGGCAAGCCATTGTTGAACGCCATCCGGTGTTGAGAACAGTCTTCATTGACAGCACCTACAGCGGAGGATCATTTGACCAGCTTGTTCTCAGCAAACTCAACGACAATGTTCTCCGAGTCGAATGCTCGGATTCTCAGGTTGAGGAAAAGCTGGGCTCGATCTCCCTGCGCAACATGAACTCTACGCGCCAATCGAAACTCTCTCATCAACTGACGATCTGCAAAACATCCAGTGGCCGCGTTCTGGTTAAGCTGGAGATCAATCATGCTATCATTGATGGCGGCTCTGTCGATGTTCTTCTGCGTGATCTAGCGATGGCTTACGACCGTCGACTCCCAGAGGGCGAAGGGCCCAGATTCAGTGACTACATTCAGTTTATTAGATCTAGGAGCCAGAGCGAGGCTCTTGGTCACTGGAAACAGTATCTTGGCGGAGTTAGCCCATGCCATATTGCTCCTTCGGCCGGATTCGAGTCGAAGAGAGAGCTCAAGGGCGTGCTCATGAACTTCCGGCGTTTCCCTGAGCTTCTGCAGTTCTGCGAAAAGAGCTCAGTTACCCTTGCCAATCTGACTTTGTCCGCTTGGGCCATTGTGCTCCGACAGTTTACTGCCTCTGACGATGTCTGCTTTGGATACTTGTCAGCTGGGCGCGACGCACCTGTCAACGGGATTCAGGACATGATTGGCATCTTCATCAACATGCTTTGCTGCAGAGTTCAATTCTCCAGACAGCAAACTCTTGTGGACGTCTCTAAGCAGGTGCAGGACGATTATATTCGCAGTATTCCACACCAGAGCTGCTCGTTGGCAAGCATCCAACACGAGCTTGGCTGGCAGGGCCAATCACTCTTTAACACCACTTTGTCGATCCAGAACCACTCGGTGGCGGGCGCCTCGAAGGAGAAGGGCTTGTCCTTTGACCTTCAGCATGCTCATGATCCCAGCGAGGTATGTTTTCTCCTACTCACTGCCACTGTTTAACACTGACTTTGGGATATAGTATGCGGTAACTGTAAATGTTGAGATCGCTCGGGGCCAGGAAGGCATTCTTCTACGATACTGGAGTGATGTTGTTTCCGACGAGCAAGCGCAATCTTTGGCCGATACCATCGCCAAAGTGTTTACTGGCTTCATTGAGACACCGTCTGCAACAATGCTGGAATCGAAGTTTGAAGCCGAAGTGCCACATGAACAACAGCCTGTCGAGTGGGACTACTCCCAATCTGCTTACAGCGAAAAGCCTAAGCAGTCCGACCAGGCGCTCGACAATAACTCCATCCAGAGGATAATTGACGATCGTGTGCATGAGATTATTGGACAATTGTTAAGAGAAGGAAAATTGACGGTTCCGGGCATCCAAACGGAGGGGCTGTCTGGTTATAGTGACGCAGTGGATTCACCTTATGGTGCATCGGGAATTCAAGGAGCAGATGATTCTGGGGTTTGTTCGGCGACTTCTCGATCCAGCGAGGATGGGATGTCGGCCGATGTGGAAAGGAAACTATGGAGTCTTTGGAGCACGGCGCTTGGGCTTTCCCCCAACGTCGTGAGGCACCAGGACAGCTTTTTCAAGCTGGGTGGCGACAGCATCACGGCTATGAAGATGGTCAGTGCCGCCCGTGAGGAGGGACTTGTTTTGACGGTGGCGGATGTTTTCAACAACCCGGTCTTCGAGGATATGCTTACAACAGTGCGCGCCGCCAATGTCACTCAGCAAAGGTTGAACGTCGACCTTCAGCCCACTCCCAAAGAGCCGGAGGCATTCTCTGACACCAACCGCATATCCCTCGCACACACACCTTCCTCGGAGAGCATTGAGATTCTCAAGCCTACCAAGTGTGTGGACGATAACTCCATCCAGAGTGGTATTTGCCCCAAGATCGGTGTCTTCAAGGGTGGCATCGCCGACGTTCTGCCTGTCAATGACTTCCAGGCCCTGTCACTGACTGCGACCCTCTTCAAGTCCCGGTGGATGTTGAACTATTTCTATTTGGAAGGGAATGGACCTCTGGATTTGAAACGTCTGCGCGAGAGCTGCTTGAAGGTCGTTGATGCGTTCGATATTCTCCGAACTGTCTTCGTATGCTTCCACGACCAGTTCTTCCAGGTCGTCTTGCGCAAGATTCGACCCAGCATTTTTGTCTACGAAACCGATCGCGGACTTGATGATTTTACCATGACCTTACAGCAGCGAGATCGCGAGTATGGCCCACGCGAAGGCGAGCAGTATGTTCAGTTCTATGTGGTGAAGAAGAAGGGCAGCAACCAGCACCGCATCCTCATCCGGCTCTCTCACACTCAGTACGACGGAGTGTGCCTGTCAAAGATCATGTCGGCCATCAAACTTGGCTACGAAGGCAGTCCTCTTCCTCCAGTAACTCCTTTCGCGAGCTACATGCGCCAGCTTCCTGGTACCATCACGCCAAATCACTACCAGCACTGGACCAAGCTTCTCGAGGGTTCGAAGATGACCGAGATCGTCCGTCGAAAGGGCCCGACCATGTTCCAGAATGTCGGCTCCTTCACCGAAATCCACAAGACGGTCGAGATCCCGCCCATGGCTCTTGGCAATATCACTGTTGCGACAGTGATGCAGGCTGCATGGTCCATCGCTCTTGCCAAGCTGTCTGCCCAGTCAGACGTGGTCTTTGGCCTCACAATCAGCGGACGCAACGCGACTGTCCCTGGAATCGAAACCACCGTCGGGCCCTGCGTCAACGTGATACCTGTGCGCGTCAAGTTCGATGAAAAGTGGACAGCACTTGATCTCTTCCGCTTCTTGCAAGACCAGCAGGTCTCAAACATGCCCTACGAATGCCTGGGCTTCCGTGAGATCATCAAGCAATGTACCGAATGGCCCGCCTGGACCTACTTCACCACCTCCGTCTTCCACCAGAATGTTGACTACGAAGGTTCTCTCCAACTGGATGACACTCAGTATCAGATGGGTGGCGTCGGTGTCAATGACAATTTGGCTGATCTGACTATGGTCTCTCGGCCGGCCGACGAGCGTACTCTGAACGTGACCCTGGGCTTCTCTGAAAAGGGGCCCATCCTCCCATCATTTGCGTCCAAGGTTGTGGACATGGTCTGCGAAATCGCCCAGTCTCTCACTGCAAACCCAAGCACCGCCCTCCCGTCTCCCAGCATGCTCCGCTCGCTGCCTTCGCAAGTCGTTGATGATCTGCCTCGTCCAACGGACGAGCATTTCCTCAGCGCCCATCTCAAGTCCCGTTCTATTGCCGAGCTTCTTGTCCACTCAGACATCCTGTCCAGGTCGTGGCACCAGGTTCTTCCGAGCCGTAACACAAGCCCCAGCGCTCTCTCCGAGTCCGAGTCCAAACCACCCGCTCATCAGACGGCATTCCAGCTTGACTCATCATTCTTCGACCTTGGTGGTGATATTTTCAACATGGCCCAGCTGACCTGGCTGCTTGAGCAGGAGGGCTTGAAAGTTCGCCTGGAGGATCTCTTGGAGCATCCTTCGTTCTTGGGCCAGATGGCCGTCCTCGCACTGCACAACTCCAGAAATCCGGAAGATTTCCCTGGAGAGTATGCTACTGGTGCGGCCGCAACATCAGATCTTGGATCTCGGGCTGAGAAGAAGAAGACATGGGAGAAGGCCATCACTATTGCGAAAAAGCTGACTCGTCGAAACAACATGGTCTCAACTCGGGCTTGATGAAAATGCAGAATTCTAAACTACCCCCCCCCAAAAAAAAAAAAAAAAAAAAAAAAAGAAAAAAGGATGCATTCATGAAGAGACGAAGACCAAAAAAGACTCTCGCTGATATTTTCCTATGTTACTGCTCGAAACATAATACACATTTGATTTTTCGTTATTGCATGGCTTTATTGGCTTTCGTTAGGGTATTTTGCATTGATTGTGCTTCATGCTTTTCTGTTCTCTCTCTCTGTCATGCTCCTTGATTATAATGGAAATCTGCCTCTATAGAATTTCTGTCCACTAAATTTCTAAAGTTGTAGGAAGGGTCTGTTTTGTAATTGACAATAGACATTATCCGTTTAACTGTCGACACAAGTCATCGACTGCTATGTACAAGGAAGTTTCACAAAAAGACTCGCAAAACATTTTCGAGGCGAGCCCAGGGTATCTGGTTATCTAATACGAACGAAGGCATGTAAGAATAGAGCGGCATGATCACATTAAGAAATCTGGAATTTTGCTTCGGGAACGAAGTCTAAAGTGACGGGCGTGACCATTTCCCGCGCGCTCGTATCCGTCTTCCGAAGATGTAGAACAGGTATGGGATCGGAATGAGAGCAATGGAAACAAATCCCAAGACGCTGGCAGCCCAGGGAACACCGAGGTTGTGGAACATGGCGTTGGTGAAGAGTGGGAAACAGCCGGCAAACAACGAGCGTAGGAAGGTATTAGCGGCAATGGCACTGGCAGAGACTGCCTGAAAGGTATCGATGAGGTAGTTCAGCGCCGCCTGGAAGATGGTGAAGAAACCAAAGCCCATCATAACCGCGCCGATGATAGGAGCAATCCAGTGAATGTCTTTGGGGCTGGTCCAGCCGAAGACGAACATACCCGCAGCGAACAGCACGGAGCCCAGCATCATCGGCGGTAAGCGAGCTTCGGGGACAGCCCGGTTGTTGTTCGCTTTGAATCGTTTGACATAAAAGCGCTGATTGGTGAGGTTGACCACAGCGCCCATGAGGATACCGACTAGATATGCCAGGAATGGCAGGGCGCCAACCACCTGGTTCCAGCCTCGCACTTCTTGGAAGACGATCGGGAACGCAGCCAGACTCAGGTACAGAATGCCGTACACGAAGGACGCATACAGTGCCACGAGGAAACAAATTGGCGTGGTTAGCAGCTGGAACGGTCGTATCAAGTACTTATTGCCCAGCTCTTTCAAGGTTACATCCCATTCCTCATGGCGGGCATGCAGAGCCCAGTTCCCGCTTTCGAATCGGAGTCGGCGTGCCTTGTAGACCAGGAGCACGGGCGGGTAGCTCTCGTCGATGAAGATAACATCGAGGAGTAAAAAGAACATCATCATGATGCCAGTAATCTAGACAGCATATTAGCATGACGCGAATCGGGCTTCAATCACAGGAAACTAACGTATTCGGTCCATCGCCAACGAAGATAACTTTGCACGATGGCACCACCTGCAATCGGACCCACGACAGGCCCGCCAACGACAGCCATGGCATATCCGACGATGGCAGCGCCGCGCTGCTCAGGCGTCCAGATATCGGCCAAAACGCCTCCCGTGTTGGTGACGGGGGCTGAGCCGAAAAAGCCCGTGAAGAATCGCGTTATCATAATCGTCTGCAAGTCTTTGGCCGTTGCGGTGCCGAATGAGAAGATAGCCGCAATGAAGTACGGCGCCAGCACGGCCGGCTTGCGCCCATATACCTCTGATAGAGGTGCCCACACGAGGGGTCCCAAGCCTAAGCCGAACAAGAGCAATGTTGTGCCCAGAGTCGATACCTCTACTGCGACGCCGTATTGGTTGGCGATTTGTATCTGACCGGTTGAAAAGCTATGGTTTGATCGTCAGTCTGTCGGAATCAAGCTAACTTTGCAGATCGAAAGCTTACACTGAGCTCGCCCACGTTGAACCTGAGAAGAGAGCAGTTAGCTTGATGACGTCTTTTGCTCGGGATTGCTCTGCGCATCGCATGGCGACATACCCATAGTGGTCAATCCATACAACACCGTCGTCACGGCCTTCTTCTTAAATCCCCAATTAACTGGCCTGTACGGATCGTCGGGGCCGTCAAAATCCACCACCACATCCGGGCTCGTCTTGGTGTGCGATAGAGGATGGGTAAATCGCGCCGTTTGACCAGGCTCCCGACTCCGAATGCGCGACACCACTGATTGTGCCCGCTGCTCGAAAACCGACAGGCCTGACGCCGCCGTGCTTTGTTTTTCCAGTGTCGCCCCACGTCCATCCTCGGTGACGCCGTTGCTGTGGTGGGAATCAATGTCGTCGTCGCTCGACGTATGATAGTCGTGTTCGGTTAGTTCGGCCATTCTGTCCCGGGCGCAACATCGAACTTGTTGCAAGGGCAGTCACAGCTTGAAGGAGGAGAGCTTTGCGACGAAAATTAAGCTGCTCAAAAGTCCTGGGAAAATAAATAGCCGTGCGGCGAAGACCCGGGCGTAAAATCGGATACCCAGAAAAGCCAAGACGTCATGTAAGAGCCACCGCCGTAATCAGGGCCACGTTTGCAGGATTTGCAAGGCTTGTTTTTTTTTTTTTTTGCCAGCGGAGTTTGTCCGGCAGGGATCTCAGTTACTTTTTAACTAATCGCCGTAGCTCAGTCTCGGTCCAGTGCAAACGACGCCGAGGCCGTCTTATCCGAGAGCGGGTCCACCGGGGGTGGCAACGCCGATCTCGGGGTTAAGGAATTGTATGCGAAGTAGAGTAGCAACTATAGTATTATTATGATTGAACTACTTTTAAACAAGAATGATTTGAACGAGCATTCCTCACTCAATAGAAGATTGACTCTTCAACAGGGTATCTTGTCTCCTCAGATGGAATCCCATCTGTCGCTAAATATTGTGACACAACACCCACACATCCAGGTTGGGAGACGACTGGGGCGAATGTAGCGTGTTATCTGGTCTGTGACAAATGCAGCCATGTTGATGTGAATCAAAGAGAGTTGAGTGATCTATGACAAGATAGGAGAGATAATCACAGGATTACGGATGATAAAATCGCTGCAGCGAGAGAGAAGCTATTATAAAGCTGGCGAGAAAGATACTTGACCAGATTGAGACTCTGGGTATATCTATTAGGAATAGTAGGGAGACAATGAACCACAGAAGCGCCCGCGTCCCATCTAGGAAGGCGCTTTTAAGCAGCCTTTGCATTTCAATCTTAACAAAAAGTAAGTCCATGTTCTAAACCCTACGTCCTCTATCAGTTTACATATTTCTGTCGGATTGTGAGAATGTCAGAAATGGCTTCGGCCGCATTCTGGTAGCACAACGAACTTACAATGCAATCTATCGTAGACTATTGTTAGCTAAATGTTAGATGCTAAATGCGCTTATTACGGCAGTGGATCGTTTAACATCTGCTGCCATAATTTGAAATGATAGTAGGCTACAAGGTAGTTGAACTGCGGTACTTACCGCTTCGCATCAATGACCCGTTCTAGAACAGAAAGGCTGACATTCCAACCCAACCAACAGCCAACGGTAAGCGCTCCTTAACACTATGGTGGATCCCACTGACTACATACATAAAGAGCCATCCATCCTCAGCCTTGAGATGCAATAGTTATATACTCTGAACTTCTTTGTTACTTCTAGCACAATGGCCAGTTACCAGCACATCCAACTAGCAACCAAGCCCACAGCCCAAATAAGCTATGGGTTCCACGAGCCTGTCTCCACCCCCAGCACTGTGCTAGTCGTCTTCTTGAATGGAATGGGTCTTCCCCAAGCATCGTGGGCCGCTTCAATTACCCAACTCCAAGAAATCAGACAAAGCTCAACCATTCCGGCCCTACTCACATACGACCGTTTCGGCCAGGGCGAGTCGACAGATCGCGACCCGCAAGACAAAGGGTCCTCTGATCCGACCCACGGCCACGACTGTCTGAACGTAGTCAAGGATCTCCGGCAACTAATTACCCAGGTTGCCAGCGAGAAGCTCGGCGTGGCAGACGTGGACAGCCTCTCCCTCGTGCTGGTGGGCAATTCCATCGGCTGCCCACTCGCCCGTCTCTATGCGCACGAGTATCCCCAGACCGTCGCCGCGCTGCTCTTGCTCGATAGCAATATCGCCAATACGGACTTTGTATCTGTGTTTCCGGACCCAGATGCAGAAGGCTTTAATCCTGATACTCTTCCGCCAGATGTAACGCCAGATCATCTGCGCGCTACCCGCACAAGCGTGGGGAAGATATTTCATCCTGATGTTGGTAGCAACGAGGGTCTCAGCCGCAAGAACCTCCCCACTCTGTTACCTGCGAGCGATGGGCCTATCCTAAAGGGCCCCAATGATCATGGACCCTTTGTTACTGTCGTGGGACACGATTTCGAGACTTTTGCGGAAGAAGCCACCAAGATCGGATGGCCGAAGCCTGTGACCATGGCATATCTGAATCCGTTCTGGCATAAGTATAACGAAGGACTGATTAAGATTACGGAGGGAGCGAGGAGTAAAGGGCCACTGCAGGCGCCGGGGTCGGGGCATTTTATTCAAAAGGATAATCCGGCCTTTGTGGCCCAGGAGTTGGATGAACTTCTCTCGAAGGTGCTACAGTGAATTGTAGATTCAATGTGTGTTAGTAAAGAGAGACTCCAATGTCTAGGTTTCTATTTTTATATGCATATGGTACATCAAGACATCCCAAAATAGACTATGAACAGATGAAGAAGATCGAAAGAAACACTCAAGCCGAATGCATGCTTTCCCACTTGCGGACCGCCTCGTTTGCTGCCGTCACCTTCAGTCCGATACGCGCATCCAGTTCATAGCCTTCCCATCGGGCAGCGTGGTCGAGGAACTCCTTACACTCGCGCACCATCTTCTTCTCGACCTCGGAATTGCCGTCACCAGCTTTGCTATCACCCGAAGAGGGTCGACCAGCTGTCTCTGTCAAGGTTACGGCTGCAGACGGCTCATGAAGAGCCAGGTACGACGGACGCTCCATCCACAGATTGGCAGCCATCTCGAAGTACGCGACGGGATGAACCCAGTCATCCTTCAAATGGCCCTTGAAGAGGGACTTGTCGTGGTTCAGAACGCGGGTCTGGATGATATTCTTGGCTTCAACGTGGTTGCGTAGGGATCTGTGCACGGCAGCGCGCAGCAGGTCAAGAATCGCCTGTTCCTCGGGTCCCTCGCGAGACCAGGTCTCGTTTGCTTCGCTGTCGCACCACGCCAGGCGGGTCAGGGACTCCTCCAGCTGGTCTCGCGTCATGCGGCTGTGCCCGTTCCAGAAGAAAATCATCTCTTCGACGGGATCTACGCCAATCGCGTCAACCAGGGGAACCTTCCATCCCTTGGCCCGGGCCTCCCATTTAGCGATTTTGCGAGCCACGAAGACGTCGAATGGAAGCTGGCGAGCCATGAACCGTTTCTTGCCTGCCAGTGGCGGGGCCTTGCGGAGGTACTCGGTGGCCTTTTGGGCGTGTTCCTCTGCGACCTTAGGGTCGGACTTGGATTCGCGGTAGAGGACGACATGGCAGGATCCGGCAATGTAGTAGTACAAGGCGCGAGACCAGGAATTGAGTTCCACACACTGGGAGGGAGAGTCAGCTGCTTGTTTGTCATTTGAGCAACGGGAGCAAGCAATACTCACCTCCAGAAAAGCCTCCGAGCAAAGCTCGAACTTGTGTAGAAACAGGGCGTTCAAGCTCTTTTCAAACACGCGCAGTCCCTCGACCTGCTTCAGCGGACTCTTCTTGTCAGAGCAGAGGAGCTCCAACGCTCCATTCAAGTCCTTGTTGGCTCCCTTCATTCGGGATTCTTCCAAAAACCACAGCTGACTATTCGGGAATCGGGCCCGCATCTCCGCCAGCAGGGCTGCTAGCCGTTCTTGCGGATAGCCCTCCACGTCGTCTTCGCCGGGGGTTGGATCGGGCATGATGTCGCAGTAACGAACAAATCCGTTATAGTAGGCCAATAATGCCAGAGCGGCGATTGCCCCAATCAGATTGTGGAACTTGCTCGCTTGCCAGAGCATCCTCAAGCCCCGTTGCTTGTCACCATGGAATCCAATTATGGAAAGGAGCCTGCTAAACACCGGGGGTACCATGGAGATCAGTAGAAGCAGAATACCAAAGCAAAAGTTGGCACCCGAATGCACAAAGACATCGATTTCGTTCTTGAAAATGTCGGAGTCCGGGTCGTGGGTGAGATGGGCCGGACCCAGCGAGCATTCATGCGTCGAAACATCCGAATGCTCCTGGGAAACCTCCAACTCAGACATCCTTTGCGGCAGATCCGAAGAGGCAGTCTGCACCGTCGTTGCGGCGCCCTTCTTTGCCGATGTCTGGCTCGAGCTGTCGGATTTGGGGTCTGTCGCACTTGCAAGCACCAGCTGGCTTGGTTCTCGCAGCTCCTTAAATTTCTCTTCCGTCTTCAGAATAGCGTCCAGGGCAATGTAGGCCTTGCGCAACCGATAGAAAGCCTTGATACTCTCCGTCAGACTTTCGTTCATCACGCCAACCACGGCCATCATCAACTGCGCAATGGCCTGGCATAGTGCATACTCGGCACCGGGGTTGTAGATCTCCGATCGGAATGAATTGGGAGCGTGGGAATTATGCTGTGCGCGGTGCTGGTCGCTGGCGGCGGATGTTTCCGCCTCGCCCAGTCGCTCGGATGCTGCTGAGGTCAGAGACAAGCATTGGATTCACACATCTGCCCCAGCACATACCTTGGCGCATAATGTCCTGCTCGAAGCCTAGGGTTGCCCGCACAAACGCGACCACGCCTTTTCCCAGCTACCCACGCCTTGTGTTAGTGCTTCCAGGGCTACGTCATCGCCATGAGGACCACCCACATTGTGAAAAGAGGAAGTGCCCTTTGCCAGGCCCTCCTCGGCACTGTCCACATCGTCGTTGAGGATATTGGTAGCCGCTGTTCAGCCAGTCGTCGTATTAGTGACGCCGCACCGAATTGATATTGAACGAACAGCGTAGAGGCGCTGTAGGAGAGCAAGCATACCTTTCATGGCATCGTCAACTAGCCACAGAGTCTCCCATTAGCACATAGTCTTGGTCGACTAATAGGGGTTAGAGCATAGACAATACTTACGATCCTGCAATTCGGCTAGCGAGTCCAGCGACTGCGTGGAGGCAGTGGCCGGCTTCTTGCCGTACAGCCACGAGCCGACTCGCATCATGACGGGCGGGAATGTCAAAGGCACAGGATGCCCAACAGCACCGAAGCCAATTCAGCGCCTTTCAGGTCCCCAGGCACAAACCCGATTGAATCCGGACGAGTGACGGATCGGGAAGAATGTCAACGAGATACAGTGCGAACCACGTGAACACCTTCCGAGAGCATCAATGGTCTATTTACCTTCTATGGGTAGATGAAAAAGAAGAAGAAAAGGAAAGAAGGGAAGAATTATTACGACGAAGGAAAGAAAAAGGAAAAAACAAGACCGTGGCAGAGGCTGAAGGGCCTGTGGGGGACGATAAGCAAGCCGGTCAGAGTGGCGCGGGCGCACCCATGGGTTTTAACGGTGCTGTCTGCCGGGAGATCCGACCAGTGAAGATCTCCGATTGTGGTTATGATGATAGTAATTATGCTTCACTCCATCTAGGGCACTAAGCAGCAATCATAATACTGTTCGGTATAGTACTTCCAATGTGGTCCATGAACGGTTGCACTGTTTGTTGTAGTTATGCGCTTATCCTTATCTCTTAGTCAGTCTCCGACCGACCACACCTGATCCTCCTTCCCTCACCTCCCACCCAGCTAACTATCCTCCCATCTCTCCCACACACACCCTCCCTCACCTCCCACAATGTCCAATTCCACTCCGGCCCAGGCCAAGGCCGACCCCTCCGACCAGCCCCAGCAGCAACAGAAGCCCCAGGTGCTGGAGGAAGATGACGAGTTCGAGGATTTCCCCGTGGAAGGTACCGCGCAGCTCTCCCCGGCCCCGCAGAGAGACCCGGACTGACCAGACAATGACATATAGACTGGCCCCAGGAAGAAGCCGAGCAGCCGGCCGGCTCGTCGGCGAACGGCGGGAGCGAGCATCTGTGGGAGGAGAGCTGGGATGATGACGATGCCGCGGAGGATTTCTCGAAGCAGTTGAAGTGCGTCCTCTCCCCCCACCCATACCCCTTGAAGCTCCGCCTGGGCTTTAGCTCGTGAATGAAAGATGTGTTTCTAACAGACGTGTCGCGACAGGGAGGAGCTCAAAAAGGTCGAAGCATCGCACTAGAACTTGACGAATCGGACGGACCAGACGGACCAGAAACGAACCCGTGTTGAGGCGAATGGGATCGTGGGACAAACACCTCAGCCTCAAACCCTCTTGCTCTCCCGCTATACCCGTGTCTCTGTGACTCGACGGAAGAGAGCTATGCCTCTTAAAATCAAGGAGTTTTCGGACCAAGAATATTATCAATGAAGCAATGCGAACACAACTATTTTGGACTGTCATTCTATTCCTGGAATTGCTTAGTATATGTGAAGGTGGACATGGCATATTTCGGGAGATAAACAGTCGGACAGGCGGACATCAAAGTCGTGGAGACGACAACTCACCCGGCTTGCTTCCATCTACCTCCGTATCTGAATGCATGATGTCTCCTGGGTCCTGGCCTTGCACGGACGTCTTAATATTCTCTGTCATCTACCACGGCACGGCTATATACATGTAGATCCCACCGCTTCGCTTCGCTTCGTCCTCAGAGCTTCGGTTTCGTATCTGGCAACGACATCACACTTAGCTACCACGGAAACCCTAAGAGTGACAACAAGGAGAGACAAGGTATGATGGAAGTAAATCTGATTGAAATTGTGTGTACGTTACAGCATGAATATGTTTCTGCAGGGGGGAAACCAAAACAAATCCCCCATTGAGAGCCTGCCCACCTGCTTTTTGTTTGGTTTACTTACTGGACAGAGCGGCAACACCGGGCAGCTCCTTGCCCTCCAACAGCTCGAGCGAGGCACCGCCACCAGTGGAGACGTGGGAGAGCTTGTCCTCGGCGTTGTACTTGGCCGCAACGGTGGCGGTGTCACCACCACCGATGATGACGATGCTGCCGGACTGAGCAGCCTTGACCGCGGCATCGAGGGTCGCCTCCGTAGCCTTGGCGAAGGGCTTCAGCTCAAAGACACCAGGCGGGCCGTTCCAGAGGATGGTCTTGGCCTCGCCGATAGTCTTCTGATACTTCTTGACACTCTCCGGACCAACGTCCAGACCCATGCAGCCATCGGGGATACCGGTGGCATCAGTGGCGGTGCCGACGGTGGCGTCGGCGGAGAACTTGTCGGCGGTCACGTAGTCGACGGGGAGGACGATCTCGACGTTGTTCTTCTTGGCCTTCTCGACGATCTCGCCGACGATCTTGCTGCCGGCCTCGTCGAACAGACTGTTGCCGATCTTGACGCCCTCCAGCGTCTTCTTGAAGGTGAAGGCCATGCCGCCCGTGATGATCAGGCTGTTCACCTTGGGCAGGAGGTTGTCGATCAGCTGGATCTTGTCGGACACCTTGGCGCCGCCGAGAATGGCCAGGAAGGGTCGCTGCGGGTTCTCCAGGGCCTTGGCGAAGTACTCCAGCTCCTTCTTCACCAGGAAGCCGGCGGCCTTCTGGGGGAGCTCCACGCCGACCATCGAGCTGTGCGCGCGGTGGGCGGTGCCGAAAGCGTCATCTTTTTTGTCTCGTGGTTAGTCCCCGTTTACTATCTTCCAGCGAATGCACAAACATACTGATATAAATGTCACCCAGAGCAGTCAGTCCTTTCCGGAACTCAGCCACCTTCTCCTTATCAGCCTTGACCTTCTTGCCCTCGGCGTCCTTGGAGCTACCCTCCTCCTCGGCATGGAAACGGAGGTTCTCAAGCAGCACAACCTGGCCACCGGTAGCCTTGTTGACGGTCTCCTCGACCTGGGGACCAACGCAATCCTCGGTGAAGACAACGCTCTTGCCCAGCAACTTCTCCAGCTCGGGCACGACGGGCTTGAGGCTGTACTTCGAGTTGGGCTTGCCGTCGGGCCGGCCCAGGTGCGACATCAGCACGACGGCCTTGGCGCCGTGGTCGATGGCATATTTGATGGTGGGCACGGCGCCTGCGATGCGCTGCGGGTTGGTGACCTTCTTGTTCTCGTCGAGCGGGACGTTGAAGTCAACCTATATCGTCGAATAATTAGTTTGTCATTCATGAACAGCAGCCATTGGTGGGGTGACGGACCCGGATCAGGACTCGCTTGTCCTTGAGGTCGACATCCGTGATGTTGAGCTTGTTGGAGAGAGACATGTTGGGTCGGGTTCTTTCTAGAGCTGTTAGCATGAGAAGGAGGATATAGCGTGGGAGACGGTCAATAATACCTCAACAGTGGACGGGGGAAGATGCGCAGAATTGAGTGAGCTAGCAGGGGGAAAGGGGAAAGAGAGAAGGAAGGAAGGATCTTAACAGGCCACGGTGAGTAAGTTAGTTCAGGCTGGAAAGTGTTTGGAGGGGTGAATCGTAGCAGTGGTGGGGCTGCCGGTGAAGGGACGGCCGCATCCAGCAGATACCTGGAGCGCAAGTACAACGGTCGGGAAGATACTTCCGCCCGTGGGTAGGTTTCACTATAAACTGAAGTACCTTCCAGGAAATGTTACATTATTCCCAAGTCACCCTACTCCCCAGCCAAATCGGACTGATGCGGGACCGACGTCACCGCTACTGGTCGACACGGAACAGCCCGGGGAATCTGACGGAGCTGAATAGCCTCGGAGAAACAGTATTCGTGGCCGGAATTGACGATATCCGCTTTACGATAATAATCGAGAATCTCTAGTGAAAAGCCAGAAACACCCATGAAATTGTTGCGAAAATAAGCCCCCTATAAATGATCCGGGCTGAAACTGCCCATTGCACGAACAGCCAGCCTTTGGAAATGCAGGAAACCATACCCGAACCAGCCTTACCATGAAAAGACAACAACAGACCCTGTACACTATCCATGAAAAAAAAAAAAGGTGAACCGAGTCCAAACCCACCGAAACGCCCGAGCAAGTGGAAAGCAGGAATATCACGAGCAAATGAGGTTCATAAGCTCCATCAGGACGACGACTCCGCAGCGTTCTCCGCAGCGTTGGTCAGGGACAAGTACGCGGTCCACGCGATACCGATGGATGAAACAAAGGGCTGCGGTCGAGACGGTCAGCATACGCAGGGACCAATGTCGGAAAGAAACAACTCACAATCTGAAACTGAATGGGGATGACCCGGAAGTTCAGGACCTGTACCGCCGGCCACAGGACATAGTTGGCCTTGAGTGTGGGCAGGTAGACATCCCGGAACTTGTGCCCCAGCGCCTTCTTGCCTCCGCCCTCGGCGATCGTCATATATGTGAAGAAACAAGCAAGACCTATTGATCATTAGCATCCATCTGCCCAGAACTAATTTCAGACCTTCATACCAATCGGCGCCATGATTAACTGGTCGAGGACAACACGCTTCAAAGCCGGAGTGGTCGGGTACTTCTTCGTGAGCGGGAAGGCCCTGGACAAGAAGCCGAACCACTGGAACTGCACGGGGGCCATGAAGAAACCGTAGGCCATGAACCGCGTGAGGCGCTCAAAGTCGAAGGGGGGCGGCGAGCTCCGGTAATATCCAATCTCCCCAACCGCCGGTGGCTTCTCCTTGTCCAAGTCGTGAATCTCTATCGACATGAAGTCGTCCCGGTTTTCGGATCTCCTCTGTGCCGAGCGCGCCTTCACGGCGGTGATCAGCTGTGCAACGGTATCGGCGATCCCACCAAGCACCTGATGGCCAGAATTAACAAGTGTCACTATATCTCGTTGAGCAAAAAGACTTACGGCGTTGGTCACCATAGTGGTCAGCACTGTGGTGCGAAGAAAGAAGATCTCGTCAGTGGGCTGGTCACACGACACGGGAAGCGGCGGCCGCAGCCTTACCTGGTCTCTCAGCATAGTAGCTGTTGAATTTGGCAGCGAGGCGGGTTGCTACGGCCATCTCGATAATGAAGACGATGGTGTGCAAGAGCGGCTACAGTGACGACAGGGTCAGTCCGGACATTTGCCATGGTCGGTCGGGTCGGGGAATGAGGAAAAGAGTGGGAGGCGACATTGCGACACCGGGGCAGCGAAAGACGTACCACGCGACCGTAGATATATCGCCTGTTCAGGCCATCGACAACCTTACGCTTGGAGGAGAGAAACATGACGACAGGAGTGGATGAGGGTTTTCTTTTATGGGAAGGAAAGTAGCGAAGGCGAGAGAGTTCCGGTTGGGCGAGTGCTGGAGCCTGGGCTTGCGTGGAATGACGCAAAGGGCAGAGGGAAAAAACCAGACAACACAGGACACCAGCCCGGCTCGACCAGCAGGGGGAGAAACTTGATAAAAAGATAAGGTTGATGATGATGATGATGATGAGATGGGAAGAGAATGAATAATGAATGACTTGATGATGCCTGCGACTCCGCTCATGACTAACGGAAGTCACCTGGCCAACAGGCCTGAACGCGCGATCTGCCTTGCAAGTCGTTTCACTTGGAGTGCTGGAGTTCGTGCCTGGCTCATTCTTGACCGGTCAACCTGCGTCACCGACATTCTCCGTGACGGACATAGAATCAGCTAGATGTCGCTATCCGAACTATACCCAGTGATCTCACAGACTCCACTCTGGATCGCATCCGGGTCTGGGCACTGGACGACCCATGTCCGACATCCTGTGGTACACTGGAGTCCCTGTCTCTCTGTACATAGAGTCTACGACTAGCAATTGAACGATTACTATATTCACCCAGCCATAACAATAGACGTTGCTCACTCCTTGTGTCAGATACCACGCAGCCTACGTGGAATACCCGCTCGGAAGAGATCTGGATTCGTAAAGACCTCTTTTGAGGATCGTGTATGTACAGCTGTTCAGGACCCACGCATCTCCACCATCATCGCGGTTGATCGTCGGCGACAATGTCCGGGAGATCGCGAATATCGGTCGTCTCGTTCGTGTTCACATCCACAAGCCGGACAGCTTCCAGATGGAGGGGCCCCGTCGCGAGCGGAAGCAGCGTCAGTTCTGTCGAGTGGCAGGTGCCGGGTAAGAGAGGCCTGGAGCATCATTAGAAACAAACGGGATTAAAATCACCAGAGACCCAAAAAAGACTCACCCAATGCGAATATCCGTGCTCAAGCTAATCAACTCGGCTTCCTGGCCCGCAACGTTCTTCTGCATGGCGTGCACGATATTTTCGTCCGTCACGGCCTCGGCCACCCGGTCCTCCTTGCGGTTGGAAAGCGACGAGGAAGACGGCCGGGCAACGTGACCGCGCGGGTCAACGCGTTTCCGTCGCGGGATAGCAATCAACGCAAATTTGCGCGGCACGGTGGACCGATTGACTACAAACACGTCCCAGGAGAACGGCGAGCCGACTTGTACGCGGACAGGCCCCGAGAATGAGATGGTGACTCCGACATCCGTGACCGAGTATGCCCGTTCTCGTAAAGAGCTTCGGTTGGGGTTTCCCGGTGCTGTCAAAGCAGCTTGATTTGGGTGATTTGGGTTGCTGGGAGTCATTGGCAAACTGGTGGGACGGTGAGTTCGCTGCAATGCTGGACTGGGACCACCAAAGGTCGGGTTGAGGGCCATGGAGAAATCAACATTGGTCTTCCAATTCATAGAAATGCGCGGTTGACAATCGTCAGACAGACGGATGACTGCTCCCAAGGAAATATCAAGGGTGCTGACCATGACTGTCGATGACGGGTTGGTCTCCGGGCCATACTCGGGGGTGAGTTTGTATACAAAAGTCACATCGTCCCTTGGACGGCAGGTTAGAGGGAGTGACAGGCCAGGGACGTCTGATAGCGGCTCAATTGTCCCCTCGGACAGGCGAATGTCTGCTTTATCCAATGAAACCTCGGAATTCAAGAATGGCGTCACTTCAAAATCGAGATTGGCGACGGTTGTTGGAACGCCGGTGTATGCATTTAATCGTGAGTAGCGGATCCTCGCACTTGCCGCTGGCACAACGCGGATCTGACGGCTATTTTGTTGTTGGATATTGAATATGGGGTCTTCATTCGCCGCGGTTGGCACAACACGTAGGAGCCGTGATGCGGGGAGGAAAGGCTCTTTCTGGGCGAATGACTTGTCTCCCGACAAAGGTTGGAAAATGTTCGTGGATGCCGGAACCAGCGGCGGGATGTACTCATCCTCAGGATCATCCTGTAGGGAAGCGTCGGAAGGGTTTAGGGTCGCAGAGGCAGCGAAGATAAGGGAAGGGTTCTGGATGCGGATCCGGGGTCGTTCTTTAGATTTCGGTTAGCTATCAGCAATTTGCACAGCCGTTGGAACCCAAACTCACTGAGGAAGGCGTCGATGTTCCATATGAGATAGACGTGGTTTCCACTGCCTTCATCCCCCTCGAACTCGAATTCGTTGAACACCACCAGCGGGTCTTCCTCGCCGCTAACCAACCCGGAGAATATAAGATCGCGAGTAGGAGTTGGGTTTTCGGCAACGGACTCTGCTGGATCAGTGGCAAACACATCTAGCTTCACGTCGAGTCGCGGTAGAAAGTGCTTCAATACTGTATCGGAGCAATCGGCGAGTCTCAGGACAATGCGAACGGGGAGAGTTTCATCTACCACGCTATGGATCAGTATGTGACCGGACATAAGCCAAATTGTATCAATTGCATACCGAAAAATAGCAGTGACCGCTGCGGAATAGACGAGAGAACGGAGGCTAGATCGTCTGCGCCATCTTCCAGAGCCGCAGTCAGCGCATCCTCGATGTCTAGGCCCGGCGCATGCGGCACAACCGTGTCCAGGACCGCATATCTCAGAAACTCGCCGGGGATCTCCAGACCAGGCATTGCAAGTGGCGCATGCGCACAGGAGAGTCGAGTCGAGTCGAGTCGGATCGGGCGCAAGCTAAGCTCCTACTGCGGAAAAGGGAAAGGGATGTTGACAGGTGCAAACAGTGCAAACACCCGTGCTTCTGCCTTTTTCACGGCAACGGCAACTTTCCTTCACCTTCCTCTCCGACAAGCCACCATGAACCCAATGGCCAATCAATCCGCGCCTTCGGCCTTGTGGCAGGAGGCGCGCAACACCGATGGCAGAGTCTACTATTACAATGTTCAGACAAAGGTGACCCAGTGGAACAAGCCCGTGGAACTGATGACCCCGGTCGAGGTTGGTTTCTTCCCCCCCCCTCTGCCCCGGACGAGCTGGGCTGACTTTTCTTGCTAGCGCGCTTTATCGGATCAGCCATGGAAGGAGTACACGGCCGAGGGTGGTCGCAAGTACTGGTACAACACGGAGTCGAAGCAGAGCACATGGGAGATGCCCGACGTTTACAAGAATGCTCTGGCACAGGCCCCTGCTCCCCAGGCGGCCCCAGTCGCGTAAGTCGGAATTGATTTCTTTGTTTTCTGAAAGTAACTGACATGAAAACTGCAGTGGTCCCTCATTTGTTGCCGGAGGTTCGAGCTCTTTCCCCCTGCCCAGCAGCGTGATCGTGACGAGTATGACCGCGGATACGACCGTCGTGGCAGATATGGAGACACCAACGGAATGGTAGCAGCGCCGAATTTGGGTACTCAGAACGAACCCGCATACAACTCCATCGAAGAGGCGGAAAGTGCATTTATGAAGATGCTCCGGCGGCACAACGTGCAGCCCGAATGGACATGGGAGCAGACCATGAGAGAAACGATCAAGGACCCACAGTACCGCGCGCTCCGAGACCCGCGAGACCGCAAGGCAGCCTTTGAGAAATATGCGGTCGAGGTTCGCTTGCAGGAAAAGGACCGGGCGAAAGAGAGATTCGCTAAGCTGCGCGCAGATTTCAATACTATGCTGAAGCGGCATCCTGAAATCAAGCACTACAGTCGCTGGAAGACTATTCGGCCCATTGTCGAGGGGGAAACTACCTTCCGAGCCACCAACGACGAGAACGAAAGGCGCCAGCTCTTCGAAGAGTACGTTATTGAGCTCAAGAAGGCCCATGTCGAGAAAGAAGCTGCGACCCGCAAGGCGGCCATGGACGAGCTGGTGAACATCTTGAACTCGTTGGATCTCGAGCCGTACACGCGCTGGTCGGAAGCTCAGGCAATCATCCAGTCCAATGACAAGGTTCAGGGCGACGATAAGTTCAGAACCTTGAGCAAGTCTGATATTTTAACCGCTTTTGAAAACCATATCAAGTCCCTGGAACGTACCTTTAACGATGCGCGTCAGCAACAAAAGGCTGTCAAGGCCCGGAAAGAACGTCGGAATCGGGAGCAGTATCTGGAGCTACTGAAGGAGCTCAAGTCGCAGGGTAAGATCAAGGCCGGCACGAAGTGGATGACTATCTGTCCGATTATCCAGCAGGATCCCCGGTATCAAGCAATCTTGGGACAGCCCGGATCGACACCTCTTGAACTGTTCTGGGACATGGTCGAGGAAGAGGAGCGCTCACTTCGTGGTCCTCGGAACGACGTTCTTGATGTTCTGGACGACAAACGATTCGAAGTCACACCCAAAACCACGTTCGAGGAATTTAATTCAATCATGACCGCTGACCGCCGCACCTCCAAGATCGACCCTGACATACTCGAGCTCATCTTCCAGCGCGTTCAAGAGAAAGCAATTCGACGAACGGAAGAGGAGAAGCATGCGGCCGACCGTCATCAACGTCGCGCAGTCGATGCTCTTCGCTCTCGCATCAAACGCCTGGAACCGCCCGTGCTTGTCACAGACACCTGGGAAGAAGTGCAACCTCGCCTCGAAAAGTACGAGGAGTACAAGGCGCTGGAATCCGATGAGCTGCGCTTGTCCGCATTCGAAAAGATCATTCGCCGCCTGAAGGAGAAAGAAGAGGATGCAGACCGAGACCGTGGCAGCCGCCGAGACTACGACCGCGAAGAGCGTGACCGCCGCCGCGAACGCCACGCCACCGGCAGCCGCATGAGCCGCACCCCTGAACCGGATGCGTACGAGGCAGACCGTCGCAAGGCCATGGCAGACCGCGAACGATCCTATCGCAAAACCAGCGGCTTCTCCCCGTCGCGAGACCGTGATCGAGACCGCTACCGAAAGCGGGAGAGAGACCGAGACGACCGTAGCTACCGCCGTGACTACGACCGGCGCGAGGACGAGCGCGAGCGCTTGTACCGGGCCCGTGGCGACCCGCGCGGAAGCCGTGACGAGCTCGACTATGGTGATACGCGCAGCACAACGAGTACGGATCGCCGGCGCCGGCGCGACAGTGATTCGGAGAGCGTGGCTAGTCGGTCGACGAAGCGGTACCGTCGCGATAGTCGCGAGCGTGACCGCAGCAGGGGCGCGAAGAGAGATCGGGACCGTGAGCGTCCTCGGGAACGCACTCCCGCTACTCCTACTGCTGCTGCGGAGGAAGCCAAGAAGGAAGAGAAGGCTATTCATTCTGGTAGTGAGGAAGGGGAGATTGAGGAGGAAGAATAGATCTGGAGCGTTGCTATGCTTGCAGCAGCGTGGTGTGAGACACTCAGAACCCAATATAATATGCTCATTTTGGGTATCAAATATGCTCTTCCTATAGCTTTGTATGCCGTGGCTGTCTTTTCTTCCGTTATGTCGCCATGTTGATATCAAGCTTGGTCCAGTAACACAATGATAAATAATTTAAAAATGAATACCTTCTCTCCACCGAAAAGCAAACCCTTTGCAAACGCCCTCCCAGCACTCAAATATCCTCATCGTCCCTCTCATCCCACCCCCTAAACATTGGCACGAAACGACCCTCATGAACACCCGCCATCCTCAGCATAATCCTCCTGATATGCACAACGGAGATAGCAATCGCAACGGAATTCCACACATCCTGCGCCGTCTCGGAGAGATCAAACTGGCCGAGATATTTCACCTTCACGCTCGCATCTTCCCTCCAACCCAGCGATCCGGGATCCGTATCGAGCGAAACGAGTGCCACGATGGGGCCACAGAGCACGAATCCGATCAAGGTAGGCCAGGAGATGCTTTTGCTTTCCACTTCTGCTGCCCGGGATAAAGCAGTTTGGTGTCGTTTGGCTAGTGTCTCCAGTCTGAAATTCATCCGCGTAATGGCTGCTAGTGTGCTCTCGCCTTTCTTCTGGGCGTATACTGCGTGGACGGGAATGACTGGAGAATCGGTCTTCAGGCCTGCGTCGTTGAGAACCCAGCGCATGTACCGCTGTATAGCCCGTTGGATAACCCGTTGTGGGGGAGCAGCCAGCACCTGGCAGTCGCGGACATGGCCGCCGGTAGCAAGGAGCCGTTGGAGGGCTTTGATAGCGCCGAAGTCCGAGCCGCGGTGGGATTTGAAGACTAACTGCTCATCATCACTAACACCACCGTCGTCGTCGTCTTCTTTATCCGGGCTACCCTTGTTGTCCTCGTTGTCATCGCGAGTAAACAGCCAATCAGGCAGCGTGGAGAAATCCCTCCGCCAATGCGCAGACATAAGGGGCTTGCAGCCTCGCGTCGCCAGATCAAGAAACAGTTTCTGCTCGTCTTCGCCCAGGTTCGAGTCCTCGGGTATATTGACGGCCTCGGCGAGCCGTCTCGCTTTCTCGTGCGTGAGTTCGAAGACGAGGTCATCACGCTCGGCGCGGGAGATGTTTAGATTCTTTTCTTCTTCGTCACTTGCTTCGGTATGGATACCAGTTTCTGAACGGGGCTTGGTAAATTTTTGCTCGCTTTTGCGGGGTGTTCGCTTCTTTCGTTTGGGGACTTCTGGCTTTTCCTTTTCCTTTTCTTCAGTGGAAGAAGCGCATGAGGATTGTGCGTACGAGGCCTCGGGGGCTGCTTTCTTGGGTGTCTTGCGCTTTGTGGTGGGCGTGGTGCGAGAGTTGCCGTTTGGGATGTTGGTGGAGCGGGTGCGTTTGGGTGGTCGTGTAGATGGTTGGTGTTCTGCGTCTGTGGTTGTGCGCTTCAATGACTTGGTGCCGGAGACCGATGAAGCGGGTGAGGATGCTCTCGATGAGCGGATTGTTCGAATGACTTGCTCGGGATTCTCGAGGTTGGTGGCCATGGCTGGAAGTGCAGATTCTGAAAGAAGAGAAGTTGACTGCAGTGGTTGAATCAGACGAAAACTGGACTGGGAGTGATTGATGTGCGTTGACTTGTCGTGTTGGAGGAAGCCTAGAGTAAACAGCCAGAGAATTTCCGAAGAGAGGTGCAGAGGAGAAGTATGAGTGAGATTTGAGATGGAGGAAGAGGATGGACGACGGTGGATGACAAGTCACAACGAGTAAAGGGACTCGTGATAAGGTGAATGAAGTACGACGGCTTTGTTGCTGACCTCGAGTCCTCAAAGGAAACAGACTCATGATAGGCTGGGGGGTGGACTGTGCAACAAAGAAAGAGGCGTTGGGGATGGTAAGTTGGGAACAAAGAAACAATCACTCTACCCTACCCTACAATATTGAACACAGCAGTCATTAGTTCGTATTTGCATCTCCAGTTCACCCGCTGAACGAACCGCCGAACTTTGGCAAAACAAAACTCCCCTCATCGTCCCATCGCCAGCCGTGATGTAGGCGGCTGAGCGAACAGCCCAAGCAACATCGATCTCATCTCGTCTCAACTCCCCCAATCAGAAAGAAAGACCACAAGAAAGCAAACAATTTAGATAATCAGAAATCCGAAGGAAGCAAGAGGCACAATAGCAACATGGAGAGGCGCGCGGCGCGGTAGCAAGCATTATCATGTTAATTCAAGAAAAGAATCACAACAGCAAAGCGAGGCGACCCGTCAGTCGGAGCCGGTCACTCGAAAGAACCTGCGCGGGAGGGGGTATGTAGAGAGAGATAGAGGCCAAGAGCAATCTGAAGAGCAAGACGGACTAGAAGAAGCGCGTGGAAGAAAACAGCCAATGCCCATAACACACCAGTCGCATAAATTTTTTTTTCTCTCAGCAAGAAGTTCTCAATGCAACCAAAGCGAAACCGGATGATTCAGACCGAAATCAAGCAAAGTCGGCCGTGTAGGAGAAGCCGCGGAACTCCTCCTGCATGGCCTGCGAGAGCACCGATTGGACGGGAGTCAGGACCGGAGTCACGCTCGTGAATTCCTGATCGAAGTTGCTGGTATCGGTGGGGCTGCTGATCGTGGGGATGAACGGCGGCGGGACCCGCTTGTGGTAAATATCATCCCAATTGATGTTGCGGAAGAAGGCGTGAGACATGACTTCCTGAGCATCTGTCGGGCCGGACCCCAGTCGCAATTCGGGCTCACGAGTCAACAGCTTCTGGAGAATCGAGACCGAATCCCGAGGCATGTGGATGGGGTAGAGGGGCTCGTCGGCCAGAATGGCGTCGTAGATTTCGTCTTCATCCTCACCGCGGAACGGAGACTGCTGGAGAAGCATCTGGTAGATGAGCACCCCGAATGCCCACCAGTCGACTGCGCGGCCGTATCTCTTGTCTAGAAGAATCTACAGAGATAATTAGCTGATAGTTGTGGCAAGCGAATCCATCACACATACCTCAGGAGCCATGAACTCGGGTGTACCGCAGAATGTGCTGGTCGTGGCACCGTACCACATGTTCTCCTTGCAGAGACCATAATCGGCAACCTTGATGTGGCCGTCCAGGGTGAGCATAATGTTGTCGAGCTTCAGATCACGGTAGATGACGCCGTTCTCGTGGAAGTACTTCAGAGCCAAGCAGACTTCAGCAGCGTAGAATCTGTAAGAATCGAGTTAGCAGTTGTGAAGAAAATTGCAAGCGGAAAAAACATACTGCGCCCTCTTGAGGCCGAACTGGCCGCGCTGAATGTGCAACATCAGATCACCACCGCTGATGTACTCCATGACGAAGTACACTCGGGTCTCCGTCTGGAAACAGGCGTGCAAGTTTAACAGGAACGGGTGTCGTTCCTTATTGGCGATCAGGAACACGCGCTTCTCGGACTTGGTGCTCTCCACTTCATCATTTTCGATGATGAATTCCTTCTTCAACACCTTAATGGCATAGAGCTTGCGGGTAGTTTTGGTTTCAGCCAACATGACCTTACCGAAGTTACCCTTTCCAAGCACAGAAAGGAAGTTGAAATGATCCAGTCCGATCCGGGACTTGGCCTGCGCTGGCGGAGCCTCCTCCTTGACGGCCGGTGTAATTTGCGTCGACACAGTCGTCATGGGTTGTTGTTGTTGAGGCGGCTGCATCGGAGAGTAAGGCCCAGGTGCGACACCCGACATAGGCTGGCCCGAAGGTGGGAAGTCTTTATAGGCGGAGGGAACATAGGCCTGGTGTGGAGGAGGTTGCTGAGACTGTGGCGATTGCGGGGGACGGCCCATATCCACTACAGTCCAACAGTCAACACTGAGAAACTGAAAAATGTAGGTGTTATTATACATACCTGATGTCTGCTGGGGTGTTCGCAATCCTGTCGCGACTGCGGCGGCCGTGGCGGCAGTGGAAGCAGAACCCGAAGAGGGCAGCTTTGGCGGGATCTGTGGGCGCTGGGTAGCAACAGATGGTGACTGTGGAGTCATATAAGAGTTAGTCGCAGCGCTTACTGCTTCTGCAGAAGCCTGTCTGGGGATCGCCCCGTAGCCCTCGGAGGGCTTGGGTGGATGGATATTGTCTTGAGGGGGGTGTGGGGGACCGCTGGGGCGAAGGGTACGGCCACTAAGACCTGAACTGACAGATGCAGACTTGTTATGATTCTTGGCGCGAATCAGGGTCTCCAGGATCTGGTTGGCAGCTTCCATGGACATGCCGCAGAAATCAGGCACAAGGTGAGTGCAGTGAGCGTGGCAGGTAAGACCGCATTCTAGAGAAGTTAGTATATGGCCCTCAAATTAATACGATGGAGGGTCTGCATACCGCTACATCGCTTGGCGTTCTTGCGTCCAAAAGGCAGCAGGTAACCGCAGTGACAGCACCAGTTGGCGGAGATATTGGAGAAACCTTCGAAGCGGTGCGGAATCCGGTGATTGATCTTCTCCTCGTCCGGATCGGTCTCGTAGTTCGCCTTGCTGATACACTTGGTGACAACCTTGGGGTAGCATTTGCGGTGGCAGGTGTATTTGCAGTCCGCACATTGCATTCCGGCCGCGTATTTGAGGAAATCTCCACACAGCGCACAGCGCATGATGTTGTAGAATTGTTGAGTGACGAACTTGTGGCCCTGCTTCTCGTGGATCTCCTCCTTCTTTTGGCGCACGGCGCCCTGTCGATTGAGACCGATGTCGAAGGGTCGACGATCCTTGAGTTGTTTGGCTATTCCAGGCATTAGTGGTTTGAGTTGAACGTAAAAGAACCAGGTGTGACTTACCGAAGCTCATTGACACGTGTATCCGACCAAACGGCTCCAAAGCGAACCATGAATCAATCATGACGGAAGGAGGAGCACCCGGCATCTCGCTATGCCCTTGGCCTGCTGTGCCAGGTCGGCCACCCGAGCTGGGATGTCCTGGAGGCCCTCCGTGTGTGGAGCCAGAATAGTCAGGTCGAGGCATTCCTGAGCCCTCCATCTTGTCTGCCGAAACCCATCCGGATGCACCCAGCTCGGTCTCGATCTTCTTGCGACGCATCTCCTCCGCGATGTCGGAGATGCGTACCCAAAGCATACCGATAGGCGTCGGGCGGTCTCCAGACTTGTCGTATACAGTAAGCTCGATCTCATTGGCCTTGTCGATATCGATCGAAAATGACTCGTCGAGCCATTTATCGTTCCGACTGGCCTTGGTTCTGGCCTTTACCGCATCTTCCACTTTGACGATGACAAAGGTCTCCGGGCCTCGGGAGAATCGTGAACTTGCGGCGTGGTCGACATCTTTCACAGCGTGGATTCGCATGGTCAAGAGACCGGTTAGCGGCTTGCGCATGTTCGGACTGCTGAGCGATTCGTCTGTTTGGGGGTCAGTCACACGCGGTTATACCATTCGACAGGGCATTCATACCATCCGGCGCATCAGAAGACTCAATGTCGACGTGGAGATCCTCATATCGCTTGAGAGCCTGCTTCAAGAGCTGGATCTTTTGGTTACTCTCGATGCGACGGCCCTCAGCATCCGCACGGCTCTTCCTGTCGCCTTCATCCTGGTACAGGCGAACCATCTTCTCAATACCAGCCTTGTATTGTTTCTCGACGCTCAGCTTGAACTCGAGCTGGGACAGCATGAGCTGAATCTTGGGGCCGAGGTAGGGCGTGTCATATTTGATCAAATCTGCAATTCAGCCAGACATGTTAGCAAAGAACCTCGCCTCTATAATTCCATGGAATGCAGGTAAATCACGCACCCAACTTCGTATAATTCGGCCTCGCCTTGGGGATAGGAGCATAAGGCCGCGGATCCGAGTACGGCGCACCAGAAGGCATACTACCCGTGCTTCCCTGAGGGTAGCCATAGCCATCACCGTATTTCCCACCGGCACCGGGATAGTCCTTTGGAGGCGGCGGGGGAGCGTTCCCACCGGCACCGGGCCCGCGGCGCTGGCCTGTAGGCGAGCCGCCACCATCCTGTTCCATGCGACGGATCTGCAATTCCTGCATCTTCTCCTCGAGGTAGGCAATATTTTTCCAGCCATCGCGGATGTTCGCATCGACTCGCTGCTGCACGAGCGGATTGTCGGTCGACTGCCGCATGTTGCTCGCCGCGGCGATCAGGGCCTTCTCCCGCTCGATCTTTTTGTAGACCGCGGCAATAGGGTCGTCGCTGTCCATGGTGGCGGTGTTGTTTTTGTGGGGGTGGTGGTGGTGAGCGTAGGAAGGGATGTGGTGGAAGCGAAGGTAATTATCGCGGGGTCTGTTTCTCTGTCCCTCGCTCGTGTTGTTGACAGGTGGAGGGGGAAAGATGAGAGACCCGGGACACTTTCGAGGGGAGTGGGCAGGCAGTGGTGGGAGTGTGGGATCCAAGTGTTTCAGGCGTCAAGGGCGCCGTTACCGCCTGGCAGAAGAGATCATCAGCGATGGAGATGAAGATGATGGTGAGAAAAAGAGAGAGGGAAGAAGAGAAGAGAGAGAGACAGAAAGGGAGGGGAAGTGTAGTGTGGCCTGGCTATCGATAAGCCCCGACACGAAAACACAGCCAGTCACCGACAACCAAACTAACCAAGTGGATGTACTCACGAGGGTATCCCTTGCCGCGTGCATGGAGGGGTGGTCTTTTGGGATCTCCAGACAGATATCTAGCCGAGTCTAGGAGTGCGGTGCATTCTTGATGCGAGCGAACAGTCGGTTTGGAGACTACTGATTCAATACAACACTCGGTGGGTAGACACTCGGTGGATAAACACACCTCGACTCGTGATGTCACCAAGACTAGACCCGACAATGCCATTGTATTCATGATTGTGGGCTAAAGACTATGTAGTAATTCAATGTACCGGGCATACATACATGCAGAGACCCTGAACGCCATATGCGAGCCTGCCCTAACCTAATTATGCCCACAACATATTGTACCGAAAAAAGGTATTTTGGCGACCAACACCACAACCACCACACCACCCCTTACTCGGATCGCTTGGAAATCTTTGGTAGCAGCAGCCAACTGGTAGCCATCACTCCGTATAATCCAATACAGATGGGGTGCAGGACCATAGTGCCCACATGCTGCGCCAGCAGACCCGTCAAGAATGGCGACACGGCACCGCCGCTGCTGCCGAGGGCGCTGACAAAGCTCAGGCTGGACATGTGCATGCTCCGGGGGAGCAGCTTGGTAAAAACCGTCGTGGCGCAGGGATAGACGGGCCCCAGGAGCAGGCCGAGGATGGCGACGGAGACGGCATCGCCGATCACGTTCGGGATGAGCCAGGTCATCAGCTGGAAGGCGACGGCGCCAGCCACCATGCTCACGACGGCGATCTTCTCGCCGATTCTGTGTGCCGGGTGCGTCAACACGAACCGGCCGACCGTGATGCCCGCCCAGAAACCCGCGCTCACGTAGCCGACGTGCTTCGGGTCGCCGTGGCGGTAGCTGATTAGGAAGGAAACGACCCAGCCGGAGACGGAGACCTCGGCACCTTGGTAGGCGAAGATGAATAGCGCCCCGAGCAGCGTGGTGCGGTTCTTGATGGACTTCAGAACGACCTGGAGCCGAGTCAGAGGCTCGCCATCGACACCTTCGGGACGGGAGGCTGTGGGCTGAAGAGCCATCTGCGGCTCGATTGGGGTGTCTTTTTCGTAGTTGTAGAATGTCCATGTGGTAAAGAGCAGATTGACTACGGCGATGCCCAGGGCGATACCATAGAAGAACGACCAGCGAATCCCGCTCGACACCATGGCCGTTGCGAACAACGGCGCCACGGTGCCTCCAATCCCATAGGAACCATGCATACACCCCAGTGCCGTAGTGAAATTAGAGAGATTAGCACAGAAGACATTGCTGAGAGCCAGGTTGAAGGCCTGGCCGAAGCCCAACAAGAGGAAACTGGCCACCACTGCAGGGAAGGGCGGCTGGCAGATGATGATCACGTATGCAGTCACGGAGCAGGACAGAGCCAGCGCATAGCTTCGAGAGCGCCCGAGTTTGCTCTCGATGGTGTGAGTGAGCGGTGCGGCGAGGATAAAGCCCAGGGCATTGGTCACGAAGATGAGCGAGACCACGGCATATCCAATGCTGTAGTGCCGTTCTATGTATGGGATCAAAGCACCGGGGGCACTATCATTCATGCCATTCCCGAACTGGAGCAGACAACAGCTTAGTAGCCGCCATTTGGTCTTTGGTGGCGGTGTAGTGCGGTCCGCAGCAAATGCGGTGGTTGTATCTTCGGCTTGGATGGGAGTTGGTAGACGGTTCTCCAGCACGCTGGGAGTTGGCATCGAAGGCGACAGCTCCTGAGTCACTCGTGCGGAAGTGTTTGGTTGAAGTACATTCAATTCATAGTCTGATGGTGCTGGGGCAGCACCTTGCTTATCCTTGCGTACTGCAGCTGGTGGACTGGCCAGCTGGGGAGAGCTCTCGATTTCGAAGAGGGTGCCGAGGGAGGCGGCCATTGTATCGAAATATGTGTTTCTGACAAATGTTGAAGTTCATTGACCAAAGCTCGCCCTTTATTCTAGACAGGAATCCATATTCCGAACCCTAATTCATGGTTTGTAATCGATCTGGGGATTCCAGGTTTGCCCCACCGATCCACGGATTTTTTTTCTTCCACCACTGTTTTACTAACCACGATATCATCTACGACATTACAGGATGTCTGGAAACTGCGCGCTGTATCCATGGTAGCTAGAACATATTATGGAACCAAGGTGGTCCATCATGTTAATTGATTTGATCTCGTATTAATTGGCCATGCCAATAAAACAAGAATACAATAGCCAGGAATAGTTTAACGAGTAGTGTATCCCCCGTTGGCAAAAATAGTCTGGCCAGTAATCCAATTGCCTTCAGTACACAGGAAGCGAATAATAGGAGCAATGTCCTCAATCATGGTAAGCCGGTTGTCCATGGCGTTTGATTTGTGAAACTCCACGGCTTCTGGAGATTCTTGAGGATAGAAGAAAGCTGTTGATAAAATCCGATGTTAGATCTCAACGAGCAAATAAACCGGGGTATTCATGTTGAAAAGCTTACGCGTATCCATTGGTCCTGGGGCAATATTGTTCACACTGATCCTGCGAGACTGGAGCTCCTTACAAACACCCCTATAATATTGTTAGACGAGTAATTTGGCCAGGACAAGGCTAGCGACATACCGAGTGAAGTGCTCTACCGGAGCTTTACTGCCAGCGTAGGAAGTATAGTAGCCAGTAAAGGCACCAAGAAGGGCAGTAACGATGGTTATAATCTTTCCACCATCCGTCACATGAGCAGCGGCTTCTTTGAGAACGAAGAATGCAGTTTTGGAGTTCACGCTAAGAGAACAATTAGCTATCGCCATCTTGCAATTTCGCAGATAATTTGTGGACACATACGCGAACATTGTGTCGTACTCCTCCTCACTGATTTCCGTGATGGGCTTCTTTAGCACCTTGCCGACCGTGTTGACCACAATGTCGATGTGGCCAAAATCTTTAAGAGCATCTTGGAACAGCTTCGTCACCGCAGAGGCGGAAGTCAGGTCACCCTGGTAAATCGAAACTTTGATCGATGGATTTTTCTCCTTGAGCTTGGCTTGCAGGGTTGCTGCATCCTTTTGGCTGAAGGAAGAATGATGGTGTAGGGCAAGATTGGCACCAGCGCCCGCCAACTCAAGAGCAGTCTGAGCTCCGAGGTTCTTGACACCGCCGGTGATAAGAGCGACTTTACCAGCAAGACTCATATTTGTATAAACGGTAGGTGGAAGTCGAGAAATAAATCACAATCAAGACTCGTGCAATTGAGCAAGTAGACTGCAGTCTTGATCAAGGGAAGGTTCATTACTTAAATAATGGCATGAACCTGCCGTGACGTAAGAGAAGCGATACAGCCCGCATTAGTATGCGTTATCTCCAATAGGAAAATTGTGGGGCGATATACCGGAGACCTTGTATGATTGGGGGTTAACATGTGGGTCGAAGATCGAATGTGATATCCCGTTCAGGAAGTCCCACCAGGACATCTGAGAAAGCATATGATGAAAAGTATCATAACGTCATTGAGGATATGCTTTTTCGGCGAATCCTTCAAAGACCGGGATATGTTCTCTCACGAGCTTCCGAGAAAATGACCGGGATTCGGATCGGGAAAAGGTTTGCCTAATACGAAGCCATCGACTGGGAAATACATCGCGGATCCATGCAGAAAAGCGGCATTGCGGTCAATCCAGATCACGATGCGATGGAGTAGGCCATTCAATCCGAGTGATGCAAAACCCCCTCGTAAGCTAATGACTCGGGTGAGACCCTGCATGTGAATATGATAATTCTCGAGGCTGCCGAACATGGCTTCATAGCTAGCCATCTTTGCTATAGCCCCTACTAGAGCATCCCCTATAGTCCCGGGCTGCTGGTCTTCAAGGCTGAGGTTGATGGATAATACAGCTTCATAACGAAGAGCAAGGAGGTTGGCCCTCATTTCTTCAGTGCTGCCCAGTAGGGAAGCATAGTGCGATGCAGCTAGAAGCATGATGACCGAGAACAAGGCGGGCTCGGTCATCACTAATGGGAACCAACTGGTCCTTAACAGGCCGTGGTTCCCAGGCAGATCAAGTTCAGGGATATCAACTGCCATGTGCATCAAGTCTAGTCATCCTAAGTAAAGTCCGATTTTCGGGCTCGGATTCACAAAGTTACTTACAGTGATCGACGAGCAGGGGAATCTCAGGTCGGTCCGAGATAGGATATGATTTGAAAGGATCAACTCTGAGTCCGCCAATTTGAGGCGATATCGAGATTGGTGGCAGTGTCGAAGTGAGCGAATCGGATTCATTCCAACACGTCGCACCGTTCAGATCCTGGGAACATAACGACGCCTTCTTCCGGTGCCTTTTATCACGACGCACAAATCTCTTCCATTGCAAACGCGTTACATGAGATCGGATTTCGGATGTTTTGGCGAGTTGGAGGGCGTCCTTTGGCTCCTTGACGTTGATAAAGACGAGATCCGTTTGGGCCATGCTATTATGTGATTATGTTTTGGCTTCCCTGGCCCTTTCAACATCCTCCAGCAGAGAGGTGACAGGAGATAGAGAGAGGCGAGTGGATGGATGTTCCAAGTAATATACGGCTATACAATACAATACATATAGTCTAAATAGGGACTAGCGCCGGCTTGGCAATCCGGGCTCTTAGGGCTCGAGAATCAATCGAAGAGTGTACACCAGTTTCACGAAATTATTCACAATGGGTCCCCCGCGCCGCAAAGTGCTAGCTACAGCGGAAGAGACGCTCACACCCCCGGACTCCCTAGCTGCCAATCAGCAGATCGCGCGCGCCATCAAGGCAACCGGCAACAACATCTACCTGGTCGAGCAGCCCTGCAAAACACAGTGTCTCGTGGAGCTGCCTGCGCGCTTCCGGTCAACCTTCTGGATCAAACGGGGCTCGTACGTCGTGATCGATACCACGGCGCAGGATGAGCGTGACAACAAGATTGGCGGGGAGATTGTGAATATTGTCCGCGATGAGAAGGCGTGGCGGAAGGCGGCTTTTTGGTACTACCTCCACCCTTTCATTGGATTCAATTGCTTGTGGAGGATCATATATTGACAAATATTTGTCTTTTTCAGGCCAAAGGAGTTTGTGAAGCAGCCTGTCGTCGCTGCAATTGACTCGGATGATGAAGAAGAATCGCGAGTCGGCCAGATGCCGCCCTCGGACGACGAGTCGGATGCGTGAATCCTGTATCTACGGATGTGTTTCACCAAAACAAGGGTTTGAGATGTCTGGAATATGCCACTGGGTTTTTTTTTTATTGAATGAGCTCTTTCCGAGGACCACCATTATCTACCTCGCTCGACCCATTCAACCACACCCCCAACACCTGGACACCGAGCGACAAGACTACCACCGCCGAACTCACGTTGCTGCTGGGATAGACATTCCAAGCCCACTCCTGCAGTGCCCAAACGACATACACAAGAACCGGGTGGAGGCCCGTCCGCCAAAGCAGAAACGGGGTGGCCCATGACAAATAGGCGAAGAACTGGTAGTGCAGGGACCGAGCACAGAGCAAGCCAATGACCAGCGAGCTCAGTGTGACGGTCATAATGAAGGATTTGGAGAGGGCGATTGGTTGCTGGCGGCCTTGGAGAAGGCCCTGTGCCCAGCGGAACACATTATTGGTGCCGGAGGGCCTTACCCAGGAGGCGGAGAAGATAGCCAGCAGGGAGACGTGGAGGACCAGCAAGGCTAGAGAGAATTCCTTCGAGAGAAATGTGTCTTCGCCGACGAATCGCCAATTCACCGTCCATTTGAACAAGAATTGCCTGGAGAGCTCGAACGCGCGCGAGAGATAGCCCGTAGGATTGGCTTGGAGGAAAGGCACCGCGAGCAGGACCTGCAATAATGCCTCGTCAGTCATTTGTACACCTAGCCATATTTCCGCGTACACCAACCTGGATCAGAACTGCCATAGCCCCCAACGCGACACTGCGCGTCAACCCCAGACTGAGCAGCGTGAGCACCGCAATCGCCGGCACGAGCAGAACGAGCGTCATCTTGACCGCCACGCCGGCAGACCACACCGCAACGCCAGCGGTCCACTTGCGCTTTTGATAGAGATAGATAGCCAACCACATAGCGAACGCGGCGACACCATCATTGAACAAGCGCAGCACGAAGATGCTGTGCAGGCGTTTGGACAGGACGAGCAGCGGGAACAGGTACGGCGGCGCACCGGCGTGCCTGTAGCAACCCAACACGACGACCAGAGTCGACAGGTACAGCCCCGCGAACAGTATCTGGCCAACCAGGATATCGCGCCCTTCATCGGTGAGGTGGTAGAGGAGCGTGTAGATGTAGACGTGGGCGGCGGGGTAGACGAGTGGGCCGGTCGAGCCTTTGATCAGGGTGTAATCGCGTTCTCCGGAGATGTAGAGCGAGACCTGTTGCATGTAGGTTGTCCAGTCAATCTCGGTGTCTAGAGTGCCGTGGTCAGTTTGGTTGAACGGGACAATTGTTGTTGTCGAGATGCGAGCTCACAGGATATCTTCCAGATAACCAGCGCGCACAGGGCTGCATCGCCGAGGAGCAGCAGAGGGGCCATCCATTTTGTATGCCGTGGATTGGTGAGGATGTCGACTAGGAGGTCGGACAGGGCCATGGCGAGGTGGCTGGAAGGAGATATATGGCGTCCCGTCCACTCACGTCTCCTTTAGTATAGGTTACGTAAGATCTTTAGTCGCCAATTGGTTGACGTGAAGTATGAAAGGCCGGAGTTAGAACTACCTTTCAAATCAGGACTTTCTAGGGAGTGAACATGAATATATGTTCTGATAATAAACACGGCTGATCCGGCCAATCTCGCAGTGTTTGCCCCAAAGTATGTAACTCCCGCCAACGGCACCGAATTTGGGCAGAGATTGCGCCCAGAACAACGGAGTCCGTTCATCCGGACGATCCCATCTACAAAGCGGGAAGTGTGTATCGAGGCAATCCGATTTGGAAGGACATATCGTCCTTTCTACCGCCTGCTGGAGAGTGACGAGCTGACCGTTTTGGAGTTGCCATTGAATAGTTGAAATATTCCTACTTCAAAAAGATTGTGTCCTCGTACGCCGAGTAAAAGCCATACGCCAATTGTAGGTCGTAAATATAACCAGCGATGTGGGCGAAGGATTGTAGGTATCCAGACATCTCGATGACAGCTTTATCAAACCCCTCAATAGAATACGAGGGCGGTCTTTGCACCCCGGCTTCATCCCGACACGGATCTGCTCATTGGCGATGTTGTGGGGTCCTGGTTCGGGAGGGAAAACACTGTGTGAGCAGGTGATGCCAAATGGAACCCATTTCCAGATTCAGGGTTGCGAAGCTCGATCCAGCCCCAAAGGTTCACTGGCCGTACTTCATCTGCTGAGGACAGACTTTCCCCGGACTCGTCTACGAGGGGAATACGTGACGGTATCATGGGCCACGCCGCAATAAATGTCTTATCTGGCCCAGCATTGCCATGTTTCTTCTCAGCATGTTTCTTAACATCCCATGTCGAGGAAATCGTCTTGCCACAATTGAGGTCCTCTGCGTGCGCCAAGAAAAGTTTTCCCGAGTTGACTTATCAGAGCTCTCTTAGCATGCTGCTCTGCACCCGATGTCGATGAAAACGTCTTGTCGCAGTTGAGGTCCTGTGCGCGCGGGCAGGGGCATCTATATCCGACTTTGTCGTGCACCTCCTTAGCAAGCTGCTTTGCATTTCTCATGGAGGGCCTTGAAGAAGGTCGCTCAAACACGCGTGAAACAGTTCGAAGTAGCCTAGAGAAGCACAATTTAGTACGTACACCGTTTACCTAGCCTTGAAAAACATACCATTGGCTCGATCATGATCCTGAACGCCTGATACTCAATATATATACGGTGTGCAAGGTGATGCCATTTTCAATCAACTCGTGAACTTGCGTGATTCGAGACCGTCCCTTTGCCCGCCTGCGTGAACGACAGGTGGGGAGTGATGTGTTTATCAAATCTGGTCGGTTGGTTCTCGGTGTCGGCTAGCTTTCTCTTCGTTCCTTGACGTGTTTATCTGGGACGCTCGGACTGCCTTGCAAAGCAAGCAACGTTTCCAGCCGGCGAAAAAGTTTTAACCACCGGCGCACTGATACCGGACGGTGGTACCAGGCCCAAAGAGGAAAATCATCTCTATGCTCACCAGGTTTGAGCTGGGATGGCCGTAGTTGCAAGTGCGGGCAGTCTCCAAGTCCACGCTTTTCACAGTCTTGAGGGAGTGTATAGCACATTTTGGCAAGAACCCATATTCCACGCCATGCTCGCGCATGTGGAACAAAGAGAGAGAAAAAAGGAGAGCAAGTAGGAGGGAGGGAAGAAGAGAAAATGGGAAGGTGCGCCTAATATACTAGTGACATTACCTAATCAGGCTTAGTGCAGTTTGTCGGATATCTGCCTGCACATCCTGTAGAACCATGGCGTAACCCAGGTAAGTTCTCTTCTTTGTTTATTAAGAAAGCCTGCGGTCGTGCCTTGCAAGAAGATGCGTCAACGAACCTCACTGGATTCCTGCAGAGAGCTCTTTTTGGAGTTGCTCAGCGTGCAGGGAGGAGAGTATTGTCTTTACTACATGGAGTGGACTGATGCCTCCGCCAAGAGCACACTCTGTCCAACCTCCAGCATTGCGGAGCATTTCCAGTCTTCTGCGAGATCAACAGTGTATGCGACGGCATTCGAGGCGCAGACTGACAGCGCAATGTCGGATCAGTTGGAGAGGTCATGTAGTCTGATCAGCCCGTCCTGCTAACTTAGATATATAATCCTAATGGTTATTGAATAGGTTCTTTATATTCTCGAGGAGCCTATACCTCCTTCTTTTATACATTCTCCGTACATAGAGTAGTACACGGACATAGCTCGCCATGGCGAGCACGCCCGATATGGAAACATCGAACCACTGCCCTTCTATCCATCCCGACCATCCATCTTCGTAGTCCAACCCATGGTATCATTAATCACAAAAGAAAAGAGGAAAAAAAGGTATGATGCAAGAAAAAGTGAGAGCAAGACAAGAAAAGAGGTACCGGCCAACATTGGGACGCTATCGTTCCCCCTCGGCCAATCCACTCGTCTGCCGGTTCTCATTCTCTGGAGGGTTGCGGAATCCCAGCAATTGACCCAGAACACCCTTCGGTTTGGGCACGGGACACTCCCGGCCGACGTTGGCCAGGTTCTTGGCCTCTTCTTCCATCTGGAGGAATGTGGTTACCTCCTCGTCGTCGCTCGGTGATACCGGATGGCCTGGGCGATTTTTCTCGGGGCTGTCTAGTGTTTCGATGTCTTTCCGTCGTCTCCGTCGCACTTTGGGGATCTGTTGGCCGTCGGCTGTGACCACCACCTCCGAGTCCGCGAAGGTGCGTCGGGGTGCCGGACAGGGGAAGATGTGGGGAATGCCGACCACGAGGAGTGAGGCGAGGAGAGTGCCGGCGAACAGGCCGGTCGTGGACCGGGACCGGGGATGGAGATGGGGTGGCATCGTGGAGGGAAAGAGGACGGAGAGGGAGGAGTGAGAGAAGTCGGCAGGGTCGCTGGGAATGGGTTCAGGGAGCCATCCGGGTGGGACTGGGGAGATTCCAGAGAGAAAAAGAAAGATTGAGCGGGAGAGAGGAGGTCAATTGGCGTTACAAGGAGGGGTGGGTAGTCAGTTGAGGGAGGGAGGGAGCGAAGCCACCCAGCCAGAAGAAATCCGTGAGCTAGCTAATCTTATCGCGGCCCGCGTGATTGGCCCTGCCTCGCTCGCGCTGTCGAAACCAACTGGTCCGCCTCTCTTTCTCTCTTCCCTCCACTTCGTTACTCGCCGGCTATGGCTTCGCAACGATCAAAATGAACTTGCATTCCCACGGAGACTGACTGGCCTGCCACCATCCACTTGTGCTGTAGGCGGCTGAGCCATCTTCCTGTTTTCTTCTCTTCGATAAAAGCCTTCATCCCCGACCGCATCCCGACATCGCAACATGAGTGACTTGGACGGGTACCTCCTAACTTCTCATCTTCTTCTTAAAACTACTCGCGCTGATTCTATTCACCTCACAGGGCGATCGAGCAGCTGCGGGCCTGCCGCCTGATTCCCGAGGCCCAAGTCCGCGAACTGTGCTACAAGGCGCGCGAGCTCCTCATCGAAGAAGGAAATGTCGTATCTGTCGATGCCCCCGTCACCATCTGCGGTGACATCCATGGGCAATTCCACGACCTGATGGAACTGTTTCGCGTAGGCGGCGACGTGCCAGATACCAACTACCTTTTCATGGGCGACTTTGTCGACCGCGGGTTCTACTCACTTGAATCCTTCCTTCTCCTCCTCTGTCTCAAAGTCCGATACCCGGATCGCATGACCCTAATTCGCGGGAACCACGAGTCGCGCCAGATCACCACCGTATACGGGTTCTACGACGAGTGCATTCGCAAGTACGGCAGCGCCAATGTCTGGCGCTACTGCTGCGAGGTGTTTGACTACCTCGCCCTGGGAGCAATCGTACTCGGAGCAAGCTCAGAGCTCGAGCCAACCACCATGTCGGGCGCGAATGGCATGTCTCAATCTACGATGCAGATTGATGACAGCGAGCTGGAGACGGAGGTGCTCAACTCGCGAGGCGAAGTGACCATGAGCACGTACCGCCCGCGCCAACGCTCCTCATCCGACACATCCACAGACTCCCGAAACATCTCCCCGCCACGCGACATCTCCGCTGCCCCGGGCCAAACAGCCGCGCCCTCGCGACCCGGCGCCCCAGGGACAGGCGCCAGCTCCAACGGCAACGGTACCATGCAGACCAGCCGAACAGGCGCCGTGCTGTGCGTGCACGGTGGACTATCCCCGCTCATCGACAGCGTCGACAAGATCCGAATAATTGACCGGAAACAAGAGGTCCCACACGAAGGCGCCATGTGCGATCTCCTCTGGTCCGACCCGGACGAGATCGAGGGGTGGGGCCTCAGCCCGCGCGGAGCGGGATTCCTCTTTGGAGGAGATATCGTCAAGGCCTTCAACTACCACAACGATCTGTCTCTAATTGCACGTGCCCACCAGCTTGTCATGGAGGGCTACAAGGAGATGTTCGACGGCGGGATCGTGACCGTCTGGTCCGCCCCCAACTACTGTTACCGCTGCGGCAATGTCGCCGCTATCCTGGAGCTGGGCGAGGACGCCAGCAACGGCGGCACAGTTGCCCGCAGTAACGGCAACTATGCTCGAAGTAATGGGATTTTCAACGACCGAGTCGTCAGCCCCGGTAGGAGATACCGCGTTTTCGAGGCCGCGGCTCAGGATACGAGGGGTATGCCTGCGAAGAAACCGGTTGCTGATTATTTCCTGGTATGTTTCTTCTGCGTGATTATGATTTGTGATATTTATGCTAACTGCTGCTGCTTGTACCAGTGATGATACCATCCTTGCATGTTTCTTCTCTTTCCTCTCTCTCCTTTTATACTGCTCTTGGGGTCCTTTTGGTCGACTCGGCATCTTGCGGCTCCTGGTGTTAACTCTCGATAATGATCATCTATGACGAATCTTTGATGCATACTCTTTGGTCTTGGGTTGTGTAAATTCTGTAATTGGTTTGCGTCACTGGATTTCACAGCAAAATATCACGAAGTTTCCCCCAATTCTTCTCGGACATGAATCAATAAAATGTGCATTAGACCAGTTACTGGTCTGGGTGTGACCATGCTGTATAGTAAAAAGTCATTTCCACCGCTCAGTACTTTTATGGGCCGTCGTCGGGGCTGGAATGCAGGCCAACACATGAGCGAGCAGATGCCCGAGGCCAGGGGATGGTCTCGTCGTCGGCTGCTGCTGCGCAGCCGAGAAAAGCTAGCGAGGGGCATGGGCATGGGCATTATTGTTTCCAGTATATGGCGGCTGCGGACCAGCAAGACCATTACCCCAACCCTCCCCCCAGGTCTCCACGCCAATACCCAGTGTAGCAGCATTGCGAGACCACCAGTCCTGGCTCTCCTCGACCAGGTTCTCAGTACCGCCGTCAAACACAGTCGCGGGGGATGCGGTCGATGTGGTGGGAGTCGTAGTGGTGTTTGGAGGGTGAATATATGCACTGTACCAGGCACTTGGATTCCCTAGTGGTGCAGAGGACGGGCCCGATGCTGAGAGAGCCGGGAACTGGTAGCCTACCTGTGGCAGGGGACGCAGGTATGTCGGTTCCGGGGCCGCGAGGTCGGCTCTTTCGAGTGGGGTATTTAGAGTATGATGTGAGGCGCGTATGGATTGTTGGATGGATGGGGGGATGGTAGTGGTGGTGGTGGTAGTGGTGACGGGGTACTGTGAAGGTATTGCGGCCGTCGCCATACCGCTCGGTGCAGCTGGGGTGAAAATTTCAGAGTCTAGAGGAACCGGAGGGTTGAATCTGCTTGGGCTCGTGGGTGGATTCACTGCTGGCGAATCGTCAGATATAGACGGCGAGGTTGGCTGGTCCCATGATCCCCAGGATCCCCATGCACTGTGAGTGCGTTCAATGATCCTGACTGCTTCGGCGGGGAGTTCGGCCTGCCATTTGTGGGCGGAGATGTCCAAGATGCGAAGCGTGCGGCGCGCGCAGAGCCACCCCTCTGCTATCTCCTCGAGGTTCTTGAGACCATGGATGATATCTCTCTGGGCATTCTTGTCAGGCAGGTTGAGAATGTGGATGGTGCAGGCCGTATGGGCCATGTAGACGACAATGTTGCAGATCTGCCTCAGTCCGTAGCTGCGTTTGTATATCCGGAGCAGCTTGGATATGGTAGAAGCGGCCTGGGTGCATATCTTGCGGGGCGAGACATGTACAGGGAGCGGAGTGCTGGACTTGGTATACTTGAGGAAGGGGCGGTATAGATGGATGAACAGGAGCTGGTAAAACATACTATTCCAGAACGTCAGCATAGATACACGGAAATGGTTCTGGTCTGCTTACTGCATCACAAGCACCTGCGGAAGTTGACCGTCCTTCGCTTCCAGCTCCTGGGGTAGTTCCTTTTTCCAGGCTTCCAGCCGCGTATGGACCTCACTAAGCTTCTTCAGCTCGAGCTGCTTTGGCGGTGCCTTCTCCACATCTGCTGGATGGTAGAAGAACACGAGGAGATCGCCGCTGATTTCGCAGAGCTTCGACATTTGAAGTGCAACCGCCCTTGTGCGAGAGGGTTGAGTGTAATCGCGAGTCACGCCTGAATCCGTGTAAGGCGACCACAGTTCTATCTCTTCCCTTGGCAATACATCGAACTTGTGGACACTGGCGTTGGACAAGGACAGCTGAGGCTGGCGGCCAAGGTAGTTTGACCAACACCTGGAGGATGTTAGAAAAAAATCAGAAATCTCAAGGCAAGGAGACCAACTTGTCAATCAAATAGCAGCCCCAAAAAGTAATCCTCCGGGCATCGATTTCTTCTTCAGTGAGATCATGGGCAGCCCCGAGGCTGGAGGCGTCCAGATTCAAGCCAAGATCGAAAGCCATCCGGAAACTTAGGCCGCTGTAAACCCAGCCCTTGCCTTCCCGGCCACATCCTGCCTCTCGTACGGACATGAGGGCAAATGCCTGCACCGTGCAGAGTTTTGCGTTCTCATGCTCGTCATGCTCCAGTACTAACCGCTTGGCTTCTCTGAAGAAGTGGTTGCCTGCGGTTGCAAGATCCTGGGGGTCATCAAGAGCCCCCGGGCAGGAGCTAAAGTGGCAGCCAAGCGCTAGCATGGCATTGACCAACAACGAGGAACAGTACTGGCTGGAAACGCCACGGACATAGTCTCGGTAGAACACGTCCTTGGCTAAGAGGGTGAAAAATGGATAGTGCCACGTGAAGTACATGGTCATGAGATGGCTGACCAGGGACTCGTCATCTGTAACGCGAGTCCATCGTTTCACGGGGGAATAGTCGTGACCAAGCTCGGCAGTTGGAGGTGTTGAGGATTCGTGCAGCTCCGAGCCCGGTGGAAGGAAAATGAGATTGGAGGTACCTCCGATGAACTTCCGAGAACCGTCAAGCAAGAGCTCACTCATCTTGCCCGCCAGCTCGGACTCGAATTGATCGGCCGGTACCGGGTCACTTTCGTTGCCCGATGCGGTCGTCGCCTCGGCAGTGGGAAGGTGCCCTTTATCTCGGGCGATAATGGTCTCCGCGACGTCCTCGAGATCGTCACAGGCCCGAATTTGGCGGACCAATTCGAACGCATCGTCTTCTTCATAGTTCAAGATTGCCTGGATAAGGGTTTGCAGCGTGGTGTTCCGCGTTCGCACCGTATCGGTGTCTTTTTTATACACGCCTTTGCGGCGATGATCGGAGTTGGGGTCATACACGCAGGCGGTCTGATAGACCGAGGAGCAAGCGGCACAACTGGGCAGATTCCCATCGCACTTGGATTTCCGGCGGCGACAGGCAATGCAGGCTGTGCTGACACAGCGCCGCTTGGACGACTGATCACGCTCGGCACTCATGGTCATTAGAGAGGCGGCACGGCAGAAGCATATCTCAAGCTTGGTGTCGTTTCAGAACATTGGAGTACGGCGGATCCAGGATCCAACGTCGGATTTCCATGCGCGCAATACCGTCGCTTCGAGGAACTCAGCATATGGGGATGCTGTGGCATGTCAGTGCATGCTCTTCCTCAACCCCACGATCTCGAACCCGCGGTGGAGTGACGATTGGAGGGACGCAATAAGCGATAAGGCTGACAAACCCAAAATCCCTGGGCCAGGGTCCCCTAGTCCATCGCCGGCTGACTTGTTCGATGAATATCGTTTGCGGCTGCAAGAATACACGATCAGTAATCCTAGTTCAATCTAAGATTGATTGATGATTAGTCCATGTGATATGTGTACCGGGTTGTGTACCCCCGACGCTGCCTACCAATCGAGACCCTATTCTTGGCGAGAGTAGTAGGGAATCCTTGATGCGGTGGTGCCCGGTCGCTTATGACGGATCCACTCCTTCGGCCACGTACGTTTTCAGAATGTTTGGGGTTCTGCAGCCTTCGGAGAGACAGTTACATCCACCTCACCAGGCCGTTGGAAGAAAAAAGGATAATCTCGGGAAAGAGAAACTAGCACCTCATCCGATCAGAGGAATACACTCTGGATTCATCCAGCCCCTCAGGGTGTTGACCCTGTCCTGACTAATCCCAACAATACCGTCCCAGACCGTAAGGGAAAAACAGCCACAACAAATAATACCAGCCGTGGCTGCCGGCCCAATCATCCTTATCGACCTGAGATCACCACTCTTATCTTCCCTTTTGCTCTCTCTCCCTGTCGCTTCCGCTCCCTGTCTCTTCCAACCCTCCCTTTCTTGCCTGAACCCTGCTCGCCTACGATCTTCCCAGTCTCCTCCATTCGCACTCCCACTGCCAGCCCTCAACTCCCGGCACTCTTCCTCGATTGTCCTCTGCGGCTGGTCACCATACCGGGTCGCGTGCCTGCATTAGGCTTCACTGCCGGACCACCATTCCCCTCGCCCGGGTCTCCTGCTGGCTCGATCCCGTCGGATCTCTGTGACGGGGCATTGTTCGCCATCATCCCTCCCTACACCCATGTATCTCGCCCAAACCCTCGATCAGAGTGCCTCGTCAGGCCCCGGCCTCACTGAAAAACATTCCATGTGGATGACAACCCAACAAAATGATGGTCCCAAGAACTTTTCTCTTAACGTCGGCACCGTCGCATAAGGCCATGCAGCCTTCTTTGTCGGGCCAGGCGCCGGGCTCGTCTGGGATTCACCTCCCCAGTCCGGGGAATACCTCGCCGGTGGTGATCCCTCCAAGGCGTAGCTCGTGCACCACAACGGTACATCGAAGCAGCCGGTCCCGGACGCCATCCAAAACATCTGATTCCTCCACTCGGTCACCCTCCACCTCGTCCAACGGCCACCCCATACCTACATCATTCACGTCGATGCTGGATGCGACATCCATCCCCGTACCACGCAAGACGTGGACTGCTCGGCGATCTCGAAAGCTTCCTCGAGGAAACCATGTGAAAAACTTTAGCCGCATGTTACAGGAAGGAGTCCAGTCGAAAGAAGATCATCTAATGGAAGGATCTGGCAGTACGGCTCTAGACATCCTACTCAGTCCACCGGATGAGGAGGATGAGAATCTCTCGACAGAAAACGATTCGGAAATGGAAACCCCGTTTTCCCTTCGATCAGTATCAAGTGACTCGACGCCGTCTCTAGAGCATGATGATCAGGAATCACCATACAGCCTGTCATTGCCCTTGACTCCCGCGAGCCCGAGAAGTCCATCAGAACGGCGACAGCTCCGTTGCTCGCAACCGGAAGACTGTGCTTTCGACCATCCTCTGCTCCATACCGATGTCGATGAACCCGAGCTTGCAGATATCGTTAGCCACGATGAGCCCACGACGCCGCATTTGACGGTACCCGCGAAGCGTTCTGCTGCTTCGTTCCGATCCTTGCGCTTGGCCTCGACTTTCAAGTCGAACTTGACGGCCTCCTTACGGGCCATCAAGTCCGCTGCGCAGTCGGTCTCGACCTTCGCGACGCCCTCCGTTCAGCCGGATGATTTTCTCACTCGATCCCTCTTTACCATCACTCCGGAATTGACCGACGACCGTCGTCCTCCGCCCATGCAAGATCCTCCATCTCCGGCGCTGCGGCGATACCTGAACCCAACCCCAACCTCTCCGGCAGAAATGTACGTCTACCGTGACCACCGACACGAACCACTCGAGTCGTCTCGCGCCTGCGCCGTCTCCATCCAAATGCAAACGTACCGACGTAACAGCGGCCGCGGGCACCGACGCAATAACTTCCACGTTGCCGCCGCCCAGGGCCACGACTGCGCCTTTGACCCAGAGATTCCTCCGATGCCACGCCAGCGCGAGCCCCGCGAAAACAGCCACTTCCTCCGCATGGTCGTCCTGGAAATGAACATGCGGCGCAGTGGGAAGTTGCGCGAGGATATCCCCACCCGCGCCCGCATCTGGCTCCCACCGCGTAAGACCAATCCCCATCGTCTGTCGGCGGACTACGATGACGGCGCCAACAACGACTCAACTGTTCCATCTCGCTGGGTGGGCGTTTCAGTCTGAGATACTCTCACAACACTAGCTAGCGCGCAGGACGCTCTTGGCTCTCTGTATTTTCGCTTCGCCTGATTTCCTGAGCACATATACCACCCCCTCGCTATGAATTTTTGCTTTTCCTTCTTCCTTCCTTTCCTTCTGTCTTTTCTTCTTCCACTCAAGCGAGGCGTTGGAATACTACGAGGTGTCCCTATACCAACCTCTCTCTTCTTTCCTTCTTTCTCTGGATGAATCCTTCCGACCCCACCCGCGGAATCTTACTTTCCTTTTCCCTTCCCCGCCGAGATATCCGGTCCCCGACCACTCAGAATAAACATTCAAAGATCGTTCGTGACTGTCATCGTAATCGCCCATACTAGCGCAACCCCCGTACTCCCGTTCTCAAATTAGCCTATCGATGTGGCTGCGCCATGAGATCATGCCGCAGCCATGACATCGCGCCCCCGCGTGGACCGCCCTATGGGACGTCATGGCGTGGCGTTCTTAGCGCGATCGACGGGGGAAAGTACTAGGTTGTTACCGATTTTGTTTATTGGAAGCGGATGTAGTTGGATTTGACTGCTACGTAGTATCTAGGCAATTTACTATGATGTGGTTGGGTGGTTGTTTGGTCTGTCTGGAGATACTGGCGAACGGGCCCAGTATGGGATGGATGGAGATGTGTCGTCTACGGAAGAGGCAATATGGGTTGACCCCGGAAGGATCTATGTAAACAGTCCATTTCGAGTCACTGCGTCATTCCACCCGATCTAGCCTTTTGAGATGCTTCAATTCAATGACGCACTTGGAATCCTGCACGCACGACTTGTTAGCCTGAAACAGTAATCAAACACTCTCGACTAATTAGGGTTGAACTCGAGGGGGGGGGGGAAGGGAGTCAACTTACGCTCTTCATCCAGCAAAGTCCCATTCCTCCAGCTTTCCTGCACCCACTCCAAACTAACGAGATGCGGCACCTTCTTCCCGGGCCTTGCAGCCAATGATCCCCTCAGCGATGAGATCGTCGACGCAGAGAGAGTTTCCGGGTTGGCAATGACGTGTGTGACGCGCTTATCTGTTAGCGACGAGGCGAGTTGCGCGCTAGCGAACTGGGCGGTATTCCGCGCCAGACGGAGAGGCAGGTCTTCTTCCTCGTCGGTGTTCTCTCGATCCGGTTTGGAGAAGAACAAGAAGGTTAGGCCCTTGAATAGCCAGCCGCAGGGGACGGTGTATCCCAGATCTACTCTCTCCTGGATGCGGGCTTCGACTTTGTGCAGAGCGTGGAGGTTTGCGGAGATGGTGGTTTGGTCTTGGCTTTCCTCCATCTGTTTCAGGATCTAGACTCGAGTTAGTGGGTGGGCGTTCGTTGGCCTTGTGGGGACGTCACGCACATCTTTAAGCTCGTCGACTGTCGTGTCACGGGCATAGCTGTCCATAAACCGGTCTGTATTGGCAGTGACTTCCGCCTCCTTGCCTTCTGCCGTGAAAAACATATGCCTAGACACCATCACATATAAGATTAGTTACTGCCTTTATGCCTTTTGATTTGGAGTCATACCGATGTTCAAACGGGAGAAGAAAGTCAGGCAGGCCGACGTCTACTTCGTTCTGTTTGACACAGTCCAGAATCCAAGACGGGCGGATAATGTTCACTTCGCCGCTCTTTTGTAGCGAAGCCACTTTCACGGTTCCTACAGCCATGTAAGTTTGCTTAGTTTTGATAAAGTGACAGAGCGAGCAACATACTTCGCTCAGCAACGCAGATCGTATCCGGTGCGGCAGTATTGATCTGAAGGATTTTACCGCCGTTGGCTTTAACTAGCTGTTCCAGCTCGAGTTTTGATTTCTTGTCTGGTACAGTAGACCCAGTCATGACGACTACGAAGAGTGTTAGCAGCCGGACATTTAGATACGGAATATCACACATACAGAAGTTAAGACCAACAAAAATATTCCCGGAAGGTCCAGCGTACTGGACAACCTCTTTCTCGTCATACCCAGCAATCGTCAAGGGCTTCTTCGTAGTCCGCTTGATCCGCTTCTTCCGCGAATTGTCCAAAGAGAATTCCTTCTCTCGATGTTCCTGTTCCGCATTCGCTTTGAGGTCCAGGAACTCCTGGACCGAGAGCGCGCTTTTCCAGTTCTTATCCTTGCGCAGTTTCTTAAATCGGGGGAACCGCAACGTCAGACCCATGCGGAATTGATCGCTGACAGACACGGACGCAGCCTTGACACAAAGCACAACCGAATCCGACGGCTTGATCCACATATCTGGACGTTCATGCTGCGCGTCTCCGCCGGCCAGCTCGACAATAGACGTGGGCGGTTTTTTGGGATCCCATTCCTTCCATTTGCCGTCCGTGTGGTGGCGGATTTCCTGGTAATCAGCAGCAGTGAATCCCCCGCCAACCTTACAGAATGACCAGCATTTCATGGATTCTTCGCCTTGGGAGAAATGAGCATCGTCGACTCGAAGGCCACATAGGAAGCTGGCTAGCGCTCCTCCACGATGGCCAGAGCCGTAGTATCCACCGACCACAACTACATCGAGGGATTCGCCGAACTCGGTCATGTATTCCGGTTTCACCTTCATCCAGTCATCGTGGCGCTCGTTCAGCCGGTATGGAGAACGCGGGTTCTTCAACACGAGACCCTCAGAGGCCTCTGCAACAACCTTGCGCAGTGAGGTCTCGACCTCTGCGGCGGTGGTGGCTTCTTCGTAAGGGTGGATCTCGAATCTGCGATGAACAGGCCGGATAGTTTTCTGTAAAGCATTGCGTCGGTCACGGAGGGTGTACTTGGTCAGATCCCGTCCGTTGAGATAAAGAATATCAAAGACGCGTAACAGAGGCCGAGGGCCATTTGAAAACGGATTGCGTTGCTCGGCGATTGCTGCCGTCTTGAGAGTTCCAAATGGGACAGGAGCATCCTGCTCCGGATCCCAGGTGATCATCTCGCCGTCCAGGATAAGACTCTGCACCCCATCGACGAAGGCGTCTTTGAGATGCCGCGTCAAAGCCCCATTCTCGTCGTAGATGCCATTCCCATACAAATACGTGTAGTCTTTAGCCTTTCGAGACCAAAACCCAAACTTCCTACCACCAGGAACGGAGTTATCCGGCGCCATGTGCAGCTGCATGCGCTCTCCGTCCAGTTTCTCTTCGATCCAAAACACAGAATCCTCCTCCGTCGGACGCATCCGTGCAATCATCTTCTCAAACGAATGCATCTGGAACTGAGCCAGCTGAGGCTGGAAACACTGCATCAACGCAATGCCTCGGTCCTCCGCCTCAAGACGGATATTCGGATCATGTAGCTCCCAACACACGCGTCGCAGGCTACTAGAGATACTGTACAAGTTTTCCGCATCAGGGTGCCAGACATCGAAGAACGTGCGCTCCGTAGCCCCGACCTTCATCTGCCGCAGGATAATGCGAATCAGCCACATGAGCTCCTCGGGATTCATGTGCCGATAGAAATCCGATAAGATCGGAAGCTGCTCGCTCTCCTTTGTCGCCGCAGAGAGTTTATCCAGCTTCTCGTTGACCTCTGCGATAGTCATGTCACCGGCCTCCGTCCGCATGGGCCGTTTGGAAAGCACATCGTAACAGCGACCCGCAAAGTCGCCCGCCATGCGCGTCGCAGCCGTCTGGCCCGGCAGCTTCCAATTCAGCAGATTGTACCCATCCTCGGATTCCTTATTGATCTTCATGATCTTGACGAGCATCTTGCCAATGACCTTCTCCTTGATCCCGTACATGGGCCGGTCTCGATCCTTGTCCGGCAAAATCAGTCGGAAAGCAGGGTAGATGTCGTCGCCGACATCCTTGCGCCAGCGTGAGATAAACCGCTCGATGACATCGCGCCGGCGCTCGAACGGGTTCAGGTTGCTAGTGCTTTGGCCGTGTGGGCCGAGTTTCCGGCGTGCAGGCACTGGGCCGGCGGGTTTCTTTTTGATCTCGCTGAGTGGGTTGAAGAGGCTTGCGTATAGCTCGTGGAAGGGCAGTGTCGCGGCATGGTTGTGGGGCCGATTGGGATATCTGGGGTTTGTTAGTGACGTTGTCTTGATTGCATTCAGAAGATATGGGGCTCTACTTTTCATCCAGGTCCTCCTCGCGCTCCGGGTAGGTGGGTTCGGGAACTATCTCATCAGAGTCCATTTTGGCAAAAGGTGCCGCTCACCGGTCGGCTGTCACCGTGTGACTGTCATGGTCCAAGTTGAGGAAGTGGGACGACGCACAAGCAGCAAGCAGCTTTCCCCAGAGCCGCACTGATAAGATAGCTGACATAACCAACATCTACAACATTGAAGCCCTAACTACCAAGCAATGACCTGCCACGGCAGGCCTCGAGATATTCCCAGACATTGGTGGCCGAGGAAAGGAAATTTGATGTCAGTCACGACTTTGGTGTATAATAATATAGATAACATGGAACTAGTAGTTGGTCGAAAATGGTTCCTTCCTTCCCATTATGAGTCCACAGCATTCGCCTCAAAGCCACGACTATTCTCCGCACCAGACAAGCGCGGAACCCGATCCGCCATACGCGACAAAACAGCAGCAAGCTGCTTCGAGAGACCCCAAGCCGTCAAGCCCGCCAGGGTCTCACATCCAACCCGTAAGATCCTCTCCGGACCATCAGGCGCACAAATATCCCCCACGCCAGTAACATTACCTGTCATGGCATGGCCCTCCCTCACAAACAGCTGCACGAGCTCATCATCGCAGGGTCTGTCGAGGTGAATGAAACTCGGCTCCGGCTGCGAGCCCTGTAGACGCGGACTGTTTGTCTCTGCGGGAGGCAGAGGCGCAGCGTGAGCGTGGCATAGGCCGTAGGCCCAGAGGGTGAGCACGGCTAGGAAGGCGGCGACGGGCTCGTGGAATGCGTTTGTCGAGTACCGCCGGACATGCCAGAGGGTAACGCCTGCGTGGATGAGGGAAAGACGGGCTTTGTATTGGTCGTGTTTCGCCCAGCGCCAGATATACTGCCACTCGAGTGTCTGGTGGCGCTTGCTCCAGCGAAGCGTCCCCTCTGCGAGGGACGTGGCGAGAGAGCGGATCTCGCGGAAGGGAGCGAGGAGGATGAGTCGGGAGGCGTGGAGGTGGAGCACGGTTGGATGTTCCAGGCCCGCTGCTTTGGCGATTGTGCTGTTGGCGGTCCAGTGGAGGATGTCTAGGCAGTCGCAGGCGCTGTTGCGCCATTTGGAGTAGGAGGGGATTCCGGGGAGCCAGACAGATCCCGTGGGGATGGCGCTCTCGCGAGACTGCTTTTTGGCGGTTGGGTTCCAGAACGAGAGGGGGCGGCGGAAGTAGTCGCCTACTTCCCACATGCGGTGGTAGAGTGCGTGGATGAGCAGGATATGGCTAAATTCGCCGATTGCGGTGATGAGTCTCTTTTCAATGTAGATGATTTGTACAGCGTCGTAGAGTGATTCGTTTACTGAGGGTGTTAGCAGATAGTTATGGTAAATTATGGACGAAACGATCATACCAGATGATTTATCCCACAGATGTCGCCAACTCTCGGGCGAGTCTGCTTGCCACAACTTCTCGTGCGCTGGTAATGCAGCCTGTCCATCGTCCAGGGACAGTAGAGGTCGGTCATCAAAGTAGTATGCAAGGGTGCAGTCCAGGAGCTGTGTATATGGTTAATACCGTCCTTAATTCTGGGGTGAAATCATCGTACCCATATGCAATAGCCAGTGCGTCGCCGGATCTCATCCCGAACCCATGCAATCCAGTGTTCCTCTTGAGAGAGACCATTTGGTTCCATTCTCGGATTCAGTGAGGGTGCTAGCACCTGCTCTCGCTTCGTGAACGTCACCAAATCGCGGAAGATACCCATCGCTAAAAGTCTGGCTCGTTCGCTTCCAGAGTGAAGCAGTCCAATACAATTCAGCAGCATCGCCAGCAGAATCTCAGGCGAGGTCTCGCCAAGGTGACACTTTTCTTTCTGTTTCGCACAATGATTAGCGTGCATGCTCGTCAGCGAAGAGGGCCAACCTACCTCAACATATAAAGCTCGCCGGAGCATCTCGTGAAAAGCAGCTGCGCACTGAGTTGTCTCACTTATATTTGCAACATTGCACCCGATGGCTACGACGGCCAGCATCAAAAGCCAATGGCAGGTATTGGGATCGAAGGTGGGGAGATGAAGAATTGGGTATACGGCTTGAAAGGACTCAAAGTAGAATGCGATAAACTGGTTGCAGTGTTGCGCCGATGGGAAGTTGTCGGTCTCAAATTGTGGGAAGATGGGGTTGTCGTTGCGGCACAGCATTATGAATTGGTGATAAATCTCGTCATAGACGGAAGAGTTGATCCCTCTGGTAAATCGGCGCACTTCTTCTGATATATTGTCCACGGGGCTTTCCTGGATCAGAGGGAATGAATATCGGCCTTCACCCGCACCAAGCGGTAGTTGACGGGTGACGGTAGTCGGTTCGGTGGAGCTTGACCACGGAGCCTGTTTCCTCCTATACTTGGGCAGTCGAGCACCAGCCCCGTCGACATAGTAGTCCGCTGAGCGTTTGGCAGAATCGACCGATTCGGCGTGAGGGGATGTTTCGCCCACCATATGGGTATACTGATTTGGACTGCCCATGTCGGTTCCCATAGACAGATGTCCCGACGGCGTCTGAGAGATATTCCCTGGCATTGAGGGACTCCCCTGGCCAGCTTGGATTACTGGTGGCTGCCATGTGGTGCGAGCTAGTTGGGCATCTGGAAAGAAAGGCTGGTTGGGTTGGGAAGGAAGTCTTGACGACTGCATTTGATCGTTTGGTGGGCCTGCAAAGAATTCATGGGGGAGCCAGTTGATCGTGGACAGCATAGACTGCTCGAAGAATGCCGGGTCAAAGTCCAGGTTGCCCGCCATAGCCGTGTCAATATCAACTCCCGCACTGTGCAATCCTTGTGGAACGTCCCTCATGTCGGTGCCCATGGCCGCATTGGCTGAGAAGGGAATGTCGGAATTGGGCATACTTGGGTATGGTTGAGGCCGGTCTGTATTGGCATAGATATCCATTGGCATTCTGTCTGTGTTCGATGCCTGATCGCCATTTGACGGAGGATGTGTTGGTTGATTCTGCACACCACTGGGAAACACATTGCCTGAATAATCTGGGGATAATCTTGGTTGTCCACTTGGTTGAGATGTTGTCTCTGGAGCCGACTCCACACGACGTTTGCGGGTCTGCGAGGCACGATGAAGCGGCCGCGACTCCGTACCCTGCGAGCCCTCTCTCCGGCCCTTCTTTGACCGTCTCTCTGTCGGATATTGACACGCGAGGGAGCGGCCGTCACACCGTCCACACGGCTCACCCCCACTGCATCGCACGCGGGCCGTCGCACAGCTAAAACAGGCGCGGAAGGTCTTGACGGTGATCCGGTGGGTATGCTCTTTACCCCCTTCGCTGCCGGGCAGATGGTGGCTCAGCTCATGGCGATGGAGGGTGTCGGTCCGTGAGAAGTGCCGGCCACACTGGGCGCATTCAAAAGGCTTCTCCTTGGTATGGCTGCGCATATGACGCTTGAGATGTTCCGGGCGACGAAAGGTGCTGCTGCAGATGGAGCATTGCACCTGCGGACTGGTCTGGTCCTCGGATAAATCGAGGCCCTCTTTGTCCATGATCTCTAACCATCGCGATGTGGCATGAACGGAAAGAAAGCTGGGGATGCGGAGAAGATGATTCCTTTGGGGTTAGCCGGTTACCGTATTCCGGCCGTAATTCTACACGCCCCATAATACCTTAACTACTGTCCTGAACTACGATCGGGGCCTGGCTTTCGAGCCTTCAAGATCTGACATGGCCACGCCCCAAACATCACTTGCAGTCCCGCCCAGGACGTTTCGATCTCACTCCACCCGGCCGACTCCAGAACCTTTCTGTATTGCGCAATGTATCCTCCCAGCTCGAGAATCACCAAAAACCCCCCGGGCCGAAGCACTCGGGCTGCCTCATGCATCGCCTGTTCTCGCGATGCTTTGTCGGCATTGTGGATCGACAAACTCGCCGTGATCAGAGACATCACTCCGTCCCGGAAGGGTAATCGAGTAAAGTCGGCAGTATGCAGAACAGTATAATCGGTGAGCTGGAGACTCGCGGCATTGTCGTAGGTTGCCTCGGGCGCATTGCCGCTCTGGTCACCGGTGATGAATAGATCGACACCATAGACGGGCGGGACGGTGGCTTGGAGCTTCTTCTTCCTCTGGGCGATTTTCAACAGCACAAGCCCGCGGCCACAGCCAATGTCGAGTGCAGGTGCCGTGAGAATCTCACTGGGGAGCTCGTCGAGCAGTCGATCCCAGACCTCGAACTTGCCCTTCCGCGAGGCATAGACGTACAGTGGCGCAAGAATCGAGGACGCGAGCAGGCCCAGTGGGGAGTCGATCCCATACGATGGTGTCGAGGGGACCGCGCGGGTGTCACCGTCCAGTCGCGCAATGTGGTTCTCGGGCTGCTCGCGGTCGGGATAGACCGATTCCATGTGGGACCAGTTGGAATGTTGACTGGGGAAGAAGCACCTAGGCCGTGATGCGCAAGAAATACGGGGAGATACACCGCAAGTATTCTGGGTGTATCGCTATAGTTAGTCGGGTAAATCATCAGTTAAGTAATCCCCACTTGCCCGTCATCCTAACCAAACTACAACTACGAGCAATGAGTGGCACGAACCAGGCCGCTTTCCGCGGTGCCACCATCGCCTTCCAGGAATACTCCCGAGATCCCTCTCCCGCCTACAACCACCAACCCTCCAGTACCGCCGCCGCCGCCGCATTCGCCAGCACCGTGAATCGTCATGCAGACTCCAATCATCGCCAGATGGAAGCCGACCCTGGGCCCGAAGTGGGCTCTGTGAAGGACAAGATCGGACGGTTTACCGCCAACTCCCTTGCGCCCCAGCAAGATAGCAGAGGTCGAGTTTCGGCTTCATCCCTCGCGCCGCCCACTCCGCAGCAGATTGCGGCCCGCTTGGCTGCCTCGAGATCCCCCGAACGGCCTGCGAGGAGCGGTGACAGCACCCCGTCTACAGCGGCCAGCCTAGGGGCAATACGAAGTGCAAGCAGGATGCAACCACACACGCCAGAGAAACAGGAGCTGCGGTCGCCCGCCCCGGTGCGTCCGATCTATGGTCGGAAGAGTCCCCTGGACAAGATGCTCCAGGGCGACAGTCCAAGCTCGGAAGAGCTCTCCGGTCCCACGCGATCCCCATCACAGCGGCCGAGGGTCCCAGCACGTCGCAATGATCACCCTCCGAGTCCCCCTCCATCCATCAGGTCACGGCGGTCGCCAGCCCCGTCCGACGAGTCGAAGCCCAAGCCACCCCCGCGAGCCAGCGATGTCCATCTCTCGCGAGGATCTCTCCGAAAGCCCACCACATCTCTACGGTCCACGCCTAGCTTAGCATCAGTATCCGGGCTGTCACACAACACCAGCAGCTCCAGCCTCGTCGATGAATCCAGCGGCATGAGCGAGGAAGCCCTCTCCAATGCCATTGTGGCATCAACTCTCGCATCATCGCGCGCCTCTCCCGCAGCGAAAATACCTCCACCACCTCCTCCACAGCGCCGCCGAGCTCGATCAATACTACACCTAGCACATACCCCCACAAGCGATCTATCCAGAACGCCAAGCCCGCCCAAGGGCATGCCGCAGACCCTACGCGGGATGCCCAAGCCAGACAGCGACCCGCATCAGCGACACAAGATGCGTCTCATCCGCAAACACCCACACAAGCACCACGAGGGCGACCGCAAGCGCTGGCGCAGCGAGATCACCGAGCAGGAACGCAAGCGGTACGAAGGTGTATGGGCCTCGAACAAGGGCCTACTCATTCCGCCCAGCATGGGCGACCACCCGGACATGGTGCTGAATCTGGTCGTGCGCGAGGTCTGGGGCCGCAGCCGCTTGCCGGCAGCCGCGCTCGAGCAGGTGTGGGAGTTGGTGGATCGGCAACGGATCGGGCTGTTGGGCCGAGAGGAGTTCGTGGTGGGCATGTGGTTGATCGATCAGCAGCTCAAGGGCCATAAGCTGCCTGTTCAGGTGCCTGATAGTGTGTGGGACAGCGTGCGCCATATCACGGGCTTGAGGCTACCGACGGCGTAGTGATCGCCTTGTTATATTCTTGCTGAAGGGCATGGTGTCTTTGCATCAATTCCAACCATCCGCTCCATTTATACTGCGATCTCGGCCCGCTTTCGGATTCTATGGCACTTGCCATACGTATAGAAGCAGTCGGCCGAACATCTTGAGATGTATGAATGCGTTCACCCACGAACTAGAGTAACCCCTGCACAAGAACCTATGAGCGCTTTTCTCACGCCATACATCTTGTTGGGCCTATCACCGTCTACGAAATTGCTATGGGATGGTTGTACCACTACTGTCAGGCCTTTGAGGTTTGGGCCATCGAAAGGGGGCTTAACTAGAGGTCGATGGGAGTCCATGGGACGATATTTTCCAATTGTTGGTCCAGGCTTTAACACAGGTTTTCTAGATGACCTTCCCCAATATTGTTAGAGTCCTGACGTAACAGGCGTTTCGATAAGAGAGGTCTGATGCATGAAGGCCCTCTTCTTCCCTTTTAGATTTGGAGTGTCAGCCAGCGTGTGTGGCGGTTAAAAGGACCTGCCGGATAATGGATTCGCAAAGCTCTGAGGGTATGTCTAACGAAAAAGGCATCGTGACTCGAGGCATTGAAAGAAATGTAATTATGCTCATGTTTTGATAGTTACTTGTCCATTTTGAACATAACTAATTCGGTGATCAATAACCTTACCATGGCGGGCCGTAGACGTAGTACGGGGTTGTTGCAGATAGCCGTGGCCCGCGTTAGCTCCCGAACTCTAGCGTGGCCCGCTTCAGCTTTCGCACTTTAGTGTGGCTCAAATTATTCTCAGTCCTACCCAGTCTTACTCAGTCCTACTCAGTCCCTAGAGGTTTAGAGTGTTTAGGCTTGTGAAGCTTATGAAGGAGTTTAGGGATTAAGGAAGTTTAGGCTTTCTTAAGGCCTTTGTTTTCATAGTCAATATAAGCAATTAGGTTTTGGGTCACGAGTCATCTGTATGGCTCGGCTCCTACAGGAATGCGCCCGGTGCCCTGCAGGAATGGACCTAGGGGCTTAATGTTTTCTAGCCATTAATTAATAGTGTGTATATCAATCAGTAGTCCCTCTCCCTTCACGAAGTTTGTGCGTTTGGTTGCTAAACAAAGACCCTCCTGCGAACTTTTGATTGAACTGAAGCCATCACGCCATGCACATTTGGACAAATATCAGCGTCCTTATGGCGCTGGTATTGATTCTATTTATATCTATTTCCAATTCCCACCCTACCGCCCCTTCCCTGGAGTGTGAGCCTGAACTAAATAACCCTGGGCTTTGGAAGAAGGTGGTAAAAAAGGGCAGAGAACTTCAAAAGCAAATGAATACAAACTCGCAGGGAGCGGAGCAGACTTCGTTCACACGGTATTCCGACTTGGAAAAATATGGCTGGACTGAGCAAGCTCTGGAAATGTCTGAGGTTGAAGGCTCAGACAATGGCCTCCTCAAAAGCCTAGGCATTGATCACTCGAATAGTGAGTATATATCATTGGACCAGACTATGGAAACGACTGTTGATAACATAAAATATGGAGTAAGTGCGATACGAGATCACATCAGCCCAAACCTACTGTACAGCGGATCTAACTCGCAAGCTCACAGAAAACTGGTGGCTTCTATAGAAGCATCTACAGTCCACGGAATGGGGCGTTGGTAGCAGTCAACAATGTGAACCCAAAACTCACAGGGCGCGTGCATTATGCGAAGATCAAGGGCAATCCTATGAATATTGTTCCACTCAACCGTTGGTCCGACGTGGTATTCTTGGAATGGCAGAAGTTATGCAAAAAAGCACACGTGCCTGTTAACAGTTTAAAGTATGTAATCAGGTACAATGTCGACAACAGTCCTACAGAAGATGTCATTCAAGATGTGTTTGGATTGAATACGAAAGACTGGTCGAAGATTTCACGTGGAAGGACATTTTATCCAGGCGAAGAGGAATTTGCAGCTCTCCTAGGCACTCCGAATGGCAGCGGAGTCGCTTATATGCTTATCGACCACAAGGTCCAGTTTGGTCAGATGAGAGTGAAGAGTATCGCTGTGAAAGGCATGAAGATAGGAGGTGAATGGTTTCCGTGGATGATCCAAAAGATCGAGACATTTGGATAATGGAGCACCAGGCATGCTGCGCGGCCAACTCTATATATACAGCTCGTGCCATGCTGCGCAAGGCGGTCAAGAGGGATATCAACGGCGAATTACCGCTATCAATGTGGTGATTGCGTCCTGTGATGCACAAGAGGGTGTGTCGTCGCGGCTCCATGTGTCTTAAACATAAAACGAGATACTAAATGCGTCACCATCTACTCCCCGAGCTAAAAGGACAACGGACAGCGGCCATCTCCCGCAGATGAGAGTGGTGAAGCTTGTCGCAGAGCGATTGTCCAGGCCCAGTGTCCGAGTAATCGAAATGTCAAGTGGCGTATTTCCAATGTCGAGTGGTTGGGTTTCCGGAAATCAAGCCGACTTGGAAGCCTGGACTGACGGCGAGATAAAATCTGACCATCTTGCGCAGTGTCTCCAATACCAACACTGGATTTAGAAGACTAGAAGAATATGCTTTGGGCTTTGATCTCTGGTGACAATTCCCACTATCACTGCCAAATACTGGATAACTACGACCGGTGCTATCAGTGTCAGACTGCAGAACTCACCATGCTCAATTGAGTCTAGTCACCCTCAGCTGAGCTTGGGGGCGGCCAGTCCCGAACTCTGTTCAATAGTTAATACGTGAAGAACTCCCTTTTCCTATGTTCTTCCAGTCATCAGCCCAGGGCCAACCATGGCGGGCACCCTTGCCCTAATCTTCACCCTCGTCGCTGGCTCCCTCGCCGGCGTCCTCCCAATCCGCAGCGATACAAAATTGACCAACGTCACCCTACCCCAGGGAGTCACATACAACCAGAATACGCATTTACTCTGCAGCCCCACAACATGGACCGACGTTGCGACGTTTTTTCTGGGCAACTACATATCCCACGCGGCGACAGTCATCGCCTTCCCCGGTGAACCATGGCACGTCGTAACACTAAACATGCTCCTCGCCATCCTCTTCCCAGGTATGGGCGCGGCGCGCGGACTGCTTGCGATTATTCGGCACGCGGCGCTGTGCAAGGATCCAATACAGAGGGCGCTGCGTTCGCGGGCGATGTGTATGGTAGTGCGCTCAAAGGAGTGGAGGCCGAGTTCGGGTCAAAAGGTGCATTCATTGTCGTTTTTGTCGGCGACCTTGCGGGGGAAGAAGGAGGATGAAGAGGATGAGGATTTTCGGGCGCATAATCTTATCTGTGAGTCAATGATACAAGGTTCGATTTGAGGTTTCGGGCTGATGATAATGGGGGATATAGCGAAAAATAAGGAGTCGGCGGCGCAGTTCCTAAAGGAATTGTAGGTCGCCCACCTCCGTTCCATTATTGATATTTCCCTAATGACTTTGTATAGGAAAGAATATCATGAGCCAATTGAGCTCAGGGTTGAAAGTCCGGCCTGGCTAACCCTGGAACATCATGATGCCTCCCTTGAGTCTGTCGGCGAAGAGTGGCAGGTCTTCGGAGACTACCATTTACCTACTGGCTACGAACTAGCCTACGTCCCCTCAAATGCAATTGTGGAATCCATATCAAGCGCCTCCGCCGACTTAACCTCCCCCGAGAAGAGAAACTCGGTATACAACCTCTCCTCGATCTACAGCCTCTCTACAGCCGTAGTAGCAATCGTGCAGATCATCTACGCATCAGCAACACTCTACCGCTCGCGCGGTGACCAGGTCGCCAAATATGGATATGCCGCGTTTGGATTCACCGTTCTGCCATACCTGATTATGTCGTTTGTCAATCTCGTGGGAAACCTGGTTACGCCGCGGTATTCCACGCTGTACCTTGTTCGCACGGAGATGATGGATGAGGCTGTGGAAAGGGGTGGATATTTTGAGGGTACTACAGCCAGACTTGAAAGTGCTCAGCTTCAGTTGAAGCACGGTTTTGTGTTTGAGGCAGAGCTTCAAGAGCATGAGCATCGAGGTGGTGAGGAGCGCTGGGAGTTTCAGGTGGGGGGTGTTGATGTAGGTTCGAGTGATGATGAGCTTGAAAAGGTCAATAATGCATCTATTGGGGCAGATTCTGCGCCGGGTGAGGCAGTGACTGCGGCAGACATTCCGCTGGTGGTTCAACATGATGGCGAGTCACCGAAAGAATCTGCTGAAGAGGAGACAAAGGTTAAAGAGACCGTTGAAGAGAAATCGGAAGATGCAAAGGCAAGAAATAAGGAGGCAATGGACGACGCAGACAACAAGAAACCTCTACTCATCATCCCAAGCTGCTACAATTTCAAAGTTGCCACCCAAACCCGCGGCTTCTTCAGCTCCAGCAACCCAACCCTCTTCGACTGGCACCACCGCATCATCTTCTGGATGCTCCAACTTCTCATCGCAGCTGTGCCCTTTATCGTTATCGGGGCCATGTCCCGTTTCAAGGCCAATCACAGCACCACAGCTCAGCGGGCATGGATCATGAGCTGGCTGTCCTTGGGAATGACGCTCGTGCTCAATGCTTTCCTCTCTAACTACATGGTTCGCCTAGGCTTTGCGGCCCATAAGAGCCATCGGCTTTGGAGGACAGATCGCTCGGGGCCCTTAAAGCATCGCTTTGGGTGGAGTGTGTTTGGTGTTGTCGTCGTGGTTGTGTTCGTGTGTGCATGGGCTACCCCGACCATTGGCGGCTTTACGATGGTGGCCAAGATGCTGAGGGAGAATGGGTCTTGTACACTCATTGGATGAGTTTCAACATTGCCTCTGTTCGCTTTATATTGAACCTCCTCGTTGGTTCGAACACTGCTTATATGAACATGGGTCTGCATCTTTGCCCGCTTCTCGGCCTCTTGCTCATCTCGTCAATTCATCTGCGTGTAGTCATTCTGTTCGGAAAGCAGCGCCTGAATGTTCCTGAAGCGAGGGTCACTGCGGCAATCATCCCACTGTTCGGTAATCCATGCATCGATATTATCCACGGGCTGACTTCGAATGATTTCCACCATACCCTTCAACATACTACGGGCTTCGTTCTTGCTCAAGCCACTAGCAAGACCGTGGTGGAATCGTCGCATAAGCTCATTATCAGCTGCATATGAGGCGAGCTCGTTGGCACCTCGATTTCTCAGGGCGGTTGCAAGAAGTCGATCATCGTCTGTCACACCAGTGTTGCTGGAATAGAGAGCACCGAGGTCCGCGGTCACGTAGGAGGGGCCAAAAGCCTCCGCTGCAGGGACAGTGCGGGCAAACTGCCAATCGATAATGCCGGTGATATTGAGATTCTCATCGACGAGAAGGTGATCACCTTTGTCGTCGACATGTTTCAGAAAGAAATTGCCGACAGCATCCGAGGACGCTATTTTGGTGGCATTCTTGCGAAGAAATCGATAGTAAAGGAACGCTTCCAATGGATACTTATGATGAACCTGTCCATCGGCGATGAGGTCTAAATATTGCTCCGTGATGCTGATGATATAGTCCAAAGGTGTTTCGAAAGGACCATAGGTACCCAATACAACGAAGCGGTTGCTAGCTACGGATGACAGCTTTGTGCGTTCGCCTTCCATAACCAGTGAACCTACTAGCGGCACTGGATGTTTGTAAATCTCGATCATAATATCGGCCAGTTGTTCGATGACCCGTTGCTTCTGCGAGTATGAAACTTGGGACGCGTAGTACGGTTTCCCAGGCATGGCTTGCATCAGTATGTAGCTAACGCCGACACGGTTCGAGGGATCGGATGCGAGTCCATAGCCATATGGCTTGGGAGCTGGAATCTTTGTCGGCTCGAGAAACTTGAGCGTTGCGTATTCACTAGCAACAAGGTACTCCACTAGTTCGGATGGGACGTCGGTAAAGCCTGTTCGGGGGACTCGGACGATCCACTTGTCGCCATTGTCAAAAACAAGCCACGCGTGATAGTTGGCACACCCCATCATCGCCCTACCTTCAAGCTCGAATCTGCACTTGAGTCCATTTTGGAGTTGAGTCCCGATTTTGACAAGCTCCAAGGTGTTGATATTGGATAGCAACTCCGATACTTCATCATTGATCGACTTCTCCCATGCTTCATCATCCAGCTAGGCCCCAATTAAAATGTGAGCATCGTTCAAAAAGCACAGAATGGCATTGCACGCGGAGGAGGTTCATACCTCGGAGACAGATGGGCATTTGTGGAATTCCTTTGACTGATGCTTGGAACAGAGGTGTCTTTGGCATCTTACACAGCTACGTTGACGAACGCCGGGTCTAGTGCAGTAGCCTATCGAACAGGTCGCATGTCGAGGAGGTTGGGTATTTTCAAATATTCTCTTCGTCGTGCTGTCATCCTGCCGTTCACCTGTATTGATCAGAAGGGCTTGCAGCCTCGCGTCATTGGCCCATTGAAAAAGGCGACTCTGACGCCAGACTTCCCAGTCAATTTCCAAGTCGATTCCGGTTGCCGTGGAAAGGATACCTCTGAATAAGGCATTTGCTTCGCTCCACGACATATTCATGCCCATTCCAAGACCAAAGGAGAAACGACGGACTAGGTCAGGGCCATCCGCGAATCGTGCTAAAGAGTTGCTCTTAGTCTGTATAGACTCAATCATGAGCTTGTCATTTCGGGATTGCCCAGCTCTACCTTGGTAGATGTCACTCATTTCTGCTGTCAAGAGGGAAGGCCCAAATGCCTCATAAAAAGGCACCACCCTGGCAAACGTCCAGTCGATAAGACCGGTAATGTTGTACTCCTCGTCCACGAGAATATGGTCACCCTTGTCATCCATATGTTTCAAAAAGAATGGACCATCGTCAATACTGAGTTCAAACGCGTTCCATCGGCCTCGTTCTGCCAATTCTTTGAGGTATTTGAAGATAAGGTAGGCATTGACGGAGTATGGGGTGAAAAGCTGCCTGTCGTAGATTATGTCGAGGTATTTCTCCGCCCATGTCGCATAGTATTCTCGTGCACAGCGAAAAGGGCCCATCTGCGAAAATGTCCCTGTCCGATCACCCACAATGGGACCGATCCCGATGTTGCCATCTGACTGAAAGGATAGACACCCAATTTGCTCAAAGGGGTGCTCGTGGATCACGCACAGGATCTCGGCATACCTCTTGTACACTTTGCGTAGTTGGTCTTCTGATGGCTTCAAATAAAGTAAAGGGGTTCCGGGAAGTTCGTCTATAAGCATGTACGCAACGCCAACCTCATTGCTAGGGTCATTGCGCAGACCGTAGTCATGAAGTTGAGGTGCAGGTACTTTCATGCTCTCGAGCCACTTCAAAGTCGCACATTCACTCTCTAAGCAGAGGTTGCCAAAGTCGTCTGAGAAAGAAGTGTAGTTTTGTCGGAGTACGCGCGCGAGCCAAGTCGTACCATTCGAGAAGATAATTCGGAGATGGACATGCATTCCACCCATCCGCTTTTCGCCAAGATGGTCTGAAGTATCTAGCTCACATGGAAGGTCACCATTGCGCTCCGAGGCTCGACGCAGGAGATTCTTGACATTGATCATGCCTCGAAGCGCCTTCAGTTCTTGGACTCGCGCAGCCGTCCAGGCATTGTCATCAAGGGGCTCCTTCTGGGATGGAATTAGAACGTATTCTAGCTGGACAGAACTTTAGCGTACCTTGCAGCCATGCGTTGGGGATATAGCGTGGTCAGCGCAAAAATGCCGCTGACAGCGTTCACAGAGACCGACGTCGATTGCTGCGGCAGCGGAACACGCTGCAACATAACAAGTCCAAAAGCGAAAAGTTGCAGGCATATTGAGCTATCCACGGCTCTGAACTTTGTGACGGTCAATAGTGTTGAGACAAATATTGGCTGTCTTTCGTTAAGCTTGCAAGCTTCGAAAACATCAAATGTCAGAGGCACCAACACAAGGCTTCCAAGCCAGTCTCTGGCTTATTTTCTGGGTTTGGCAGAGATGTGGCTCGCCTGTGCTTATCAGACAACGAACTCACGATCGTTTCAACCCCAGTAGCTTCAATCGTGCGCTCTAGAGGTTAGGATATAATAAGTGGGACCCTAAACAAGCAATTGAGCTAGTTATCATCCCGATATGGAATTAACTAAACGCGGATCCCAACATCCTATCCTGACTCAGCGACTTCACGTGTCCCCCCTTAGCCTCGGTCCCCATACAGACAATCACGAATAAATGATTCTCATGATTAATATTATCTGTCTCTGTCCAAGCATTGCTTCACTCCTGTGCCCACTTCGTGTCTCTCCTTAATGATCCCAATCCCGTCCTAGGGCGTGTAATTGATGCCAGCCCCTTGAAACTCTTGCTCAATAACTAGATCATCACTTATCGCTTATCAACTCCAACCTCTCGCAAGAAAATATGTCCCTGCGCATAGAGACCATGCGCGACCTCCTATCAGCCGCGATGTCGCTCGCCTCATGGAAGACGCTGGCTTTACTTCTAGCCCTGACAAACCTCAAGAGTCTGCCGCTCGTCTGGCATGTAAGTACTCTCTGTCGAGTCCTTCCACTACGCCAAGTCACACAACTAAAAAAAGCAACACAGTTCCGTTTGTTGTACTACTGCCTCGGGAACCTGCGTCTAAAGCCCACTGCACCATTCTTTCCAAAGGGGAAACCCATTGTGGACGCGCAGGGCAAGCCCACTCACCCGATCTTCGTGCCCTGCACCGTCACCTCGCGCACCCCATTGCTGGAAACAGACTACAACCTGCACAAGAGCAACAGTACCTACTTCACCGACCTCGATATCTCCCGTACCGCGCTCGTCACCCGCATCTACAGCCCCGGCGTCGGGCTCGTCAGCAAGGAACTCGACAAAGAGTTCAATGCCGCCGCCCAGCGCGAAGGCAAGCATGCGCCAAAGCGCAAAGTTGTATCCATCGTGCTAGGCTCGGTGTACTGCAGCTTCAAGCGCGAGATCAAGCCCTTCGAGCTGTACGAGATGCACTCCAAGGTCATCTCCTGGGACAAGAAATGGATGTACATCCTCACCTGCTTCATGCGTCCCGCAAAACGTGCCGGCGGCGAGAAGACCCTTCTCGCGACAGCACTGAGCAAGTATGTCGTGAAAAAGGGCCGGCTGACCGTATCGCCGGAGCGCATTCTGCTTGCAAGTGGGTTCTTGCCTGCGCCGCCAGCAGATAATACCAAGACCGTCGCGGATTCATCTGCTGAGGGCTCGGCGATTGGGACCCCCGCTAGCAGCGAGGGGATCGCTGATACAGCGACGGGGGTGGATGGATCACTGGTGAGAGAGGTGTTGAAGCTGAGAGAGGAGCAGATCCCCAGCCGGGAGAAGCTCGAGGAGCAGCAGAAGGATAATGAGGACTTGTGGAGCTCCTCGGAGTGGACTTGGGAGCGGATTGAGCAGGAGAGGCTGCGTGGGCTGCGTGTTGTCAATGGGTTTACGGATTTGGATACGAAACTGCATGAGGAGTGGCTGTGATAGACTGGATGTACGATAGGGGTGGGATAGTTAATAATGAATAGATTTTACATAGCGATCTCTACTTCGTCTGTGATATAGTTGGAGTGGTGGTCAACATGCTCCCGAGATATATATATGTCAACATCACCGCCTTGACATATATAAAATATATTTTTTGATCATCCTCAATCAGTTAATTATCTGTGCAATACATACAGTAGTAATTCACTCAGAGCGACCTCCAAGGAATGCTGAGACGCTCTGTGGAAATAGCACACTGATTGTCATTGGCGTCGAGTGAGATCATCAAGGGGCGCAATTCTCGGCTCCGGTGGTATCCGATGGACAGTCATCCATCACGTGACCGTATCACTGGTTGGACCGAGCGCAAACACCGTATCTTCGTGCATTATTGCTGTTCTTTCGTCGTGTTGATTGCCGGGCGAGATATCGTCAGATCGGTCTCGCAGAGAGGGTAAGTGGCACACATCTTCTGATCCCCTCCCCCATCGGCCAGGGTGTTCCCTCGCTCTGCCCTGGTGGATCCATCCGAGACCGGAAGGCGTACTGTATCATACACTCCCCCTGCCTCTTGTCAGGCCATCGTGCTCCGGCCCACCCTCCAATGCTGGCTTGATTGGCCACTGGCTCTGGCTCACTTCCCTCCTCCCCCATCATTAGCGCCTAGGTCTACGCCGCATCGTTGAATGGATATTTCCCTCGACGGCGCCTCAACCTTTTGCGACATTTACCCGCAAAACCGTGCATCGTATCCTCTTACCTTACCCGGATCCCTCCCTTTGACTCCTGGAAACCTCTTACTGGCCATTCTCATTGGCGTCTGGGCTAAGACTCCTTCTCGTCGATTGACTTCAGGAAAAAAGAACCCCCGAAGCAGAGCTTATCGCAACATCCCCAACCACTGCCTGCCCACCCGGTCCTCCCTGAGCGAACCCTGGCGTCTACAGACTACATCTACGATACTGCTACGCCCTTGAATTCGCTTCCCCCGACCGCTGGGAACCACCCTTACCTCGCCGTCGATCAGCGGTCGCGCCCTTCGACGACGGCATCCGACCCTCACCCCCAACCCACCGCTGTCCATCATGGCGGCCACACTCGAACAGCCACCCGTCGACTTGCTCGGGGGCGGCCCGGCGGTTGATTCCGTCTCGATCACTCCACCGCAGAGCGCCAACGGCAAGAAGGAAGCTCCCGAAAGCGTGCCTTCTGAGTTGTCCGACCTTGAGCTGGACTCCAAACCCGCCGCGGTAGAACCCGAAGAGAAACCGATCAAGCAGGAAGAAGCGGAGGAGGAGGAAGAAGAAGAAATCGAACCCGACCACTACTATGGCGGCGGCAAGATCCCTGTCTTCAAGCCGGTGAGTCGGGAGCTCCACGGAAGGTGTGCAGCAGCAGAAAAGATGAGAAGGCTGACCGGGGCTGCTATTTAGACCATGGACCAATTCCGTGATTTCCAGTCATTCATCAAAAGAATCGACAGACATGGAATGCAAGCAGGAATAGTCAAAGTCGTTCCTCCAAAGGAATGGTGAGTGTTTCGGCACGCTGAGATGCATCGCTCTTTCGTGCTAACGAACCTCTTTCTGGTTAAAGGTCCGAGTCACTCCCTCAACTCGACGAGGCCGTCAAGAAAATTCGCGTGAAGAACCCGATCATGCAGGAATTCCACGGATCCCACGGTACCTACACGCAAGCGAATATTGAACGACAACGCTCCTACAATCTGCCTCAGTGGAAGGGCTTGTGCGATGAGAGCAGTCACCAGCCACCAGCCCGGCGTGGAGAAAGACGTCGAAACCTAGAAAGAACGAGCCGAGTTGCCTCCACACCGCGGCCCCAAGCCCCTCGACCGGCCGATGGTCAGAAACGCCGTCCAGGCCGTCCTCCCAAAAGGACGAAAGTCAAGGAAGAGCCTCTCGCGGAAGATGGGGATAAGTCGAAACCTGAAGGACCTCCGACACCAGTGTCCCCCGAATCCAACCCCGTCGAAGCGAAGAGTGAGGATCTGAGCGAGGGCGAGTCCCTGCCTGCCCCGAAGCCCAAAGGCCGACAAGCCAAGTCCGTCAATGCACGACGAAAGAACAACCGGGGCGATATGGTGGATTACGTGGATGAAGAAGCCTTCCAGGGGTTTGACTATCGAATCCACGATAACGAGGATTATACCGCAGAACGATGTGAAGAACTGGAGACGTCATACTGGAAGTCGCTGATGTACAACAATCCAATGTACGGCGCTGATATGCCGGGCTCACTTTTCAACGACTCGACCACCTCTTGGAACGTTGCCAAACTCCCGAACCTCCTCGACGTCCTCGGACAGAAAGTGCCTGGTGTCAATACGGCCTATCTCTACCTGGGAATGTGGAAGGCGACGTTTGCCTGGCATCTGGAAGACGTCGACCTATACAGTATCAACTACATCCATTTCGGTGCCCCCAAGCAGTGGTACAGCATCTCGCAGGAGGATGCACCTCGCTTCGAACAGGCCATGCGCAGTATTTGGTCGAGTGATGCGAAGAATTGCGACCAGTTCCTCCGCCACAAGACTTATCTGGTCTCCCCCAGTCTTCTCAAGTCGCAATACGGAATCACCGTCAACCGCCTGGTCCATTACGAAGGGGAGTTTGTCATCACGTTCCCCTACGGCTACCACTCCGGCTACAACGTGGGGTACAACTGTGCGGAGTCGGTCAACTTCGCAACTGAAAAATGGTTGGACTACGGTCGTATCGCCAAGAAATGTCACTGTGAAGAGGACAGCGTCTGGATCGATGTGGACGAGATCGAACGCAAAATGCGCGGCGAGAGCACTCCGGAATACTATGGCGAATTCGACAGCGAATTCGAGGGAGCGTCGGATCTTCTCACGCCCCCGCGTAGCGTGCCCGAAAAGACGCCCTCCAACCGTGGTCGAAAGCGGAAACACGGCGGCGACGGGCCGAGGACCAAACGACCCAAACTCCACCCAGACGGACCCCGAAAGATCCCGTGTCTGTTATGCCCTAACGATCTGGACTATGAGGATTTGCTTCCGACCGAAAATGGCAAGGGCCATGTGCATCGTCGGTGTGCGGCCTTCATCGAAGAGACGAGCATTCTGCGCAGTGAGTCCGGGCAAGAGGTGGTGTGCGACATTGATAAGATCCCCAAGGCTCGCCTGGAACTCAAATGTCTGTTTTGCCGTGAGGTCCGCGGTGCTTGCTTCCAGTGCAATTTCGGCAAATGCACGCGCGCCTACCATGCCACTTGTGCTCTTCTGGCCGGCGTTGCAATCGAACATGGCTCTATCGCGGTGATTGCCGACGATGGCAACACATACTCCTTGCCCAGCGTTGACCTGAAGTGCAAGTTCCACCGTCAGAAGCGACCTGCCGGGATCTCGGGCGAGTCGTTGGATTCCGATCGCCGCGTGAACCAAGGCGCTCGCCGTCTGGTGCAGGGTGACCTGATCCAGTTCCAGGCTGACAAGGAGATCAATGGCGCCATTGTCCTTCAGAATCGCCCGGAGGAGCGATCTCTGCTGCTCAAGGTCCTTCCCCGAGGGTAAGTTTAGAAGGGAAATCTCCAAGGAAAACCGCTAATTCTATGAACAGGGATGTGATCGAGCTGCCGTATCGCTGGATGCTGGTTGTTCGCAGAAGCAATTTTGCGCCCCTCGTGCCAGGGATCCAACCCCTCCCGGCCCACCTTGCGCGAAAGCCCGAACAGCGGAAGGAGTTGGAGTCCGCTCTCCCAGTGGCAGGCAGTGCCTTTGGCGACAGCCACTCTCCCTATCAGTGGGCCGAGTTTGAAACGGTGGAGGCTACTAAGAATGCCCCACCGGTGACGGTCAACCTCGACAAAGGCGAACAATTGTGGTACTATTTGGGCGCGCAGTCGACGGAGAGTAGGGCACAGTATACACACAACCCTAGCGTCCGCGTCCACAACCCGCGGGCCAATTTCCTCGACAGCGTCAGAGCGGGTCTGGGAGTGTCGAGGATCTCCCCCCACCATCATCGCCATTGGCGCTACAATAATAATGCTGCCACCGCCCCTGCCCCTCCTTACCAGCAAAATCTTTACGCTCAATCCCGACCGCTTTTACATTCACCCCTGAACGACGTCAACGCTCACCACCACCGCACCCACTTCTTCCATTCCGCCAGACCGCCCACCTCTTCTCCTTTGGTGCAGCCTCCGCTCGCCCCTCCCCCTCACCCTGCACCTGCCGCTTCCGCTGCCGGTGCTGCTGCTGCTGGAGCTCCTGCGATGCCGTCGGCCTTTCGTTCCCTGCCGACTCAATCTGCCCGCCATGCCCCCTATCCTTCGGTCGCCAAATCGCACGCTCAGCAGCAGCACCACCTCCCCGCCACCAATACCTTTGCCAATGTTCGGGAACTCATCGCTCGCCGGCGTCTCGCCCAGATCACCGACCATGCCAATGTCTTCGCCGGGTATACGATCGTTAGCCCCGAGGTGGTGGTAGAGACCCTCCTGGGCCCAATGGGCTCGATTCCCCCTGCCAATGGTTTGGAAAAATTAGAGCTGGTTATGGCCCAGCAGCGGGTGCAGCCACGAGCCGCCGACGGGACCTTGCTGCCGCCACAGACCCTCAACATGCGGTCAGAGGAGGTGACCCGGTTGCTGCAGATGCTGCGGTTCTCTCTGGTCAGCCATCGTGAGCGGCTAGACGTGCTCCAGAAGAAGGAATCGGAGGGCGTGAAACAGGAGGTCGACCGGGGAAGCGTGGCGGCCGCCAAGATGCCGGGCAAATATGCCTTTCTCGACCAGCAGCGGGCACTGGCACCCAATGTTTACCAGTCTCCATACAACATGCCCTCGGGCCTGTCGGAGTATGCCAAGAAGACGTACGGGCTGCTTCCCTCCGAGGACGAGCCGCCCAAGGAGTCCCTGGCGAACGACTTCTTCAATAGCCTCTCCCAGGAGATGCAGGAGAAGATTCTCAAGACATGCGGTAGCTTTGTGCAACGTGCCATCGATCGGTCGGCCAACCACAGCCGCCAAAACTCGGCGTCCAACCTACGGCTGTCATCGGCGCTTGCCCAGCAAACGGCAAATCCGACCATCGATATCACGACGGCCGAGGACCCGCCATTGTCTGGTCTCGACCTTCCGCTCCACGCCGACTCCCCCGTCTCAAATTTTGGCCGGTCGCAGCTGCGATTCCATTCGCCGAACGAGTTCCCCATGCACGGGCCGGACCCTCACCCTGACCATCACGATCTCTTCGGGGACCAGCAAGCCAACACCCGCTTCTGGCAGGAGGGGCCGTGGATCGCGGGCGATGGCAACACCCCCAACGACGAGCATCGGCCCTTCTTCGGCCCGCACGAACGGCTTAAGCATGACTATGCTTCCTCGGATATATCACTGGGTAAGGGGCCAGGGTCATTGCATTCAGTCGACATGGCCGGCTTCGGGCCTGATCCCTCCGAAGATCTCGTTGCTGGACTGAGTCCCTAACTGTCCACATACCGCCGCCGCCTGTTTTTCTTTTTATTCCTGCCATCCTCCTGCGACTGTACTGCATTCCCCCATGTAACGACTTCACCGCACTGACGACTGCATTATGACTGGGCGTTTCCTTTTTCTTTTATCACTTTTCGACCTCGATTGACGATCGTTCCACGGGCCATGTCCTTTTCACGATTGGAGTTGACGCTTAACCGGCTGGTTACGACTCAAGCGTGTGTTTACCTGGAGGCCTCTTCATTTCTTGCTCCCCCGGAGAGGCGATAGACCGGTTGCCTAGACTGTCTGTTCCTCCTTGGCCCTGCACTCAAAAACACATCCATGACTCCTTTAAAAATCACGTTCTCCCCAATTCCTCTTGTCCTCTCCACGCACGCTTTTCCCTCATCACCTCTTCGCTTTTCGTTAACCCTGGACCTACTTTCGCCCTCATCTCCCTGTCTCCTATTCCTCCTATCCCTCACCCACCCATCCCGTTGTCCCGTTAGGTATTCGATCAAACAAGAAAAAATTCCCTTCTTCGAGGCCCTCGCGGGCCTATGGAAAACTTGTGACTTTACTTTTCCCTTTGATACCCCCCCCCCCCCCCCCTTTTTTACTTACCTACCCGACTGCCTTTTTCCACCTCCACCTCCACCTTTTCTTCTCTATTATTCTGTCTGGCGCTCATCGATGAGAATTTTTTCTCGTCGACGTGGCAGCCGTCACCGTGAGTGACTCCCGAATGTATTTTGCAAGCAATCAAACTTGTTCCAATTATATACATTCGATATCGTAGTTCTCGGCTCCTACCTGGGTTCAACCATAGTTGGCATTGTCGAACCCTGATACTTGGCCTGCTATACGAATAGATCAACATCTAGATAATAAGTGATCGAATAAACGGTCTAGTAAGCAATTGATCATAGTGATCGAGAGATCAATAGTAAACGAAGCGATTATCTACCAATGGCCTGACCAATGCTATCGCCGAGCCATCGAGGCAATCTCTTCACCCGGGTTACTGTAATCTACAAACCCAAACTTGGCATACAAGGGCGCACCATCCTTACTGGCATCCACATACGCCCCAACTCCCTCCGCATCGGCCAGATCACATCCCCACTTGACAAGCATAGCGCCCGCCCCCCGCCGTTGGTAGTCCGGGTGCGTAGCAACGGTGTCCAGGTCTGTCAGATAAACAACAAGCAGTCAGTATGTCGTATACACAAACACCAATGGCAAACAGAGAGGCAGGAAACATACAAAAATGCTTCTTATCCCCCATCACACGCATCCGATTCTTCTCCTCCTGGAGGAAAAACGCGTCGCACACATCCGCAGGCATATCCTCATGCCACGGCGGATATCGTCGTCCGCGCTCGTCCGGCATCGCCAAATCCCACTTCGCATAGGCCGCGATGCGCAGTCGGCCCTGGTCGTCTGTGGCCGTGGGGTCCACGACTTTCACGTAGCGCTGGAAAGGCTTGTTGAGCATGTCGTGGCGATTGGCGTCTTCTAGCCATTTGCGCACGCCGGGCGTGTCGGGGAATACTTGGCGTATCTCGGGGTCTGAGAAGGCTGCAAACCAGAGCTCCGTCAGGGCGGCGTTATCCTCTAGCGTCATGGGCTTTAGTTCTAGGCAATTGGGGGTTGTCATTTTGAGGGGGACCGCGGGTCGTATAGATTCAATGGGTTAATCATAGGACGAGAATGGGATGCTCAGTCGAATGAAGGAAGCTGTTGTTAGCAGTCAGTGCAGCCCACGTTAAAATGATCGTGGCCTGTTGTTGCCGTGCAAACCACGGCCTTAGGCGCCCCCACCTCAACACAGCCCGGGGTGACGCGGCCCAGATGACTGTGTAGAGAGCTTCAGTTCACACTTCTATAGATGGGAATTGACGATCGGCAGAGTAAAACATTCTAGACAATCTTCGGGTGAGATGAGTCTGCAGGGGGTTGAGGTCAATTCAGTTCCCAAGACCGGCAACGGAACAGTTTAACATCGGAGGTATTGATTCTTCACAGGTGCATCTATCTTCAGATTGAGATTCCATCCAATGTGGCGTTGAGGCTCAACTCGGGAAGCACCCATGTGCGCTAGTTACCTGACAGAAACCAAAGCTCCTTCGATCTCCAGGGTACTCGATTCTCAGGGGGACGATGTCTTATCACCGCCTACCGGTCATCGCCGCTAGTCAGACCCGCCATTCTCTTATCCCGCCGATCGGGCTCCTTCAGGGGTCTTGGTGTCTCAGTTCGGGCAGTTGGTGGCGTGCGGAGGATTTCTCGCTTAACCACGACGGATACGAAGGAGTAAACTTCCAGTCAACCAGTCCCTCTGGTGTCCGGGACACGGTAGATGCAACGTTCCTCCCACATAATAAGCTCAGACCGATCCACTTGTTCCTTTCATCGCGGTCCGAGACCGCGATCCACTCGTATGCGGGGGAAGTGAGTGACTGATAGCTGACAGCGCGAGATAAGAGTTTAGGGCGAGGTTATAACTATCTCTCCGTGCTCTCTGCTCTCTTGCCCCCACAGTTCCTTCACCACCATCACCATGCGCACCTCTGTCGATGCCGCCGACGAGGCGCTGGCCCGGATGGGCTACAAGAGCGAGCTCCCACGCAACCTGAGCATGCTCAGCGTCCTCGGTCTCTCCTTCGCCATCATGGCCGCCCCCTACGGGCTCAGTACCACCCTCTACATCACCCTCGACGACGGCCTCTCCGTGACCATCATCTGGGGCTGGGTGTTCGTCACCCTCATTTCCATTGCTATTGCCGCCTCCCTCGCTGAGATCTGCGCCGTCTTCCCGACCGCCGGAGGGGTCTACTACTGGAGCGCTATGCTCTCGACCCGCCGCTGGGCTCCGCTCATGTCGTTTATTGATGGCTGGCTCACCCTCGTCGGCAATTGGACCGTCACACTCAGTATCATCTTCGGAGGCGCCGAGCTCATTCTCAGCGCCATCTCCCTGTGGGACGAGTCCTTCGTCGCCAATGCCTGGCAGACAGTGCTCATGTTCTGGGCGGTGATGCTGGTGTGCGTGCTCGTCAACGTCTTCTTGTCACGGTATCTCGACCTGATCAATAAAGTTTGCATCTACTGGACCGCGACCAGCGTGATCGTCATTCTCATCACCCTGTTGACCATGGCCGACCACCGACGCAGCGGCGAATTTGTCTTCGCTCACTACGATGCCTCCCATAGCGGCTGGCCATCGGGCTGGGCCTTTTTCGTTGGTCTGCTGCAGGCAGCATATACTTTGACCGGCTATGGGATGGTGGCTGCCATGTGTGAGGAGGTACAGAACCCCCACCGTGAGGTCCCCAAGGCCATTGTGCTGTCCGTGGTGGCGGCCGGTATCACGGGATTGCTCTATTTAATTCCACTTCTGTTCGTGATGCCGCAATTAAAGGCGCTGCGAAATGTGGCGAGCGGACAGCCAATTGGACTGCTGTTCAAGACAGTGACGGGCTCCGCGGGCGGCGGGTTTGGCCTGCTTTTCCTCATTTTGGGAATTATGCTTTTTGCGGGCATTGGCTCGCTGACTGCGGCCAGTCGCTGCACGTATGCATTCGCCCGGGACGGCGCCATCCCCGGGTTCCGGCTCTGGCGCAAAGTCAACAAGAAGCTCGATGTGCCCGTCTGGGCGATCCTTCTGTCGGCGGCCGTGGACTGTCTCCTGGGTCTGATCTATCTAGGCTCGACAGCCGCGTTCAACTCGTTTACGGGTGTCGCGACGATCTGTCTCTCCACGTCCTACGGCCTCCCCATTCTCATTTCCGTCGTCCGGGGCCGTCGCGATGTGCGCGAATCCACCTTCTCTCTTGGCCGATTTGGCTACATCATCAATTGCATCACCATCGCGTGGATTATCCTCTCCGTGGTGCTCTTCTGCATGCCCGCGACGCTGCCGGTGTCGGCCTCGTCCATGAACTATGCTAGTGTGGTGTTTGCCGGGTTTGGCACCATCAGCATCATCTGGTACTTTGCCTATGCGCGCAAGCACTTCACCGGCCCACCTGTCAGCAGCGAAGAAGCCCGGGCCGCCGTGGGGGTTATAACGGAGGCAACTGTCGTGGATGCAGAGCATACGGCGGCGCTGGAGAAGACGGAGATGAAGCAGTCGTCGAGCGAGTAGACTCAAGCTCGATTGTATAGTACTTGATTAATTTGCTTTTTAATAAAGATGGAGCGATAAACCTGATTCAATCATAACATGATTCCTGATTTTTGTATGTAGACTACATTCTCCATGCATTTTCGTGGAAATCACAAGTGCCCTGACGATCTCCGACAGCCGCGGCCCAACGAAGCCCTGATAACACACGCCACTCCGAGGATGCAATACAGTCACTCCTGGTCTTTATTATTATTTCATCGCATTAATCATTATTATTAACCCCCTGAACTGCTCAGCGTAATTACTATTCGTGTGTTCGAATAACCCGGGCCAGTTCACCTCGGCGAAACTCGTTGCTTTTCCCTTCCCTTTCCCGCCAACAAACAGACCCGCACCTCTCCCGCACTCCGGAACCTCCTTGATCGCGCGACATCAGAGACAACACACTTGCTCCCCCCTGATTGTTCTTCTCAGCGGTGTCTCAACTACTTCGCTCCCCATGCGGTCCGTCCGCGCCAGCCGATGCCCATCCCCGCTCTCATGAAGTCAGGGACCGGACTGCTTCGTCGTCTCGCAACATGTCGGACTCCGTGGGTGCGTGATAACCACTCTCTGCAGTGGAACGTGACTGAATATGTAATTTGACTCTGACACGCGCTATCGCATAGATCGCGTCTTCGTCCATGCCCTCAACACCGTCAAGAGAATCCCCCGGACGGGGACCGCGCGACCTCCGGCGGCGGAACGGTTGAAGCTTTATGGCTTATACAAACAGAGCATGGGTGCGTGATTTTCATTCTATTGGGTAATTAATTACTCACACAGAAACAACAGAGGGCGATGTGGAGGGCGTGATGGATCGACCCATTGGGAATACTCCGGAAGTGCACGCGGAGTGCGAGAAGTGGTATGTTTACGACGACACCGACGCCAACACCTGTCATGCTGATTGCTGTAGGGACGCCTGGTATGCCCAGCGCGGCCTCTCGCGCACCGAGGCCAAACGCCGCTACATCTCGACGCTAGTCGATACGATGCACCGCTACGCATCGCAGACCTCCGAGGCGCGCGAACTGGTCTCTGAGCTCGAGTTTGTCTGGGACCAGATCAAATTCAATGCTTCTTCATCTTCGTCTTCCAGTCCACTACATAATGTCGGCGTTCCGCCGTTGTCGGGCAGCACATATGGGAGTATCGGGGGTCGGCTGGCGAGGTCGTCAGAGGACTACGAACGACCAGACTTACGTGCAGATACCAGTCGAAGAGGAGCCCATGATTCGCGGCTTCGAGTGCTCAGTCCCGTCAGCCAGCCCGAGGAAGAAGAATACTACCGGCGGCGACGGGTACGGTCAGCAGACGACGATGATGTGGATGATGAGGATGATGACGACCAAGAGACCGAGGAAGACGAGGAAGAGGACGACGAGGAGTACGAAGAAGCGCGCGACAGTCTCTACGAGGACCCAGACCATGCCAGCACAAACACAGACACAGGCACCGGGACGGACCGCACCGCCTCGCACGGCGAAGACCGCCATGGACGAGGTCGACATCGACGGCATCACCAGTCCGTCGACAGTAGCGGCAGTGGGCTTGGTGGCGGGAACCCCAAGGACAGCCGCTGGCGTCGCCGGGTCGAGCAGGCCTTGACCAAGATGACGGCCGAGATCGCTGCCGTGCGCGAGCAGATGGAAGCCCGCACGGTGGCCCAGCGCCGTCGCTCGGGGCTCTTCGCCTGGGTCAAGTGGTTGCTGTGGGTTGCGCTGCGCCAGATTGTCATGGACATCGCTCTCCTGGGCATGCTTCTGATCTGGATGCGCATGCGCGGTGACCGCCGTGTCGAAAACCGCTTGCGCACGGGCTGGTCCGAGGTGAAGGCCCGACTGGGCCGGTTCAAGCTCTTGAAGCGCATCGGGGCGGCAACACCCATGCTGCCGTAGTTCCATTTTCTTTCTTCTATTTCCTCGTTGCATTCATTCGCGTCTGTCATCCGGTGTTCCTTGTTCTCATTTTCATGGTGTCCCTTGTGTCTGTTTTTTCGAGTATTTCCTTTGTCTAGTATATATGGGGTTTCCAGTTGAGGGTTTATACTTCCTTTCTTTCTCCCCTTTTCCTTTCAGGTGATAGTGGTGTATGATACAGTTTGTATGTGGTCGAGCTGGGGTCAAGAATGATGCCATGGACTGGAAAGAGGATCACTTTAGACGGGCTTCAGAACGAGACTAGGCGGCGGAGGTTTCCTTTCTTGGTGTTTCGAGACACGCTGTTCGAGGGTTTAGGTGTACAGCCAGTCCCGCTGCCACATTAGAGACAGAAGAAGTGAAAAGTTGACAGTCTGGCAACAATAGATCTAAAAGAAAGAGCCGATTCATGTAACCATTCCTGATGCCACGAGATATTTACACACAAAACATACACCACGGAGAGGACAGACATATATAGGAGAGAGAACAGCATCAACGAAACAAAAGAAAAAACAGGATCCCAGCATAGATGACGAGAGACGGGAATAGTGAGGGAGATATAAAACCGGGATCGTGCTTTTCGGGTCACCCTCTCTAGAACTGCGGACCAGGATACTGGGCGTATTTCTGCTTGGGACGCATGTGCACAGGAACTTGGTTTTCGGGCGCGCCGGGGATGGTCTTCTTCAGGCCCTGCAGGGAAGAAAAAGAGGATGATGTTAGTTTCATTGTGGATTGATAGGGTGGCTGCGGAAGGCGGATTGTGGATGTATCTCAGAGACATACCAGCTTCTCAAAGACGCAGTTGTTCAGCTGCTGCTCCGCCCGTCGGCACTCAAACAGATGGTGGTTGTTGTTCTCGAGACACTCCCAGTGAGCGGTAAACTGCTTCAGGCAGTTGGTGTTGATATCCTTGATGCTGAGCAGATCTGTCAGTGCCCATGTCCCCAATGGATGCCCTCATTCATCAAGTGCAATAATGAACATACACACTAGCCGCACAGCGGGTGACCTTCCGTCCCTCCTTCAAGCACTCGATCTCCCCGCGCCCATTGGCCTCGTCCTTGCACTTCATAAAGTCATCGTTGTACGCCTTGCACCGGTCCCCGATGAAGTACGCCGCGCTCATCAGCGGGGCAGACGTCGCACCAATCTCCTCGACCTTGGGGATGTGGTCGGGCATCGGCGTCGTGTCGACCAGGACATGCTGGTTGAACCTGTCGAGGGATGGGAGCGTTAGTACACCGAGCCGGAGCACGCGGGCATGGGGTTGGGGCATACCGAGGATCTCTCTGGGCCATGGCTGTTGCGACTGGGTGGGATTCGAGCGGTGGGGATCAAAGGGGGACGTGCAATTGGCAATCTGACGTTGGTGTCGCTGGCGAGAGAGAGAGAGAGCTGCGGGAATGGAAAGAGTCGGTTCTTTGGCCCGCTGCTGATTGGTGGGTGGGCGGTGCTTAGTAAGAGACTCGTGCTGGCCGAAGTAACTAGACTCAGTGAAGGTGTAGAAGGGGAAGATGGATTCATTGGAGAATAATAGGGAAATTGAGATTGAAGAAGAAGGATTGAACAGCCGATTATTGGAAATATTGCAATAACCGGACCGTGAACATGCCTGACACCCTCCGGGTGAGTTTCTCACGTGACCTAAACAAACCGCAGCTGCGCATCTCCCAAGCTCCTCCATCGACTCTTGCCCTTCGTGTCCTTCGTTTCCGCGCCCACCACACTCCCTTCAACGCCCGGCCCGGAGACTATGCGACGATAATCGGCTACCCATATACCAACACTCTTAATCCTACCGCGACAGAGCCTGCTTGCCCCCGTCGATACATTCGCCTGCTGACCGTGCTTTTTTTCGCGGAACTTTGCCGCGTCTTTTCTTGACGCCCACCATGTCTCTCTTTGGGGGACAGGCCCAATCAGGCGGGAGTCTTTTTGGCAACTCCGCGAATAAGTCCAGTTCTTTTGGTGGATTCGGTGCCAGCACCGCCCCGGCTACCCAGCCCAGCGGCGGAGGATTGTTCGGGTCCACGCAGAACCAGCAGCAACAACAACAGCCACAGCAGCAGCAGACGGGCGGTCTTTTTGGCTCCGCTGCCACATCTCAGCCTCAACAGTCCGGAGGGCTATTTGGGTCGAGCACTGCCCAGAAGCCGGCTGGGTCCTTGTTTGGAGGTAGTTTCGGGCAGCAGCAGCAGCCCCAGCAGCAAACCCAACAGCAGCAACAGCCGCAGCAACAGACCGGTGGTCTTTTTGGCTCATCACTGCAGCAGAAACCAGCAGGAAGTCTTTTTGGTGGCGCCGCTCCGCAGCAGCAGTCTCAACAGCCGGCAGCGGGTGGTGGTGGTGGACTTTTCGGGGGTCTAGGTGCGAGCACGCAGCAACAACCGCAACAACAACCCCAGCAGCAGCAGGGCGGCCTCTTTGGTGGCTCCCTTCTTGGCGGTCAGCAACAACAGGTGCAACAGCCGCAGCAATCGCAACTTGGTCAGACTACCATGACCCAGCCTCAGCAGCAACAGCAGTCCTTGTCATCGAGTCTCTGGTCGCCTGGTCGCGCTATCACTGGAGGTTCGTCTATATCGTTTGATATTTTCTCAAGAACACTGTTCTAACTCTCTTACTCTATAGTCCACCGAACCGTCCCCATGCAGATCGCTATCGTCAAGGACAAGTGGGATGCACCCAGCCGCGAATCCCCGTTCCGCGCCTACCTCTACAACCATGTTGGCGAGGAAGCCGCGCCATTCTACCAACCAGGCCCCGAAGATGACGAGACCAAATGGGAGGAGGCCCTTCGCAAGCGGCCGGGCCCCGGCTACGTTCCTGTGCTCGTCAAGGGATTCTGGGATCTCGGCAAGCGCGCTCAGCGACAGAAGGATTTCCTGACCATGATGCAAGCACGTCTCCACGAGATCAATAATTGCCTGACAGACCTGCTTTCTCGCCATGACTTGAAGATCTCTGTCAAAATCGCAGACTGCCGCCGGAAGCATCTGGTCCTGAGCAAGCGCTGCCTTGCCCTCGCGGCCAAAACTCAGATTCTGCGCAACCGTGGATACGCGATGGACGACGCAGAGGAGGAACTGAAGAAGAAGCTGACCCAACTGGAGCGCTCTGTCTTCGACCCGTCGCTGAATGGTCGTGGCGAGGAGATCTGGGCTCGCATGCTGGCCATCCACGAGCACTCGAAGCGGCTGCAGGCAGAGATGTCGCGTGCCGGTGGAAATATGGCCTCCCCGGTGACGAGGAAATCGACGAGCAGACCCTGAAGACGGCGAAGAAGGTTCGTTGGCTATGCTATTCCATTTTCGCAATGTACTTGACTGACTCCATACTCCGCAGATTCTTGATGACTACCATGCCCAAATCCAGCACCTGCAGAAAGAGCTCGGAACGCTCAAGAAGGATTTCGACGAAGCACAAAAGCTGAATGGAAACTAATCTCGCCTTGCTTGAATTACGTTTCTTTCTCATCGAAGCACCGGCGTTATTGGAGGGAGAGCAGGTTGCTCTCATGCATGTTCAATACAACTTCTTTTTGCGTTGCTTTATTTGGGATGTCATTGTTCTCTTCCCCATTTTCCTACACACAAAAAGACAAACAGACATGTACAATAATAATACATCGTCCAGGCAGGATTCTCAAGCCAAGGAGACCATTCCAGTGTAACCACCGATGCGTAGTCCGGTTGAGGGAATCCCAGTCTGGAGCAATAGCCCAACATCCGATCCTCCAAAAGTCATAACCCAACAATTCATTCGTCGCGATTCATGATGGAGAGAGAGTTCGGTGGGCGATCCGTTCACAGGAACTTGCGAGCAAAGTCGACGGCGAAGGGGGCTGTCATGATATTAGCCTTGACCCAGGCAACTCATCGCTGCGGGTATTCGACTTACAGAGGTAAAGCAGGAAGCCTCCGGCGATGACCATACGGACGGTGTTGCTGGCCTCGATCTCACCGGCCTGCGAGGAGTTGTTTGTCAATAACGAATCCTGAGAAAGTGCCACTGAAAAGAGAGAGATTGTTACCTTGATCTCCTCCTTGGAGAGCTGCGCTTCCTGGCCTTACATCGGTAGTTAGTATCGCCAGGTGAACTCGATCCATTCAAGGTGGAACATACCTGGGGCGAACATGATGGAAGGTTGTGTTGTAGGGTATATAGTTAAGTCGAGTGGATGGTTGAACAACCAAGGAAGAGCGTGAGGATTCCGGCGCTGGCAGAAATCACGGGAGCACGGACCAACTTTCTTCGCCTTCCAACTTCCTTCCTCTCTCTCTCCTTACACCCTGTCTCTTGTCTTTCTTTGTCTACACACTTTTATCTTTTCTTTCTATTGGCTCGGTCAGTTCTATTGGCTCGGTCCGTCGATCTACTCTGTCCTCGCCACTGCTGTCGCTGCACCGCGCCTCTTGATCTCGCGGAGAAAGCGTCGGGACAGCTTGCGCTGAAAACAGACTGTACCCTTTTTCGCAACACCCGTCCTGCCGACATCTGCCGACATAGCTCTCTCACTCTTTATCGAGTTTGAAACAACATGTCCGCTTCTCCCGAACCCCAAGCCGGTTCCCCCGTCGCAACCCCGGGTGCCGACGTGAGCGAGAAGGCTGCGACCCCGATCACCGGCGACGCCGACGATGAAGGCCGCGAGAAGTCTGCCCAACCTGATGCGGGCGAAGAAAACGAAGACGCTGGCGGAGCCGACGTGTCAGACGATGACTCCATCCTGTCCGAGGTCGATGAGGCGCAGTTCGAGGACTTCGATCTGGAGAACGTCGAAGTCGAAGACCGTCCACAACTGGCGATCGACGAAGAGAATCTCAAGCTTATTGGTCGTCACAAGCGCAAGCGCACCGACGATGGAGAAGGACGCGAGCGCCGCAGGAAAGAGGGTCGTCGGGAGAAGAAGGGCCGTCGGCTGCGTGAGCAGGAAGAGGAAAGTGGGGAGGGCTCGTCTGCTCGTCGTCGGGAGCGCAAGAAGAGGGCCGAGTCGCCGCAGACGGATGAGGAGACATTGGATCCCGAGACTCGTATGTTTCTGCCCGGAGTTGGAGGTGTAATCTGCCTTAACTAATTGTGGTCAATAGGTCGTCGCCGGGCCCTCGATCGTGCTATGGATGAGGCACTGAAGAAGCCTACGAAGAGACGCTTCCGCAAGCAGGATGGCATTGTACGTGACCTGTCTTTGTTTCTCACACTCCCGTACTTACAACGGCTACAGGACCTGGAAGCGATGGCAGATAATGAAATTGAAGACATGCGCAAGCGCATGACCCACGCTGCTCAGATGGATGCAGTCAACCGCCAAGAGGGCAAGCCCGCCATGCACAAGCTGAAGCTGCTGCCAGAGGTGATCATGCTCCTCAACCGCAACCAGTACATCAACAGCTTGGTCGATCCCGAGATCAATCTGCTGGAGGCCGTTCGGTTCTTCCTGGAGCCCCTGGACGACGGGTCGATGCCGGCCTACAACATCCAGCGTGACTTGATGCTTGCCCTAACCAAGCTTCCTATCAACAAAGACGCTCTGATTGCCAGTGGCATCGGCAAAGTGATTGTCTTCTACACTAAGAGCAAGCGCACCGAGCGCCGCATCAAGGATATGGCCGAGAAGCTGCTGGCCGAGTGGACACGCCCGATTCTCCAGCGCAGCGACGATTATTCCAAGCGGGTGTACCAGCAGGCCGATTTTGACCCTACGTATGTGTTTCCTTCTTTCCTTCTCCAGATCACTGGCTGACATGTATCTAGAAAACTCACTAAGCGCACCACCACCCCTGCTGAAGTCGTTGCTGCCGAAGCCCGCGCCCGCGAGATGCTCCCCCCTCGCCTGGCCAACCGTGCCCGCGTCGACCGTACTCAGGTCAGCTACACCGTCGTCCCACGCCAGACAGGCATACAGGAGAGCCGGTTCGCCCGGCCTCTCGGTGCCAGCGGCGAGGACCGATTCCGCAAGATGCAGGCCCGTCAGAATGCGGCGCAGAGAGCCTCTCGCCGCTAGGCTTGCTCACGACAATACCCTCATCATTCTGTCTGTAACTTTTTTCTTTTTCTGTGGTTGGGCTGCTCATATCGGGGAGGTGTCATTGGCGTTTTCGGGATTTGCCTAGGGATTCGGAGAAACTCGTTCTTAGGGGCGTGTCATAGTGAATAAATAGCATACAATTTTGACTTGCAAGAGATAAAAACCCTTCGCGATCAAGTGACTGCGAAAAAGTTAAAGCCGATGCCGAGTAGCCGCCGAGCTTAGTCCGGTTGCTCCCGCATCGTCACGTCATGGTCTTTTCAGTCTTAAATCATTCGTTCTTCCCTGTCTTTTTTTCCACCTTCACAACTCACAATACACAGCACACAACACAGCACCTTCCACCATGAAGCTCCTGACCAAGGAAGAAGAGAACGCTCACTACCGGTACGATTGCCCCCTAATCCGCGCACCTCCGCAGCGCTATGTAACACACAGCTGACCCAAAGCTCTCACCGACAGCTCCGTCGTTAAAGGCGGCATCATCGGCAGCGTCCTCGGTCTAGCCGGCGGTACAGCAGGCGTGCTCCTCGCCGCACGTCGCTACCACACAATCCGCAACCTGACACTGCCAATGAAGGCGTTCTTGGCTACATCATCGGCCACCTTCGTCGGCATCGTGGCAGCGGACCACGCCTCGCGCGACTTCGAAATGCAGCACAATCAAGAGCGCCAATGGTACGAAAACCGCGAGGAGCGGCTCCGCGAAGAGGAACTGCGCGGCCTCAGCTTCACAGACCGCGCCATGGCCTTTGCCCGCCGCGAGAAGTACAAGATCATTGGCGTTACCTGGCTGGCCTCTATGGTTGGCTCGTTTGCGCTCGTCGGCCGCAATCCCTACCTTTCCGGACAGCAGAAGCTTGTTCAGGCCCGTGTGTACGCCCAGGGTCTGACCCTCGCTGTGCTCTGTGCCTCGGCCGCGTTTGAGATCTCGGATCAGCGCCGTGGGAGGGGGATGCTTGATTCTGCGAAGAAGGATAAGGGGAAGCTGGCCAAGGAGGCGGCTGCTGAGTTGCAGCCCTCGCACTCGGGAAGTGCGCCGAATGAGGGTGACCTGTGGAAGGATATGGTTGCTGCTGAGGAGGATCGTCTGAAGAAGAACCATCAGTCGCTCTATGAAAAGCAACATGAGGAGGAGACCCCTGAGTCCCGCGAGAAAAAGCACCCTACTGGCCCGACATCTGAGGACGCCAAGAGCAAGGGCCATCTGCCGCTAGAGGGCGATCTGAAGAACCAGAAGGTTCAGGCTGAGCGCGAATCGAAGAAGAAGGATGCCTGATTCGGTACCTCTTCCATCCTGCGTTTCGCCCTGTCTTCTCCGCAGTTACGTCCTTGTCTCTATCTGATCAACTCATGCGACCATGGAACAATTTGGAACCACGGCTGAAAAATAAATCCGTGTCGGACGCCTCGCCCTCTCTCTTTCTCTCTTTCCGGCGTCAGGGCACACATATCTTTGCATGTCTCTCCCTCGGCGTTTTATTTCCCTGTGACCTGAAGAAATTGGTCCTATATGTGTATGATAGATACTCTGCCAGGTGCTGGTGATTCCACTCCCATCTCTTAATGAATAACCTCAATTCGTTGATCATAAAGCATCCTTCAGATCCATTGAAACAGATGGTTCCCTGAAAGAGTAGCTACTATTAAAGTCTACCTCAAACGGACAAACATTCTGCCCATGCTGCCGAAAGTGTATTATCCGGCCTTTGCACAAAATGGGGTTGTTGATTCGCTGCTTGGAGAGTAGGCGCACCTGGGGTGTCTTGACCATAGCCTGAACTGGGGATGATCTGTGCTAACCATAAGGATATGATTCATATATACTTCTACCCTAAGAAACTTCCGGCTCCCTTACGCTACATAGTCCAACTGTAGTTCCTCACCGGTCTCGCTTGAGGAAGAGCCGAACCCCGAGGGTGGTCCTCAACCAAATACTATACTTCTGCGCTAGAATCTAAGTAGGATGCGGACAAGATCTACGACGAGGACCCGCCCCAAGCTATATTCACTACTTCATAGAAGGGTGGGTCACCCTCAACAACAAGGCCGTAGTAAGGGACACGGATATCTCGACTACAGAAGGAGTAGACTAGCTTCGATCAGAAGGGGTCTGATTTTATGCGGAGTAGCAATGGACCGGAGAGGCATCTCACGGCAATAATTACAAGGACCATCAAGGGGCCTATTGGGGAACAAGTAAAAACAAGAATTAGAGGACCGGCCTGCTTAAAAGGTATCATCTTCCAGACGATCCATGCGCCCAATGACACTCGGGCTGTGGTCGTCATCGCCCGCTTCATCGGTGAGGTCATCCGCGCCTGCAGTGGCCAGGAGGTCGGTGACGATGCGCTTGGAGGCTTCCTTGGCTGTGGCGGGGAAAAACAATTCAGCATTGATAACTAGAAGAAAACGACGAGCAGATAAGACTTACCGGGTGTTTTCATCAACCGACTCTGAGGGACATGGAATTGCATTGTCTTGGGGGGACTGGGCCCGAAATCGTCGTCGTCGATATCATCATCATCGCTGTCCCACATGGCTTGCTTACCGGTGGACTTCTTCGCGGGAGTCAAGACGCTCATGCCAGGTCGAGGAGTGGCCCGAGGACGGTTACTGCTGGTCCGCCGCTTACGCGCGGTGCCGGGCGTGGCACCCTTGAGAGGAGAAGAAAATATGTCGGAGTGCAGCTGCGGCGCCTCGGGCTCCGGGCTGGAAAGGGGAGAATCGTCAAAGGTATAGCGAGATTTCTCAGCCGGCTTGGGCGTGACCGTGAACTTGGCGCGAGCGCTGGCACCGCCGGCGCCGGGATTGCGATATCCTTTGCCAAGAGGCGTGGCTTGCACTCGATAAGTCCGGTCGAGCATCTGGTGCAAGACGGGGTCTGTGGACTTTTGGTACCGGGTATCCCGTGACGCAGGGGGATTTCTTGCTGACGAGGCGGGTGGAAGGAACGGGGAGGACATCGGAGTTGCAGACGAGACGCCGTGGGGAAAGAAAGTCTGTTTGCCCGGCGTGGATGGCAGCTCGGATGAGTCCTGCATGTCAAATGGCGGCTTGTTCTCGTTGACTTGTTTTTTCAGGTGTTCGTACGAGGAATACTCGATGGACGTGGATGTGATGTCGTCGTCGCCAGCCGCCTGGCCTTGCCCCGGAGCACGCGGTGTACTGTGTGAGGAGATATTGAGCTCGCTAAGGTCAAGCTCATCTCCGTGGTGAGCATCCTTGCGATGCGAAGCAGGCGTCTCGGAGGACTGATCGGCTTCGTCAACGCCGGTGCTCTGGGTCATGTCGGCGGACAATTCCTCTTCTGTCGCCGTGGGCTCCTGGACGGTATCATCATCATTGGGCTGCTCTTCATACCCAGACAGGGATACGTTCGCGCTTGCTTCGAAGAATTGCTTCCAGAACTGTATGCGACGTTAACGCCGATCTATGGCAACCGACTCAGGGCTCGAGCTCACCTTGGCACCGTCCCAGACATCTCGGGAATGCTCCGTATATTGCTCCACCAGGGGTAAAATACTTGTCGTCACGATGCGATGGGCCTGGCTAAAATTGTGGTCGATCTCTACGCGTCGAACCGAGGATTAGCCGTCTGCACGAGTGGTTGTTTGATTGTTCCCGGGACCTTACCTTGCAGTGTCAGTGTGATGGACTGTTCCAATTTCTCCAGCTCCTCCGTTAGCGACAGAGGCCGCTGGGGCTGAGTCTGCTGGCGAGACATGGTGTGGTGTGTTGAAGCCATCCAACAACAGATCAGGTCCGCGGGGGAGGAAAACAAACCAAGGCGGTGAGCGACGCGGATCGGTGGGGGCATTTGTCAGGCTAGGCATCATCGACCTGACAAGCTCCGGAAGAGATGAACGAGGTGGTTGACGTTCAACTCTGAAAAGGTGTCCAGCATGCCTGCTCCGATTGCCAAAGGTTGGTTCGCCGTCCATTTGCTTTTCTCACCTCTCCCAACCCCGAGAGACTTAATCCACCCCAACCGATGTACTCGCTCTTATCAGCGAGGCGAAGTCAAGAGGCGTCTGTTGACCATGATCCAGGTATTATTGTTACGGTCTCTGTTCTGGTTGCTGCAGGCATCGCCGTCTACGAGTCGCCCCAGTTTCAACAATGGGTGATCAACTCTCGCCGCAAAATCGCCTTAGCCTTACATCACCTCGGCGATGAGATCCAACCGCGCCAGTCGACATCTCCGCTCCGGGAGGATATCTCCATGACCGAGGAGACTGGTGAGGCCGCGGAAGAACGCAGACGGATTGCACGAGCAGATATCATGCACAGAGGAACCCTTCTGGAGGCAAGAAGGAGAGCGAGAGACTTACCGCAGCCGCTCGAGAGTTTTGATACTCTCGTAGACGAGGGTGACAAACTGGTGCTGGATGGCGCCGGCGACGCTGGCACAGACCATGCTGCCAACTCCACAGCCGTAGAACTGGGCGCCCAACAGCCTCTCTGGCGCAGGGGCAAGCATAGTGAAGCCCATGAGAATCTCCTGGATTGGGATCGCTTGCAGGTCGAGATCCCTAGCGATACTGCATCGAATCACCCTTCAGAATCGCTGCTGCAGTACACACCAAGCTCTGAAACTTTGGGAGAAAGCACACCGTTTGGTCCCTTCTCCAACTCTCCTCTGAGAGCGCAATCTCCCGTGTCCGCCTCAACATCCAGTCACACAGAAGATCATTTCTATGCTCATCCGGATTCGATAGCAAACTCAACTCAGCAGCATGGTCTGCTCCTCCCAGATGTAGATGGACTGGGCCACGAGCCCTCCCAGCTTCAACATGACGTTTCGGCCGCTCCGTCCACGGCGGGAAGCTTCAGCCATGTGAGCAATCTCACGGACCGATATTCTGATGGTACTCTGAGCGACCTTGGTGATCGGTCAGTTGGCGAGGCGGCCACACCGGCCAGCTGGTCTGAGGTGGGGAGTGTAATCAGCAATGATGATGCTGGACATCACCAGTTGCTGTGATTTCTGATGGGCTGAAATGCGATTGCTGGATGGACTAAATGACTTTTACGGCGTATGAGTTTTACGAATACGGAGGTAGGGCTTGCTATGGATCGGCTTATGGAGTTTGGCTTTGGAATTGTGTGAGAGATACATGAATAGTATTCTCAGCACTCTCAATCCTTTATTGATGCTAAAGAAATGTATTCACGAAGCCACTTTCTGATCAACGACATAATCAACTAATATTGATACTTCTTGCTTGAAAAGCCGTGTCAACTACCATGAAACGGCAGTAGGAGTCACATAAGTCCCATTGGCACTGGTTCCCTCGCACTGCGTGGGTACGGTATTGGCACCAGACTCTCCCCAGGTACCAGGCATTCTTCCATTCCGGCGGGCGACGGCGGTCATGAACGCCGCATAGGACCAGGTAAGATCGCGCGCGGACAAAGGAGTGCCATTATCCCGGCTGAATTGTTCTGACAGGGATCCGTTGCTCGGCGTGTACTGTTCGACCACCGACATAAACCCATCTGCGTAGGTCTTGACTGCGCCTGTGAGGGATGAGTAGGTGGTCGAGGAGCTAGAGTAGTTCCCGGCTGCGGCGGAGGAGACGAGACTCTGGAAGAAGGGGAGGCTGGTCTGGGTGACAGACAAGGAGCCTTGTTTCTTCCACTGGTAGAGAGCATCATAGAGCAGTTCGGCGGCTGCCATAGTGTTCAGATACCTGATAGGTCAAGTGGTTAGCGGATTTGGAGGGATATAGTTAATGGAGTGCAAGGGCTTGACAACATACCATGGGTTTCCACCCATATAGCTATCCTCAGGATAACGCCCAACAGCGACAGCCTCGCTGGCCTTCTTGCCACTATTGATAGTGTAGATTGAACGGAAAGAGTCAACCACGAGCTTGTGGTTAAAGAGCGCACGAGAAGAGCAAGGCTGGAATGTCGTGTCGTCACACTGGGCATTGGGATCGAAGGTATGAATCGAGCCAAGCAGTGAATTGGCATCCAAGCCTGAGCGGCCATTGTTGGCTAGGTTGGAGATAACGGACGAGCCGTTCCAGAAGTCCTGGAGAAAGCACAAGACTTGAGGAGCTTGTGAATCGCAGCCAGGGCAAGATTCCCCGAGAGATTTAGCGAAAGTGCTGCCTGAGACCAAGGAGCGATGCTGCACGGCGATAGTAAAGAAGGAAGAACCTTGGACCTCCTCCCATAGGTCATAGCCGGTCTGATTCCAATACTGGGCCACGTAGTTCAAGTCATTCTCCACAATAGGCCAGACGTTGGTTTTGGCAAGAGATGTCTGGCCATTGTTGATCAGATACGTGCCGTATGCCATGAGGGCAGATGCCCGTAGAGCCGGGCCATCGCGCTGGGGGCGGCCCCAGGCCCCGGTGAAGGCTGTCATATCGGCATTGAATTTTGGCTCTCCCAGTCCGGCGCCATTAGACAGGTCTCCGGACGGGTTGGACACAGTCTGCAGCGTGGCTTGAGCAGTGATGTACTGATGGATAGTTGTTTCCAGGGAAGTGTCTCCCGCAAGAAACTGCTCAATCACCATGCTCAGGGTCATCGCCGAGTCGCGGGTCCAAGTGTAGAAGTCTAAATGCCATTAGAACTGTGTCCAAGTTGGAATGTCTAGTGGTAGGACTTACAGTCTGGATTCGATTTGGATGGTGATGCCACCACGATACCAGAGGATGCTCCTTGAGCACCGCTCCCATTAGGGCCAATGTTATCGAGCGCGCCTTGAAGGGCAACTGACGACTCGGACTGGAGAAAGCTATCAAGACCTGTCGCACGGCGAGAATGAGGAACGGCAGAGGACACCACTGGTAGCAGCAGCGTCACGGTTGCAATATCCAACCAGAACATGATGAATTGATGATGGGTAGAATATTCAGAATTACTTGACTGCTTTGTTTTGGCCTTGGATTTTTATCTAGGTCTTTCTTCATTATATATTTCGTCCATGCCATAGTTATTCTGTAACCCTGCACGGCTTCACATCCTTCCGTTGTGGTTGCCCTTTGAACCAAGAGATGATCCCCAGGGATCGGGACGATCAGTCGGAAATTAAGTTACAGATCAAACTGAGAAAGGCTTCTAGAAGCAACAGGCGTTATTCTTCGGTTAGGGCGCGATGTTTATCTCTTTTTGTGTAACCGAGCGGATCGACATTATAATTACGTATATGAATGCTCGAGGTTAACATTCAGGATCTCGACGGAGGGAAGGCCAAGTCCGACAAATGGCCGTACATATTTTGCAGATCATAGGGCTATTCTGGTATGTATACGATCCTCTTTGAGATGTTCTAGGAATCTACATCCAAAAATGCCTTATTAGGATTGTCTCCGACCCTGGTCCCTGGCCAAATGCACGATCTCCTCTAGCGAGTAGCATGGAGAGGAGAGATCTCCTAGGCCGAAGTATATGCAGGGCTCCGTACTTGGCACATTGGTTAGTCGAGGGGCTTGCTGCTAAGTCCAAAACACTGCAGATCACCTCGGTCTGCTAATGAAGCCCACGTGAAGAGAGACTTTAGAATTATTCTCCATTTGTTCTTTTTGTTCGTTGCTTCGTAATAATATAGACAGAAAGGTTACATTTGGTTTTCCCGGTAAACATCCGCTGCAAAGCACTCCCGCACCTTGCTTTGGCGTGCTCTGGAGTCGAGACATATTCGCCTCATGTTTTCTCCTGAGCTGCTCATCACGCCTCGATATAAATCCGTGCCTGTTGCCTCACGCTTGCAAGAGTTCAACACTTCATTCTCATGTAAAACATGATGTCACTCGAGAGTTTTAACACCGTGATGAAACTCAATTTCTTGAATCTCACACGGTCGATTCTCTATGACTGCAGTGACGCCATTACTTTGAGAGATAGATCCAATCACAGCAGGTAATAGTAGATTCATGACCTGATGGCATTGCACAGTGTGCATTGACCACCCAAAGTGTAGGACGAAATATGGGATCTATTCGTTCAAGGTAAGTATCAATATTGCACTAGAAGGGCAGGCTGGTGTTGCTCACTCTAACACCCATATCATTGCTCTCTGTGCGTCGGATCGGCCTGCCAAGGGATATCTGGCCCAAGGGCTGATGGTGCGTTGCAGTGTTCACTCTTGAACGATTGTGGACAATATGACTTCTCACATTCCAAAACGGCTCTAAGCTGACAGATGACGGGAAGATGGTATTTCGCAGTGCTTAGGTGACGACGGGTATTCTGGGCTACCTTCGGACACGTCGAGGAACGCGTGATAATTTAGCCGATTATGAGCTTTCGTCTCGTGGATTTCCGGTTCGCGTGGCCAATAACGATGTGACTGCACCAGAAAGACAAGACGGCTGAGGACACCGAATTCCAGCTTGAGTTTGATGCTGTAGACTGCCGATTTGAGCGTAGTCTGGATCACAAAGTAGTTCAGATATTCAAACGTTAACAAGATAACATCCATCATGATGATCAAGGCATTGATAGCCAGAAGCTGGTACATGATCTTTCGGTTCTGGTTTGGGCCGTTAAGGCTTGGAGGCGACATGCGAAGAATTTTGAGGGTCTTGGAGATATATAGACCAGAGATAATAAATTCTTGGAGACAGAACCCGGTAAGCTGGATGCGCTCCATTATCGTGTAGCCATGAACCCAGACGGGAGTCTGAACGAAATTGGAGCCGTATGTGAGGACTGTGGTTGGGACATGCAAAATAATGGCGTTGATGATAATCATCGTCAGGACACGATGGCTGACTTTAATATCCTGCACGACGATGTTGAGGCGTGAAAAGAGGACCAGAGCTTGTCCGGTGACCATGAAATACCATCCGACGGACGATAACGTGATGGAGAACCAAAGCGGGCCGACATCGTAGTACTTCAGGATGAAACTCAAAGACTGCGGGACGACGCCTAACGACACGGATAGCAACAAACTCCAGAAGTATAGGCCCTGGTAACGGCGAAAAGAGGCGAATATGAGCACCAAGAGTTCTAGGGAATTGTAGAGAGCGATCCCCAGAAACACCGTGAAGGTGGCCTTGATAGAGAAGTCATTTCCCGAGTATTCGCCGATAATTCCGTCCACGGCGTTGCTAGACATTGTAGGCGCGATGGGTGGAGTCTGAGAAAGCGAGCGCGAACGTCGGAAGGCAGTCCTTAAAACTGAATATGCGCTGAATCACTGGTCAAGAGCGGCGACTAGCGAAGTCAGGGCCTGGAATGACCTCCGCTCGCAACGAAGGTGGGCGACAGTCGACTAACTGATGAGCTTCACGAATGAAGAGACTACATTATTATAATAGTGACGGAGTGGTGGAATCGCGGGGACCATCATGTTCGGCACTGGTGACAGATCAGGATACGCTACGCCACCCAGCGAACGAAATACGAAAGCTAGCAACGCCGTGCAGTCCTTGCCTGATCAAGCATGAGTCGAACTAAGCGACAAGTGACCGTGCTTTTTATTGGAGAGAGGAGTAGCGGAGAGAACCTAGACCTCACGCTAACCGTGGTAATTAACCGCCACCCAAATGCAAATTTTACGTTTCCTACCGGGGAGGCCGGTAAAAAGGAAGTCACTCACGTGCGTGAAAAGCACTAGAACCTCAACAACTAGAAACTAGATAATAGAGAACTAATCTGTGAGTGGAGTAGTGAGCGAGTTTGATTAATGAGAAAAAACTGGGTTGTTATAACCGAGAAATGGTAAAGCAGGGGCTTTCTTCCCATGCAGGGGTTTCGACAGATTCATAAGCACTAGGTTACGGTTTCCCCCGCGTCGGCTCAACCCAATGACAGCCTTTCAATTCCAAGCGGGGTTCGGCTCACCGGGGACCAAATCATACCATGGTGCTACGAGGTGCATTAGGCCCTGTCGGCCTTCCTGTCTCCATTGGGCCCATCGCTCCGCCCTTGGCAAAAATGTGACGGGATTGACTCTTCGGCTAAGGCCCTTATGAGGGCTCGGATATTCATCGGGTGGCCGGTCGACCAAACAACCAAAGTCTCCGAGAGCTTGCCGTTGCGTGTCAACCTTCCTACTACGCTAGCAGACTCTGGACCCCGGACCGATGTAGCATCGTGGATCCATCCCCGCGCCTCACCCCGCAAAAATCATCCAGCCCTAGAGGCGTTTTTCCATATTTATGATCGCCAGTATACACATCCCAAAATCGCTCGGTACTGTTTCCATTATCGCTAACACCACGTTTTCTGAAGTCACCCTAAACGGATTAAAATTCTTGGTTCGAGTTAACCGTAGCTTCGCTGGGATGGCCAATAATGACCGAAACATCCTCTTCAATCATTCAAAAACTCTTACCCGTAACTCTCGGATCAGCCTTGACTACCTGAAATCCCACAACTGTGCAAGGAAGTCAAACCCCATTCTATATAATATCATTGTCAGGCCGACGCGTTCACCGAGTACAAATTCTCGGTTATCTATCTACATGAGGAAATCGATTTACAATCGCTGTAATCCTATGGAGATTTCCTAGCACGTTTCCCACATACTGACTCACTAGCTCTATCTATCCCAGACTGAAGATCCTGCAGATCAGGGTTGTGGATGCAAGCTTTCATCATTCAGAGGTCGTACAAATCTCCGTCGCCCCAACCTGGGCTCTGCAACACACCACAAATGGGGGTTTCCCATAGAGTTGGCAAGGCATAAGCGAGATTTTGGATCTGCAATGAAGATCACCTTATCTCCCCTTGTAAATATCCGCTCCTGGTTTCAACAACAAATGTACTATACAGCTGATTGGGCACAGCGGAATATTGATCGTCAGTTCGCCGGGCAACATCTAAACAGTTTTAAATGGTCACTGCGCTGTTGTTTGATTGGCTCCCTGGTCCGCTAGTTAGCATATAGGATACTTCGGATAGCATTCATAACGGTCTCTGCGCCTGGATATAAAACTGGACCTCTCCTTCCATATTTCTCATAGAATATATGCAATATAAAAGACAGCAAGATGGTTGGTTTGTGTTTTTCAATTCTCATAGGCTTCGTTGGCTCGGCCATCGCCGCGAATTCAGCGCAATGGCGCCCACAGTCTATTTATTTCTTGCTCACGGATCGATTCGCGAGAACAGACAACTCCACTACTGCCAGCTGTGATGTGAGCGCTAGGGTACGTTCTCTCGTGGAAAGAGCCCATCAACAAGACATGCAACTGACCTTGCTCTAGGAATATTGTGGAGGTTCCTGGCAGGGTATTATCAATCAGGTAAACTCAGAGCTTCAGCTTCATGTTGGCAATCAAATACTAAAGGTCTTAATAGCTTGATTATATTCAAGGAATGGGGTTTACTGCAATTTGGATCACTCCTGTTACCTACCAACTGCAAGGGGACACGGGTGATGGGACGGCATATCATGGCTACTGGCAGCAGGATGCGTAAGTCTACGGGGAAAAAAAAAAAAAAAAAAAAAGTTCCCACCGATCAAATATCGTTATTGACCGGTGATAGTTACGCTCTCAACTCTAACTATGGTTCGGCCGATGATCTCAAAGCCTTAGCTTCGGCACTGCACGACCGCGGCATGTATCTCATGGTCGACGTGGTGGCCAATCACATGGTTTGTTTTGCATAGAGCAATATTCACTAAAAGTAAAGAAACTAACGGCTACTTGGGAAAACAGGGCTATGATGGTGCTGGAAACACAGTTGATTACAGCATCTTCAACCCATTTAACTCTCAGGGTTACTTCCACCCCTACTGTTTGATCAGCAACGATGACAACCAGACAAATGTGGACGACTGTTGGCTCGGAGACACAACAGTTTCGTTGCCGGATCTCAATACTGACTCGAAAGTTGTTCAAAATATGTGGTATACTTGGGTTCATTCCCTCGTCTCTAACTATTCCAGTAAATTCCCGTTCTCTCCTTATGGTAAACAAAATCCTTGCTAAATATGGTCCGCAGTTGATGGTCTCCGCGTCGACACTGTCAGAAATGTCCAAAAGAGCTTCTGGCCGGGCTACAACAGAGCTGCTGGAGTCTACTGCGTGGGTGAAGTCTTTGACGGGGATGTGGATTACACTTGTCCTTATCAGGAGGTCATAGATGGCGTACTCGATTACCCCATGTAAGTTCGATTGAAGTTTAATTTAACATAGGGAAAGCCTTCTCACTAATGCAGGTACTACCCGCTCCTCCGAGCCTTCGACTCTACTAGCGGAAGCATCAGTGACCTCTACAACATGATCAACTCGGTGAGAACGACATGCTCTGACTCTACCTTGCTGGGAACATTCGTGGAAAATCACGACAATCCCCGCTTTGCCTCGTAAGTCTTCTTACATATTATTCAATCCATTGCTTCAAAATGTCATTCTTCATCTCATATCCCTTTGAATGCTAACCCATTCCAGATACACAGAAGACATGTCTCTTGCCAAGAACGCGGCCACTTTCACAATAATGTCAGATGGCATCCCCATTATTTATGCAGGCCAGGAACAACATTACAATGGGGGAAATGACCCCTATAACAGGGAAGCTACCTGGCTGTCGGGCTACAATACAAGCAGCGTGCTCTACAAGCTTATAGCCCAGACAAACGCTATCCGCTCGCATGCCATCACCAAGGACTCCCGGTACATTACTTCCAAGAATTATCCAATCTATCAAGATGAGAACACCCTCGCTATGCACAAGGGAAGCAACGGCACCCAGACAATTACAGTCCTGTCTAACCTTGGCGAGAGTGGAAGCACATATACGCTCTCGCTTGCTAACACGGGCTTTACATCGGGCATGGCTCTGACAGAGATCTTCACTTGCGCAAACGTAACGGTCGATGCGAGCGGAGATGCGCCTGTTCCTATGGCTAGTGGAGAGCCGCGAATATTGTATCCGAGCTCGAAGCTTGCGAGTTCAGGCATTTGTTAGTCGGTTGGTGGCTCTGGGATGGAGGGCGTGTGATTGGAATGTGTGGTACTTGTGCTTTGTACTTGTTTCAGTGGTAGGGCAGTAACACTGATGAAATGAGCTTTTTAAACAACCAACGGATGAACGGCATACACAGCAAAGGCAGACTAGACAAGGATTGGGGTTGAAGGAGTATTAGCCAAGCGGCGAAGGACTAACCAGCCGGGGGCCTTTTGTCATGTCGTTATTATTGGACTGTGGAACTCCATATGACATGTTATTTGGTCGTTCGAAATGAAGATTCTCATCGCCTTCCTTTTGGCCCTTCTTGGCGTTCCTTATCCCTATTTAGGTAATACTCGCCCCCAAATCGGGCCTCTAGGGCTGGGGCTAAGGTCTTGATTTTTCCTCGACAAGCTTACCAAGAAATCCTACTGCGTCCCCCATTGATGATGATACAGTGGCGACCGAGATTGCCTTCCATTTCGTAAAAATAGAGAAGCTCTTGTCGACATCCACGACAAGAGTCATATGATTCCAACAATCTGATTTTCTATCCAGCACTGAGGCCATCGCTATAGTAGTCTGATTTCTTGATAAACCAGGAGTAGAATTAGTCTACAAAATGAACAGTCTTCTTTCATCAATTTACGGGCATTATTTGGTGGAATGATTCAAAAGCGTATACCGGAAATCGCGTCGCTGTCACACATATCCTCACCCCACCAGTTTTGTCAGCCTTCCTGTCAGACCGAAGGACCTGCGGGGTAGTCTTGGGGATATTTGCACTGTTCAGCTCTTACTTCTACATCATCCTAACTTCCGGCACGTCTCAAATCTTCGTATAAAGAGCGCCATCTCATATTGTGAACCTGAACATCTCGGTCCTCCTCCAGCCCCCTGTCAGATTTCTAGCATGTCGAACAGCCTTCTTACCCTTGGAGCCGTCGTCTCCAACACTGACCCTGCACACCTCCCCGGACCCGAGCCCTTGACTGGCCGGCATGTGACACTGGAGCGCCTCACGCAGAACCATTTCCCCGACCTTTACGAGAACGTAGGGTCTCATGCCGACCTCTGGACATGGTGGCCTGACGAGCCAGTCAGCACGGCTTCCGAATTCGATGACTACCTAAATGAGCTCCTTAAACCAAGCGATGAGCTTGTAATTTACGCCGTCTTGCTCCTTTCCGGGCCGAACAAAGGCAAAGCAGTCGGCCTTGCTTTTGGGTTTTCCGAAGATCGCCTCTCTAATCGAGTTGCCGAGCTCGGACTCTTCTTCGGTCCTCAATTACAGAGAACCAAAGCAGGGACAGAAGTAGTCTATCTCCTCGCTGGACTTCTTTTTGAGTTGAATCATCGAAGATTACAATGGAAGACCAATTCCTTAAATCTCCAGTCTAGGAAGGCTGCAGAGAGGTATGGGTTTGTCTATGAAGGGACATTTAGACAACATCAGATCAATAAAGGGAGGAACAGAGACTCTGCTTGGTATTCCATCATAGATTCTGAATGGCCAATGTGCAGGAAAGCGTTCGAAATGTGGTTGGAAGATAGGAATTTTGATGAGCAGCAACGGCAGAGACGCAGGTTAGAGGAGATAAGAGAGAGTCTAAAGTAGGTAGCTGTAATATTAACATACTTATTATGCAGATAATAGTGTCATCTTGATACAACTTTTGGCTCATGCCAGATGACAAATGTGTCCTGAACACTCGGCTCTCCATCTACATATAAGCAACAAATAGTAGCGAATAGCAGACTGTAGCTCTACAGCTTGAAGCTACATCATGACTAGTATTTCATATGCATTACATTCTTAGTTTGGGCCGTGACCTGTGAAGGAGCGGTGGGCAGGCCCCAAACCGCAAGGGACAGGGAGCCGGATCAGGCGTGCCGGCACACGTGGCTATTGTGCCATGGTTGAACAGTCCAGGAATGGGAAACTATACCAGAGGATGGGTCCATCTATAGAGACGCCGATACAGCAGAGATTAACTCAACCAAAGGAGATGTATCACTAGACTTCTCTTTCTGGTCTGGCTCACTCTCGGGCCATTGATTGTATAGTGAACAGGATTGCTTTATGCAAGCTGATAATAGTAATGCCATAACTAGGAGTTTTACTTGGATGGATTATTACCTTGGAACCATCATAAAGGAATACGCAGGCAGCCAAGACGTTGCTAAAGGGGGCCAATTTGCAGAAAGTGTAATGATATGTGAGGCAGTAAAGGGCTCCACTAGGATCTTCGCCCCGGAAATCCGTTCTTAAGAAATCATTTTTTCGGAAATAGGGGCTGATTTATAAAATTGTATATAAAGACACGGTGGCCCATGTCTCTGCTGGTTCAAAAATCCAGCTCAAGCCAAAATGCGTTTCCGAAGCTCCATCCTGGCCATTGGCCTCCTTGCTGGCCTGGGTCTCTCCCAGACCATTTCCATCACAACTTCGGCATCGACCACAACAACCATTAGTCCTTATGGGCCTACCGAAAGCGTTAAGTCTTTTTGCGTCTTTGGTGCCGACCAAGTCCAGGGTTGCACCGGCGTCACCCCGGCTTTTGCCGACCTTGGAGATGACAGCCAATGTGGTGGTAAGTCACTAAAAGAACCGCCCTGGCTAGAGCATATTCTCCGGCGGCATATATGAATAGAAACTAATCAGAATATGCGTTATATAGACCCCTATAAGACAGACCTCCCCATCTGCGGCATCCAATCAGATGGGACTCCGGTTGCAGGCATTAAAATTGATCTGGACACCCATGAGGTCACATACATGGACATTCAAAACCTGGACTCTGTTGACCCTGTGTTCTGCACAATGGGTGACTGGGCTGAGGGAGCTATGTGTGTAGCAACCTCATCATGGGGCGAGAGTTCCACGACCACTGCCACCACGAAAAGCACTTTGACACGCGCTCCGTCTGCTCCTGTTACTCCAACTTCGCATCCTATCTATAGGTTCGACGGACCTGTATAGTTGGCCAATCGTCTTGTACCTACAATGTTCCTGAATCTCCCCGGAACTGCTTGGACATGGAATTTGACAAAATGTGGCATATGGCTTAGCGCCATCTTCAATTCACGTTACAATGATGTGACAATATATACAATACCTACCAGGCCCGTGGATTTTAATGCTTAGGGCATACAAGAAACATTCAATCGAGCTTGGTCTGGTTTTCATCTTGTATATTTCAAGCTCACACGTTTGCTAGAAGTGTTATGAGAACGTACTGGTTGCTCTATATCAGCTCCGGTTGTGAGGCACGCCCAGATACCAGGAAATGGTGGAACAGAGAAACCTCCATCGCATTGCCAGACAGATATGACTTTTTGTCGCCCACAAAGCATTTGGCTATGTTGGGTTTAGACAGCGCTAGACTGCTAAGATCTCAATCTAACCTTTAGCAAGAACCTTAAACTTTGGATAGACCACCTGGGTGTTACAAAGGTAGAGTCTTGAAATACTAGGTCATATTTATTGCGAAATTGGTTCTAATTCTTCCAAGCAGAGGAAGATTGGTTACTGCCAGACACAGTTTCTAGGGTAAAAAATCTTTCTAAAAAGGAAGACCAGAGCCAAACCATGATGCCACCCACGGATATAAATTAAAACTGCACTACCACCAAGTCCGTCTCCAGGCCATCACCACCATCCTTGACCAAATGACCATTCACCAACCGCCAGTGACCCGATCCCCAAAGGACCTGGGTAATTGCGCGCGCGCCTTCGGGCAGCTTAACTGTGACAGACGATGACCAGGCCGAATACTGCAGCGACAAGATACTAACCAGCATCTTATCACCAACCCTCCAACCCGCAGCATCCATACTCGGACCACCCATCACAGACAACGGAACGGTAGACGCACCGAGCATAAACCTCGCCACCTCGTCACTAGCCACAACCCGGCTCAGCTGGCTCGTAGCCTTCGCAAGCGCGTCGCTGGTGGGATAGTCCCACATGACGATGCCCTTGGCGTTGTGGTTGAGACTGAGCATTGTCATGGTGATCTCCTCGTCGGGCGTGGGATAGCGCGGCCAGTAAGACTCGTTGCCGAATGCCATAGGCACGCCCCAGAACGTCTTAGGGCTCCGTCCCAACCAGGTCTGATACTCTGCGAACCGGTCGAGGCGCACCGCAATATCCTCAAGCTCTCCCTTGCAGTCGTCGCAGCCGCAGTCGCCGTAGGTGGTATTGCAGGGCGTGTTCCAGACGGTGGAATAGGTGGCGTTGATGCCGATGGGGTAAACATCAGAGAGAATGATATCTGCGCCAGAGGAGTACTCTGCATAATGGAAATTGTAGCAGTTCAGGCACAGCGAGACAGGATGCCATGGATCCAGGGACTTGATCAGCTCGTATGTGGCTTTGGGCGCGTGGACCGGGTCGCTGTTCCCGTCGGGCTCGTCGCCTGTATACCACAGGAGCAGACTCTTGTGTGTCTTCAGAATGTCGACTTGGTAGCGGACGGAGGTGTGGTTTTTGTACGTCCATCGCATGTCGTACATCACCCACAGACCGACCTCATCGCACTTATCGAGGAACCGGTCTAGCACGGTGAAGTTGAAGGCCTCATTCGCCAGTCCGGCGTTGGGGACAATGTGGATGATGTTGTAACCATCGTCCTTGAACTTCTGAACATTGCTCAACGATTTCTCTAGCCATCCGTCCCAGCTGACATAGAAGGAGTAGGGTAGCAGCGGCGACCAGGGGGATGTGCTGCCGCGGGTGTGATTCTGCACCAGGAGTCCACCATACAGACTGTCCAGCTTGGTGATACTCCCACCATCCGTGCGGCGAGGCAAATGATACAGCTGCGTCTTAGCAGTGTACACCTTGCGACCATCGGGACGAGACGCCTTGACTGTCACGGAGTAGGGCTCAAAACGAGCAGGAATGCCGCGCAAGGGGAAGTCGACCTCGGTCGAGGACGAATCGACCTTCACGGTATGTTTCAGATGCAATTGAGTCTCATCAATCGAGATTTCGACTTCTAGATCCCGAGAAACCTCATCGTGATCCCACTGCTCGCCGCGCAGATGCGAGATTTCTGCGTCAACAATAAAAGACCCGGCGCTGTCTCCGGAGGCATACAAGCTCATGCGCGGACGAACCTGTAGGTCCAGAAGAGGGCGGCTCGATAAAGTAGGGCGGTCCAACCAGCCTCCGGGCGCGAAAGAGGCATTCCTAGGTTCGCAGAGTTAGTATTTCGTGTTTACTTATTTATCCCTGCGGAAGGGTCAACAACGTACGTGGACTGATACGCCTTTCCACACCAAATCTCCACGCCGGGAGGGTTGTTGAAGGCCGTGGCTAGGCCAGCCCAAAAAGCCGTTCTCAAGAACCAATGCATTGAGTCAGTGGAAGGACGGTCAATGGCTCTTTCGCGGAAAATGTTTGTATATCGATCGGCTAAATACCACGGACCCCTCTCGGCCCCCTCTCTCCCCTGAATGTCACCTTGACATTCGGTCCACTACGTAACCTTCGTACCTGAACTAGAAACTGATAAAACAATGATAGCGGGATCTCGGTGTAGCCAGTCCCGGCCACTATTCTGGTGCGAGATCTAGTCTAGGGTTGCTGAGGTAAGCATATCTCATATTGCGGATGCATCATCCATGGATCGGCCATTTACACCCAAAAGGGAACAAGAGAAACAAGACTGCATTATACTGATATCATTCTTCACGTGATTCACCAGGTGATTATTCCATACTCTATAGACAGCCATGCTCGATCTGGTATTTGCGTGGGGGATATGAGAGGGAGCCCTCGGGATGTGTGCCACGAGGCCAAATGGGGAAAGGGGGAGACAGGGTATGTACACTTCACGAGTGCATGCGTGGAGACAGTCACGACAGGGGGGAAAGGGAACGGGCAAGAACGCATCGATGCAGGATGCAGAGAACGAAGATGAAAAAAGGAAATAAAAAGAAAACACGGGCGCGTTGGTTGCCATCGTTCTTCTCGCCGCCCCAACCGGTCACCGTCTCCCGGTCAATGAGATCAAGCCGTATATTTGCGAAGTGTTGCGCGCGTCAAGCGTGGGTCAGAAGATGCGTTGATCCGAAAGTTCCAGACAGAACCGCCAGAGAGAATACCATCGGCAATGGCTGCGCGGCGAGGTCGAAACAAAAGACCAACGCGGCCGAGAATTGCCAGATAGCTGTTCAACGACGCGCTTTTGACCCAACATCTCCATAGGACACGAACACACGGCCAACCCCAATGACACGTACACAGCACGCTAGATGAATATGTCAACATCGATGCTGCAAATGGTCACACCATCTTCCAAATAGAAAAGCCGTCAAATCCGTTGAACGCCGACCAGAAAGCAAAACCCACGGCCGACAGAAGATGCCGGCTCCAGCAGAAAACTCCCAAGGGCGAACCCAGGTGATGCTCACGGCTGAATAAACAGACATGGGAAGCAGAAGGAGGTGAAAAAAACAAAAACGGCACAGGGAAAACTGAGAGAGGCTACGGTGAGGACCAGCCGCCAGCGACCTCGACCCAGTCTGGGAGGCAGCTGCCTTGTTTGCCCTCGACATCCACAATGTCCGTGTCGCATCTGCACCGACACCCGACACCGTTCTCCTTGACCGGATCGGGGGTGGCCCAGTATTCGTCTTCCTCAATTCGTTTCTTCTCATCCTCAGTGGTTTTCTCGAGGTAGGGAATGCGGGTCAATTGCCGAGCCGGGGCATTGGCAGGGCAATGCTGGATCGTGGTGTGCCGGTAGCCGAAATCACGGAAGTAGTGGATATCGCTGGGGGCGAGAAGAGCACCGGCTGCGAGGGAATGGATAGGCGCGTCACCCCACCGTTCCATCCAGAAGCCACCGCTGCGATCCATCATGTTGAAGAAATCCTCATACTCCTTACTGCGGAACCAATCCAGGCGCGCAATCTCAAAGTTACTCCAGAAATGGCACATGTTATAAGATTCGCCCTCCATGGCCTCCGGGTCGATATCTTCCAGATTGTTGCTGGCAGGGTCGGTCTGCAAGATTTCCTCGGGGAGTGTCTCCTGCCTCTTATCTTCCTGCGGGGGTGGACCTCCCTCTGGACGTTCGATAAACATCTCCCATAGGCCCTTGGACGGGAGGTTATTTTTGCGCTTGTAGGCTGACGCGTACCGGAAGATGTTGGGTACCGTCTCCCGGAGTTCCTTGACGGCAATGGTGAAGCCATAGGTCTTGTTCGCCTCGATCATCTTCATGAATGGATCACTAGATTTCAAGTCAGCAAGATGTAAATTGAGAGAGGTATTTGCAGATGAACTCACTAAGTGATATCGCAGAAGTACTTGATCTCGGGCTCCAGACGCCAGTACCACTCGTACTTCAGCAGAAGAGGGTGCTTGTAGAAGAATCTGGGTACAACAGTCAGTGGAGTACTTTGGTGCATCATGAGGACACCACTCACCCTGAGTAGAATCTGCACATGTGGTGATAACTCTCCATCCCACCGTACATGATGGCAGCGTCACCCTGCTTCCGAATGCCCTCCTTGGCAACTTCATGGTCGACCCAGTCGGGGAAACCCCACATGGAGCTGTCAATCTTGCCAAACTCCACAGGAGCGGAGGTGTAATTCTTCACGGTATCCATGAACTCATCGTCAAAGTCGCCATCGTTCAGGAAGACATAAGGGTAGTGCCACCACCGATTAAAATGTCTCTCGATCGACTTGAGCGACTGAATGACGCCGTCCAGTTCCTTGTTCCTCGCAAGTACGACAAAGGCGGCATTTGCGCGAGGACCTTTCGGCCCGTCCGGGTCGATCGGCAGACAGCCAGTGGCGAAGACTTTATCGTGTTGTTCGCTGATTTTTCTGTAACGCAGACACGGTCAGTCACCACAGATAATGGTCACAAGGAAGGAGAGACAAACCGGATGGAGGGCGGAGTGCCCGCTGGAATTAGGATACCCCCGGGAGACGAAGGGTGTCGAACGAAAAGAAGTAGAATCAAAACAATTACAAGACATGGAAATAGTAAGACAAATCCCAGGGGTATCGAGATAGACGAGTTGCCCTTCAAGCGTATTCTCCGCCGAAAGAAGGCGAATCTGGGGAGGGCGTGACCTTTCTCGCGCGGAACATCCTCGAGTGGCAAACTCGGCGCGGCGGGCAGCCGTTTGGAAATCCGTTGGATGAAGCTCATCACGCAACGACTCTGCTGTCAGGCCCGAGCGACAGCACAGGGGCCTTCCGGAGCAGCAAGCAAATGGATGGTGTCGGCCCCAGTTGGCGACTCCGCGACAGGGGGCGGGGATGCAGCGTTCGGCGTGAATCGAAATATCACCACAGACGCGATCGGACCTGTGGTTACCGGCACGTCGTGGAGTTATTCACAAGAAGTGAACGGGAGAAGGGGGGTGGCAGAGTGAACAAAAAGACAGCGAAACGAGTGGCCGGAGGAATGCCTCCTTTCCTTTCCAAATTTCCCCCAACTTTTCCTTTCTCAGTCGGCCCAGGGGAAGGGGAGAGCGTTGAGAGCAACGCAAGCAACCGTCCTGAGCAGAGGGGACCAGGCAGGGCGGTCGGCCAAGGACATCAATGGTTGGGGTGGTTGATGATGATTGGGGGTGGTAGGTGGATGGGCAGGGGAAGAGAAAAGGAAGAATTGGGATGGGCGAAGGGAGGCGCAGGGCCACGGTGGACGGGCCCGTACCGTAAAGACCGGTATTGGCAGATATTTTGGTGGCGTGGCCCCGAAACGGTGTATTTTGTATACACGTAATTTCACCTCTTTTTTTAGGGGCCCTTTTTGGGGGGGGGGGGGGGGGGGGTTGTTAGGAGGATGTAGATCGGACAGCTGATTCTTCTATCGGCTCTATTGTGATATTGTGGTATCGCCACGCAAGATTTACTGTGTCTCTCGCCTCCTCAGCATACCTTGCCAATACCTTGCCAAGTCTGCCCGCCCCCAAGCAAGCTTCCCGCGGCTCCAAAAACGGGGCTATTTCGACGAGCCAAAGAAAGACCAGATCTCATCTTGCATAGACCACCTGACAATCTCGTTAACAACTGACCAAGTAATAATCATCAATCGTACTTTTGTACCGATAGCCACAAGAGGAAAGCGCCTAGCGCAGTGGCGATCGAGGGTCTAAGGCTGTGTAATGGAACGCTGAGACACACGCCATCCAGCCCGACGATGTAATTATTCGGGGCCTATCCAGACCGGCCAAATACCAATTCTTTTCCATCTCTATCTGATACAACCGCGTTGTGGTGGATACACAAGGGTTCAGGGCCTGCCCCACACGTGACCGGGTCTGGACCCTTTAAGGGGATGACACGCGTGTCGGGGGCCTTCAAGGATGTTCATGAGTGAAGAGTGGGTATTCTACACTAGGGAGCAGGAGAGAAAGGGAGTCACTAGTAGGGTGAACAGGGAGAAACAATAGTAAAGCCCTTGACGAAAATAGTAGCTGCAGACAGGCTGCCCTTTTCCTAGTCCGGGAAGTCATTCTTCTGGACCTGCATCCATCCATCCATCCATCTTCCACCACCACCATCATCATCATCGTCATCATCACCAGACCTCTGTCGTCCCATGGGATGAGGATGACAGGGACCCCAAAGAGGCAACACTAAGGCAGTTACTGTGTTGCCTTGCCCCAATGTCCCCAGCCAGCTCTCGCCGCCGCCCACGCTGCCCAGCTCGTTCACACGACAATCAAAAGCCGCCCCTTATTTCGCCTTAATTAACACCGATTCGCCTGCTCCTTCCATCTCTCCTATACGACAACTCTCAGAACACTACGACCATGAGCTCGCTCCCTCGTTCCTCCGAGGGGCAGAGCTCCCAGACGCCTGCCATCCCCGTGCCCAACCACCACCCTATCGATCAGCTGCTCCCACCACCTTCCCGCAACGGCCACGTCAACCTCAACTTCTCGCCCGTCAACGAGAACGGCAGCTTCGAGTTCGACCGAGTCTTGAAGACGGGAAGGGTGTTCCGGCGGGTGAAACACAAACATGTCCGTGTGTTCCGTAAATCCTTCTTCAAGCTAGCGCGCATCTCCCGGCTGACAGGGTTGCTTCTAGGTCTTCCGAGCCTCATGGAAACCCGCCTATATCGTCCTCCGGCCCAATCTGCTCTCCGTGTACAAAGATGAAGAAACCACTCGCTTGCGGGCTTCCATCACCTTGTCCGAGGTGACGGCCGTGGCTCCGGTCAAAGCCACTCGCTCGAGTCGAAAGCATGTCTTCGGCGTGTTCACCCCCTCCAAAAACTACCGCTTCGAGGCCGCCTCCGAGCGCGACGCGGAGGACTGGATCAGCCGCATCCGCACAGAGACCCCCATTGGTGAGGACGAAAAGGCCTTCCTGGCACTATCGAAGAAACCCGGCCTGCCGGCTATCCAAAAGCAGCTCATTGAGGACACAACCGACCACTCGGAGTTTGAGCAGACGGGCCGCGCCAGCTCTCCAGAGCTTGGCCGCACAGTCTCGCCCCGCCGCCGAGCCCAGCGCCTATCCTACACACAAGAATACTCCGGGAATGAGATCACATCTTATTCAGAACTATCAGATGCAACCCCGCCAGCAGATAGCGGCCGTCTACGGTCCATGCCCTCCTCCCTCAACAATTTGTCCAGATCCGTAAACAATCTGTCCCGATCCGCACCGGAGGAGAAGCCCCTGTCCTTGCCGCGAGACACCAGCCAACAGTCAGTCCGGGACCCAGAGCGTGTCGTCTGCCACGGGTACCTGCAAGGCCTGCGCATCAAGGGAACCGTACGCCAATGGAAACGGCTGTGGGTCGTGCTCCGTCCCAAGAGCTTGGCTTTCTATAAGGATGAGCAGGAGTACTCCGCCATCCGCGTCATCCCCATGTCGCACATCATCGACGCGGCCGAGGTCGACCCCATATCGCGCTCCAAGAAGTTCTGCCTGCAGATCATCGCCGAGGAAAAGACCTACCGACTCTGCGCGCCGGATGAAGAATCCCTGGCGCGCTGGTTAGGTGCCTTGAAGAGTATTCTTGTGGCTCGCAAGAAACTGGAGCCGTCGTCTACTTTTTAATCATTCTTGATTGCCGCTTTTCCTCACTCCTATTCTTTTCTTTTTCCTCCCCCTCCTCCTCTTCCTTTATATCTGCCTCAGCGGCCAAGGCCCTTGCTATCTAATCCCGGGAGCGAGTTCGGCACTCGAACCATTCACACTTTCTGTCTCATTATATATACCCAGTTCTTACTTAATGCGAGCATCTCATTGGTATCACCGGATACCGCTGCCATACATAAGTCACCTAGCAGTAATTACCTAGTCTGGCAAAAAGGTCTAGGAGAGGTCAGGCCGTGTTCATTATTAGATGGCTGTTTGGTCAATTCATTTCCAACGGTCAAGTAATGCGCATCTTTCTATTCTAACCCATATAGCTCTAATGTGAGTTGCAAACCCAAGAAAAAGCAAAAAAAAAAAGGAAGCCGGTAGGTGCCAGGCACAGAAAAGGAAGTTAATCATGAGGATGAAGATGATAGGAGTAAAGCGGATAGACGCAAAGAAGAAACACAAGACCCCCAGAAGAAAAGCCCCCACTCCCAGTCGGTGAATTATCGCACTATTTCACCCGGGGAATACTGCGGCAATGTTTCATACTCCCCCGACGACACTCTGGCACCTGCACCTGGAGCAGCAACAGGAACGACAACGTCCTCGCCCTGGCTCTCGCGGTTGACCACGAGAAAGGACATGAACACAATACTAGCGCCGACCCAGTACAGCGGCGTAGCGTACTGGGCCTGCAGGATAATCTGGCCGACCAGGGAGAGCGGGATCGTCAGACTGAGACCGACGGTGACGACGAGCGGGGTGGTCAGGAGCATAGCGTAGGCCCAGGCGATGTCGGAGATGAAGGAGGAGAGCGAGTTGATGATGATAATCATCCACACCCGATTCGTGCTCGGCAGCGCAAACGGCTCCACGCCCGTCCAGTGCAGAACAACGAACCCGGGCCACAGGAGGACGAGATTGAAGAAGCCCACTAGTCCGAAGAAGAGCTGCATGTTCACGCGCGACTCGTCGCCGACTTGCTTCTTCATCACGATCGTATACACGCCGTACATGATCGAGCTGAACGCTGCCATTGCGTCGCCGAGGGCGATCTCCGCGGGAGTTTTGTGCGGAAAGGATCCCTCGCTGCCGTCGACGGATGGGGTGTTGGTATCTGGTTTGGAGAGGTCGACGCGCGAAATGAGGATGATTCCTATTAGGGAGGCGATGACGCCGAGGAGTTTGCGCGCAGTGAATTTCTCGACGCCGATTATGGCGCCGAAGATGAGGGTCCAGACGCCTGGGATCTGTTTCAGCATACGGCGAGAAAGCATCGGACATGATGCTGGAGCTTACCACTCGTCGATGTGAGGATGGTCGTGCTGCCCACGGTCGTGTACTGGAGACATGCCATGGCAAAGTAGTTTGCCTGTTAGATAGTTGAGAGTGTTCATTAGGACTGTGCCAAAGACTGCAAAAAGCTGGGATGGAACATACAACAAACTGCGACAACGTTAGCTCATCAAGTCACCAATAGATGGAAACAGTCTCCTCTTACCCAAAGTAAACAAAACTCAAAGCTCAACTTCGCCGTTGCCTTCAATCCCAGCTTTGCATTTGGATCTTTCAGCATCGATCGTACATACTGCGCGCTCTCGCGTCGCTCGTGGCCGTGGAAGTCATCCTCCGCAGCCGCAGCGTGCAAAATAGCCTGCTCCTCCTCAGCTTTGGGATCATGCGAGTCCAAATGCCTGAGCAGGCTCTGGAACGAGGTGATCTGGGACAGTCTCCTAGAGCGCCAGAGCCGCCACAGACGTCTAAATAAGATTGTGAAAAGCGGTAGGATGAACAGCGAGGTGTTGACGTAAGTCACGAAGAAGGGCTTGGAGTAGGTGTTGTCTGCGAAAATAGTCTGGAGAGAAGCATTGATGTTAGATCGTAATCCGCCAGGTGGGCACGCAGAATCCATCAGCGGGGGAGAATGCGCACGCTTGCGAGAAAGTTCGACGCCGTCCACAGCACAACCACGATCAGCAGTAGGCCGATTCCCACTGTATGTCTGGCAGAACCCATCAGGGTAAAGGCTTGTATCTCGGGGCCGGAAGACATGGTTGCGCTACACGATTGAGCGAATGGCTTATCACGGGTCGTCGGCGGAGTTGGTCGCGTGAGATCAGACGGGATCACTTCGGTTGCCCCTCGGTGACGAGGAATGACAACAGGAAGGTAACCAGGCGGAGCACGGGCATCTGAAGAAAGGAGCTGGCGAGTATGTCAAGGGAGGGACAGGCACCCTGTCCGGCAGGGGAGGAAGAAGATATGGAGGGAAAGAGGGAGCGCCAAGCGATGGTGTCACCGGGCGATCGCGATTAGCCGGACACGACCTAGTGAACGCTTAACACACTGAAAAAAATGGACACTGGGACTAGGCTGCGTTATTGAGTTATAGGTCCCTATCGTATGCTGGGAATATTTCGCGCAGATGGAGCATGGCCCCTAAGACTACAGAGTACGTGCGAATATCTATACCAATAACATAATGCCAACATCCATGGTATTCTCGCAACGAACAGACACGCCCAGCATTAAATCCGAGACCAGCCACAGACACACGGGGCAGTCACCCCACAGCAAAGATGCTATCTTCTCTACACAATCGACAACAAAGAACAACCCAGCAGCAAAACTGTACGCAGAGAGGGAAAAACAAGCGCTTGGAAAATCATGAGAGTATCGTGTTAGGGTATTAACAGGCACAGCCGTCGCGGTCATTGTCCAGGTGGATGTTGATCGGGTCGCTGAACTCGCCGCTGAACTCCTCCGCTTCTTCCTGTGCGAGCGCACTCCGGGCAATGACTGCACGTTCTGTCAGCAGTGAATCGAGGGAATAACGAAAGGAAAAAAAGACGCACCTTCAAACGCCTGCTCCACGTTCACAGCCTCCTTGGCACTGGTCTCAAAGTAGGGGATGTTGCCCTTGGACTGGCAGAACGTCATGGCTCGTTTCGACGAGATCATTCGCTTGCTCTCCTCCACATCGATCTTGTTGCCAATGACGACCTAGCTACATGTTAACAGACTTCAGTAAAACAAACACCGAGGACTTACGAAAGGGAAACTCTCAGGATCCCTCGGACTTGCTTGGATCAAAAACTCATCTCGCCAGCTATCCAGCGCCTCAAAGCTCTTGGAGTTGTTGACATCGTAGACGAGGACACAGCAATCCGCTCCGCGATAGAACGCAACGCCGAGTGACTGGAACCGCTCTTGACCAGCGGTATCCCAGATCTAGGTAGTTACGGAAGAGGTCAGTCGTTCAGCTGCAGATCCTCGACCCTTGCCTTTCAATCTTATCTTACCTGCATCGTCACGAGCCGGTCGTCCACCAGGACTTCCTTGGTGAGGAAGTCGGCTCCAATCGTCGCTTTATAGCTTCCACTGAATTTCTTGTTGACCTGTTTGGGGGCGGTGCATGTTAGCGATGACGGCGGATAGGTCACGAGGCCGGAGGGGGCGAGGCTGGACGGACATATTGGTTCATCAAGCTGGTCTTTCCAACACCACTGTCTCCAAGGATAATCACCTAAATCCATCGGGATGCCTAGTTAGCATGTCGGCAGCGTTGAGGAGGCTCAGGGTGATCCGGAGCTCGAGTGCGGAGAACGTACCTTGAGGAGAACCTTCTTCCGTGACGCCATAGCAGCGATCTGGGGAGTAGAACCACGCAAAGGATAAATGAGTGTTCTGATATGTAAGGAGTAGCTATTAATCGTGTCTTCCGGACCAGAATCCCGAAGCGCGGTGAGGAAGAGAGGAGAAGTGGGAGTTGCCAAGTTGGGTTGCAGTCATGACGGGGACCGGGGAGGCGGTCAGCTGGGCGGTCGGCATCGTTTATCGATAACGGATCGTTATTTGCCTCGTCATCTCTCATTCCTGGTCTGTCCATCATCGAATTCGGCCGATGCCCCACTGGCGAGAAGAATACGCCGCTGCTTTGGCTGCGAGAGATCGTCGGGAGAAAGCCAACGGTGCCCTATATGATGCTTGTATGCCCACGCATACCATTCCACTAGATCGTCTTCCGTTAACATCTCCGCTGCCTAGATACCAAGCTCGCTGATAGAACCAGTGCGCTAGCAGCACCACCCCGTGCAACAGGACCCAGCCCTCCAGCTGCTCACAAATTTTCCAGTGAAGCCCAGCGCTCCATACCATCACCCATCACCACAAATAAACAGCTATCGGCCGAGTCAGGAATCCCCTTGACCGACCTCTTGAATGCAACCCGCATAGACCTTTCGGCAGCCCAGCGTTCGCGCTCCGAGTTACAAGACCGTTTGAATCGGATTAGCACTGAAGTTGAAAAGCTTCGCAAAAAGAGTGGCCAGGATGGTCGGCGGATCAGTGCGTTGGAAAGCGAGAGGGTCCAGCTGCAGCTACGCCTCAAAGACCGTGATGAAGAGCTGAGAGGGAAGGCCAAGCTGTTGGAGGTGAGTTACGTTTCATTTCCTATTTTGGTTAAATATCTCTCACTGATGTGGTTGGCTTGCTAGGATTTCCAAGATGAAATGGCTACCCTCAACCTCCAACTCAACATGGCAGAAGAGCGGTCCACTCGATTCCAGCGTGAGAACCAGGAGCTCGTGGATCGCTGGATGGCGAGAATGGGCCAGGAAGCGGATGCCATGAACGATGCGTCGAAATTTTCCTAGTAGTTCACGATGCGCTTGCAGCATGGGATTTCAAGATTTTCCTTCTAGACGCTAGATAATTTATTCAGAAGCCTGGCAAATAAGAACAACCTCTTAATGTTTGTACAGATCAATTGATGGTATCATACATCGAATCACAGGATATATCCAAGACAAAAAGTAATCTACAAGCTTTCAGGATGCCAAATGTATCATGCACACCACTGCTTTCCAGCATCAACAAAGAAGAAAAAAGCTATACCCCCAGGCCTTCGTCAGAGGGAATTTTCCATAAAGGCCTTTAGCCGTGCACTGTCTTTAGTGGCGATAAAATAGGTACCACCAACGTCAGTCCAGCTGACGCTATTCGACCAGTAATTCTTCTGCTGGACCTTCAACAGATTGATCGGAGAGTTGAGATTGCGAGACTGGATCTTATGGCCGGCCGGGACGAACGACTTGAGCGAGACAATCTTGCAACCCTCCTTCATATCCAGAAAATGGTTGATCAGCTCGTTGTTCAACTGCGGCGTAAAGGCCTGGTTGTTGATGAGGATCACGTCCGCGCGTTTCAGGACATCGACAATGCTCTGCTGCTCGAGAAAATCGCCGCGAACGAGATGCGTCTTGCCCGGCGCAAGACCCCACAGCCGGCATCGGGCCTTGAACTCGGCCTGCTGGAGGTCTGCCAGATCGCATGCGTTGGACATCATCTCGCAGCCCCAGCTCTCGCAGCCGATCTCGAGCGCGGCCTGGAGAACCACATTGCCGACGCCGGATCCCAAGTCGACGAACACCTGGCCCGACTTCAGTTTGGTCTCCTTGAAGATGTTGCTGATGAACCGAGGGAGGAGTTCTCCGTAGACGTTGTCCGTGCCGTTCTCGTATTGACGCAGAGACTCGACGCGGGGAGAAACGGTGCGCGCATAGATTTGCGTCAGCATCCGCTCCACCCAAGGGAGACTCATACGATGCGTCGAGTCAAGTCGCTTCGCTAGACTGCCGTTGGTCCTCAACCGTTCAATGGTCTCGTTGTAATCGTTGACCGCATCTTTGAACTGAGTCTCGGACGCTACAGCCAAAGCCCGGCGCAGACGTCGCCTGATACCCGTTGTCTCGTTATTGAACTCTTCCGAGTTCTCATCCGGAATATAATTGTCAGACACAGTCTCGATCACCTGCACGATATCGTCGATCGGCCGGAAGCCGTCGTTTTCTCGAGGCACCACCAAGTCATATCTAATCACACAGTGGGTTAGCTGTCAGGGTTTGCACTTTTGAAGACCATGCCACATACCTTTCCTTCTGCGACGCACTAGGATACTGCAGAAGAACCACGGTCGGCGTACCCTCGGCCCCAAAGCCCGGTTTAAATTTGCCGGGCTTCTGTTCCGAGGTGATATCCGCAGCGTGCACCATCTTGAACGGCCTCGCTCCTTCCTCCGAAAAAGCCTTCACTGAGCGAAGACGCCTGTCGGGATCGGGTTCCGCGCTGGCGCTCGTGCGCGCGCGCTTGCGCACTTCGAACGAGGTATCACTGTCGCTGACATCGTCGTCGCTCGAGAGCCGTGTTTCGGGCGTAGGACGCTTACGGCCGCGAGACGGAGTGCTCAGCCTTTGCTTCGCGGGGCGAGCGTCCGCGTCGCTTGAGACTGACCGCGACTTGACCGCGGAGACTCTGCGGCCGCGGTCAGATGAAGGCTGCGGGCGAACGGGGCGGGCGTCGGGGGTGGAGGGCGTCGATCGCGAGGTAGTAGCTGGTGGTCGAGCCTGGACGACTTTGCGAACCTGGGGTTTTTTGGGTTGGAGGGAGAAAGCCCCTCCTTTCTGGAGATGGTCGAAGAAGCCCATGAGACGATATGGAAAAGAATGCAAATATGTATAGATAAAGAATGTAGGGGGTTCAACAAATACCTGGCAACTCCATAGGCCAGGCACCGAGAAATATATATATATGGTATGGGGGAGTTGGAGGAGGCAACGAAGATAAGACGGAGCAAGAATGAGAAAAGTCCGAGTTGATCGATAAGCGCCACTCAGTGATCTCGGACCCAATCACAACGAAGTCACGAACTATGGACCGAGGGTATACTTAGCGAGTATATATTGTATGCATTCGCTCGTATTATACAAATTTTGCTGAGAACTGGGCCCCATCATCATCCAAAGTGTTCCCTCGCATATGTATACATAATCCAGGAATTCCCTTCCCTTTTGCGGGTTGTCGGGGCTGTCCTATCGCAAGATATGGCCGAGGTACGAAGGGACAAACTATAGAAAATATCGAGTATATGCATTCGCTAGTATGAACACCTATTTCTGCTTCTTCTTCGCCAGTCTCTTCTGCGCCCGAATATCCTTCTTCATCCGCGAGTCCACAATCTTGTACTTGCCCTTAACGCCACGAGGACGCCCCGAGATACCCCGGTTGGCGCCCTTGGCCACCACCAGCTTGACTTGCTGCTTGGGCTTCTTCTTGGTAGCCTTGCTCATCAGCTTGGTGATCGCCTGCGACTTGTCCCGCTCACTCAGCGCCTCGTCATCGGCCAGAAGAGCCGACTTCTTGCGCAGCTTCTCCAGTCTCTGCGCGGCCTTGAACTTCTTGCGGCCCTTGGCCTCCATCACCTTCTTGATCGGGCGTGCGTTGATAGCGCGCATCTTTTCGCGGATGGCAGCTGCAGCAGCCTTGGTGATCGGACGGTGGGGCTTGCTGTGCTGGCCCTCGTCATCCAGGAACCACTCCGGAAGCCCGTCCATGTCGCGGAACGCGAAACGATTGTAGCCGTCGTCAACAATATCCTGTGATCTTTTTTCGCCAGTGGCCATTGACTGGGCCAGCGCCATCGCTTCGGCGGTAATGATATCGATGTCTGCCGCGGACATGTTAGAAAAGAGCCTGTAAGGACTGGCTATGGGGACTTACCGAGCTGGCCATTCGCCTTGCGCGGATCTTCAGGTTCTTCCACCTCTCCCTCCGAATCATCGACCCATTCTTTCTCCTGTTTCTTTGATGCTTGCTTCTGCTTCTTCTGCTTTGGGGCAGGAGCCTCCTCTTCCTCCTCTTCTTCCCCATCACCCATTTCGATGTCCTCATCCTTGGCGTCCTCTTCTTCCTCCACCTCCTCCTCCTCCTCTTCAGCCTCGTCACCTAGGCCCTGGAAGATGTCCTGGTCGAAGAACAACGCAGCGTTGTTGGACAGACTTCCGGACTGAAGGGGCCGGTCAGCTGAAGCGGCCGTTTCCTGCTCATCCTCCTCATCCTCATCATCACTGCCTTTATTCTCGTCGGAAAAGCCCTCCCATTCCTCGGTCTCGTAATTTTTACGAGCCTTCTTAGCACGCAATTTCGAATCCTTGTCCTGCATGCGGTCTTGATACTGTTCGTACATTGTGTCAAGTTCCCGTTCAAGGCGATCACCATCCTCGTCGGACTCTTCGGATTCGGATCCAGATTCATCCTCACTTTCACTTTCGGCTGGGATATCACGAGCATTGGTGACAGCGTCGCGAGCATTCGCGCGGTCGATGCGCTTCAACGAGAAGGTGGCGTCCTCACCACCAGGTCCAATTTGCTCCATGCCGATATCCATTGGAGTGGTCATGTGCATTTGCAGGCGAACAATCTCCTTCCGTCTCTTTTCGTTCTCCTTGCGCCTCTCTTTTTTGCTTCGAGAGGTTTCCTTCTCCCGCATTTTAAGAAGCTGCTCCTGAATAGCTAGTTCCTCATCCATTGGAGCAATCTCGGCGACTTCCTCGGCCTCAGTTTCCTGTGACTGATTCTTTTTGACGACAAGACCAAACTTCTCCCGAAGCTTCAGTCGCCATCGGAGCAAGTTGCGAAACTCCTTCTTGCCAAGAATTTTCAAATCCTCACAACACGTCCGGATCTCGTCGGTCGTTTCTTCCAGGCGGTCCACCGTGGATAGGGCAAGATCACCACCAGGTGGCTGTTGGAAGCTGAGTTTGTTGTATGAACCCAGGATAGCAATCGGATCGGTGGTGTTGATAAACTCTGTTACCGAAATCTCCTTGAACTGGGTGTAGTCCCCTTCTTCATAACCCTCTCTCCTCCGCCTCTTCTTTTCCGGGTTGAAGACTTTCGCCTCGTTGTTCGGGGTCGGGTCTGCCAGTTCCGCAAAGACATGCTTCGGGTCCAAGAATTTCGGGTCGATCCGCTTGGGAGCCTTGTATCCGCGACAAACGACGAAAATTTCTGCAGACACATTTCGAGAAGAAGGGGGTTTTTGTGGCCTCCACGGACGTGAAGAGTTGCTTGAAAACCCACAGGAGAGGGTTGTAGTCCTTGGACCGGAAAACTTTGGTGACGAATGATCCGCCTTCATTCAAAAACTCGGTGGCCAGTTTCAAAGATTGCAAGACCAGCTCTGCCTGGGAGAAAGCGTCTTGAACCCACGCCGAACCGACATTGGGGGCACCGTCGTGAAGCACACAGTCCGCTTTCCAATGCTTAAGGTGAGACCGGATCGTCGCGCGGCACTTTTCAGTTGTGATATCACTCTGGAAGGTAATGGCTCGGGGGATGGGTTTGATCGGGGAGAGATCGACACCGACGATGATGCTTTGCGCGGGCATGCATTCTGCGGCCACTTGACACCATGACTGCAAAACAGTTAGACAGGATGTTTCGCATGTAGACCACTAGCAAGACTTACACCTGGTGCAGCACACAGATCGAGTAGAACCTTGCTCTTTTCCAAGAACCCATACTTTTGGTTCAATTGGATCAACTTGAACGCTGCACGGGCACGGTAGCCCTTCTCCTTTGCCAAGCGATACCATTTATCCAAACGGCCTTTGCCGTGCTGCTAGCAGTTAGTATCACAGAACGGTACTATGGAGCCCAGTGATTTGCGTACCTTCTTCTGGATCGCCATCTTGGCTTGAAGACAACAGTGCTGGTGGCTTATCAACTTGGACGGGAAGAAAAAAAAAGTCAAGCACTTATCGTTCACCGCCCTGTGTTTCTGCCCAGCCATTTGCTGCCTCAGGCCATAAGGCACCCACTGCTCAGCTTACATGTGACGTGGGTGAGTAACTAACTACAGGCAGCTGTTCTGTTCTTGTTTGTATTCCATCACCGATTCTACCTTGACGACTCCAAGCGCCATAGAATATCCCTGTCTGATGCTCTTTTTTCCACCCCCATGCCGCTGGGTCCTCGCAAGAGAGTGAAGCCCAGCCCCTCTGGCGCGGACTCGCCGTCCCCCGCAGTGTCGAGCACTGATGCCGCGAGAGACCGCTCCGACTCCCAGTCACGAGTTCCGGGCGCTGTAAGCCTAAAATTTCACTAGGTTGTCAATATAGCTAATCGTTTTTGTCCTTCCACGCAGAACTGGTACCCTGCGTCCTGGTCGGCCGTAGCGCGAGTGTCGAAAGCGGCCCCAGTTACCGAGGTTGCCCGTGAGAGCATCTCCGTCGCCAAAAACGTAGCGTCTAGCATCACGAACTCTTCAACATCTCTCCATGATAGGCCGAACCCGTCTCACCATCCCTCCATTCAACTGACGAAGAAAGCGGGTGCATCAACCAGATCGCTTCCTGCAGGCGCAACTACGACAAAGGTCAACATTGCGTCGGATGGTTCAGCATCTACCACCGCTGTCGACAAGCTCGCTGAACCAGTCACCGAGGAAACGGAGACACCGAAGAAAGAAGCATCCAATGAAGCTCCTGCCAAACCTCTAGAGCATACGTCGAAGGAACAGGAATCCGCCCCAGACGGCGAGACCCGAATTGACGCGTCGCATGCGGAACAAGCAGTACCTGCTGAGCAGCCCGGCGGATGGTTTTCTTGGTTCCATAGACCGGCTGTGATCGACAACGGCCCTGTGACTGCTCCGACTTCTACAGGGACGGAAGGTAATCTGCCAGCAGATAACCAAGTTGGTGTCCAACCAGACGTCAGACATCCACCAGGTCCGGAGGTGCAGGAAGAGATACAACAGGAACAATCACAGGGACAGGCTGCGGAGACTACTGAGAACTCACTAACGGCCCAGAAACGTTCGTGGCTCCAGATGTGGTACGGTTCGAGTGCATCGTCCAAACAGGGGGAACAACCTCCTGCAGAGCCTACTGTTTCCACTTCAGCAGAGGGCGGTGTTCCTGAAGCTAATGGTGACGATACCACATCAAGAGATCAATCGGACGACCCAACCGGCCCTTCCCGGAATCCGGTTGGGACTGCGAGATCATCTGGTTGGTCTTTTTGGACTAAAGACCCTTCCAAGGACGCTACTCCAGATAAAGCCGCAGAGGTCCAAGCAATCGAAGCGTCCATACCTCCTGGAGCTCAGTCGAGGCCGATGGCGCTTGAACCGGACCCAGAGGCAAACGTCAAAATCACCAAGAAAGGTAGCATCAAAGTGAAGGCACCTAAAAACAATGCCGAGTCTGTTCAGTCCAAAGATGGGCCTGCTCCCGTCATTGAAGCCACATCTACATCACTGCCACCGATCGAGCCTCGTCCAGTTGAGGCTACTGCCTCGAAGCAATTGCTGAAAATATTGCCTAATCAAGTGCTGCCGCGGGTTAAAGAAACATACGTGCTGGAAGAGTCGCCATCTCTCTTACAGAGCCTTGGTCGATTTCTACATTACAGCAAAGCTCAACAACCTCAGCATGTTTGCAGAACCAAGGCTTTGCCTCATATTAAGCGTGCCCTGTCCATCGGCGTGCATGGTTACTTCCCGGCTCCCCTTATTCGAAGCGTCTTTGGTCAACCAACGGGGACTTCAATACGATTCGCCAATATGGGTGCAGAGGCTATTCACAAGTGGACAGAAGGCCAGGGATACTCATGCGAGGTTGAAAAAATCGCTTTGGAAGGCGAAGGGCGTATTTCGGAACGAGTCGACTTGCTATGGAAATTGCTCCTGAATTGGATGGAGAAGATCCGGAGCGCTGACTTCATCATGGTTTCATGCCACTCCCAAGGAGTCCCGGTGGCGATCCTGCTGGTTGCGAAGCTGATTTCGTTCGGCTGCCTGAACGCCGCACGAGTGGGGATCTGTGCTATGGCTGGTGTCAATTTGGGACCATTTCCTTCCTACCGATCCCGATGGATCAGCGGATCTGCTGGGGAGCTGTTCGAGTTTGCACTCCCGTTTAGCCAGGTATCCAAGGATTATGAGGCCGCACTACGATGCGCCGTTGATTTCGGGGTCCGAATTTCGTATATCGGCAGTATTGATGATCAACTCGTTTCCTTAGAGGTACGTGCCTCTTACTCTTCTTTGGTTCGAGGTCTGCTAACTTTGTGATTAGTCTTCCCTCTTTTCACCAATTGCACATCCTTACATATACCGCGCTGTCTTTGTGGACGGCAGAGTCCATGCCCCGAGTTTGTGAGTATACCTCAAAATGCCAGAGATTTTAGATTTTTGAAAACAAACTGACAAGCATTATTAGTCTTTCGCATCTTGTTGGCTTTGCCCTAAAACTTCGCAACCTTGGCATCTCAGATCACGGTCTCATCCGTGAGCTCAGTCAACCTCTCGCTGGCAGTCTTTATACAGGTGAAGGCCATTCTCGTCTTTACGACGACGAAGCTGTATATGAGTACGTTCAGATTCTACCTTGCATTTCCTCATCGAAACTAACTTTATGGTTGCCAAGTATGGCCATTGAATTTGCCCTCGAAACATCATCCATCCCCTCCGCTCTTCTCAACATCAAACGGTCACATCCCGCTGTCTCACCAAATCCGTACATCCTGCCCTTCGCCATGCGCGGCCTTCTGGAAGAGGAGTACGTGCGCCGTGAACTACACGAGGAGACGATGGAGCTGCTGAAACAGTTTGATGACTGGAAGCCACTGACCAAGGTCTTGAAAGATGTCAAGTTTCGTTTGGAGGGCATTCGATCCAAGCTCTAGATTCTCTTTTTCTATGTCTCTATTTGGTGGCTGGTTCCGTGTGTATTAGATTGAAGACTCGCTATTTAGAGAATACAGATACGATCTCAGGAGTCTCTTGTTTGTGTTATGTGGAAACCCATCTTTCAGAATTGTCTGAAAATAGATAACTCGATACATTGACTGAAGAAGAATTCTAGATAAGTACAAGGAAGAGTTCGTCCCATTTCATATCAAGGAAAACGCTGCTTGATATGCACCTTTGATTTCATCTGAAAGAGTTCGCGTCAGCAAATTTGATCAAGATAAAAGGGAAAGAAAAAAGAACCAACCTCTCATCCCATCCAACGCCTCAAAAGCAAGCGAGTAATTCGCCGAGGCGGCGATAATATGCTGCAATCCCTGCCGAAGCTCAGCTACGAGCTGACCAGTGGAGCCTTCGACATATACATTTTCCAAATCCGGAGAGAGTCTCGTCGCGACTCGCGCCTTATAGAACACCATAAGGAGCGTGTAGCTGCTTTGCATTAGACAGCAAGCAAAGTATGGCATGGTACGAGGAAGAGAGCCGCTGTAATACTGCTGCTGATGATTTTGATGTTGAGAGTCCAAAAGCGGCTGTGGAAGAGGTAGGGTTTGAAACATTCGTGAGATTACTAGGGCAGCACGGAGACAGACTTGGGCGGAGTGCTCGCAGCTGTAAGGAAATCCGGAGGTGAAGGGGTGCTGCGGATACTGTGGGATGGAGGAAGGGCGGACTTCTGAGGAGGTAGAGGAATCGGGGGGTGTCAGGTACTCGGTTGATGAGGCTCGTTGAAATGGATCGATGTTATTTTTTGAGCATTGGAGGCTGGCAAGCCCGTTTCCAGACATGGAGGATTTGGTGACCGCATCGGTGTTTGGGGCGTTGGGGGTGGCAGCCGCAGTCAAGTCGCAATGTTTCTTGATGAAGATGGGGATGTCGGAGAAGGCTCGAAAACGATGGACTTTGATCTGCGCACTGAAAAGCGTCAGTAAGCTACTCTTTTATGTAAGAAAACGTTTTACCTGCGTACCTGGATAGCTTTATGCGGGAGATAGCACGGATAGAGTGCGCTGTCATGGTTTCTTGGTAATCACCAAATCCTGTTTCTTGTGGAATTGGAGGAAGTAAATCGATTTGTGTGAGTACAGAGTTAATCCAGCCATCTAGGTGCTGCATTCGCTCGAAAAGGTAATGCATGTTTGATCTCGATGTCAGACATTTCTTTAGATCGGCAACGAATTGAGTGGCTGACAACAGCACTTGTTGGGCTTGTGTGAAAATAGACCATCCCTAAAGAAGAAATTAGTCCACAACCTCCAACAGATAATATTCATTGGTAAGAAGAGAACGCACCTCGGCATCGGTTGCAAAGCGTGGATAAGGGGTTGTGAATTGAGGGTCGTTGATGACGATAGAAGGAGGCTAATTTCATCAGAAGTATTCAAACCTGGCTTCGATAGTAACACTCACCGTTGTGCTTGTTATAGAGCCCTGCACGACACAGTGATACTACAACAATTAAAGGTCAGATATAGCCCAAGCAAACAAACCAAGAAAGTATCGAACCGTCATCCACCAGGCCCTCCGACGAGCCTCAGAGAACTCATCAATTTCTTCTCCATGGGCATGAAGTGATTTGTCCAGAGCAATGGCCAAGGCTTGTCCAGCGCGATATCTCATTTTGAGCAAGTTCCCTCTTTGGCAGTACTCATACACCGATAGCACTAACAGTGCTAAAAGACTCTCCAGATCCGCTGGAGTCTGAGGGTGGAATCTTTCTCGGTTGATAAAAGGCCGCCCGCTTGATAATGCTTGACCTGGGTCGCACGAAGACACGTCGAGATCACAATCTGATTCTATGGTCGTGTTGGCCAGCTGTGCCAATGTATGAGCATATGTCCTGCGTTGGGTGACGGATGCTGTGGATGATGGTTCTGGGTCGCTAGGGTGAGGAATAAGGGCGAGAATAGCAGAAATTGCGAGACTTAGAGGTGAACGAGGTCGATAGACCATGAGCGGCACCTCCGAAGCCGGATTTGCGAATGATATTGGACAGTTCATTGGCCTATCCGGACATGGTGGTGAAACTCGTGGCGGCAAGATCGGTAGGTAGCAATGTATAAAGTCATAATAAGCGTTCAATCTTCCTAATATGTTAGAATGTGATATTTTATGGCTGATGAAACACCCAACGCACATTTCTGGTTCACTCCCATAAGTTCTCACCAGGCACAGCGAGGCATTTCCCGACTCCGAGGGCATTGTATTGATGAACCCATCACTGGAGTAAACCCCTTGGAAGATAGAGGGAATATCTGATTGAAGATCTAGGTGCCGTAAGCCTGCTCCGGGAATAGAGAGCAAATTAATTTGATCAAAGATCTCCGATGCTGTGGTATCGTCAGGGGACGTAAGAGATATGTGAGTGGGGATGCGCACTTGCTTCAAAATCAGTTTGCGGAACATCAGCGTACTCGACATCTTCCTGAGGTGACCGCTCCTCGACAACCGGCGACGCTTTTCGTTTCTTCTGTCGTGGTCCGCCTCGTTTGCTTGGCAGATATGAACACTTTCTACCTTTGCTGACACACTAGGTCGCCGCTATTAGCGCGAGGAGATGAGGGGGTAGAAAAGAGCAAGAAGCAACGAACACTAGCACAGGGATCCTGCCCAGCGCAGCGTGTTCTTGAAGCGCGGCTATGTTTTCATTAATCTTCCGTTCATATCTTCGGGAACTGGACAGCGTTAGTTACCAGGGCAGACAAGCCACCTTCACCGGCGGTTTGGCAAATTTCTTGCGAGCCAGCGGACATTGAGATGCCGACTGTGGCCCGAGCTTGTCGTCAAAGGAACCGGTCATTTTGTCAAATACCGGTACATGTAGTCTGCGATCAATCACCACAATCTACTCCTGTTGAGCCGGTACGTGTCTCAGAGACGCAGCCTGCCCTCGCCTGTTCAGCGATGGCACATTCTGCGAAAAAGAATACTGGGTCAAATCTGAGAGTTGGCTTTGTGTCGTCGGGTGAGATTTGATATATAATAGAGTATGTCGAGGAAGTCGGGCGCTGTCTCGAATCCTCTGTTGAGCAAATCCCGAGGCGTGGAGACATCGGGATTTGCTTTGACTCTCCTTAAAAAGGGCGGAGCGTCGTCACGCAACACGCATGCTAAACCCTCATGAACATCGTACAGGGGGAATACCACCAATCAAGCATTGAATAATGATTTCTAATAAATGCCAGGGATATGCGAATGCATGGAATGAGGAATGTGCATATCCGATTGAGGGTTGCAAATGATACCGGATGTGACATACAATACTAACAACTAAAAGCAATAAGTTAACGTAATTACGTCCGGATAACAATCCCACGTGATATTTTAACACCCGAGACACGGCGGATCTAAGTTGCATTGCATATTTGAGGCGATCTGATCTTCTTACTTGCGGGTGAAAGATTCCAGGAAATATAATGGTCCAGATTCAGTCTAGCGACATTGGTAACGAGTGAGGTTTCGATATGAACAACAGTCAGGTAGCCTTATGTATTTTATTCCCAGGCAAAGCAATTCAACGGAATAGTTATCTTACTCTAGTCGAACCAATCTGTTTATGAAATTCTTTTCATTGCACAATATAGAACTTTGTGGGTATCGAGTTGTAGACCTATCAATTGATGTGCAATATGGTAAAAGGTTAAAATGACATGCCTGATATCTCAATCAACCCATTCAGCATCTCATCCACGGAAACATCCTGCAGAAAATCCGGCCATGACTCAGGGCTATAGTCCTGTGAGCCTTCTTGCCTATATCCAAGACTCACGTCAGGAAAAGGAGCAATTAAGGGCTCGAAAGTGCTCATTGACGATGATCCCGGATGCCTGGCATCAGAGGTTGCCATCGAATCAAGTATTTGACCTGCGTCTGCTGACTCTTGCGCGTGTGCAGGAGCATGACGTTCCGCAAACCAGTCATGAATGCGCTGCAGCCATTTCACATAGAAATCAGATGTATCTGGCGCATTCGTTCGAGCATTGTGGAGAGCTGTCAACCGTGTTACATAGCCTTTTAGCACCTCTTGCATATTGAGCGCTTTACGCAAAGATCGGATTCGCGCCTCCTGCCGCAAGTTCTTGTCCATCGCAACAATACAGAGCTTGCATGACATAACCATAATGAATGCGTTTTCTAGCCATTCAATGTAGCTAATCATTCGAAGGTGACCGGTGGGTAAGCTCAGATAATAATCAAAGTAGCTTTTGGCTGTAGCGAGGCCAACGCGGAGAGTGTCAATCTGGAACGAAGTGCGTAGGAAGAAAGAAGTCTTTTTCCTCTTCCCGAGATCATCAGACTCATCAAGCGAGGCATGTTTGTCAAATAGAATGGCCTGACAAAGGTACAGAGTCAAGGCTTGGAAAAGTGACCAAATCAGAGCTATGGAGTGTCAGTCTTCTTCATTGGTTCCAGGGGCCGTTTTTACGAGTATTGGAGTAGGTCATGTTCAACAACGGGTCAGACACTCACTGCTTTCTTGCATTGGAAATGGGAGCAGGTCCCGGTAATTCTCCATCTCTTGTCGGAATTGCTGAACATGGTCTTCAATCTTTGACTTCCTGCTCTCTAAATCCATCTCTTGGGCGTTATTCAACATAGCTGCGTCAGCTCGCTCAAATATATGTTGCAATTGAACGAGATGAATAAGATACTTGTCACTGGGGTATCTCGAGGACTGGGCTAGTTCAAGAGCCGATTTCTCAATGAATGAAGACCAAGGCAGCATGCATGTCTTCTCGATCGTAATTGAAATGCTATGGAATACAATCAGCAAACCGGTCGTCACATTATTGTCCGGTTCACTAACCATGATGAAATGACAAAGCATCCGATGAGAGCCCTATATTCATCATGGAGCTCAGACACTTTGTCCTTTTGAACTTTCCCGCCGACGCTTAGTGGCTGTGGAAGGGTTCGCAGCATGACTGGCCGATCTAAGCGCCGATCAACCACGATGCTAAGCATAAGGTGATGATAGCTCGAGGCCTGCAGGGGGCGAAGCTGGTGCTGAGACCTGTTAAGAACAAATCAGAATGATGCCGTCATCCTAGAGGAATCTTCCTACCATGCCATAAAAACCAGTAGCCCCTGTAGAACCTCCACTGGAGGAATCGAATTTTCGAGCATGGTTTGGCTCACAATGAAAGCATGAAACCTTTCCTCCAGGACTCGCTGCAAAGGCCTATCATAGTGTAAAGAGACCATAAGGATAGAGAGGAGTAAGAAAGGTTTCTCTTCTCGAAGCTGCTCAACTGCTGTTTGTGGCGGCAAGATAACAAAAGGAAACTGAGGCATTAGCGTCTGGCAAAATACATCCAGGAGTTCTCTAGAACTATCAAGACTGATAATTCCCATTCCAATGACATCCAGTGCCGTGTTGTTGTCGTCGATGTTTTCTGGGCTTGCTGCTTTGACATGGTGATATGGGTTTTGCGACGGCTCAGACGTATTATTGCTGTTTTGTAAAAGCTGATTGACTTTGTCTTCAAGGGCAGTAAGCCGCCTATATCATGAAAGACTTTAATTACTGTCCCAAGTGCGGTATTCACTACAAGCAATTCTGCAGACTTACGTATCTTTTTTATCCGGATTGTAGCGCGACCGAGCTGCTCGGAAATAGCATTCTTTGTCAAGTCGAAGACAGCTACAAAGCTTTTGTCAGTTTGAGAAACTAAAACAAAATATCCTTAAATGCTGGCGGACCGATCACAACTAGAAGAGCCCGATGTTCGGAAGCATCGGATCTTTGCTCGAGCACAGGTCTGACATGTCTTGACCCGATTCGGGCCAGGTGTGGCGGACACACCGGGAACCGTATGAGTTGTGTGAACCATTTCAAAGACGTCTATACAATCAAGAGCCCTTGGTCGGACAAGGACACGGACACCTGGAGGTTTATGTAGACCTAAAGGAGCGGACACGGACACGGACAAGGAGTCGGAGGTTTCGGTGGGCGAAATCCGGCTTCTGGTTCCACCCTTTGGGGGCCAAATAAGCTTAGTGATCACAGCACGACAAAGCAATATTATTGGCCAAGAGAAACGATAGTGATGATTAGCGAGTTCCAGCTGACTGTGGCCATTACTTTCCCTTCGGACTTACATATTGCGAAGCTGAATTTCCTTCTTTTATTCCTGAATAGACTCTTTCCTCGGAGATAGATAAACGCAACTGTGGAATTGGAGGAGATGCTAATTTCAAAAGAGTATTTGTAGTCAAGACGTGATCCGTGGAAGGTGCAAGATGATCATGTCGAGGATGATGGGATTTCTTTGCAGTTTCGTAGACTGTCCACGGGAGTGACATGGCGATAGAGATGTAGAGCTGCTGCATCTTCAAATCTAATAATTTAAATCAATATTGTCTTCCTTATTCCATGTCTCAATTTCCAATATTTATTTTCTTTTATTCTACCAGTGGGCAAACCGTGGATGCCCATGTTTTTCAAGTTTTTTTCTCAGTCGTGTTCGCCATTTAGAGGCATCGATTTCTTGAATTGGAGTATCAGAATCGAAACCGGAAGAAACTTAGTAGATTCGTTGATGGATGCATGTGACGATATAACTGACCGTAGGGTGTATTCGAACTCCGTTGGCTTTTTCCTATTAGTCGTGGAGTGGTGACTAAGAAGGGGTCAGAAGTCGACACCCATAGCTCGGACTGCATAGTCCACCGCGATGTACTATGTAAAGCGCGCGGGCCGATCAAAAACTCCAGGTCTGGTAGAACTGATTTTCTGCAATTAACTATGTGCTGTACTACTTTAGGCATGTAGTGCATCGTTTCCATTAATATTTTGCCCCGTTACGAACTCAATTATTTACAGATCGATACATCCCGGCCCATCAGTTTCCAAATTGAAAGTATGATGACGAAAGAGACCTGGTAAAACAGCCCTCATAAGCGCCCTGTTAAGACTACGCATCCCGTTTTCCAATTTCTGCCTTGTGCCAGTTAAGATTCTGGACCCCACTACGTCTATAAATGTTGGAGATTAGTCGGGGGGGCCAATCAGAGGTCGTCAATGCCTTGAAAAGTTACCAATTCGATTTATGAGTGGACAAATGGATTATTAGGCGTCCCGCGCTTGAACTAAGCCATAGATGTTTCTTTGATGTCTATGCAAGGCCCTTCTGTATTTGGTATGTAGTTCATTGAGAGGCATCACTATAAAACTCCTCATTTTCTCCCAGCTGTCAACGCGGAACACAGATATTTCTACTTCATTGATCGTCTATTTCCAACGATGCTCTCCGAAGATTACAAGTGTTGGCTGTTCGCAGCCCTCGCTCTTGCATCTATAACTGGCGCCTCATGCAGCCTCGTGTCTCAAGGTACTACCCAGATGGTTCATAGCTGGGCGTCGGTTAGTCTCTTTTGAACAAACATCGGAAAGCATTTTGCTAAGGTACTAACTTCAAAAGATCACCCCATCCAACAGTATCGAGTGGACACCGTGTTTTACCAACTTCACCTGCGCGAAACTTCAAGTCCCTCTCGACTATGGAGATCCTTCACGAGGGCAGACCGCCATAGCCTGGATGAAATATTCAGCACCAAATGCCACTGAAGATATGCCAAATGTTGTCGTTAATCCAGGTAATCAGCAAATCTCTCGAGACAATTTTAACAAACACTGACTCTCAATGATCAGGGGGTCCTGGAGGCTCAGGAGTCCAAGCTATTGCTGCATACGGCCCAGCTTTATCCCAGGTTCTCCTTTCCCAGTACAACATTGTCGGATTTGATCCTCGCGGTGTGGGCGAGAGCGGACCAGTCGTGGATTGCTGGCCCAACGAGGTCGCCAAACGCGCCCAATTCGAAAAATTGTTTTATCCAGAAACATCCAATGCGTCCTCGACCTCGCTGGACACCCAATATTATGCTGCGGACATATTCGGCAAAGCATGCACCGATACAGTCGGGGGTTCCAATGGGTCCGCTGCTTTCATCAGTACGCCGGCTGTGGCCCACGACATGTTCACTTACATCACTGCAGAGCAGGCGGCATCCAACAAACCAAAGAACAAAGCCAAGCTCTACTACTATGGGGTCAGCTATGGCACCGCCCTCGGAGCGACATTCGCCCACTTGTACCCCGACCATGTGGGGAGAATGATCCTCGACGGCGTGATCGATGCCGCAGACTATTATGCTCTGGGCTGGAAGACCAATCTCTACGACACAGATGCAGTCCTCGATTCCTTCTGCAAGACCTGTTATCTGGGCGGTCCAAAGAACTGCTCGTTCTGGGGTCCATCCGTGCAGAACATCAACAATCGAATGAACAAGATCCTGGCAAACCTCAAATACCACCCTATTCCGGTTTCTACCTCTGAGGCGTGCAACATCCCCATCATGGCGACTTACTCTGGGTTGAAAGAATTTGCGCTCATGTCCACGTACACTCCTCACATACAGTTCCCGCAGCTAGCGGATACTCTGGCAGAGCTGGAAAGAGGGAATGTCTCGGCATATATGAGGGGAGTCACTAGCGGATCTCTGCCGGCGAATCCTTGCAATAACGGGTCAGTGAGTACAACAGAGGATGTTAATACCCTCATCAAATGTGTGGATGGATATGCTGGACACCACTTCCAAGATATCAGTCACTTCAGGGACTACTACAGCCTCTTGACGTCCCAGAGTACCTTCTTTGGCGAGGTCTGGCCCAACAATGCCAATGGGGTTTCGTGCAGATCGTTCCGCGTTAACCCACCAAAGAGTGGAAGACTTCATGGTGAGGATTTCCGTGAATTATCCTTTCAATATACCAAGTAGACTGACTCCAGCCGGTCAAGAATCCATTCTTGAGAAACGAAAGACCTCATTTCCCATCCTTTTTGTCACTGCCGAACTTGATCCTGTGGCTCCAAAGCCAGGGTACTGTCCCTCATTTCTTTATGCTTCTGCGTTTACTGACCGTTGCTATAGCGCATACTTGATGTCTTCGGCATTCCCTGGTTCTGTGGTGCTGACACAAAACTCATCCGGGGTAAGTATTTGGATATCTTCTTTTCTGAGAGCATAATTTCTAACTTGTGTCTTAGCATACTGCTCTCGCAAGTGCCTCAAAGTGTCTACTTGAAAAAGTCCAAACTTATTTCATCAAGGGAGAACTTCCCGTCGCCAATACCACATGTCAGGAGGACGTTCTGCCGTTCCAAGGCCAGACTGTTTTTAGCTTAGTGAATTAATAATAGGTCTTTGCACTCATTTCAACTCTTAATCCAAATATATAAGTTAATTTATCAGGCCACGGACTCCGCCGTCCAATTTTGATCGTCTTCAGCAAACTTCAACAACAAGCCTACCTCTATATACTCCCATCTAATCGCACAACTTTCTGTTCGTCCGAAGCCGCCGGTTCAGACCCTTTAGTCCGATAAAACAGCACCGCATGTTTCTGATCCTCGGCCAATCGAAAGTAAGATTTCTCGATTTTCTCTTGTCCCTCTTCGTGCGAAGACCCAAGATCCACCTCCACCTCCATCAATTTCTTCCCATACAGCCAAAGCAGACGAGAATCCCACAATCCTTCTTTATGCGGCCACTCCTCCAGGAGATACATCGCACGCTGTCGCGTGGGCAGATGGCGACACCGCCAGACAATAAGAAATAGCGGAAGTACAATACCCGTGTCTAGCAACAGGGTCGGGCGTGAGAGGTCCTGTGCGCTGCTTTCTTCCCTGAAAGTGAGGGATACTCGCTCGCACATTGCGAGCATAGTTTGAAATTCTTGGGTATATGTCCCGAAGATTGTCTCATATTTTCCACAGAGAATGGTGTCGACGCATATTGTGAATGTCTTGTGGTGTAGATGAAGCAGGGCTATCCCTCTCTGTACTCTCGGCTCGTTTCCGGAGAGGATCTGGGCCTCGGATCGCCTTAGACGTTCTAGGTATTCGTGCATTTGGTTATGAAGTTCTTTTTGCCGTTCCCCCAAGTGTGGGTGTTGACTTGCGAGACGCTCTGCAACAGGAATGGGGAAAGATTCTCTTAGGAAGGAGACTACATGACCTTCCAAGTCATCAAACGCTGCACGTGCCTCTAGAAGAGACTCGAAAATGCTCATTCCGTCATCAGCAGCAGTTGAGCCCGGCACGATAAACGTAGGTCCGCCAAAGAAGATCGACTGGCGCCTTAATCGGGACATTGTTTTCAAAAGAGAGCTCTCTACAAAACGCCGCGTCTCAGGAGAGAAGGTTTGCTCATCGACGATCGACCGCCCTTGCTGAAGATGCATAATAGCAGGGTCATAGTTCCCGCGGAGTAGCTCAAACACGATAAACAACAGACAACAGGTTAAAAGTACTTCCCGGAACATGGGGTCCTGAGAATTTCGGCGCTGATTGAGCATGGCTAGCGAGCGCGTATACTGTTCTAGGGCAAATCGCTGCCGTCGGTTCGACAAATCCTCCCGCACGAATTGGTGATCGCGTCCTTCCATCTCTTCGTGCAGGGTACTCAGCGCCACGACGGCGTGATTGACGGCGCGTTCGCTGTGGCTCATGGGCAGGATGAGATCTGTCCACAGGCGCGAGTCAAAGAGGCTGGTCATGTTCCGCACAGTTGTGCTCTGGAAAAAAGCAAATCCTCTTCGCTCATCAGAGCTCTCGCCTGGGAAAGTTCTGTGGAAGCGCTGCAGGGTCAGGGATGGCGTGCTCTTGTTGCCTGGATGCGTCAGGCGCGTCGACTCGTATCCGCTGCATTTCCAGCCTGCGGAGACGCAGTTGTTGCACGCGCCGGGCGTCTCATCGCACTTGAGGTGCCGGGTTCTTGGGATACATCAGGACTTGATGATGATGAATATGGGTGGGATTGGAGGAAATTCCCTTACCGGCATGTCAGGCACCCGTTCCTCGATCGTCGGGCAAACACCTTCTTCCCTTTCGGCTTCTGTGCCATTCTAGCTATTGTATCTGTCTATAGGAGAGAAAAACAGTGTCTGTGACGATGCCGAGGGGAATATGAAAGAAATCACGAGGTCATACATACGGCAAGGCTGAGCGTGGCGCCCGACCATCAGATCGTGTGGGGGCCAGATCCATTTTCAACTCGATCGGCACTGTTTCTCCTGGAAATCCTATAATTAGTGACTTTTACAATAATGACGAAGGATAGAGGTACATATCTCTCTGGGGGCCAGTGATGCGTCAATATTTGATTCGGACACTGTTTGTCTCTCGTGTACCCAGCAAAACACGGTCTAGCCAAGTCAAGTGGAAGGACAAAGGGTTTCATCAATAAACGAATGCCTCATGGATTTCTGATATGTACATCATCCAAAAAACACGCATTATAGAAGGACCGACCAAGGGCAAACCCGCATCTATATATGCCCCCTGATCCAGAGCCAAATGGTCAAAACGCCGCGCAGAGAGGCTATAACCCCCCTTGATGAGAAGAACCAACTAGAAAACAGGCAAGCCAAAACATAAACCCGGAAACGAGAATAAGCATCAGAATGGCGGGACCTGGGACCAACACAATGCAGTCATAATCATAATATATCATATAGTATGCTTCCTTGATTCAACAAGAACCAAAAGCGGCAAGGAAAGGGGGAAAAAGGCACGATTACACAGTACCATATCTCTCATGCTCTGAACTGAGCAAAGCCCGTCCCTCCTGCGGGCGATCTGACGCACCCAATCCCCCGCGCGGCGGAGACGTAGAGGGAATCCATCCGCGCATCCAGCCCCGAACACGCCTCCACCGGCTGCGGCCCCGTTTCGGATCCTCGTCATCCGCACCGACGAAACTCGCGTCTTCGTCAACGCCTCGCGGCCCGTACATGAGGAACTGCACGCCCATGTATCCATCCAGGAACAAGACACCAAACGCACCCAGGAAAAAGGGGATCGCGCGCCCGACCCATTCCACACGGTCGTTTCCGTGAGCATCGGCCCAGCCTCCGCCGCCGTAAGGAGGGAAGTTAGACCAGGCGTTCGGATTGGTCAGGAGGGAAGACGAGTAGAAGAGATTTCCGCCGAAAGCGGCCATGAACAGCAGCGGGGACAGGCCCTCTGTGCTCTTGCGGCAGTAGTTCTTGTACAGCTGTGGTGGGCGTGAGCCGAGGTAGAGCAGCGTTGACATCCACGAGAAGATGCGGCCGACGATCTCAATGATGGTCTCGCGCGGGGCATGGGAGATGGGTGGGTGAGGTGGGTGTCCTGTGGCTGGTGTGGGACTTGCGTTGGCTAGGACGGCGCAGAGAAGTGAAGCCACGAGCATGGTGCGTGGGAGGGCGAATGGCGGGCTGGGCGCGCTGGTGCCTGTTCGGACGGATCGTCGAGAGGTGCTCTGTTTCTCGTTGGAGTATGAGGGTGATGGGCCGGTGGTCGAGTTTAAAGTTGAGCCTGTTTGTACACCCATGTCTTTGGGCTCAGATTTGTTCATGGACATGTCGACCGGGCCGGGTCGTTGGTGGGGGGTGTCGTCGTCCGAAAGCGACATGCCTTGCAGGATGCCCGTGGTATCGGCATCGTGCGATGGTGAGATTTGGTCATATCCATCGTGTCGGGAGCGCTTGTAGTGCGTGTACCAGAAGAACTGGATCACCAGAGTGATATCAACCAGGACATAGTAGCTGGCGATCACCACCTGCCACCCCGCCTGTCGGGTGAAAAGCGCCCCCACAAGGTTGCTGGTGTCACCCAGACACCAGATCACGAGGAAGAATATCGACAGACCGGAAGTCGACTGAATCTGATAGTTCTTATATATCTGCGGCAGCTGTGCAAAGAGCCATGAGACAATACTGAGGGTGCCGAGTATTGACGAGATAAGGGCCAGAGGGGTGGGGATGCAGATGTGGAGATGTGAGGAGACGACAGTCAGAAAGGGCGAAACTGGTTCACAGTGCTGTGGTAAAGAGCCTGAGAGGATCTGGTATATCCATAAAGGAGGCATGTTATATCTAGTCTCTCAAGAAGGGAATCGCGGGGACGACCGATCAGGCATGCGGAGGCGGCGATAAGCGGATATCGTCGAGGGAGAGGACGGAGCGTCTAGGTTGAATAAACAAGACAACGTCGCACAGGAAAAGACCGAATATGGCGAGATGGAGAGAGCGTGGGTGTCGGTGAGTGTGTAGGAGGAGGAAAGAGAAGGAAGAAAAGGAATGTGCAGGAACAAGTCACCCTCGCATAGTCAGTCACGCGAGAGAGATCTTAACCTTATCGGGTGGTTGTTTATCGCGGCAGTGTGACCACATGACTCATCCGGGTCTGATAAGTTGAGGATCACGATTGGGAATGAAGTAAGTGGGAGATAGGATCACGTGATTCACTGAGCCCTGAAAGGTCGCGTGGGAAGCATGATCTTAGGGGTGTGGTTTGGACCCGGAAGCAGATCTAGCGCTGTAGGTTGTTGTCCCGAACTGACACGCTTTAGAGTTTACAGAGAAGCGAGACAAAGCACAAAACTAGAATAAGGATTCCGTTATTTACCACTTCGAAGGACTACCACAATGAGTAGTCAACAATGACTAGATCAAATCAAGATAAAAACTAACCCTGCGGAGAGAAACTTAGCCTCCACAATGTGAACATGAGCGAGCGTGTCTTGGACCCTGAATGGATTCGCCCGTCTATATGAGGTGCCCAATTTTCAAAGGGCATCTGTATGTGAGGTGACCCGGTGTGGCTGTCCCTATCCCAGAGACTGTAATGTTCGATCAGCCTCGTGTCAGGACTGTTCAGGGCTGAGAGGCAGATGTCCGGCGTTCAACTTTGTGTCCTGATTTGATGAGGCTATGTATCTTCCGAAACGGGCAAGCATACCGCAATAATGACAGAAACCTAGTGTCATGCGAACACTAATCACATAAAACAATCTCCTTCACGCGACTCGCTAGTCTTCTCCCGAACTGTCGACCCCACGGTGTCGCGAGTGGCTGCGGTGTCCGTGGTGGTGGGGATGTTGGTGATGATGACCATGCCCATGATGATGTCTACGTTCCTGAGAAGAATGTCGCTTGTGTTCTTTTGCTTTGTTCTCAATATAATTGCCCAGGATCGCGCCACCAAGTGCGCCGAGGAGGCCATGGTCTTTCTTATGTCCTAAAAAATAACCTGCGGCACCCCCGGCCAGGGAACTGCCCAGCCCGCGGTCGTCGCCCTCCGGATCATCGCTTGAGCTGGACAGGTGCGGCTTTTCACTCTGTGCATGGTGAGGATCTTGGCCGTCTGAAACGTATACAGCGGGCGGGTGAGGGTGAGGATTGGGCGACGGAGTATGTCGCGGGGGATCGCTGGGGTGGCCACTTTGTCGATAGGTGAGCTCGGACAACAAACATACAGGTAACAATAATCATAATCACATACTAGTAGCCCAGATTCTCAGGGACCTTACCACCTTGCGCATGCTGATAGTGTCCCGTGGCAACCGGTCCGAGATGGTCGGGTTGTCCGACAGGCGTGTAGCTTCTCTCCGCCGGCACGCCATGATAGGGCTCGGGCGCTAGGTGGTACGGAGCCGGCTGGGGAGCGTAGACATGATTCGGATCCGGCCGAGGACCGCTCTCCGAGTAGTCATAGGGCTGCTGGTACTGGTAGGCAGCAGGCGCATCTTGCGCAGGCGGATAGTAGCTGACCCCACCTGGGGTCGGCGTCGAGTAAGAGGTGTATGGGTTGTATGGGTCGGCCATGGCTGCTGCTATTGCTGCGACAGGAGACTTGCGAAATACGGCAGACGTTAAATATACATATAAAAATAATTCACTGTAGGGATCCTCCCGGCCCGAGATGGGTCTTATACTAGTCGGGGTTCGCAGAGTTCGCGCAGTCCGATGACCATTCAGCAGGCATACATCATAACGCGGGTGACCCTGCCACACGACCCTCGGGTCGACAGTGCAGAAAACCGAACTTCATGCATGAGTTCTCCAATCATACTGAGCCGAAAAAAATAAAAGAAGGATGTAGGGGGCCTGATGGCGAACCGGTGCGTTTGGCGCGGGATCCTCCGTGCCGGTTTTGCTTTACAGCCTACACTTGGCATTCGACATGGTAGTACGTCATCTTATTCGACGGTGACGAGAAAGGTTCCTTTGCTATGAAAGAGAAATAGATGATAAACATGGATGACTCGGGGTATTCCGGCGAAAACAAAAAAAAAAAAAAAGACGACGACGGACGACAAGCCCGAGGTAGGGCTGCTGGCTGCGGGCCAATTCAGATCAAGCCGCTCCTGGACAAAGGAAAAGAGGGAAAATGAAGTCTTCGAAAAGACAAGACGTAATAAAGGGGCCCGCCAAATTAATGCGCCCAGCACATTCGGATCAAAACTCCCTGTCCCGTTATCGCAGGGCGAATTGGCGGCCCGGATAAGTATATCCACTGACGTTAAAAAAAGACACATCGAAGGGAAAGGCTATACCACTATACCGGTGGACTCTGCAAGGGCCGCGTCGGTGTGGAATTTCGGTTGCGCTGAGACATCCAGTTGACGAGCATGTCATCCAGCTGGGTTGTCATCTCTTTGAGTCGTTTGCTTTCCTCCTTGAACAAACGGCCGGTGATGGGGTGGTCAGGACCAGCGGGGGGGATGTTCGATTTGTCATGGACAATAATAAACAGGTCACGAATATCATTCTCTTCATCGAGGTATGATCGTAGACTAGCATCACTCCAGGTCGGTGTGTCTACAGACAAAGTATCGAATGAACCAGGGGTAGGCTCGGCAGTCTTGAAATCTTTTCTCTCGGCTTCAGGAGATGACGGTTCGGAGATTGGGGAAACAGAGTGTGTCCGCTGCGACGGTGCCTCCATTGTCGGTCCTGGGCCGCCGATAAGAATTTGCGTCTCCACAGGAGAGACAACAACAGGGGATTCGGGTCGGTCGCTGACCGGCTCGGTGACAAGTTTTGGTACGGATTTTTGTGGTGAAGGTGTCCCGCTGGTCTGCAAGATCGTTCCGTCAAACGCAAAGTATGGTCTCACTTGGGCCTCGCTGGATGGTCGCTCAATAGGAGATGATAATGGGTGGAAAGACTCCGTTGGAGTAACAAATTCCTCTTTGAATGGACTCGACTGGCTGGCAGGGGATACCACGGTTCTCCGAGTCTCGTCGGCGTGGGGCGAGGTAACTTGTCGAATTGATTGATCGTTGGTACTTCGAGTCGCGTCTCTGGCAGTTTCCATTGAAGGGTCCCGCGGCGCATCCGCCTTGGTGGGAGAAAATCCGGCCGGGGGTTGCTTTTGTAGCTTCTTGCTGCTCTCTCTTTGTACTCCTTGCTTGGAAGAAGACCGTGTCTCCGAAGATATTGACTCCATGGACGTCTTTGACACGGGTGAAGCTCGGAATGAAGTCTCCCCTGGAGATTGCAGAGGCTCTTCGAAGTCATCATCCGTCGACGATTTGCTCTTCTTGTCCTTCCGCTTGAACAGTCCGCTGAGCATCCCTGGCTTCTTTTCTTTGCGCTTCTTGTCATCTTTGCCCTTCTCTCCTGAGACTGAGGCCCGTTCGGTTGACTCCGAGCTTCCACGGCCCTTCATGAGAATGTTAGCACTAACTCCACCAATAGACAACGGGCAAGAACACAGTACCTCTTTCCAATCATTAGACAGGCCCATGCTGTTGGATTCGTCGCGCACGTCGCGCAACAAATTCGGTGTGAGGGAAATCTTCTTTGGCTCTGCGGTGTCGTCCTTGAAGAAAGAATCGGTGTTCCGTACAGTGCCATTTCTGGACCGGCTGACGGTGGGTTCTGCGAAGGTTTTAGAAATCAAAGCGCCATATAGAGATAAAATGGAGTTTCATCGTACCATCTGAATCAAAGAACTCCTCGCTTGACCGACGCGGCTCTGAGCTTGAGCGGATCTCAGGCTCCTGTCTCTCCTGTGTGCCATTGGCTTCTGTCTGTTCCGTGGGTTTTTCTTTCTGCGCTTTGGGCCGAAGAGGTTCGACAACGATGTCTTCCTGCTCTTGTGCTTCATCCTCTTCTCCGTCCAGGGTTTCATCATCAAAGAAGTCACCATGCTCAGAATCGTCGTCAGAAGAAAACTCGATGTCCGAAGCTTCGATGTAGGTCGGTGCTGCGAAGTTGACAGTCTTCGCGTTCCTCCTGCGCATGGCCTTCTTCAAGGGGTTCTTGGACTTTTCCGAATTGTCGCCCAGCATGGTTGCAGAGAGCTGTGTTGGGTTAGAGGTGATCCTCACAGGGAGCAGGGCGGTACATACATCGACATTGCGGTGTTTGTTAAGTCTGGCCAACCTTTCGGTCGGTGTTTCGATGTGTTCCGCTGGTAGATACCCTGGCTTATGGTCAGTGACATGAACGAGGTGATCGCAGCCTTCAAACCTACCGATGCTACCATCCTTCACCACACGAACAAGCCACCAATAGCTATTGCTGTCGTCGAGAAGGACCATGGTGTCTCCCTTTGCAGCATTTGCCTGGCCGTCGACTGTTGCGACAAAGTTGTGAAGCGCATAAACGAATTCGAAGTCGATATCCTCTGAACATTCCATTAGCGCGGAGTCCTTCAATCCCAGAATTGACCACACGTACCATCGTCGATGGAGGGCGAGCTGGAAATCTTGTCCATCAAGTCATCGTCGAGGAGGTCATCGCTTTCGCCGTCTGCCAAATCACCATCTTCATGGTCGTATTGAGTGCCGTTCGTCTCGTCTTCCATATCCTCCGGTTCGCCATATATATCCACTCCATTCGCGCCCATGAGCTCTGACTTTGAGTCTTGTTCCGCATTGCGAAGGGACAGCTCTTGGTGGGGGGCAGGTCGGCCGCTGCCGAGGGGAGCTGGTTGTTCGGGCTGCTTGGAATGGTCTTTGGCCGAAGGTGTATCATGGTCCTGCAGGTCCAAGGTATCTAGACGAGTGGGCGATCAGTATTTGGGTCTGGCACAAGGCGACTGGGAGGGCCTACCAGCTCGAATTATCTGAGGTCGGCTCATGTTGCCGCTTCAAAATGAATGTGGTATCGGTGGGGAAGAGCCAAGTGACACAAGATTGAGGCGCAGGGAGCAAGTGTTGGATCGGAAACATCGACTTTGAACAGGTCGCGCCGGGTAAATGGAGTAGCTCCAGCCTCCCTCGCAACAAGAAAAGTCGCCAAGATCGAAACAATCGCAAGGCCGAGGAGTCGAGAGGGGGGGACTCGGCAAAGCAGCCCCAAAAAAAAGAAAGGTAGGGAGGGGGAAAGAGAGACGGAGGAAAGAAAAAAAAAAAGGAAGCTGGTCTGCACCTCAGTCACAGCACGAAAGGAATTGAGACTGCCAGAGCGACATGAAGAATTGTAGTCGAGAAGGGAAAAAAGAGGGGGCACAGTGATCCCCCGAACCGGACACAGGGGAGAAGGACAGAGAAAGGAGGCCCAAACAAGCGCGCGGCTAAGGCACTCTCACCCTGACAAGACGCGACTGCCGCAATGGGCCAGGGTTTAGGGCCAGCTGACTCAGCAGTGTCAACTCCCGCATTTGCCCGATGGTCATGGACATCATTCCTCTGCCATCTCTTCCTCGCCCTGCCTTAAGATCCATCCCTCCTTCACTCTCTTGACCCCAATCAACTTCCCCTCAACAATATATTTTGCACGACGCAACACCTGCCTGAGCAGTCGTGCCCGTCATTGTTCGCCTCCCATCAACCCCGCTTTATATCTCCCCCCCCCCCCCCCACAAAAAATCAATCATCATCGGAGACCACCGACGGAAAAAAATAAATAAAAGGAGGCAGAGGGTTCCCAGAGCCCTTCTGCAAGCCTGCTCCGGGCTCACAACCGCAATCACAATTTCACCCCGTGCATGGAAGGCATGGCGCACCCAGAGAGGAACGGGTTAGCAGGCTTGAGGCTTGAGACGTCGTTTCATCAAAGGGTAGAGTCGAAGGATGGCGAAGCGGGGAGGAGAGTGACAGCTGGTGGCGATGGTATCGAAGACGACCGTATCAACATTTCTCATAACTGCAGCGCGCACCGCCGCGATACTGATGAAGCCCGCAGTGTGTTAAATCATCTACACTCAGCAACGTCGCCCATCTCAGTTCCCCGCCCGGACGATCGTCTTTCAGATGACGACGAGTTTCCACACAAGCCGGATGATGTGCAAGGATCGCCCCTCGATAGCTACATTCAGACTCGTCACCCCTCCATCACGTTCAACCCCCAGGTTTCCCTGGATTCCGGCCCCCAGCGAGCCCTAGAGGAACCGCTGGCCAAGGACGATACAATTAATCGGAACTCCCAAAAGTTCCAGCCCCGGGGATCCAGTCTTCGAAACGCTCTTTCGCAGGATGACGACCCTGTTCCCGAGCAGCAAGTCGAGGCTTGGAGATCGAGCCCCAAACGGTCCCAGCAGATTCAAGGTTTTCCGACGGGAAACTCCCAAACACGCATCATCCCAGAAGATGAGTCAGTTGTGGGCGCCGAATTCGTTCATCCAACTTCTTTGACGTCGCTTTCCACGGTCTCTCCAATCACGGATGAAGTGCGTACTCCGCCCGAAGAGGCTAGGGACGTGATGATGTCGCCGTTTTGCCTGACTTCGCCAACCCAAAATTTCGCGTCTCCCGAGGACCGCAGTTCATGGTCCGCGGGTGTAGCGACACCCTTTGGAAGCAAATCCCGAGGTTCCTTTCTGGATCGCAGCAGTAGTTTTCGAAATTCCACACGGCACAGCTCACGGCGATCGACCGCCTCCTCCAGTGGCAAATCACCAGCCAGCACGTTCCTCTCCATGTGGACGGCCCGCGGTGAAGAGCCAGCAGCTCAACCAGATGACGAAGGTCAGATGATTGGAAGCGACTATGTCCTTGGGAAACAGATCGGCTTTGGAGGGTTCAGTACGGTCAAAGAAGCCTTCAAGGTCGAGGAGCACGGCGCAACGAAACGCCTAGCAGTCAAGATCGTGAGAAAGAAAATCAGTGGCCGGAGTGAGCAAGAGAACGACGAAGTGCAGGCCGAGTTCGACCACGAGGTTCGGGTTTGGCGGTATCTCAATCACCCCCACGTCCTGACCCTCGACGCCGTATACGAGACGGATTACGCCACTTTCTGTTTCACAAAACTCGCCATTGGCGGCACTCTATTTGATCTGGTTCGCCAAAATCGAGGTGGTCTTGATTCCAAACTGGCAAAAAAGTACTCCTACCAGTTAGCTAGCGCTATTCGTTACCTACACGAAGACGCCCGTGTCGTTCACCGAGATATCAAGCTGGAAAACTGCCTCCTCGATCCCGTTGAAGACGAGGATGGAACGATATCTTCGACACTCGTGCTCTGCGACTTTGGCATGGCCGAATGGATAGCCATCGATAATGGGGGCGACTGCCCCGATCCGTACGACGATGTTGCCGACCGTCCTCCCCCCAAGCAAATAGGCCCCGCCGGGTCCAGTACCAGCGTTGCAGGCAGCCTGGAATATGCTTCACCAGAATTACTCCTCTCCACCAACGGCGTGATCCATCCTTCCGTCGACATTTGGGCCTTTGGCGTCATCGTCTACACTGTCATTGTTGGCTCGCGCCCCTTCCAGGACCCGTTCGCGCCTCGCATTCAATCCAACATCCTGAGCGGTACCTGGAACCAAGCGTCCGTGCTTGGCGAAGTAAGTGACGAGCTCATTCGCACGGATCATGCTCATGCACTCGAGCTGATCAAGGGCTGCCTGCACATGGAAGTTGACAAACGGTGGACTATCCGTGACGTTCTCGGATGCTCTTGGCTCCGAGAAGTCGCCGAAGGTGCCGAGACCCCGGCGGATTCGGTTTGGAAGCTCTGAACTACGCCCCTCTTTTCTCTGTCCCCTCCGCCCCTCTCTGACCACGATTTTGATATGATGTGATGATATATTTCTTCTTCTTTCTGTTACCAGCGCTCTTATAACACAACCAGCGCTGGTGTTGGTTACTGATTCTTTGATTACCCAAGATACCCTTTGCGATTGTTTTTTGATATACTCGAATTTGTCTGCCGCGAAGAAATTCTCTTTTTTCTTTGTTTTCTTATGATGATGGATGGAGAACCTGATGACAAGCGGAACAAGGCATGGCGTATTTTTTGTTTTTCTTTGGCGTGGCATAAGCTATTCATTCCTGTTCATCGTTTTATTTCTGTCGGAGGTTGCTTTGCTTTTGTTGTACTTCTACCTAGAGGTCTGAATTTGAAAGGAAAAAATATATCAAAAAATTATTGATGGTTAATTAACAGTCTCCTGGTCTATCTATTCCCAATAGCGTACAACTCAATGAAAAAGGAAAAAGTAACACGACCAAAACAAAGTAAAAAGAAAAGAGGGCCAGCTTGTACTGCCCTCTATACAACCCTTAGACCCGAACAGGAAACCAATAGACAATCGGCATCAAAGAGCAGAAAAAAGGGTTGGAGGTACGCAGATGGATGGTATGGCGTGGGCGTTCATGTGGAGGATTTCGCTCAAGGCGAGAGGAGCGAAGGAGAGGTAATTAATCAGACACTCAAGTGGCGAGGCCGAGTCTCCAGTCAGACAAAAGAGAATTTACTCTCGGGAGACATCACGGCCGAACAGCCTACCCTTGACCCAGTCGAAGGCGACCAGGACACGGTTGCGAGCTGCAGATGGGAGTTAATATTGAACACACACAAAGACCAGATTGAGTGGTCACTTACTGCTGAAGCACATGCTCAGATAGGCGCTGCGCCAGAAAAGGTAGGTCATGGTGCCGCCGCTGGCGATGTTGCCGCTCAGCCAGCTGATATCGGCGACGGCGCGCTCCTTGCCGATATAGGCCAGACTGCCCTGGTGGGAGTACTGGAAGGGGCCGATCTGCTTGATTCTCCGGAGCTGCTTCTGACGCTCGCGGATCTCGTCAAAGATCTGGTTGCGCGCCTCGTCGTCCTTGGCGTGGGACTGGGCCTCGGAGAGAGTCTTCAGCTCCTTCTCGATGGCATCGGTCTTGGCCATGATGTTGAACAGACGGCCAAGGAAGGCACCCTCCTGGCCGGCGACCTGGGCGGTCGGCGCGTAGTTGTTAATGGCGCAGTCGCCAACGGCCCAGATGTTGTCGGCACCGTTCACCACCAGGTACTCATTGACCGCAAGGCCACGGCGCGAGTCCTTCTGAGCGGGGATTTGGTTCATCAAGTCGCGCACCACGTTGCGCACAGCGTTACCAGTAGCCCAGACCAGCAGACCGTAGGGGATAGTCTCCAACTCCTTGGATCCGTCGGGATTGGTGACCTCCGCCTCGATGTACTTGTCCGTCACCTTTTTGACCATTGTCTTGGCGCGAATGGTAATCTCTTCCTCCTTGAAGGTGGACTCGGTGTAGTCAATCAGCTGTTTCGAGAACATGGGCAGAACGTTGGGCAGCGCCTCCACGAGTGTAACGTGGAAGTTGTCCTTGATCTCCGGAATCCACTTCTTCAGGTCGTCGTTGAAGAAATCCTGCAGCTCGCCCGCGAACTCGACACCAGTCGGGCCACCACCGACCACAACCATGTGCAGCAGGCGCTTGACCTCCTCGGGTGTCTGATCCTTGAACATCGCTGTCTCGACGCAGTCCATGATACGCTTCCGAATGTTTTGGGCGTCATTGACCTCCTTCAGGAAGCAGGAGTGTTCCCGGACACCTTGGATACCTGCACAATCCGAATTAGTACACCGTTATGCGTCGAGAGGTATTATTCACCCACCGAAAGTCGCGTTCTCAGCGCCCACACCAATCACAAGCATATCAAAAGGAACCTCAGTGTGGGAGATATCGCCCTTGATCTCGGAGTCATCACTGATGTACACAACGCGCTTCTCGTAGTCGATCTTGGTAGCCTCAGCTTCGTAGAACTTGACGGTCGCCTTCTTGTGACGAAGGATGTTCCGAATGGGCTCCATGATCGAGCGGTGCTCGATAAGCCCAGTAGTGCATGACGGCAGGAGGGGGTGAAGAGGAAGTAGTTGCGGGGGGAGACGACGATGACATTGTAATTCTCGGTGTCGAGCTTCTTGAGCAGCGAGACGGAGCCCCAACCGGTTCCTAGGACAGGGTGTTCCCATTAGCGCGTATCCTCATAACCCTGGCGACCGAGACATACCGAGAATGACCAGTGTCTTCTTGTCCGGGTCGACTTCGAATTGCTCCTCCGGGTGACGCAGAGAATATATGCTGTAGCCCAGAGCACCGGTCAGACCGATACCAGCGAGCCAGGTCAAGCGCCAGGACCAGCGCAACAATCGAAAACGCTTCTTGGGCTTCGGGGCAGGGTTCGGTGTGGGCGTGGGCGCCGCATCAGCGTAGGTGCGGCGAGTAATACGCGAGGGTTGAGAGAAGCTGGTCGGGCGCAGCAGCTTCGTGCGGAGCGCGCTGGAGGTTGAGATGGTCCGGCGCGACACCGACGGCAGCTGCATGGTAGCCATGGAGCGGATTGCCAGCGAACTGCCAGCCATGATGGATGGAGTGCACCAGAAAGGACGCGAGGAGCGGAGAGGGTGGGTGGTGGATGGGATGGAAGGGGATAATGATTGAGTTAGGTCCGACGCAGAAAATTTGAATCTTCGATAAGGGCCGATGATGCTGTTTTGGGCGAATCGGTGTGCCCGGGACCACAAGGGGCGAGGTTCAGGCGATGTACCCGGTACGCCGCCTGGCCGCCTCTGTGGCAGGCAAGTTAAGTACCAGGTACTTTCTTATCACTTTTCTATTCAGTCTCTTAACTACCGAACTATACACTTTGGACTGATTATTACTGTCGACCATTTTCAATTCATATTCATGTCAACATTGATTCTTCTGTTCCGGAGTTCCTCCGACCCAGTTCTCGACCTTTTCGGGGCTCATCTATCCACTGGGGCAAAAAAGAGTCCACACTATGGGAAAAAAAAATTGGAGACACTTGCTACTGCGAGATATTCAGCCGGGAGAATTTAACCGCACCAGATATGATAATATTCTGGCGGCTGTTTACTAGCAGTCTGTCTATAGCTTCATCTCCATCTCTTCCTAGCATTCCTGAATTGACCTTGGGGCTCTCCGGCTTCGCCCGCCGATCGAGTCAACCTCGGGCTCTTCAGCCCATCGGCCAGCTCAGATCGCGCCTCTGACGTGCAACACCCGGCCCGTCCTCGAGTCGAATGCGCCGAATCTGGGGAAACATATTTGCTGCGGTCCGGTTTCTCCCTGCCGCTTTGACTTACCCAATGCTGCCTGCTCGAGTCGGCCAATATCGGACAACTCTCTGATTCAGGGAATTTTCAGGTAATTGGGGATGACGTGATAAAGCTAACGACGTTTGGAGTCGGGATGATCCGGCGTGGGTGGAGTCATAGATATACTTTCAGATCATATGGTAAACACTTGATATTGGGACAGATTCGCGGAAGATCAACTCTGTCAATTAGTTCCCTGGTGACAATGGGGCAGACAGTATTGCAGCTGGGGTCGAATTATTAGTTATATATCGAGAAGGGGCTTCAAGAGAGTGTAAAAACTAGTCTTTGTACGAACAAGAGGAAAAATGGAATGTTTACCCTCACTTGGACTGTACCTACACGTCGCCAACAGGCTTTAACCTCACTTCTGATATTGTTAATAATCAGCCCGGCTTGATATTCTTCTCTATCGATCGCCAGTCCTGGACATCTATTTACACAGAGTATGAAGACTGATGGAGGGGGCTCCATGGCCAATTTTGTCCTTTTCCTCCGCAAAGTATAATGGCACTCTAATATATACGAAAGAAAATGCTACCGTGAAGGAACTGAAGACTACCTTAACGGAATGTTCCGTCTACTGGTGCGAGAGAATATACCAACAACTCCATCTCTCTGAACGACCGTACGGCGAGGCTACGAGGATGCAGTATCTCTATGGCATCTGATCACTTCGGTGTTAAGGAGCGGCTATATAAGCAATGGAATAAACCATCGCAGTCATTAGCACCCTTCAGGAAGAACAAAACCCTTTCCAAAGATTCGGTTTACACCATAGACACTGTGGGTTTGGACAACATTCTCACAACTCCCAAATGTTCTTCAACAGCACCTTTTTTTGTCTCCAGACGGCTCTACAATTGGCTTTTCAGGACTTCAGTCTGCTTGCTTCTTTACAATAGCCAAAACCTTAGTCAAGCCTTCAAGAGCATGGATGAAGCTATGACTGATAACATGCGCTCCGCAAGTGACAATGCCATCCAGGTTGCAGGACGGACGTATTCGAATGGCACTTTTATCCATGTGCTCTGGTCGTGAATCATCCTCCCTGTTGCTGTGTCGTCTTATCCATTATACTGCTTGGTTCCACCGTCACCTCTAGACGGCAGCTGAAGGCGACTTTGTGGAAGTCTTCCTTGTTGCCTTTACTTACAGGAACCCTTGCGACTAAAACGGGCGTTGGCCACGCGAAGGGCGGGGATGAGTTGGTCAACTTGTCAAAGAAGGTCAAGGTTAAAATGGAGGATCAGACTCCTCCTCTCTTCTCCGAGCAATAAATGTAGATCTCATGATAAAGTTTTGTCATCACTCAATAGATCAAAAAAGTTACCTCTTTACGACTCCCAGCAAGATTACAATATGACCTAGTCATTGTCTTCCTCACTAACACATTACGCCGCAAACAAGGTGGCGGTAACTCCACACGTAACCAGTATTCTGGTAGACGGCCGCATATGCAAATGAACTGGATTGAAAGTGGTACGGGTATGATATATATTTCCTGATCTCCGCCATAATACGAAACAGCTCAACAGCTATCATACTTCAAATAGTGCCTAAAAGACACAAAACATTAATTAGATATATATGAAATAAGGCACGTAATATTCCTGTACGTGTACCCCCAGCTAAAACAAAATTGGGCGGTCAAGGCCCGTCCAAAGCATGCAAATACGATCAAGACAGCGCCAGGATCAGAAGTATTACGATAGCTCCGAAGAAATATTTTTCATGTCTTGGAAACTAGCACTAAGCATGTAGGATGTAGAGACGGCTACCCTGGGGTGCACCAGGGTGTCTGCGCGCCGGCGACTCCGAGTCTTACGAACGGCACAGGGAGATGACCGAGGCTTGCATCAGCCTGCAAAACATGTTTACTATCTGGTCAGCTTCTGCATCGCTTATGCCTGTAACTGGGGTTGCATTTGTTCGTGGCACTGTGACGAGACCCTGCCGTTGCAAGGCTGCTTTTTCGTGGACATCTGAATGCGTTATGACTGTCCATGAAAGAAGCTTCTGGATATTGCAGACTGATAGTCAATTCGGATAATGGACTCCATGGAAAAAGTCTCCAGAGAAACGGGAAGCTGCAGAGGTGAGGCGCAGGCAATAGCTTGGAAGCTGTTCAGGTACAGGGACCCGGCCTGTCCAATATTGTTGTCGATGGTATAATTAGGAACGCGGATTGTTATGCTGGCATCCGAGAAAGCCGGGCATCTGGTATTGAGCCATAGCACGTCTACCTATGAATGGAATGAGTAGATCCGTAGAGCTGCAATGCCATGACTGGTTTTGACTGGTGATATTAGTCTCTTTGAGCCTGAAAGGCTCTGATAACTGCATTGCCTGGTCGAGTAGGAGTATCCCAAGTCTTGACAGACAAAGTAATGTAATTTCCGGAGCCTTACACTTAGGACACCGACCCTCCCAAAACCAGCGCCAACATCTGTTGCGATATAGTTATGGAATTTCGATCAGGACCGAGTCCGACCGAGGCCACATCCACACGGCAGATCAGGCAAGCTAGCCTCTCATCGACAAGACAAGGCATGTTCAGGCAGCCCAAGTCGGTCTCGAAACCACCTACCGGTCAGCAAGACGCAGACATCCAGATAGAGGCAAACGGCCGTTCATCTGGCAGGCATGGACTGGAATGCCTCAGGCTCGTAATCCAAGACTGCTGGGCGCCGGCTGTGACGATCTGTCCGAAGTAATCTTCGTCCCCGGTTGGTCTGTCCATGAACCAACCCTCCCAAGGATTTGGATCGAATCGTGTCGTGTCGGGTGACGAACAATGGAACACGAGCGTGATCGAGATCGGCCTTGCGCTATTGACACAATGGCGACGGCGTCATCAGCAGGCTCCCGTCAGAGAGGCAAAAAAGACAAATAACTATCCGGCGACGTGGATGGTGGTAGAAGGCTGAGCCGGAAGAACATTTGAAACTCAAAACGCCGCCACATTTGTGATTGACATCTACTATCTTGATCATCTCTGTGGAACAGATCTTGCGCCTGCGAGTCGGCGATCTGTGTCATCGAGATCACCGGTGACATAGTTCTGGGTAAGCAACCATGGTCCAGAGCTTTGTTGTTGCCATCCATACATCCATCCCTATTACTGGGTCGACACAACAAAGTGCACGCAGATGACAGATCGGAAGCATGCCTACTGTAATGTATGTAGTCAGTCGTGAGCAAGGGATCTTTCTTTGTTTCTGCAGTATTGCCAGAAAAAGTCCACATCTAGACCCTGACAAGGCCAGCTTGGAAGTTGGTTATTGGGAACCAGAACCACGACCACCATTACTTCCGAGGCAGTGCATGCTCCAGCCGAGTTGGAAATAAGCCCGGTGAGCCAAGAAAAAAACCCATAAAAAAAAGAAAAAAAAGAAAGAAAGAAATCGCTAAACTGTCCCTGGCATCGCAATATTTTCCCGCCCGCCGCCGTTGTCCTGGTACACACCAACCAAGCGTTGGTCTGTCATAGGCGGAAGAGCCCGGCTATGTTTGGCTGAGACCGTTTTTACTCTCACGAGTGGCACCGGATGTGGACGGCAGGCAGGTGCCGGAATGTGATCCTCGCTCACTCTCGGCTGGTTTGGATGTGGGAACAACGGATGGGATGGATGGATGGAATCGTATCCTGTGAGCCGAGCAAGATGATTGCGTTGGCCCGACTCCACTGAGCTTTTCTTTGGCGTTTGGTGTCACAGGCAGACACTTGACAGTACGTTGTAATAGGGAGGGAGTTCGGACCCCGGAGATAACTAGGCCATTATTGATCGTCTTAGGCTGAGACTCGCAATGTGACCGCTCCATGGCTAGTTTTTGGTCATTATTATGGGGCCTTGGACCAGCTCGAGACTCTAGAGGGGCAGGGGGTATGACTTCAGACGCATGGATATGCTTCAGCTGGGCTAACTACTAAACCCCCCCACAGCAGTAGTGAGTAGTACGTAGTCTATAGTCTGACCGCAGGATGGCGATATTAGGTCTAGCTCTCTGACCCAAATTTGGAGGTCAATGTTGAAGGCGACCGGCCTGAGACAGGCTACGTAAGAAGTGCCCAGCTGGATGGCTTTTACTCTTCCTTTGCCCCCCACAGCACACTCTATACATAAACATCCTTTCGTGATCATCGCCTTCCTCTCCAGTGGGACACGAGCGGACACGAGCGGGGGGCCCAAAGGAGTCACAAATCAAAGTATCGTCGTGGCCCGGAAAGTCAAACGTAGCTTTGCCGGAAGTTTCGGTGGCCCATGTGGTGCAGTTGAGTTTTGGACTCCTGCAAATCCTGGGCACGCGCCGAGAAGCATAATAATAATTTCATGATTATCAAAAAAGAGATCCAGACGGTCAGTCATCTAACTTCGCTGCTTTGGCCCCTGCGCCGCCGCACGGGGGATGGGGGCTGGAGTAGTCTGGAATACAGTGGTGGCCTCAGCCATGGAGTTGATGGATGACCAGTAGCATGTAGTCGCTTGTCACAAGGGTCTGCCCATCTTTCTGCAGGCGCAATGTCTCGAATCGAATACGTTGTTTGCTCGCCGCCGAAATTCCTTGTTTTGGCACTATCACAACACCCACCCCCATGTCCTCAGGCCCTGCTGGGGGGAGGCGCGGCGCTACATGGAAGCAATCCTTTCGCCTACCGCAAGGCAAGGCAAGGTTGACGAGGGTTGGGGCGATTCCTCAAATGACTTGGCTCGTGTCAGCCCCCCTCGGACAAGACAAGACGAGACAATCCAAGCCCAAGCGGAGCAGCCCAGCCCGCGTGAAGCAATCTACATGGGCCTTAGTCTATAGTACGGAGCCGTGATGGAGCGATGTGATGATTTCTTGTTCGGGCCTGCTAGGGCAAAAACTGCAAGGAGCCCGGCTGGGAAAGGGTAAGAGCGCCGTAAGGTGGTCGGTCCTTTCACCCGGCGGATTGCATCAAATTGGACCGCTCGAAAATCTTACGGACGCGATCAACAGGAAACTGTGTGTCTCTGAAGGGCCCCTTTCTTCTGCGGGGCGTTCCCAAGCAGCATCCTCTCAGCATCCTGTACGGGATGAGCGGACCCCCCGCGCGCCCGGGCGAAGGCGCTGTGTACCACCATATGTACGGAGATGGTTAGGAAAAAAGCAGCAAGCGGAGAATGCCGGTTTAGATGAGAACCTGGATTCATTTGGTGATCGGCTTCAGGTTTTCTGACCGTGGATTCAGCCACTCTTTTTTTTTGTTTCGACCGCCCCATCCTCCTCCACCCCCCTGCCCATCTTTGGGCGCGGACCAAACTCAGGGAGCTCGAGCTGGGCGCCAATCAGCGCGCGGCATGGCGTGTTGCCGACAAGAACCCTCTCAGCCCTGGGTTTGCCTCCCATGATAGGCGAGTCTTCCGCGTGCATATGAAGCACCACCTTCACCGAGGGTGTGTGGGAGGGGGGATCCGATGACGGCCGTGAGGATCGCAAGGTCAGAACTTCAGGTCCAACTGCTGCATGCGCCCAATAGTCCTGTGTAGAACCCGGCTGTAACCGGTGATCATTCCCATCCCCGACGCAGAGAAACACTGGTCGACCGGTGCTTAGTTGCACCGCCAATCTCCTCTCACGACCACCTACTACTTGGGTGAGTGGAGCAACAAGCAGGCGGTGACTTTTTTTTCTTTCTCTGTGACTCGTGTATACTAAATTGTAAAGTTCGGGGCGCCGCAACCGGGATCAATTTCGGAGGCGGTGGCAACAATTCAAGAAAACCCATTCCCTTTTTCGGTTAACTCCACACCGGACAAGTGCCGCAGAGTTTGCCTGGATGACTCTCTCTCTCGTTCTCGTTACTATATTGTGCCGAGGAAGCGGTACAACTGTGTAGATCGAATATGGATAATAATTTTAAAAATTAAATAATAATAATAATGCAACACCAAGCGAGATTTCGCCTGCTTACCGGCTGTGCGCCGTGACGCTGCCTAGGCCCCTCTTCCGCGTCAACTCCGTCAATTATGGAGCCCGAGAGGCGGTTAGTCTCCCAGCCTGGTCTCCATAGATCATCTTCGCACGATGGAGCACTAACATTGGCTGTGTCAGCTATCTGGGGTTCTGGAATCACCGAAAATTACAGACTCCACTTCTCTTTTCCCTTCCCTTCCCACCGTGGCGGTGGCTCATAATGGCCCAAAGTGGACACGACACGCTCGACGACCGGGATGACTGTCACTAACGGTGCATACTCGGCCGTGAGTTGACAGTCTGGTCCATGGTGATTTGGTGAAGTGCACCCACCAAACTC